TGCACATTGAGTGGGTGAAATGGGTAATAATGAATAATCTTTCACCATTAATGGGAACGCCAATTTCCCTAGACAAATATTGGTGTGAATCGATTAGCTTTGCAGCGAGAAAAGTGTGTAAGATATTCTCATCACGAACAGCCCATCCTTTTTGGTTGTTATATTGAGAAAATCCCCACCAAGCGTTGCTCATTTTTCTTCTTGGATGTCACAAGAAATTAAATTGTCTCCAACGACACCAATTTCCGTTCGCCCACTCGAATGCACGCAATTTTCCCAGGGAAAGCTCACAATATCTCCGGGTAATTTTCTTTATCTCCTTGGAAGTTTTGCGTCTGTCAATAACTCCCATCCTCGCAGGAGTGCCATCACTATTGGCACGTTTCTGCCCATACAGCATTGACATAGTTTCAAATGGAGTTTTGATTAATAAAAAATTAAACACAATTGCAAATATGTATCTCTTTCGGTGACTCTCTTCGTGCGATGTTATGCAATTGAACGTGCAAATACTTCCACGCGCTTTACATTCAAAGAATCAATTAAAATATTGCGCGGGTAATTTAAATACATAAACTTTTTCATTCGCCACAATCCACGTGACAGAAAAGCTGTGCCAACGCGTGAGCTCGTCTGAGGTTGACGACGCTGAATTGAATTTGCGTACAAAATTGATAAGACAATTTCATTAACTCTTATCAAAGTAGTTCAGTGGCATTAACGCTGGTGTGCAAAAGCTCGAAGCTCTGATTTTTATTTACGCCTCAAATTGAGAGCCGCACAGATTGAATCACATTTGCTGATGGCGATGGTGTGGATCAATAGTTTATTGACTCTGTTTTGTTTCTATTACACTCTCGTGCCACTCATCTTCGTCCATCGCTCATGGAATTGTTGTGAGAGCAAAGATAAAAGGAGCGCTTGGCCTCCACTTGTTCAAAGAAATTGCTCAAAAGTGGATCATGTGCTCAGTCTTCCGCTCTATTCAATTGTGGGATGTCCAGTGGAGAAACTTGCCCACCCATATTTAGAATGGCTATGACGAAGGAAAAAGGGCAAAAACACAGACAGAGAATGAGAATAAGAGCACAAAACTAGGGCAAGTTCGTAGCCATTTAACAGCCTTATTTATGACTGCTCTTCGTCATTTGAATAAGGTTTTCACTTTTCTCGCAAAAAAAGTGAAGGTTTCACCAATGCAAGAAATTATGGAAAAGCCAGATTTGCTTTTGTGTGATTTAGCAATATGATAGTGCAAGAAGTCAAGCGTTGAAAGAATTTCAAAAATTCATCCACTTTATTTATTTCCGCGTGTAAAGTAAAGGAAGGAATTTGAGTAGGAATTACAAAGTATTTAACCTTTTTGTATTATTGTTATTACATTCACAAATTCCCTGTCACACTCACAATGCATTCTTTAGCTCAGATTTGGTAATCTTATCACCTGTACAGTTATCGCAGAAACACCAAAATCCTCAAAGTCCGATAAAAAAAGTAATTCGCATCTTCACACCTCCACACAATGTCTGCAGAGACTTTGTGATCAAACATTATTGAGATTGAGGCATTTACCGCAAATGTTTGAAAATATTGACCATCTCTCTCAGTGCGGCGTGCGATGTTAAACAGAGGAAAAAATTATTTATTTAACCTGTGTGTTTACGAAAAGTGAAGCAAAACACAACCCAGCAACTCTGTGTATTTTTGAAAGTCATCCACATGTTTATTGTAGTGGCAGACCGGAAATTTTCCTCATCACACCTTCAATTGACGAAGACTCGAATTGCGAGTCAAGTGCATTTTATTTATCTTCTGAGGCGAATGGTCGTGTAAAATTTTCCGTGTATGTCATTCACATTAATACGTATTTTGATGCATCTGGAAGTCATTGTCGCTTAGCACATTCTTATTAGCGAGCAGAAGTGAAGAGAATTAATTGAGCATAATTTCCTTGATCATTTCGAAACACGAAATGCCCACACAAAGAGCAGTGTAGATTTTTCAACACTATTCGTTATCAGTCACCCAAATATCACATGTTACTTTTGCAAAATTATCGCTTCTAGAAATTGGCAACTGGAACAAATATCAGAAAATTGTATTTACATTGTGTTAACTTTTATTGTTGTATCTTCACACAGTGGGCGTCAAAAATGTTCCGAAAGTGAATAATAACGCTTTGTTTCTAAAACGATTGGGTATTACACTGTTATTAATCGTTTTTGCATAAAATTTAGGTATTATACAAATTTATTTTGTGGTAAGAAATTGATGTTTTACGCAAGGTGTTTATCTGTGTAATTTAAAATGTTTAATTATTGAAAAGGTCGTAAAGTCTAAGACGATAAACGCAAAAGTTTATCATTATTGAGACATTTCTGACGCTCTCTGTAAATTTGCAGACTCATTCATTATCTTAACTTTTTTCATGCTAATTTATGCTAATTCCTCTCCGTTAACAATATTTTGTCAGTAATTATCATTCATAACAAAAGTGTTCGTAATTTCCATCAATTTGTCATGTAAAAATTTAGACTTTACTTCAGACTTGCGGAGAAAATGTAATTAAACTTAAATATTTAGAAAAAAAACGCCATATTTCTCGTTGTTTACTTCTGCGAAAATTTGCAATCATCTGGAATTCCCGTATCAAAACAACTTAACTTCTATTCTCCAGGGAATTTACAACAACGTAAAAGTGGAAGTTTCGTTTAAGATAGTGATGGATTACGAGACACCATGAAGATCTCTATCGCGTACATCACGTACTTCACCTAATTCCATGAATTAGAAGCCCCGCAAGGAACTCTGACCAACTTGCAAACTCTTTTTTCGGCATTGCCAATATCTGGGTCGAGAAAGTCTCTCTTATGCTCGGATAACTTACAAAGAGCACTAATCAATTGTCTTCCAATTCTTGTATGGTTATCAATGGAAGCGGGAAATTGTGTCAAAGGTGGATGGGGAAGAAATTATATGGCGGAAAAGTGGGGAACAAGAGCCGCAATACATGTGAAAAAGCGCCTTATCAATCGTGCTTGAAAATCAAAAGCACTTCCAATTGTTATCATGTGTGATATTGCGCGATGGGGAACTTGATGTTTTGCGTCACGAGAGTGGAGAGTGTGTGTTCTTTTCTGCTTTCAATATAGCCTATGAATTTTCACTGTTTTGTGATTCACTTGGCACACGGAGTACGTTTGCTTCCAAATGGTAAAAAGCACTGACTTGGCATAAGAAAACCGCAATGTGGAGTATAGCTATTTTTTTTTTGTTGCCAATTCACCTTTATTTGCGCTTCGCGATGATCCAAATTTTCACGTTGTTGCGCCACGAAAAATCTCTCTATGATGTCGTGCTGATCCAGTACAAGAGAGTCACACTTGTTTTTTTCTCTCCTGCAGAACCGCGATGATTAATCCCAAACCTCGTGAGATTTGCCGTTTGGATGTTGTGTGAGCAACGCGCTCTCAAGTATCTCGTTTCACCTTCGCGCGAAATTCCAAAAAATTCCACTTTAACTTTTATCATATAGTGCTATTTAATCAGGAATATTTGCACTTTTTACCCTCAACACTTAAAGTCGCGTTTTTCCAGTGTGTCACGCTACTGCGGCGAGCCAACGTTTTGGCCAATACACTCTCGCGCTCGCGTATGAAAAAGTCCACCGATTTCCGGGAGTTGCCAGAGCTCCAAGACTCGAGTGTGGATCTAGCCGTTGCTTCGGTCTGACTAACAGCACATTAGACAATTTCTTTCCACCGAGCCGAGCGTGGGTCTCGCGATTTGCGCGGGAAGGGAGTCGACACAGTCTTCCACTCCGTCGCACTATCGCCCGAGTCAGGGAGTGTGCGATAAGCCTCTCCACCACACGGACAGCATGCAAATGTCTCGCCTCACATGTGACACTTGCACCTTTTCCAGGCGACAAAAAACCCCGGCGTGTGTGGCTAAAATGCCAAATTTCAAGAAATACCACCGCCACGGCGGCCCAGAACGCGCTGTAGTCAATTTGAACAAGTGCAGACCCACAAAGCGTCTCAATGTATCCCCATTCCCATCTGATTCACCGCAGGTTCATCGGTCGCATCGCGAGAAATTCACATGATTCATATCGTGTCTATTGCCAAAGAATCAATATATTTCCCTCACCCAGACATCCGGACATCGCGAGCATCGCCGAGAAGCCGCGCATAATTTATCGTGCTATGCAAAAAGTCTGCATATTTTACAACCAATACACTCCTCTGAGACCTGACGAAAAAAGAGCGCCAATTGTTAAGCGGCTGCAGCATTTGCATACTCCCATGCCGATGTCTGACGCGATACGGCATAATTGCGATCTTATTATTTATTGATCCCATGCACTTTGAGTGACAGGCGGGAAGACAATATATGTGGTGAAATATGGCTGTGACTACTGGAAATGAAAGAGGTTTCCATTCATGGGATTCGGATGAGCAATCGCCAGAGAAATCTTTCTGCTAATTTGCAGAAATCATCACCTTCATTTCACAACAATGTATAATTCAAATGTGAGGAAAACCAACAAAGTATTGTGGTTTCATTCTGTTTATTCAAGATACAGCATCATATTTCTTCTAATGCGAATTAAATAAGATCACGTGGGGGGAGAAAGAGAAATTATATCATTAGCTGTATGACTAGAAATTCCAATTTTTCTAATTACTCCAAATTAATTTCCAATTCCAGTAAACATAAGTACGCAAGATACGCATTCTAATTTTTGAAATGCAACCTCGAATAAAAACCTTTTTTTTTACATTTGTGTCAGTAAAAAGATAGCAAACAGTAGAAATTCTAAGCAATTTTGGCTCTTCTTTCGCACATTCCTGTTCCTCTTCTTGCTGTATAGGTAATTGTACTTTTCCGCTCCTGACAAAGAATTCCACAAAAGGCTGTGCACTATCATGTGTTTGTTTTATTATGCATATTGCGATAACAATTCAAGGTTCACATGCCTTAATTACCCCTCATTCTGTAATTTACTACGAACACTATGAAGTACATTCATAACTTTTCTGCTTGACGACATTTTTTCGGACAGAAATTGCATAAGGAAGAATGTGCGTTTCTTCCTCATTTCCCAAAACAAATTATTTATCGTGCTGGGTGTCCCGAATCTTCGCCGTGCGACTGTTCTTTGCTCACGAGAGTGACATTTCGAGGGGAAAAATATGGCGTTCTGTGAGAGTGGTTTTGTGTTGTGCGGAAAAAATTGATGAAAACCGTGGAAAATCTGCAAATATCGGCTGGAAAATACTTGAAAAAGAAGTCTAAGGTGCTGTTTCATGTGTTTGTGGTGTGAGATTCTGGAAAATTCACGTGGAAATATGGGAAAATAGAAATTATTGCCTGTGCTTGTTGTTCTCTCAAGTGTCAAATTGACGGAAGGGGTTTTTCTCGATTTTTCCGTGAAAAATCCCTCAAGACTGACCAAGTAGCACTTTCACAGCGTCCAAGACAGCGTTTACCACTGACTCTGGTGCCGTGAAAGTCACCAAGATGAGCACAAATCAGCAGAATAATGGAAATACGAATCAGCACAATGGCAACAACAACAATCCAACAGGCAGTTTGGAGAGAGGAAGGTGAGAATGAAGAGGTTGCACGCAACTGCCCAATGGGGTCGCGTGAAATCAAAAACAGCGATGCTCGCAAAAAGTCTAAAAATATCGGGATATTTTTAATAGATGCGCAATTATTTCATTAAATTATAGCTCAATGTGTTATTGCTGAAACGCTATTCGAGTGCACAGCTGCTAGCGCTTTATTTTCCACTCGGTGTCGCTCTAGTAAAGAGGTTTCAGCTCTGAGAGAAAGAGTCGCAAAAATACTCTTTGTTGCTAGCAATTGATCCGGTATTGGTAAATATTTGGATACCGCGGGTTTTTGGAAACGTGACCGCATTCGCGCTGTTATCTCAGTATTTTCATTCACTCGTGTGGTGAAAACAAGCGTCAACGGCTCTCGCCTCGTGATCGGGAGTGATAAAGTCCATCTGCTTCACAGCATATTTGCTCAAAACACACATTTAACGGTATGGATGATCCTTACAGCTGCATCCTGTTCCGCTACGCGAGTCAGAATTCACTGGACGAGAGCTCGCAGAAGCAGATTCCACGGACGAATGCCAAAGACAAGGCGACTGGCTCATACAGGAATCAACAGCATACAGACAGATGCTTCGACAAGATGAACGAGATGAGGAGGTGAGATATTCCATGAAATTGCTAGTCATTGCAGCTGAAAACAAAGACTGCTTGAAAGAGCTTAATTTTAGAACAATACATTTTGATCTTGGCGCGAGAATTCGGGTCAGTGTAGCAAATTTCTCAAATGACAATTAAAATTTCCAGGCAAAACCTCCTCTGTGACATCATTCTTGTGGCCGAAGACATCGAAATCCCAGCGCACAGGATGGTCTTGGCAGCTTGCAGTCCCTACTTCTACGCCATGTTCACGGGCTTCGAGGAGTCGCGACAGGATCGAATAACACTGCAAGGAGTGGATTATCACGCCCTCCAGCTGCTCATTGAGTACGTCTACACATCTGTTGTGGAAGTGACTGAGGAAAATGTGCAAGTTCTGCTCACGGCGGCCAACTTGCTGCAGCTCAACGATGTCCGGGATGCCTGTTGCGATTACCTCCAATCGCAGCTGGATCCCAGCAATTGTCTGGGCATCAGAGACTTCGCCGACATGCACGGATGCATTGAATTGCTGAATCATGCTGACGCTTACGTTGAGCAACACTTTGCCGAAGTGGTGCAGTTCGACGAATTCCTGAATCTCACTCACGAGCAAGTGGCCAATCTCATCTCCAGTGACAGGATCTCAGTGCCATCCGAGGAGAAGGTGTTCGAGTGCGTTGTGGCGTGGATTAACTACGACGGACCAGTGAGGCAGCAGTATTTAGCGGGTCTAATGGAGTACGTGAGACTGCCGCTCCTGTCGCAAGAATACTTGGTGCAGCGCGTGGAGAAGGAACCCCTGCTCAAGGGAGATATCCAATGCAAAGACTACCTCATTGAGGCGCTGAAGTATCATTTGCTTAAAGGAGAGATTAAGGCTTCATTCAAGACCCCGAGAACGATTCCTCGTCAGCCTGTTGGACTGCCCAAAGTGCTCTTGGTGATCGGAGGGCAGGCGCCAAAGGCCATCAGATCGGTGGAGTGTTATGACTTGAGGGAGGAGAAGTGGTATCAGGCTGCAGAAATGCCCACCAGACGCTGCAGGGCTGGTCTGGCTGTCCTTGGCGATCGAGTTTATGCTGTTGGTGGTTTCAATGGATCACTCAGAGTGCGCACAGTTGATGTTTACGATCCCGCAACGGATTCATGGTCCACTTGCAACAGTATGGAAGCTCGCAGATCCACTTTGGGAGTCGCTGTGCTCAATGGATTCATCTATGCGGTGAGTAAATACTATGACTGCTACGACTTTTAGTCTCTAGAGTGGGTTGAAAAATTTTCTCATGGCTTATGATTTGTGTTTTACAGGTTGGTGGCTTCGACGGATCTACTGGGTTGTCGTCAGCGGAGTTTTACGATCCGCGGAAGCAGGAGTGGCGCATGATTGCGTCGATGTCCATTCGGAGGAGTTCAGTGGGCGTGGGAGTGGTCAATCAGCTGCTCTATGCCGTTGGAGGATATGACGGGGCCTCGAGGCAGTGCCTGGCGAGCGTTGAGCGCTACAATCCGGCCACGGATGAGTGGTCTCAGGTGGCAGAGATGAAGGCTAGGAGGAGTGGAGCTGGTGTGGGAGTGCTTGACAACATTTTGTATGCTGTTGGCGGCCACGATGGGCCGCAGGTGCGGAAGTCAGTTGAGGCGTATAATCCGGAGAGGAATGTGTGGTATCCTGTGGCCGATATGTCCTTCTGTCGACGTAATGCCGGCGTGATTGCCCACGATGGACTGTTGTACGTTGTTGGCGGAGATGATGGCACGTCGAATCTCTCGTCCGTGGAAGTGTATTGTCCGGAGAATGACACGTGGCGCACGCTGACCGCCAGCATGGGCATCGGCCGAAGCTATGCTGGTGTGTGTATAATTGATAAGCCCATGTGAATAGAGCAGCAGGGCGCAGCGGCGCGGTATGCAAACTGTGGTGATGAGGAGAACAGCCAGGCCGAAGGATCTGGCAATGAAGGTGCTGTGGGCTATGCCCAGAACACCCCATCGAATGTCACCCAAAATTCCTCGAATCCACACTACGAGAACATCTATGAGTCGATCGACCAATATGCTGCCGCTCCAGCTGCCCCTGCTGCTGATGCCCACGAGGCCCACTCTTTCCGGATACAACCACAACGCTCAGGCTTTCGCAATGAACTGTACGACCGCACGGCGGGATACGATGTGCCGCGCCAATTGAGAGGGAGTTTCGCCGCCAATACGATTGGAAACACAAGAAGAGCCAATCTACATCTGGATCTCAATCCCAATCGGCCCAGGTACACATCGGCCAGCCGGCCTCATCGCCAGAGGAGCTTCGACGACACAGAGTCCTATCACTACAACAACTATATCAGATATGAGAACATCTACGAGCAGATTCGAGAGGATCCCATCTACAGACAGAGCAGTTCCGCCTCTGGCTCCAGGGTTTATGGACGTTTGGACGTTATTGGCCATGGAATAGGCAGGATTGAGCGTCATCTGAGCTCCTCGTGTGGCAATATTGATCACTACAACCTCGGAGGGCATTATGCTGTTCTGGGGCATTCCCACCTCGGCACTGTAGGCCACATTCGCCTGAATGCCAGCTCTGGCGCAAAGTGCTGTGACACAAAAGACAATGCAAACGGAGTCAAGAGCAGCTACAGCTTCTTCAGTTGTCTGGGAGGTGAGAATTCGCAGAGCATGAACAACATCCATCGGGCAACTAATGGCAATAACACCGCTCCGTCTGTTGGAGGAACATTCCCAGTGCAGAGACCCACAGGCGCCATTCCGAAGCATTCGAAGGGCAAGAATAAGCAAACCTCCTCAAATCACACCTCGACACTCAATCGCATCTCCAAGTCATCGCTGCAATGGCTGCTGGTGAACAAGTGGCTGCCGCTGTGGATCGGCCAGGGGCCGGACTACAAGATTATCGACTTCAACTTCATGTTTTCCCGGAATTGCGAAGGATGTGGCGATGCTGGGAGTCATCAGCAGGGCTTGGTGCGCTTCAATGGCCAGGCCGAGATGCGTCCTCGGGCAGACACGGAGGGACAACGTCGACTGGTGTGCAACAATCAGTCGGTGGCCAGAGTCCGGGAGTGTGAGTATGGGAACAGGAGGGATTTGTGGCCGGAATCCCCGCCTCGGGCGCATCGGCAGCAATCTCCGTTCCTGAGGGCGCGATCTGAGAGTCCCAGCTTCGCTCAGAGGGCCAATATGGCGGACCCATTCCGGAATTGGGAGCTGAACACAGAGAATAACAGCTTCAGGCCAGCCAATGGACGCGTGAGGAATGTGAAAAGAATCACGGACGGCACTTTCAGGAGCAAGGACTTGAGGGAGTCCCAGTCGTCGCCTGTCCCCTCGACGTCTCGCGGAGTGGTTAGAAGTGCTAATGTGTCCTCGGATGAGGAGAGGACTCCGCCCCAGTCGATTGGCATTGCCAAGGGAAGGGCCGCAGATGAGAACGCGTCTTCGTCGTCAGAGTCAATGAGGACGGCCGAGAGGGAGGCGATGGAGGGCAGCAGCGATGATTCTCTGGGAGCCACAGCTTCCTGCCAGCAAATCTCAACATGTGAACTCGATGTGAACTCCGACAATGCCGAGGAGGATCAAATTGACGATGATGACTTTCCGGAGAGTGACGAAGTGACTCCGACAGAATCGAAGTGAGATCGACAAGCTCTCTAAATTTGATGAGGTAACGAATTTTTAATCCACTTATCTACTCTCGCACACTTCATGTGTTTTAAAATTCTCATGTTCGTAATGGAGTGTGCAACAGACTTAAAGTTCTTAGCAGATCAGTCCCACTTCTGGCGCCAAATATTAATGCATTGCCCATGTGGGAGTAGATTTAGCATTGCATACTTTGACCCTTTTGAAGGAAGCATCGCATACCCTAGAAAATATCTTGTTTATCGTGTGATAGATAGAAGTTGTGGTAGTTGAAAAGCATGCATAACGAACATAAATATGTCATAATTAATCATAGTGTGTGAGGTAAAATAATCCAACGCATTTTATTGAACTCTTTCCGATGATGTTGGCGTGCTTACGCGACGTGTCGCGGGAAAAAATTAAAGAATTTGTGTATGAATCTTTGTACCATTTTTTTAGCAATTATAAAATGACAATTTTTGTGCATTTGCGACACGCCGCGCAAGATCACGTATCGCAAAGCCTTTACGACGGGTCTTTTGCCAACAGTGCTTCACTTTGAGTGACTGAGTAATTCATTATTAAGTTATCTACTGCAAAAATACTCTCTCAACCTCTACAGATGAGAGCAGAATGAGACTCGAAGGACTTGTACATAACAAGTCCATTTACACCAAGTTTTTACGATTTTTACGCAAATGAAGCAATCCGAATTCAGTTATTCAGAGTGAAACAACATCAAACCCTTTTCTTGGTGTCTTGCAATTTTTTATATCGCATGTAAGTGATCGATGAAAACAGCGAAAGATGGGATGTGAGGACGGAAAAGGAAGAAAATAAGATGCTAGGATTAATTAATTTATTTCCATGTGATATTGTATTGATAAAAGTTTCAAAGAATAAAGATGATAAAGAAACATCTATTCTATCATTGTCTCTAATACAGATATTCCCGATATATTTACCACGTGCGGAGCGCATTTAAATAAATTGCGTGGAAAGCTTTGATTTGTGAAAACCCGATTTTCAGCAAGATTTGTTTACTCTCTGCGTCTCGTTTGATTCAAATTTCCACCTGGACACTTCGATGAATTTTAGTTTGAATGCTGGAAGATAGTGGCGCGGATGTCGGCGGAACGCTGAGCGCGCTGTCAAAAGCATTGTGAGGTTATGTGAAGGGCTTCGCAGCTGCACCACGGAAGCTTCACCAGTTTTGTCCAGATCTCGGCCCACGATGAACTGCATAGTGTGCAAAGAGGTTGTAGACAGTCCTTTACTCTACGGAGATAAGTTTCGCTACAATGATATCTACTGTCATTACTATTGTTTGGTGAGAATATTGAATATTCCTCATAGTGACGCTTTCTTAACATCCGAATTATACCTTTCAGCTCTTCAGCACAACCATAAAGCAGACTGGGGCAGACAATGAAGGCATCCAAGGATTTATTTACCGAGACATTCTCCAGGGAGTCGACGAATGTAGAAAATATGTAAGAGCATCCAAAAACACCTGTCGGGATGTATTTAATAACATTTGTCATCTTTCAGCTTTGCTGCTACTGCAAACTTCCTTACGCGAGTGTCCAGTGTGGATATGATCCAAAAAAGAAGAGGAAATGTACCAAACTGTGCCACTTCACTTGTGGTGCAAGGAATAAGTGGCTGTTTCAGTTCGATGAGATGAAAGCCTTTTGTCCAGTTCACACCGGTTTGCCGGCAAAGATGCCTCCGGAATTCGTGCCGGGAAGAACGTGCCTCATCTGTTCTGAGAGCTTTAGCGGCTACTCAGCCTTAGAGTGTATTCCAGCTCACTGTCGCCCTGATATATGGATTCATCGCGACTGTCTGCAGACTTTCGCTCTTCATGCCGGATACGGCCTCAAGTGTCTCATCTGCAGGCACTCGGAGTTCCGCCGCATCGCCCAGAAACGTGGTGTTTTCGTTCCCAATCGAGACATTGACTGGATGCTGAACCAATGCGAGGGTGGATCGCAGGATCCCTCAGCGCCACCCCTGATCTGTGCTGCCAGATGCTGCATAGCTGACGGCGGACGAGAGTTTCCACCTGGTTCGCAGGTGGGAGGAACATGTTTCACGTGTGAGAACGTTTTTCATACCAACTGTGCCCGATTTAATGGGCGCAAAACAGCGAACGACAACTTCATGTGCTTCGGCTGTGATGAGAAAGATTCTGAGATTCTTGAGCCACCGGATACTGTGCCTAGAAAGAACACTCTTGTGCAGCTCAGCAAATCGAATGTGATTATGAAGAAGTTCCTCTACGAAGTTTACAGAGGGAAAGTGGATTATGTGGATCAGTCTCTAATGCCTCAATTCTATGGGCCTCGATGTGCAGCCAATGGCAAATTCCGTCTCAATTACTTCCTGAATTCCTACTAAATTCTTCCAAGACATCAGATCTCAACAGTTAAAATTTGAATCTTCCATGCTGATGAGGTTAGAGTGAATCCACAGAGTGTCAATCATGGACATTCCGGGAGTATTTGAAAAGATGCTGAAGAGCGAAAAACCAGCTCTTATTCACTGCAACGATCATCTGGATCTGAAATACACCACTTACAGACATCTAGTGCGTTACAGTTTAGCTATAAGTTGTGAATTGAATTGTTTAGTTACCAGAAAATGTGTGATACTTGTAATTTTGCCACAGCCAACGAGTTCCTATCTTCTCTATCCAGTCCTTCTTGGGTGAGTATTGATGTGATGATTAATTTATTCTGTAAGCCAACAAGAATCTCTCCATCAACAGGATTATCAATTCAAATTGCTCTTTCTTCTGTACGAATTGGAAGACTGCAGACAATCTTCAGTGTTTTCTTGAGAAGCACAAAATCAATTTCTTCATATCTCAACATCATCCAAAGAACCTTTTTGGTGGAGAAAAGTATGTCAACTGCAGGGAAGTTGGCATCTTCGAGAACGAGAGTGTCTTCATTTGTCAGCATAGGCAGAATCAGGAAGAAATCACCGCTCATGTTGATGATATTGCCTATTGGATGGAGACGTCCGGATCCACAGGAACGCCCAAGATCGTTCGAGTTCCGTGGAGTTGCATTTTACCCAACATTTCCGCGATAAAGTAATTAGGTTTTGTCACAATACTACTAATCTTGCCATTGTTGAGTTCTCATCTTTCTCCTTTTTCTTCTATTTTCAGTCAAAGACTGAATTTAACAGCAAATGATGTGATTTATAGCACTTCACCAGCAACATTTGATCCGTTCATCGTGGATTTGCTGCTAGGAATCCTCAATTCAGCCACAATCCTGGTGGCAACGGATCGTCTGAGGATTGCTCCGTCGAGGAAGTTTGCTGAGCAGCTTTTCGTGCAGACCAACAAAGTCAGAGTGACATTTTTACAGATGACTCCAACTATTCTCACGAATTTTGGCCAACAAGTTCTTAAGGAAGTAGTTTTCGCACCTGAATCTTCACTGAAAATTTGCCTTCTTGGAGGAGAGAGTTTTCCCAAGAAAAGTCTCATGAAATGTATAAATGATAGAGTGAAGATATTCAATATTTACGGTATAACTGAAATATCCTGCTGGAGTCACATGAAGGAAGTGAACTTAGTGGATGACGAAGAAGTCGACATTGGAGAGCCTCTCGATGAGTCAATACAAGTGGAAATCCGCGATAAACAACTCTGGATTGGAAGTAAAAGCAGAAAGTGCCTTTTAGATGGTGAAAATGAAATTTCCAATGAGAAAACTCTTTTCCGCAACACAGGAGACATTGTTGAAGTGAAGAACGAGAAGATTTTCATCCGATCGCGATCAAATAAGATCATCAAACGATTTGGAAAGCAAGTGAATTTGGCGCAAATTGAGCAAAGCGCAATGAAAATTGACATGGTCGAAAGAAGTCATGGATTGTTCTTACAAGATTGCAGAAGAATTATTCTGTTCTATCAAAGTGAGAAAGAGGAGGTGAATTTACTAGATAAACTGAAGGAAACACTGTCGAGTGCAGAAAATCCCGATGAAGCGGTGAGAATAGATGCATTTCCACAGTCTAATCATGGAAAAGTATCTGAAGAGAAGCTCTTGGATTTCTATAGGAAAATCCAGAGAGAAAAATGCAGCATTGATAGCATCGAGGATGAGTTTTTAAGACTAATCAAGCAACTTGTGCAGCCACAGATTTCTCTTTCTACTTCATTTCCCAATCTTGGAGGAGATTCAATGAAAGCTCTTCGCTTGGTTTGCGAACTGCAAAATAAGTATAACAGGGAGTTTGCTGATTTGCTCCAAATGCTTCTCAATCCTGACCTCAATTTGCAATGCATTCTAAATTATGTGAAGGATTCAAGCAAATCAATCCAACGAGAAGCAGAAGAAACTTTTAAGTCATCTAACATTCCAAACACAAAAACTTCACTAGAGTTAAAGTTCAGTTGGAGAGCGAATTTGGGGAAATGTGTAGATGCAACGCCTTCAATATTATCTACAAGCGTCACAGTTGGAAGTCATTCGCATAAATTGATGACTCTAAACTGCGAGACTGGAGAGATTCTCTTTGAAGAGGTCTTGAGTGATCGAATTGAGAGCCAAGTGGCGTTTTGCTCAGGTTTCGGCTTTGTTGGATGTTACAGAGGATATTTATATAAGTTTTCAATTGGTAGAAAGGAAATTGTGTGGAAATTTGACTCAGGAGCGATGATTAAGTGTCGACCTTTGGTACTGAGTGAAGTTGTGATATTTGGAAACTACAGTCACGAACAGAATGTCTGGTGCTTAAGCAAGGAAACAGGAAATGTGATGTGGTGTAGAAAAGTAGGAGATAAAGGCATTCTGGCGAATCCTCTGCACATTCGTATTGATAATATTTTGGTAGCAACTCTTGATGGCTCTGTGGAGATCTTGGACACTAAGACTGGAAATCAAGTATTCCAAACACATCTCAAAGCGCCAATCTTCTCATCTCCTGCTATTGTTGAATTTTCTGCAAAGGAAGTGAAAATCGTGATTGCAGAAGTCAATGGCACGATAAACACATTCACAGTGGCTGAAAATCACACATTACAGCCAGAAAATCCATTCAAAGTGTCCGGAAACATATTTTCCAGCTTCACAGTTTTCAATCAGAGTGCCAACTCGGCCCTGGTCGCCTTTGGATGCCACAACAGCTGCATTTACTGTCTAAGAGTGCGCCCAGAAGACTCATTGTTATCTCTTGAATGGAAAACGAGATTAGCGTCTCCGATATTCTCAACACCATGTCGCTTTGCTGAGGCCTTTCTCTGTTGCTGCACTACTTCCGGACAGTTGACGATACTGTGTGCTGAAGTTGGACAAGTGAAGAGTAGTCAGCAACTTCCGGGAGAGGCTTTTTCATCGCCCGTCGCTCGAGGGAGGCAGATATTCATCGGTTGCAGAGATAATCACCTGTATTGCTACACCGTGTGATGGTGAGTTTTTCACTTATTTTATCAAATGCCGTGCCTCCTGATTTTGCTTCTGTGGCAATGTCAGGGCGCATCGGTTTTAAATTGAGTTACATGCAAAGTGGAAGCAATTTACAATTTATCAGCTATTGTTTATGAACGTGAAGCAGTGAAACTGTGAAATATTTTATCACAAACTTTTCATACTATGTTGGCAAAATAGCTCAAGGTAATGTTATTGTGAGTGTAGAATTTATGTCAAAAACACAGAAAAGTTTATATGAATTTGCATGGTTATCTCACACTTTAGCAGTGCAGAAGAATTGATACAAATTCAACTTCACTTCAACACTTCCACTTTGCAAAGTTATGTTGTTAATCTCACATAAATGCTTCAGATTTGAAAGCTTTTTGGGGATGTTTGCAAGAGGAAAGCTCATTGATAAATTGACAAAAGAGGAGTGAAGCAGAAATTGCTCTATGCTAGACTAGAGAGTCTATTAAATCCATGTACATCGTGCGCTTATAAGTTGTACAGTTTGTACATAGAGAGAGAGAGAGAGATAAAAGAGAAGACATGTGTAAAGTCCTCTTAAATCCACCAAATCATCCCACAAAATCAATTATTTGCTTTCAAAAAGCTGGAATGAAAAGCCAGAAGTGACATGTGTTTTAGAAAATTAGAAAATTGTGTCTCAAAACCTCATTCACTGAATCTGTGAAAAGTCCTATTCAATCGAAATTCTTGGTACTGTTGCTGTTGATATCGAGTGATGATTGGAAGAACGGTATACATGACTGCATTTAGGTCAAAGCTCTGTCTCTAAAGTTGATTTGAAATTTTCGTTCAATGGGAGAATCACCACAATTTAATAACGCTTCCTCTCGCAGAAGACAAGCGAAGTGAGATGGAATGTGTAGCGATAGGGTATCAGGTGCGTTGGACTAAATTGGAAAGGAAAGTTTCCCATTATTCCAGTTAAAGCCCTTTGAATGCTTGATGGTGGAACGCTCTCTAATGAATAGATGAAAATAATTTTACGGCGTCGTCGCTGTGAATTCCAACAGTGGTGATCAAAAGTATTCAAAGCTCTCTTCTATCCCTGTAGAGAAGAATGTGAAGTGTAATTTAATCTGCTATGAAACAATTCCTTATTATGTATCACGTTTTGGTGGGATATATTTGCAATTTCATGCGTGTGCGCATCATTGCCACTGATGTGAGAGCTTTCACTGTCCCTACGAAGGAGGCACACCACATGAATCACAGCGTACATTGCTGTGCCCAGACCTGTAGCTTCAGTCGCTCCGCGGTTGTCGAAGCAACAGGTTGACAGTGAGAGCAACTCACGCAGTTTCACCTGAATCGCGGACAAGGTCGCACACACTCTTCGCTCTGCTGCCCAGGATTTTGCGATACAATTGCTGGGGGTGCAGCATTGTTTGTGGGGCATTGTTTCGGCCAGAGCGGAGTTTGCCTGCGACTCAGGGCTATTGTGAGCACGGTGGAGTGGCCACGAGGCTTCTGGCCGTCACTCACGAGGGAAGGTGTCTATTTTTAAAGAGGCCACCCTCTCGGCGGGAATGCTGTGCGTGTGATGGCTGTGTTTTAATCCCTGCTGGACACAAATTTTCTCTCACTTAATTTCACGTGAGGCGCGCGTACGCAGAGTTAAGGTGAAATTGTGCACAGGCAGCTGACGACTAATTATATTTTAATAATATGGTGCCCATGAAACTGTGTACAATGATGAACATCTGAAAATATCCAGCATCGTTACATCCCCAATTTCACCCTCGATTACAGTGGGTGTAATTTTAATTATATTGTGCCGCCGTCGAGTGGTCTAAATTGGGTGGAATGTCGTTCTTGTTGAGATATTCATTATGATTTTTCATTAATTTAATATATCTGCACTTGACTATATCATAATTTTCAACAACTCCGCAGGTGGTATTCAGAGTGTGGCGGCGCAAATGGGGGGATTACAGTGGAAGTCAATTAATTGTGCTCAGTAGCATTCCTCCGATTTCCGAATGCACTGGATCCTGTCCGGGGAATATTTCGAGGGTGGACACTGGGAGCCCGTAGGAAATTGAGTTCCACTGTGCCTGTTGGGCGGTGGGGATGGGTGGACAGGAAGTGTGTATCGCTCAAACATAAATACAGCATTATCCCAGAGGGTTGGCATGTAATCGATATTCTTCTCACTCCACTTGCACACACAGCTTTTCAGGCGGCAGATGCTGTAGCTTCTTTTTCCTAGAATTTATTATGCTGCTATGAGGAGGAAAGTGGCCCAATAGGCACTCAATTGAGTGAGCAATTATGCGAGAAGTTCCAACCTGACCGTTGACTGTGCGACTGTAGTGATTGGCTCTCGGAGCTTTTCGTGAAAATGAGTAGTTCAACGGATTACGACTATTTGCTCAAGTTCCTGCTGATTGGAGATTCTGCAGTTGGCAAAACTTGCCTCCTGTACCAGTACACAGATGGCGTATTTCATCAATCAGCGCGTTTTATATCGACGGTGGGAATTGATTTCCGGGAGAAGCGAATAGTGAGTCCAATTAAAAGTCAATAAGCAACTCCACCACATTTGGGTCACCAGCAATTTGTGACATTTTCAATAAGTGATAAATTCAACGCTCCAAATACCTTTGCGTGCTGCAATCTGAAGATTTGATGAAATTCAATATTTCATTGATTTATAATTACCTAATCAAGTTCAAATTATAAAACTGTTTTTAACACACAGAAACTTTAATCTGTATCCCAGAAAAGAATTGTAATGATTGAGGTGAAAATCAATAGGAACATTCTATTTAAAATATACATAAAAACGTATAAACAACTGTCGTATATGCATTTTGACCATTTTCTAATTATTTACAAGATCACCTTTGAACTACACTAAATATCATGTTGGTGACTAAAGTACACATGTAGTATTACTCTGCATTGCTAATACGATAATCGTTTATTTCGCAATCAAGGCAAATTGGGGCCATTAAACCAGTAACCGACAATAATATTGTATTTGCCAGATTTCACTTCCATTTCCATGACCACAGATGGTGTTAAAGCAAAACTATTTGCGAATAGAACTTGAGCAAATTTTAACGTGGAAATCCTTTTGTCAGCTCTACACGTCAGGCGCTCGAACGCACCGACTGTTTCTCCAGCTGTGGGACACGGCAGGGCAGGAGCGATTCAGGAGTCTCACCACTGCCTTCTATCGCGACGCCATGGGATTCCTTCTGATATTTGATCTCACGAGCGAGCGATCTTTCCTGGAGGTGCAGAACTGGATAGAGCAGCTCAAGGTGACTTTAACCCCTTTCTAAATCAATATGATCATGTCAAAATTCTGAAACTTATGACTTTCTGGGCAGTTTCACGCGTACTGCGAGACTCCAGACATCGTTCTGTGCGGCAACAAGTGCGATTTGGAGCACCTGCGCGTGGTGAGTGAATCGCGCGCCAAGAAATTTGCGGAGCGCCACGGACTTCCGTATCTGGAGACGAGCGCCAGCACTGGCCAGAACGTGGAGAAGGCTGTAGAGATGCTTGTGGAGCGCGTGATGGCGCGCATGGAGACTGCTATGGATTTGTCGGCTCTGCCAGGCAGACGAGGGCGTCCCAAGCGCTTCGATGATCTCGATGGACATGATATTAAGACGATCAGTGCGCAGGATAGCAAAACTTGCTCCTGCTGAATTGTATCTTCCAAGTTGTTAATTTGTGTGTTGAGTTTGATCGTTATTGCAGTCAAAGCAAGATAATCATAATTAGCGAATAAATTGAACGTTTTCCTTGGACGGATGGTTTTTTTTACGTGAAGAGTAGATTTCACGCGATTAGTTGCATGGGTTGCTTGAAACATGAAACTCTGCATATTTCATCATTTCATAGATCTTCAAAAGATTTTTATTGAGTCAGGGAAGAGGAAATAATTTTTCGTCAGTTTTTGGATACATAAAATACTTTTCAATGTTCTGAATGCTCTAGGAAAGCGAGTAGCCCCTCGTGCGAGGCGGATTCGCATGAATTGTTTCAGCGTCGCTCCGAGTCGTGTGTCGTGAAATTTATGAATAAAGCACGACAAACGCGGTGTCTTATAACACAGGGATAGAATTCTATGAACGATTGGTGCAATCAATTCCAGCTTTGATTGCATTACGAGCATTTGCGATAATAGGGAGAATCAGTGTTTTGCTACTTCGAGAGTATTTAACACGTCGCGCGGCGTAATAATTTTTCACGGTGAGGAAAAGAGTGAGAAAAGACGAAAAAGGTGTTGAGAATGTGTGATTAGCGCGTACACCGCACAACTCTCATTTACTCTTATCTCTGATAAAGTGTGCGTTGTTACTTCTGATAAGGAAGTGTGTTGTGTTAGATTCTGGGTTCGGATATTGATAACACCTCGCGAGTGATTCAGTTGGGAATTTGGCGATGATTTGATCGAGTGTGTCTTTCGAAGTTCCTCGAAGATGGAGCCGACAACCGTGATGGAATACAAGAAGACTTCCTGCTATTTCTGCAGTGAATGGCTGGAAAACGGAAGCTTCAAGGTGAGCTTTTCAGATGTGCTCTTGATGCAACGCCTCTATTTACTCGATCACACGTCATTATTATCTATTGACTGTTCAACACAGCCAAAGCTCATCTTTATTGCTTTCCACAGTCTCAGAAGTGTGTGATAAAATCTGTTATCAATTCTCAATCGAATATCTGTGAAAGACAAACATTGCGTGCCTTACACGTTTTGTCAACATATTATCAATTGCACAAATATGAATGTGATGTAGTTTGGTGTTGAGCAAACACTGCAAATATTCTGTGGCAAGGTTTCGCCAACAAATATTAAAGTAATGCGTGTATCGCTTTTATCGCATTACATTAAATGAAGAGTATTTCAATTCTCAGTCAACTCCAAGCCGTCAATAAAATGCTCCATGAAATAATTGTGTTTAATGAATCATGAAGATTATTAATTGATTTTAATGATCTTGACTGTCACGATTCTCTTGTGCTTTTGTCTGTGTAGGATGAATTATGATGGTTAATTTGCAGTAACGCAAAAGTATGCCGTCTTGATGCTCATCAAAGAAATTTCCATGATAAAAGGAGAAACAGTGCCTTTGACTTTTGCAAGTGGGTTTTTGATATTTGGAGAATGTGTGGGAAATCCTTTAAAGAGCGCTACCAAAAATACATTCAGTTTTGTCGACAAATACCACGCTAAATCTCCTACTCGTGTTATTTGTATATCTTTGACTTTCCGCTCTCGAGTGCCCACGAATTTTGTGTCTGGTCCTCCAACGCTCTACACTTGCGTAACAATTCGTTTCGTGTGGGTCGTTAGCAGGAAATATCTTAACCGGAAGCGAGGTGTTCGCCACAAACGAGCACAATAATCAGTGAAATTTAAATTTATAATTCTCATCGTGTCTTTTATCTTCAGGAGCATGTTCGTTCGTGCGGACAAGTTCTGGAGAAATGCCCGAACCACTGCCATGCCTACGTTCAGAGGAAGAACCTCGAAGCCCACTTGAAAGAGTGCCCAAAGACCACGAAAGCGACGAATGGGAGCAGTTTTGTGACGTCCCAGAGCCTCAATGATGTGGAGAATCGCTTGTTGGTGCTCGAACAAGACATCCAGACCTTCCGGTCGGCTCTCAACGAGGAGATTAGGCAACGCCTGCACCTTATAACAGACATTGGCGCTCTGAAGCGCAGGAACGAGGTCACGGATGAGTGGGTGGCCAAAGTGAGTGACATTCTGGCGGCACTGAAGAAGTGCATGAATGAGGAGACGCAGAGTCGCTGCATCGACGTGGAAAAGTGCAGGGATGACATCGGCCGGCTGATCTACCAGTACCAGGAGATGGACGAGTGGCGAATGGAGGTTGGCTTGCGCCTCGATGAGGTGGTGAGCAATGTGATTCAGGAGGATAACTGGCGAGGTCACATTGAGCTTTTGGAGGCGCAAAATGTCGAGCAATCGCGCAAGATTGCTCAAGTGGCGGAGGAGCTGAAAGCGCTCAAGATGGAAGTCTCTGAAGATCGCACAGAAGTGCACCAGGCAAACTTCATGACTGATGAGAAATTTGGCGCCATAGATTTGATTCTCGAGGATCAGCACAAAGCGCTGACTGCGGCCAAAGGCGAATTGAGTAATACATTGAGCGCTCTGCAGGCGGAAGTGGACTCCAGAACTAAAACCATGACGGAACTGGCGGCCAAGCAGGCAACTCTGGACTTTGAACTGAAGAACATGAAGCACATCGTCCACGAGACAGAGGACAAGTGCGATAAGTTTGACAAGGTGTCGACAGAGACGAAAGCTGTGGCCAATCGAACGCGCCAGGAGATGAATGACTTGGAAGTTCATTTGACGTACCAGAAGAAGCTCTTCGCCATTCACAACACTCGAGGGCACCTTATATGGAAATTGGATGACTATGCAGCCAAGCTCACTCAAGCCAAAGAGACACAATCCGTTCCTCTGCGAAGTCCAATCTTCTGCAACAAGCAATATGGATACACAATGAGGGTGAGTCACAAGTTAATTATTATAGCTTCTCAAGTCAACTCACTGCAGATTTCCAGCTTCCTCGCAATCTCTGACTAAAAGAGTAAATATTGTGAAAATTGAGATATGTTTCGCACAGTGTGATTGTATATCGCTGCATTAATCACCCATTACCGTAGTGGATTTTTCCAGTCCAGTTGTAATATCTCGTGAACATTCAGACGAACACTTACGACATTTAAGTATCATATCATAATGAATGATGCAGCTGGTGATATGCGCCTTGTTTATTTACAAACCGAAAGCTCTCGGCTGCGTGGCCACTGTTGTGCTTACCTCTTGTTTACTCCCCAGTTGGAGGTGTTCCTCAATGGCATCGGGACGTGGAAGGGACGCAACATAATCGCGTGCGTCAGCATCGTGCCCGGAGAGTATGACACGCTTCTGCCCTGGCCAGTGCGAATCGAGGCAGAAATCACATTGCGTGACCAGCCCGAAAACCCCAGCGAGGCGCAGAACATCAGGAAAATCCTCGTGGCGAAGAGGAAGAACGACAAGTACGAGACAAATCAATACATTCACATTCCCCACAAAGTCCTCACGACGTGCCACTATGTGAAGAATGATGCCATCTTCTTTGACGTCCGCATCCTCAAGTGCACGGTGAGCACGGTGAGCGAGAAGGAGTAGGGAAATTGCAAAGTATACACATAAACTCAACATCATGTTGATTTAATGTTATCATTTACTCTTGTTGCTCTTGTAACGTTCTTGTGTACGTGATTAATTAGAGAAATATAATCTTTTACATTGAAAGACCAAAGTTTTCATATGGAAGCCTATTTACATAAGTTAACAAGTGTTTAAATATGTATCAGTTCTCATAAGATCTCTCATTATCCGCCAAAATTTCCCCCTCGTAAAATCATCCAGCAAAAGACTTGTCTATTTGATAAAAAGTCAAACATTATTTAAGAATGTTAAGTGATGCAAAAGCCATGTTTTTTTTTTTTAACTCGAAGAAGTGATTTAGCAAATACTATAGAGTTTCATAGAAGAATTTGTGCGTCATGTGTAGATAAAACACACAATTAAGGTATAATTGATCATTCAAAGGTAGATAAAATATTAACGTTTGCATTTAATATTTCAATACTGATCACTTGGAGTTGTCTAATTACTCAAATATCCATTGGTCATGGTTTTGATTATATGTATAATATTACATATATAGGTAATCTTGTTGTGTCTTACTTTCTCACTACGAATTTGTTGTTTCTGCTACTATTTAGACAAAAATATAGTTATCTCTCTTAATTACATTAACTTGAAGGGTAGTGGATTGTCTTAAGCGCCAAGTAACCTCTTCACGGTGTAGCCTGGGACAGAGTAGAAGAAGAGGAGCAGCATAACGGCCACGGCAATGATAATGAGACCTTTGATGATGGTCCATTTGTAGTTGTGCCACACGATGTAGCGGATGGACTTGATGGGGTTGAGGAACCACATGAAGGACGCGTCCGGACGACTGAAATAGAGAAAGCAAAAGGAACAATGTTTTTCACTCCGCACTGCGCGTCTCGTACTCACTTTGGCTTGTCGAGGGGATCCGGTTCATTTCGACCATATCCAGCAGGGTTCTTCTCTGCTTCCTCCTTCGTGAGCAAGTGAATTTCCGCCTCCACCTTCCCCGTCAGCTCCATCTCGTCGTTCTCGCGCTTAATAAAGAACGGCCACCAGCCGCGGACGCGCTTTTGCTTGAAGATATTCACGTACGGCACATTGTCCGTCTTTAGCATGTCCAGCGTGCAGAGCTTCGAGGACTTTGCGCCACGTGGGAATCTGTTGAGGTTGAGCGAAATGGCTCCCAGGAAGTCATCTGCGGAGAAGTGATCGGCATCCCACACTTGGAGCTCCAGGCGAGCGGGAATTTTCACTTCAGTCTCGTCCCAACTAAAGAGGGATTCTCGTCGCGACAGGACAATCCTCTCCTCAGCTGCCAAGTAGTCGAACGGGAAGATGAAGCGCCAGTTGAAGTTGCCTTCGCCAGTCAATGAGCGATAGTGAATATCCGTGGATTGAATATCTTGTGGGCCTTTCAGCCATCTGCAAAAGCAGCTTTTTTAGTCGTACTCATCAGAATTAGTTTTCAGTGTTAAGAAAAATATGCTTTAGTTGCATATAAAAGGACTTTAAGAGACAAATAGATTTTAGAAATCAGTGGTAGTATTTATCTGTGAGAGCTTTTATGACTCTTACCCTTTAACGTAGATATCAGACATCTTTTCTCCCGTGAAAAATGCATCATCCTCCAGAACTACGTCGTCCGTGTTCCAGATGACAATCCTCAACTCGTATGACTTGGGTTTCCGCGGTGAAATGTCCACTGAAGGTCCAGGCAAAGGCATGTCCATGGGAAACATATCCACCCACATTTCCAGCTTTCCTTGCTCAATTCCTGGCTTGTCTGGATTATACAGTGACCGGGATTCAATATGCTCTGGTACAATCTTTGAGATAGGAAGAGATCCAGTCGTTAGAACCCTCAAAATGTCATATTCACGCTCTGGACAAGTTAATGAAAGGGAAACATTTCTCAAAAGAGCCATTAAAATTCATTGATTTTGCCATGGAAAAACTTTCAGGTTCATTCAACTGGAAAATAGACTCATTAATTTGTGGGAAAGCAGGTAAGTTTACCTTGCATCCCACGCGAGGAATTTCATCCCAGCGATGCAAAACGCCCAAGGCAAGATGCTCATCTCGATTGCGGCACGTATTTGGACCATTCCAGGCCAGAACCTCCTCCTCAGTGAATGTCATGCAGTATCTTCCAATTATAACACGATCCTGAAAATAGTGCGGTTGCTCGAGCTTGTTTTCCTTGCACAACTTCTGCAGGATTTGTGTTGGCTTCATTGGATCACGCCAGCAATTGTAGCCCGAACTGCAAAGAGTGTTGAGTCAGTGAGAAAGTATGAAACATAATTTGCAATGTCCTCACTCTTCGTATTTAAAAGCCATGCCACACATTGCTCGGTGTTTGCTGTAGAAGCGATTTTCCAGATCAATCTTCGTCTCCCCGATCAAATCGTCCGATCCCACAAGATCCCAGTCTAAAATCTGAAGCGTCAGCATTGAGTCCTGGGGAAAAGTAGCCTCCACCTCGAAGCACTTGCCAAAGACGGGATTGAGCTGCTTGCTGACATAGTTGTCCTTATCGCTTATTCTCTTCCCTCCCAGTTGAAGCACAACGTAGGGATCGGCTTTTCCATTGAGATCCATTGGATGCAAATCCGTTGCTTTGATCACATACACACGAACAAGCACGTGAATGGGATCGTTTGTGGGCAGAGTGGGTGCAAAAGCGGGTTCAATTCCCTTCTCCATGGGCAACTTGTACACCTTGATGGCACCCTTGAAGAAGCCCACGACTCTGTTCTCATCCTCGGCACTGTCGCCTGTCTTCTTACCTCGATAGAGGGGAAAGGAGTGAAGCCACTCCTTGAAGTTGTTAAACTCCAGCTGTGCTTCCAGTTCGTTGGGATAGATGTGGAATAGGGCGGTAGAATTGTTGGCACTTGCCTCCTTTGGCGACTTATTTTGATGCTTTGGACTCAGTTTGGCCACGAGTTTAGATCCCTTGATGGCTAAGCGTCTCTTCTCGTCATCTTTCTGCGGTTGCACTTCAACAGGAAGCTTAAGTCCAGGCCCGTCTTTTGTGTCCTCAATCAACTTCTCATACGACCAGAAGTACTTTGTCCACCAGTCTTTGCTGTTCTCATCGTCATCGTCCATGTCTATGCTTTCCTCCGGCTGCACTTGCTTCTTCTTCATCTGCTGCTTCTTCATCCTGAAGAAGAAAAAAGTTCTGCAATCACAATCTGTGTTTGAAAAAGAATTCGCACTTACGCTTTGGCTACACAAGCTGCTCCGTAAATGGTGAGATTGTCGTTGGGTGATCCTTTGATCATGCCTGAGGGATTGGTGGGATTTTCAGCAGCTGCCACTGGTTTTGAGAGGACAATTTGGCCACCGAGAGAGTATTTCTTATAGTCTTCTTTGGGTGCTGGACGATGCATGTACTTGTGAACTGATGATATTTGATGAGTGCCAACAAGAGTGTAGCGTCCAAAAGATCTGCAAAATCAATTGAGTTAGAGTGAAATCTGTGCTTGAAGAATGCTCAACTTACCGGCAGTCGACGCATCGAATGGTTATGGGAGGAGCATAGGTTTCCTCAACGGGTAGTTCCAAGTCGAAGAATTTGAGCATGTTGGCAAAATTGGGATTTTTCTTCGCATTCTGTATAATGCTGGAACTGAGTATTTTACCAGAGCACTCGACGTCAATTCGTGGCTTGTCGACTGACATGAAGTGAATCCTCTTGAGATCTCGCAGCCCCCAGAAGAGCACTTCAATCCGGAAGCGTGCAAGGTTTGGTCTAACATCTCGTGGTACAGGCAAGATCGCGCAAATGTTCGCTGATGATTTGTCTATTTTGACATCATTCCCCAATATCTTTGGCTCTGTGAGGCGAGGAACGTCCACAGATCCGTGTTCTAGGAGTTCAAAAGCGGCCAACAATTCACCAGCATTGTCAAGTCCTCGTGTGATTTCGAACCACTCCAGCGATGGTGTGACGTAATTGTGCTCGCGCAGCTTTATTCTGGGCTTTGCAATGGCACGGCCAATGAATTCCGACTTGCCCACCTTGTCCTGATCGTAGATCTCAATGACGATTGTTGGTGGATCCCGTCGGATTTCATCTTTGGCGCCATATACAAGTATCTCATCGAAGACGAGCAACTCATCCCACGTGGGGCTGAGCGTCTCCTCAATCACTTGGGTGGTCTTGGAGAATTCTGTAATAAAAACTGTTGCATACGGATCACTCAACCCGGACGCATCAGATCCTATCAGAGATCTCGCTTGATAGATATGAGCTCTTAGCTGGAACACGTATTTCTCAACATAGTGAATCGTCGTTGGCGCCAAAGCTCGAGGACGCTCGGCATTTCTCAGCTCTTGAGACAGTTCGTATCCTCCTGGCAGGCCATCGAAGAAGAACTGCTTGTCCTTCACAATGCCCAGCCACACGTACACCGAGAGCTTCGCCTGAACTGACCACCCGGCGGGACCGCTGGATTGCTTTCCGGGCAGCTTCAGAAACACTGTTTGCACTTTCCCACAGCAAACCCCACTCTCTTCGTCTATCTCGGAGAACAGTGCGTCTCTGGCGTCTATGCGATGGTAGGCAATCCTCTTCCCATTTGCAATCATCCAGATGAAGATATCCGGCAATGAGTGCTGCGGCTGTAAGGACATCCCATCCAAAGACATATCAATTAGCAGCAGAGAAAGAGACGCCGCCAAAGCACTTACATCATCAATGAGGAACTTGAGTTTCTGCAAGTAATTCTGTGCCGTTTTGTATCTCTCCCTCATTGAGCTTTTCGTCACCAAAGCACGCAAATTCCGTGCCATATTTCCCAGTGACTCAATTTCACGCAGGCACAGCTTCACCCTCTCCTTATCCAGCTTTGTCTTTCCCGTCCCCGGGCCAGTCATCGTATTCTTCGTCACCGTAACGTACTTTGTGCAACTCATGGCTAATTCCTCAAGGCACGCCCTCAGTTTCACCTGTGGAGCCTGTTTGGTTAATTCATTGACAAAAGGACAACACACTCAGGACAAAATCCCATTGTAATCAAGCTCCATATCTTTCGGGGCACTTAATCATAATCATCCTTGGCATAATTTGGCGAATGTTTGAAATTTAATCTGTGATGAAGCTTGATTCCGTCTGGGTTGGAAGGGGTACACCTTGGGGTACACAGATAGTCGCCTACCTCTGAGATGGGGTCCTCATCCTCAATCATCGTGCCTGTCTCTGCGAGTGCCTCTTCGAGCTTCTCCGTCATCTTGCCTATCATGTTGCTGTTGTACATTCTCCGTCGCAGATCAGGGAACACGCATCGCACATCCATGCAGGGCTTGTAGTCCCAGTAGGGCAGGAAATAGTGGCTCTTGTCGTGGGTGGTGGGCTTGCAGGTGTTGGTGATGCTGCTGAAAGATGCTGCATCCACAACTTCTATCTCCTCGTCATCGTATATGGTGGATGAGCTCTCATTGTGGCCATCGAGGGAATTGCCCGAATTGCCGATACTCAATTCAAAGAGAACTTGCTTGTCTGATTGCTTCTTGTCCAACATCGATGCCTCCATAATTGTGGAGAACAAGAAAAACTCCTCACACTTGGCGTACGACACTTCAGAGATAGGGAAGGTTTGCTCAAGTTCAACTGGAGGATAAATTAAAGTGAGAATGTTATTATCTTGAAATTCAGTTTTGGCAGAGGGGAAGTAAATATGCTTTCATCATTCATTTGCAAATGTTCTTCCTCCCCAGCCATTAAAGGATTTTCAATATAATAATCTGGGTGAGGTATTAACCATTTTTCTCGGGCGTAATCTCCACATTATCTGTTATCTCGGTGCGTATTGCGATTAAGAGGCGAGCCCTGTAGCTGACACCCTCCCCGAGACCAGTATTGAGTGTGGAGTGCTGATCCAGGAGCGTATAATCTCGGGTGGAGCCATAGAGATGAATGAAGGATGGCCCGAAGGTGGGCAGAAATCCCTTTTCGCCATCGTTAGAGATTTGCTTCAAGTCAATGTAGTGTGTACCAATTATTGAGGGTTTCACGGGATCGGCGTCCCTCAGTTGAACCTACATGATTTTATTCGACAGAAAAAATGGAGAAGAAAAAGTGAGCTGCAAAGGTGAATCTCGAGATTTGTCACTCCAACTGTCCCTTTCCTCTTACCTTAATTCGCTGGCAGAGAGGTGGAAACATTTCGGTGAAAACAAGCTGCTCATTCCAAACAGGTGTGTAGGAGTTTTTCTTTACAGATGTTTTTCCCTATATTGGGCAACAGTATTAATGTTTAATAAGGGAGAGCAAGATTCAAGGTGGAATTCCACTCACGCTCAATCCGGCAAATGACACCTGAACATATGGATTAACCAAATCCTTGCTCTCACCGGTGAATGCACGCTTCACGTTCGCCATTATCGATGAGTTCATCCGTGGCAAACCATCGGCCCGGTAAATTTTCACTATGAACTTTGCACGTTGCCTTTCAATTGGCACACCATCCGGAAGGAGGAGATTTCTGTTGGGTGGAACAAACATAAATCTCATCGGACACTCCGTTATAAATTCAACAAGTCTACACTCAGAAAAAATTACAAACGCCGTGATTAAATTGGATTGGCCGGTTATATCACAGGAAATCTCATTTTTGAAGTCATTTTAAATCGAATAAATTAGAAAAGTTTCTTCAGTTGATAAAAATAATATGATGATTTATTCATAGCAATTACACGAATGACTTGATAATTAGTTGGTTAATGCATAATCAATCATTCAGTTTCATTCGGTTGAGAAAGTTGTAAATTGAAACTCAACCAAAGAATTTTTTATGTCCTTTAAGAGGCGAGGTCAAAATTGTTTCAATTATTCTAAAATAATACGTTGCTTAATTATTGAGAAGAATATTTGAAAATTCCTGGAAAAGTCAAAATGAAAACTCATGTGGATAAATTCTATTACAAATTTGTCTGAGTATATAAAATTACAGGAAAACTTTTGCTATCCCCTGATAACAAAGCCATTGTTTTCGCGGTATATAAATTTCCATTGGTGTTTTGAAAGGATGTTTCCAGTGGCGGGAAAACATTGAAAACTCAAATTTCAACTCAATTCCACGTGGCCTCGTCTTGCATTAACATTTGGGTTATTTTACCCTTTGTTATTTGGTAATAAACACCACAATTTGGTTTCGCATCAAACCGCTAGAAAATTGGGCAAAATGATAGCATGTCCTATGAAAAAATTCACCAGGACGCAATTAAATGAATGAATGAAAGATAACTCTAATAAGATGTTGCGAGCAAACACTCCGTTTGTTCCTTGGTTTGTTCTCTCCAAATTGCAAATATTTGATAGAGAAAAAGGAGCACACTTATGATAAGGAACACACAGTTATTTATTTTGTCCCTGTATACACAGGATGGAAAGGCAAATGAGAAGCAATTTCGATTATTTCAAGAAACATCTGAACCGTGAATGTGAAATGAATTTTATATGAGGCCCCAGAATTGCGATGGAGCGAGCGAATGGGTGAAAAAAGGCTCTGGGTTGAAGGGAGTGACAGAAATATTGCCCGGCTTTATGAAGAAAAACTGTTGATTTTATCCACGAGAAAATTTTCACTCAAAACAGAAAGTGAGTTCATTAAGTCGACTCGTGTTTTTAATTGATTTATACGGTGAAAGTATTCCAGGATAAGCGCAGAAATCTCTCTGTACTCACGCTTCGATGTCGTCTGGATCCTTTTCTGACTTCTGAGGAACCTTCACAGTGTCTCCTTTCCCAATAATTCCAATATCACATTTGAGATAGCCTTTGGGTCCACTTATAAAATCCTCCGGATCTGTGAGTAATGCCCACTTGTGGTAGAATTGATGGTCTGCAAGCATGTGGAAAAAGTTATTAGAGACCGTCTCCCATTGTCTTCCAAAGAAAACGAACGAGACAAATATTCTTTAAGGCAATGGAAAATCAGCGAAGCGATGCAAAAGGGCGCAATTGCATAAGACTTGACAAAGTGTGTAAAGTGAAAGGTCAAATATAATCTATCTACTGGCAAGTGTTTGTGTTGAGTCAATATAGAAAGAGTGTCTCTTCTTGTTACATGTTGACTTTCTTGAGGGCGAGTCTCAATTTGTAGAAGTATAGAGAAATAATTGAGATGAAGTATTGTTTCTGCAAAGTGTGCATGCATTTATATCGCGTCCACCAATCTCACTATCTTACATGTCATCTTAGCAGGTAATTGATTGATGTGTGACAACAGGTATTAATATCCTTTACCTTTTTGATTCCATACAGTAGCAATGTCCAATTTAAATGAACCGATCAATTTATTTGGACGAAGGACACTTCGGCTTTGTAACACCTGCCAGCCGGATTATTAATTGTGCAATATTTACCATGATTTTCATTTAATCGTCAAGCAAATTATAGTGGTTGTTGCGATACGCGGCAAAGCATTGTTAATGCGCAACCAGCATATTTAGTTATTCATTTTATTTTATTGGATTTTTGTGTGTGGAAGGAGCGCAATGCACATTTTGTTTTGAATGAAAAGAGAGAGAAAAAGAAAAATACACATTGAAATATTTGTAAAAAGAATTAAGTTTTTTGTTCTGTGGGAATATTGATTATGCTCTCCGAGATGACAAAGGAGGGAATCTCTGGCATTTTCTGCCCCTCCTCAATTGATTCACGTACGATATTATATACTTGTACGATATAGGCAAAAAACTCAATTGGATTCCAAATGAATTCAATATAAAGCTTTTACTTTTCCGGAAGCGGAGAGGGGAATTGATGAGAGATTCCTCCGCGATGCCACTCACCAGACAACAGCAAGAAATACCAAAAAATGTGTATACGGAGAAGAACATTAACACACACTGGGAATAAGAACAGGAGCAGCAAATTGAGAATTGAAAGGGAAGTTCTGATATAGCAAATTCAACAAAAAACACACCCGTGGCGTCGTAAACCGTTTTCAAATCGATCTTAAATGAACCAATGACTGTGCCTGATCGCATAAACTTTCTCGAGTGTATCACCTAAATATAGGGGTTAGAGAAATGTATTCATTGTACCCTTAGTTTTCACATGGAAAAAGCTGTGTTTATCAAACTTAATGGTTAATTCAGTGGCAGACAAATCCATCTGAGTACAGCTAATTCATTAAATATTCATAGGATGTTAATTAAATTGCCATTAGTTTGAAGACTTGTCTCATCACACTCGCATTTGCCTGGACTAAAATCAATATACTCTCCAATATTTAATATCGATGACCAAATTGAAAGCCGCTTCAAAATGATGTGATAAGACAAACCTTCAACATTCCATAGCGCAAATTGCTTTTAAAGCTATTGCAAAACAACTTACAGATAAGGTAATAATTTTATCGAACAGCATAATTGGTGCCATGTGGAAGTCGAACACGAAGTACTGGAAGAAGGAAAATATTTTTCAGTACATAATAATTATTTTTCGCGATTATGTACCACAAATTCCCACAAGCTTTCCCATTTCCAAGCCATTTAACCATCGCCAACAATATTTGCTGGGATCGCTTGAGCAGAAACTGCAAAGCTCGTTTCTGTGATTACCCGAGATTTATTTTCCCTATTAAGTTCATGAAGAGAAATTTCCAACCGCAACCGCAAAGTAATAGGATTAAATTTTATTAATTTTCTCCCTTTGTGCGGTGCACTGTTGAACTTATGATACAGTGGATGTTATAAGATTGATGGCTGGAATTTACCTCATTGTAATATGGACAATTTGTGCTCTCCTTCACACTGGTGTACTTCTTCACGTCGCCGATTTGGATGCACACCACGGGATCCATGTTGAGACCCGGAAGTTGCCTGGCCTCGATGATTGTGACACAGACTTGGAAGTCCTGCGCCTTCAGGTGATCATTGGCCTTGCCGAGTGACTTAAAGCGCTTGCTCTTCATCTCACTCTGCAGCTCATCTTCATCCTCGTCGACACTCGACTCGTCAGACTGAATGCTCTCCTGTTGGGATTCACTATCCTGCGTCTCGTGCTGTGGGTGGCTGCTCTGTTCGTTAGCGGACGTGATCCCACCCTCATTATCACTGATGAGAGACCTGAAAGTGCGCCACGAGTGCGGGGTTTAATTATAAACTTTCCATGCGGTTATATTCCAAAGGTAAATAACCAGACCTTCCCTCATCCTCGGTGCTGCTGTCTCTCGAGGCGCGCCTCTGTTTTCCCAATTTCATGAAATTCCTCACCGTCTTGAGACTGACACGGGACTTTTCTGACGCCTGAGGCTGCTTGGGGCTCTTCTCCTGCACAACAAACCGACAAACTCTTTAATGCCACACTCATACCGGCTGCAGAGATCTTCAATCATCTTACACTGCTGGAGAACACCTTCTCTGGCCTCCCTTGGGACATGACCCGCCTCAGCAAATGTCGCTTCTTTGAACTGTGACCCGCATCGTGACCTTTGCTGAGGCTCTTCTCCAAATTCGCGATATTCTGCTCAATATCGAGAAGCATTTGCTGGTCATCGTCGAGACTCGTGGAATTCTGCTGCATCACACTCGCGAGATTCGCAGGTTCAAAGTTACCAGCCTCGTCGTCTGGTGACGTGTACGACACCTCAAAGTTCACAATAGCCTGAGCAAAGAGAGTGTGTTACAAGCGACACTATCACGCTACTCACAAACTTCATCTCACTTGTATTGCCTTGTTGTTTAAATCAACAAGATGGTCTTCCACGCGCAACTTCCCTTCTGTAATGACGCCTAAAAAAGGAGAAATGAATTGTGATTTGAACTGTTTTCCTCTCCATTGCAATTCTCGGAGGCAATTCATATTCATGGAATATTTATGAAAAAATATCGCCGCATGATTGAACATGGAATGGAAAACACCCTGCAGCCAGAAAAATGCACAAACCGTCCATGAATGAACGTATGCGTGAAAGCAACTAGCGCTTTTCCACAATTCCCAGAAGGATACCTTGGCCCACTTTCCACTCGACCCACACACGTCACAACATTTTCCCTTCTGTTGGGAAATTGCTGGTACTTTATGCTGATGTTACAAGTTTGACTGGAAATTCATTTTAACCGCTCGTATTATGGAAATTTCGGCTGATGGATTTTGCCACTCAATGCTGAATATTGTTAAATACATTGACAAACTTACAGGAAAGTTTGTTATGCCAAAGTTTTTTTATTAAATTTATCCATAGAGATTATGTTTTGTTGTGCTTTTTCCTTCCTTACCGATAAAAGCATTATTGTAAGGAAGTTTCAGGAAAGTGATATTAAAACGTGTGCTTCTCTCAAAGTCTAATAAGATCAAAACCAACGGCAACCAACTCAAGCAATATTATGTATGAAGAAATACTTTGAGAGTGTTTGTAAGAAGGAATAAATAACCATAAGGAATTTTGACAGATAAATTCTTTATTTGATTGTAAAACTTTCTATGTTTCTATTTGTAGAACATGAAATTATGCTTTAAATCAGCAATTCTTTTCAAATATATAACATGGTAATATGTTCGAAAATTTCAGTGTATTTTCAAGTGCACATAATGGGGCAAAACTTTTATACAACTTCAAATCTCATATTTCAAATGGATTTCCCTAAAACTTTCAGTATAGCACAGCATTAATAATTTCATGTCGTAATGTGAAAAGTTATAGTACTAATTCAGCACCTAATTAAATTTACACTCGAAAGCTCTTCAAATTTCTTAGTATTTTCCAGGTGAAAGTATTTGAAATTAAATATGTAATGAGCTGCGCTTCAACTCCAAACCACTCCAAGCTTTTGGGATCCATTTAATTAAGATAAAGGACCATTTGGTCCTTTATGGCATCCTGTGACAGTCAATAAAAATTAGAGATAGCATTTATGAGCCTCATTTACCTTGCATGAGTATCACATATCGACCGATGACCTTTGAGCTGCTCCCGATGGCGCCGCGTGTGCCTGAGGAGCCCAACGATGAGGATGCCGACAGGCCAGTCTTGAGGAGGATTTTCGTTGTTTGCTGCCGAAGTTCCACCACAATTGTCTCCTCTGGCGATGCTGAGCGAGCCAATGGCCACACAAAAGCCTGTCGCGTGAACAGAAATCACAATCAATCACACAAAGACTCTCAGTAATTGAAGAAGACTTCCCATATTGCGCCAGCATAGAAAAAGTCAAAGCTCAGCTTTAACATTCAGACACTTTAAGATGTATTCCGTACGCGCAACAAGTTCGCAACTTTTGACTTCTTTTATATTAAATGATCGACTATGCCAACAGAATTTTAATGAACTCAGCACCAAAGTTTTTTCCAGTGTTACAAATAAAATCAATACAATTTCTAAAACTCTCCATCAATTTGGCAATAAAGATGCATTGAAAAAGCAATTTTATCTACAGTCATTTACTTAATGGATTTGCGATGTGCGCATAATTGCACTGCTTGTCCGCAAACCACAAAACTTCATGGATGAGTATCCAATCACTAATTGAATTGAAACCATTTCCGCACGAAATAAAATAAATAATTCAGGAGATTAAGTGAAATTAGAGTGACTGTATTTCACTAGAACCAATATTACTTTCATACTGTAATTAGTTTCAGAATGTGCGGTGCTTTTCTTTCGATTTTTCAACGCCACGTGCAGCTTTCACTCATTACTCTTCATTGTATCTTTCATTTACCTGATTCACATTGATGATTTCGGTGGTGTTGCTGAGTTCATTGGTTGTGTGGCCAACGCCTGTAAGGATCAGACACCAAATTATGAATTAGGATATGGCGATCGATCTGCAAACATATGAATGTGCGTACATATGTAGATACATTCCTCTTTATGTAATAACATCGAGCGAACGTTTATGTAATACAAATTTGCCTGTGAGGTATTTGAGAGAGTATTAGAAAGTTTGTCAGTTTCTATGACGAAGTCAAATCCTTAAGGGATTTCAAGAGAAATTATTTAGACGTAATTTAGGTGACAAACAGCTCTCGAGTATATCAAAAGACTCCTGGCTTACAACATGTATTCTCTGAATCCTTAAGAATTCTCTGTATACATACAAACAATCTCGACGTCGAGGTCAGGAGAAAATAAGGAATTTTCCACGAATCCACAGTAATGTTTCATTTTGGGAAAAGATTTATTGCATGCTAACATTTTCCCATCTTGTTTGTGATATGTTGAATCTTCCCAGCAGAACATTTTCACTCCATTTCCCATAATCTCATTTACCCATCAAGCACATTGTGGCATAATCATTTGGAAAATCTCCCTTCACACTCTCGAACCACGTGTTTTGCATACCAAAGAATTTACACTTCATCTTCTCATCATGATCAAATCAACACTATAAAAATGACTCAGAGTCCAATTAAATTCCTCTTCGCCTTATGAAATTAGTATGTCTCAAAAGTACTCTTGTTGGGAATTCAACTAAGATGTCCCCAGAGACAATCATCCTTTCATTAAAATTCCTCTAAAACGTGACTGATATACATGAAACACAATTACGAAAGATGTCACGAGTGCGGGAGAAAGCATTCAGTTGCAGAAATGTGTAGTTTATCCCGGAAATAAGAAATTTTAGAACATCTCCGCGTACGAACGAGTCCCTCAAGAAGTTGACGTGACATTGCTGAGTATCATTTTTCTTTTTTTTCTGTCTCATGAAGTGGGACACATTTTGAAGCAACTCGCTAGCATATTGTTGAAGAAACAGCTAAAGAAGTGTCATAGAACTCACTCAATTTGTGAAAATATATATATGAAGAAGTCATATGTATTCTTAATGCATATTTGCTTGAAAATATACTCTTGGTTTTAATTGATGCAGACATGCTCAGAGTGACAATTACACTTCCACTAGGCGTTTTCGCTTCATTTGAGGAAGCAAAATTGATGCTCCCAAAGTCCTAATTGTTGGAGGATGGCGTCAAAAATACTCTAAAATAATTACACTGGGAAGTGGGTTTGAGATGAGGGAGAAAGACAAGACCTAATCTTACCATTTTATCGCTGTAACAATATGAATTTGGTTGACTTATTTTGAATTACATTACAAACTTTTCTCGCTCGAGCACGAAATGGAATTTTAAATTGTGCTGCTGAAAGATTTTCATTGGTGGGGAAAGTATGAAATATTCGTGATTATGTACATGTACTTTGTGAATTCGGAAATATTTTTTTTCTTCTCTACTCACCTCGAAACTCAACACGTCCTATAAGATTCGACTTGGGTTTGGAGAGATGAAATTGATTGATTTTCACTGTTAGTGACATGTTTTGATTGAATTTTTATTACTACTCCATTCGATCACAAGTTACTTTGTACTGAACTTTGCACTGTATCCCTTGTCTAGCACTTTTGTCACATCATGTCAGCTTTTCACATTCACAAAACTTTCATTATTGGCCCTGATTTATATTGCTAAAGCCGTGTTTAATGCTCATAAACACGTAAAATGCTGTAATTCATGTCATTATATTAGAATTATACTGGTATGTTTTCTTTATGATAATGAACGCGGCGCAGAATATATTGCTATGATATTGCGGCAGGAGTTCGGCTTTATTAGTTTACACTCTCACTACCCATTTGCCTAATGTGTCGAATGGTATGTATAATTAATAAATTGCATTGTTATCTGAGCGATAAGTGAAAACAGCACAAGTCACTATTACCCAAGCCTTTTCGATCCTTTCCATATGCAATTACAGCGGAAAATCAATAGAAAATTTGATTTTACATTGCAATTTGTTGTCAAGCGGAAAGACTTGAATTATTTATAAACAAAATATGAAGACTCTCAGCAAGGGAGCGATATATTAAAAATTTATTTCATCCCATGTTATGAGACTGAGGTTCGTTAATTGAAAATCAGTTACTGGCGTCAGCAGTGTGGAATTAGTAGCAAGAAATAAAATGGGGAGAAAAGCACACACTTTGCCACTTATTAAATTTATTCTCATAAACAGCAAACCCTTTTTTATAGGTTGACATTCTTCTCTTTTTTTATCCGGCGCGTGGAGAGTGACTAAACTAAATATGTTATTTTTATGTGAGCTCACGAGAAAGAGCGTTAAAGCCACATATCACACTTTTCCATTGGGATTGGCACATGCAAGCCCCAAAGTACACGGCAAATCAATTTTCCAGTAGAGTGCCTAATTTATTGTAACATTACACTTCCAGCTAATTATACTTGAGACTCTGCGTGCAGGAGCGACTTTCACAGGAGAGGAAAAATTTCACGGTAAATACAGGAAAAAAGCAAAAGGTACAAGTATTACCAGAGGAAGCTATATGGGTTTTAATTGCACGGTCCTGAGGCTATAAAATTAAATGAAAAAAGACAGGAAAAGTTTGATTGTACAGCATGATAAGCAGCGTATTTTGTGACGCTCACAAGAGTCACAATAAGAGTCCCAAAATTCATAACAAAAACACACAGAGGTCAACTTTAAAAATAGTTTGACTCAGAACAAAGAACTCTTAATGAGTCGGTGAGAAATAGAGTTCCATAATTTTGTCCTTTGTCACGCATTGAGTGCTTCATTAGTTCGAAAAAGTTGCAGAATATAATAGAAGGCGCCTTTTATTACTCTTTCAGTAAACTGACACTTTTAGAGAACTTTAACACGGAACTATTCACAAGAATGGCATGAGAGAAGTGCTTCAACGCCTTCGAAAGCTCAAGTTCAACTGAGAGCTTTGCTCGTTTTCCTGTGACCCATTCGTTGCTTGTTGCTTCTAGCTGGAAAATGTTCTCTGCAAACTGAGCGAGAGAGTGAGAGAGAGAGAGAGTATGACGTCATTTGTATGTATGCACGTTGAGTGTTTTCGCTCAATTTTCCGAGATAGAGAGAAGGTCAGAGAGGTAGAAGAAAGGACGAGGAAAAAGGCAGACTGAAAAAGAGATGGGAGATTAAAAAGCCCTAACAAATGAATGTTTTGAGATTGCAGAAAGACGGAATATAAAGAGAAGAGTATCCTTTTCTTCCTTTGAGGATTCAAATCCAAAAATGCTGGAAATGTGAGACGGAGAATACTGAACAAAGTGTCTTAGGAGGATAAACAGATGGGAGACGTGAAGAGGAATGTGTGCGAAGGGGACATTAATAATTGAAATCTTATTATTTTGCATTATTTATGAGGCAACTTACATCCCACATTCATGAAACTCATTCGAATAATATGGACAACTTTTCTCACTTTATCCCAAGTAACGCAACGCGCAATGTTCTAAATATAATATTCTGAATTATTTTTTTTTTCAATTGACTCTCAAACATTTTTATATGTCTCGTAAATTTGTTATGGGACTTCGCGGGACGAAATCGCGATTTTTTACACCGTCATCCTCTGACGTGCTCCGACACGGCCTGCACCGATGAAAAATGCTCAATTAATGTGTAACGCGAGGTGGAGAAGACATTTGTGCTTCAACCCTTATGAATGTAGTCCTCCATCATGCATTTTGCGAGACCATTTATCTCCATTCATCCACATGTGCTGAAACGAGCATCACTCATGGATTGTAATTTCTAGGAAATTCTGACATATCCTCTCCGTGAAATGGCATTCATTTTCAGCTCTCATTGAAAGAGTGGCTCATCTAAAGTGCTGAAAAGCATCCGTATTCTTGCATCATATCAAAATTTCAAATATTTTGAGTAGCAATTTAATCAAACGCGGTTCTTTGTTCCATAATATGAAATGAACACAGAGTAAATTAATTTTCTGGAAAGAGTGATAAAATATTGGGGGGATAAATTCTCGCCACTCAAAACGCCACTGTTGGTTTGAAAGCTTCTCGGTGTAGAATATATAAATTATGTAAATACACACAAACCTCATATTCATTATATAAAGAATTCACATTGTATAGTGGTAAAAATAAGCCTAAAATCCTGAGAATGTCGGATGGTTTTTGTGTTATATTTAAACAGTTTTTCATATAGGAATATTCACTCGTCTGCATGATGTTTTCTTTAGCTTAATAAGCGGGAATGATACGGTCTAAATTGTCAATTCCTTGATAAGTTGTTGTTTTTCTTTGGACTAGAAAAGGATCAACAGTTAAGTCATTTCAGGCCCCTCAGGTAAATAACATCGTGTACACAACATTATTTCCTCCCCTTTCACTATTTATCCTTCAATTTACTGTTGTACAAGTGTAGAAAATTTCAGTAGGAAATTGCCAGTGTTTCAGATAAAATCGAGGATAAAATGATATATGACTTATTGTGCGATAAAATGTTATTTAGAAACACCAGAGCCATTTCTTTTCCACTTGATGCACTTCCCTTCACATTTATAAGAAGATAAAAGGCATTGATTGTCGTAAAACTCTCAAGTGTTTCTGTGAACGGGAACGGAAGGAAGCTTAAGCGAGTGAACTTCTTCCTTGAGCAAGTCCTTGAGTGTTATCTTAAGACTTTCTCACAATTGCACAAGGGTGGAAAAGTTGCTTTATTAAATATTTCATTGAAATCCACAATTTCGCATAAGTTAGACATTCTTTCTCAGAACAAGAAATAAATTTGGCAGCATTATTTCATAAAAATACTTGTAAGGATTTCGTGCAATATTTATTTGTTCTCCTAACCCTCAGGCGAGGGTTTAGAAAGGTATTCCAAATACCGCAAATTTGTATTTATAGACTTGTACAACTTTTCACCGTGGTATGTATTCGAAAGCTCACAATTTCTGTCTACTTTCGGGCGTAGACCACGAAATATGTGTAAATTGAGCACGATAAAGGGATGTTTGCCAACATGATTCCTGTAGGATAGTCTCTTAGAAGAGGGAGAAGACGATGACCTGACGAAAATTGTACCCTAACGCATCATAAATATTTGGGACATACATATGTATTTATATACAGGCTCTTAATGGCTGAGACGAAATGGTGTGATGTGCACACATGAAACGTGAAAATATTCTTTAAAAATTCAAGAAATCTCTTGCGTCACAGAGACAAATGTAAATTTTTCTCTCTTACAATAAAAGAGAGACCTTTTCATGCTCTGACGACCTGATAATTGTTCCAAATGTGCAAAAACTGTGACGCTTTTCACTCCCAAGGCACTGCTTTTGGGTTACTCAACAATATTCAGGGAAAAAATACACATTTCTGTTTACAGCACATCCAAGACGAAAAATGTTATCACTTTGCTTCCCTCCGGTTGTGTGTGAATGCGAAAAATATTTCCATTTTTTCAACATATCAAGCCTTTTTGAAATTCCTTCCTGCCACTGTGATGGCGAGGAAGAATTGTTTATGGTGAAATTCATATGGTTTTGAAGCCATCAAGCATTCCGGGATAAATGGAGAGTATATGTGCATACATATGCATAGAAGCATATAAAATTCAACCAACACCAAATATTCTCCGATGATTTGTTTCCTTGAGTATGCATAAATTCACTCTATACCAATATAAAGCCTCAAAACAATATAAAGCTCAGAGTGATAGACAGAGTTGAAAGCTCTGGAGAGACGAAAGTCGGCGGTATCGAAAATTGAATTTCGATGCCTCATCGATGGGAATGTTTCAGGATTAAAATATAGTATCCTTGAGCTGTCAGCTCGAATCGTCTCTCACTGGAGCTAAAGAGCTACTTAAAGAACTTATAGCAATTTTTCCCATGGGAAAAATAACTCAATTACAGCATCACCAAAACGACTAAGCAAGACATCCCGCGAAATTGGCCTTTACGCTGTTTTTCATGAGAATGTTGACGCGACGCCGTAAGACATCAGACATTTCACTGTCAATAAAGTTTTATCACCAAATACACATGACTATGACTGGAATATAAACTATTTGCCTGAGACAAAAACCTCAAAGGACTCCACCTCAGGTCGTTAGAAGGGTTTCTTGCGCTGGCTGGGATCACTTTCATCACGCCAAGTTTCGAATTTCCCTCTCGTGAATATACAAGACTTTTCCTGCGTAAATACTTTGAGATATGTCAGACCTTTTGCCTTTAGTTGATTATATTATCCTAACCAGATAATACAAAATTTAAAGCCACGAAGCCGCGACTTCAAAGAAATTTGCGATCGTGTGCAAAGTACATAGGATTTTCATTTTAACTCAGCATTGCCACAATGGGAAGGAAAATGAACATGGATGAGTTAATTTGATTCACAAGATATCAAACACACACAAGCAAGATAACCGTCGGTCTTGCCTTTGGGACTTTGTTATTTCCCGGGAAAATACGTGACGCCACTGTGAAAGCTCGCTCAGTACTGAATGCCATTTTCAATGTGTTGGAGCAACTCAGGTGAGAACGGGGAGAAAGTGAGAGTAGTCGCGAAGAGAGAAAATTTCTCTCATCTCAACACATTTTCACGTTCCTCGATGGAAATTCTCTGCGACTCGCAACAGTGGCATTTCAGAGCTATCAAAGGGTAAAAAGTAAGGCAAACATATTCAGCATTTATGAAGATTTGAGAGCGAATGGGTTGAAGATCAGCACTTAATCCCAGAAGTGTGCTGCCAACAAATTGAATTATGTTTTCCAACACAACAGAAGTCCCTCTTGTGTTTGCGAAGGTGTGAAGAGCCTTTGGTGAATATGCTAAAAATCAGAATGACAAATATCCTCCCCAGGAAAGTGACACAAACCAATCAAACAAAACCCCGAACACATTTTCGACCATTTATTGAGTTGTGTTTTGTGGGTTTTGTGTGAAATCTGCCGACAAACCATTGAGCTAACATACAGCCGGGCAGGAACAATGCCATTTGCTGAAGTGTATATGGCACAGGAAAACGTCCTGTTGGAATGTTTTCAGACTATTTGGAACATAAATTATACTTCTCATCGAGTATTTTCAGCAAAATTTACTTGAGTGAAAATGCAATTTTACGTTTTAATGGAAAAAGCATGTAATTTCTCATTTTTTTAAGTCATGATCTTGCCTCCAAATGCCTTTAGTTCTCTATTTTTTCGTTCAAAATGCTTCTTCTGTGCTTCCTTTGTCGCCTGTCGGCACAAAGTCTAGGACGTTTTGTGTGAATCGTATGCATAAAAAGGACCAACTCATCGTCTGTCCAGTCTGTCGGTGTGCAGTAATCGGATTATGCATGAAGAGGCAGGTAATGATTGCTACTTATTGTCATCACTTTACTCACTCTTGACACCATTGAGGGTGACTTACAATTATCCATTCACAAAAAGTCCCTCAATTGAATGGCACAGAGGTGAAGTTGGTATTGATAAGGATGTATTTTATTAAAATCCTCACATGCCGCATTCACTTCACTTTCCAGGGATTCCCTCCTCTCTCGCATATTTTCCATTTTCTGGTGAATAGACAGGGTGCGAATATTTGTATCTCCTTTGCTTTGGGTAAATTATGTACATAGAATTCCCCCTGGGCAAACCCCTATTGCGCGCCTCAAAAGTCACATCGGGAGATGAGAAACCCTCCAAATTGAATTTATACTGATGTGGTTTTGTCAACAATAATTCGCCATAAATTATGATTATTAACGCATCTCTGCATTCTTTGTCGCACCGCCATTTAATGGTCGACATGTATGAATTTTTGGCTGCCATGGAAGGCGATCTCAAAAGCCTCTTCAATCTCTCATGAATATATATTTTCCGTGGCAAAGTGAATGTGATATCGAGGGAAAAATTGGATAATACTTCTGACTCTCTTACTCACATTTGTGAAATTTTAATTTTAAATTCAACTTGTGGTCTCTAATAGATACAGCTCGATGTCAATTGACTCCTCATTCCGATTATTTCCGCACATTTTTCACGCTCAATATTCCCAAACAAGTTGGGCTGGAAAGCGCTTCAAATTGTATTTTTCACGCATTGTCATTTTTAATATTTTATATCGAATCAACCTCTCAAGATTGAGGATGAACACATTCAAGTTCAGCCGACGAATTAATCATGGCTGAGTCCTTAAGACTTTTAGATGGCTTTCTTGCCAATTTCTTTTGTCATCATCAACTCCATTTTAGGTTGAAATATGACTTTTGCCGATCTGCGATTGTGTGTCGTAAAATGTGTCACCACCCTTTTCAGGGCACAGTTCTTCAGGGATCCACTCCCGCAAAGTTGCTCAAAGTCACCGCCACTCAATTGACTTATGCACCCATGGGCAGATACAAAGGTGTGCGGCTACTTCACAAATATCATCTGTGTCTTTTCACTGTTTGTCGAAGCAACTATTTATATGTCCAGGACGTTTTTTACACTCGTGTTGATTGTTTGTTTGATGTTCGGGGTTGTCGAATGTTGAGAACGCGTGAGGAGGTAAATTCTTTTGTCGCTTGCACACCTGAAGACACGCCAAAAGACTCGACGGATTAGAAGTCATTTAGAGGAGCTCAAATCATTGATTTTACCAAAAAAAAAACGCTGATTTCTTGTATAGTCAATATGTATGAAAGTCATGATTGTAAGTTATAATATATATTTTTGAGAAATATATCGTGACAATACCTCATAATAATTACAGAAAACCCTCTCACGATATAAAAATAATTTCCATACGTGGCATTTTTCGCTGAATACTTTTACATTCATTGATAAAAAAAGTCGATTTGGACATAAAATCAACACCAAGCAGAAGCACATGAAAATATTTCTTTTCCAAGAATCTTAAACTTTGAAATTTGAACTTTGAAGAGGAGCGAAACACTCAATTAAAAACTACTTTTCAATAGCAAAAAATTAAATAGATTTGCAAAGTTTGGATAATTGATATAGAAACATAAAATCACATTAAACAGATTTCCTAAGCAAGAAGATCACTGTGCAATTCCTTCTATTTATTGATTAATTCAATTATAACGCAACTTTTCTCACATGACAGCAGCTGCAGCAAATATATTGTTGGACAATAGAAGTCAACTTCCTCCAAAAATCAGTCAAAATTTTGGTTTTTGTGGTGTTCCAAAATTCAGGAGGTCCACAATATAATTTAATTGTAACAGTGCAAATCTCGCGTGGAAATGTCACATCGTCCAAGATTGATGAGACCGCACAGACCATTGTTGCAATTGTGCAACACTTCCAATAAAACTCAATTTTTTCACCCAGAAATTTGAGCTATGCATTTTTCTTTGTATCTCTCGAAAGTGATCGATGGCGAAATCATGAGGATGAATCCCAAGGATGCGAAGATTTCCTCTGACTCGTCGTCAATTGAATTGAATCCCATAGTGAAATGATAAATCGGAAATGAAATCACTTTTATTCTGCACTCTCACCCTCTCTCGACTTTTGTCGCAATGCATTGGCGAAGTGACCGGAAATAGGTCATTGTTGACCGCGCATTGTCATCGAGCAATTCATTTCTATCTGCAATCTGAGTAGAAGGTGAAATGGATCAGAGGGAATTGATGAGAGATATTTATATTAATTACGGGGACAGTCAATCGCCACTAATGGGATCGACAATTTATTGGCACGTCAGGAAGTTGTGTCGTGACTCTCGTATAACTTCCCCGTAATGTCCCACTGAGAGGTCAATTCGGCACAATATGAGCAATCTCCTTCTCCAAAAGAGTCTTTTCACCACGGAATTTTCTCATCGTTCAACAAATCACTTACGATAACATCCAAGGGGTGTTGTGGGAAAGGGCGACAGAAAGAACTTTTATTCAATTGGGTAAATTTTCTGTATTTCGCGTGTACAAAACTTCTCAATGGCATATTTACAAAAAGGCCTTCAACTTGCGTCAGTTAAAATTGGAGGGAGACTTTTTTTCTCGACTTCATGACACCTTCTGATAAGTAATTATTTACAGAGGACGAAATCCAGGCGATGCACAAAGGCGAAGGTGTCTCAGTACGTAGGCAGAAAGGTGTAGGGCAGGAAGACGGTGGACGGGAAGAGTCTCTCAGGTGCGAAATGAATTTTTGTGTGCTTCTTCAGATGGTCACGCCGACCGAACTTTTTCCCACACACTCTGCAAGCGAAGGGACGGAGTCCTGTGTGAATCCTTTTGTGTCTCGTCAATTCTTCGTTTCGGGTGAACGTTTTGCCACAATTGGAGTCGTCACATTTGAATGGTCGCTCACCTGTAAGAACAATCGGATTGCCTCCTCACTTAATGCTTCCAGCCACTAATTTCTGCCTGTCTCTTTGGAATGGGAACGTACCTGTGTGGATGCGAATGTGTCCCTTGAGCTGGCCATTGTTGGAGAAGGCCACATTGCAGTGGGGACATTTGAACTTCTTGGGCCGTTGGCGTCGCAGGTTGAGAATCTTCGTCTGGGCATCCTCGGCGATCACTCTTGCGTACTCTTGCTCCATCATACAGCGCGCGAGTGGGTCGAAGAGAGGCACTATTCCATAGTAGTCCTTATAATCCAGAATCTGCTGTCTATTCGCATATTCTGGGTACAATTCTTGATGGTCGAAAATTGGATTGTGTTGCTCGAAAGGCGCACTAACACTTTCAGTCTTCACAACATCACACAACGGCCCCGTTTTGCCCACTTCCTTGCCCTTCGGGCATGAGGACTTCTCCCCATCCCAGGGGCGAAAGAGGCGCGAGTATGTCTGCGGGGGTGACAAATCTCTAGTGCTCTTCATGTCGAGGTGAACTCAAGATGCAGCCAGGACCAACTAACTGCCAGCGCACGAGTGAAGAGGATTATAAGGATGATGATCGCCTTTCGGGCACTTTGGGCAAATACCAAGTCAATTGTGTGCGACAAGGAACTCCTCCCTTCTGCTGTGAAGTGTGACAAAAGAGCCCTCTTTCAGCCCTCCGAAGAGTGTTTTGCGTGTGTGTGCGCGCCAGTGAGGCTCAATTCCTCCCAACACTCTGAGGATCTCCTGAGACAACAGGAGGGCGATGAATCCCAATTAGATAAACTAAAAATTTAAATATTCACCACATCTGCACACCCTCAGCCTCCCCAGAGACTTGGCGGAACTTTTCAAAACGCCGCATTTCCAAATGTGTAGAGGAAGGATCAGGGGACATGGTGAGGACGTATTAGGCGTGGCCTTTGTGCATCCCTCGTGAATCCATGCCCTACACGCCCTCGGCAATCCCACTGAGTGAATTTCTCGCCATGGCAGTTTGAGAGTGGTGATGGGCCAACAGTTGCAGTCATCGTGTGACCCTAATTTTATCGGTTAACCAGAAGCAACAAAATCACAACCAGCAAATAAAGGGGTGCTAAACAGCAAAACCCTCTTCGCGTCTCACACTTCTCGCCCATCGCAACTTTATGTAAATAACAGCCATGTACCAGAAGGCATTTCAAATGGGAGTCAGCATGAGCCTCTGGGGTGTTGCGCGACTGCAAAAGGGTTCAACTGCCTGCAAAAACTCCTTTTGATCCCGAATTCTGTACTTTGAGCAGCACGACCAAAAATGGAGAAATGTTCAAAGTCATTCCCCAATTATTAATTATGAATGCGAAATGAATACCACACAACATTCAAGTTATATGCTCTGTACACTGACCTGCGCTTTTCACCAATTCATTGTGAAATAAATTCTGCACAAGCTAATATCAGGACTATTTTGAGACCATTTTGATTCAAACATTGTATTTCAGTTTACAGTTTTGATTCAGTACAAATTACGATGCGGAACAATGAAGATTTGGATGATAAAGCTTCATATATATAAATATAAAGAATTTACATAATTTCTAATGTTTTTAGAGTCACCCAAGGAGGCACCTATTGATTTCTTCTTGTGTCCTGATCATCTTCACCATTTATACTCTAAACTTCCTAATAAGAATACTTCGAGAAACTACACTATTAATATTTTTTGTCCTTAAAAAGGCTATTTTGTGTTTGAATCTCCGTTGCTATGGATTTTCTTAACTTACCTTTCATCTTTCCAGCTCAAGTCACGTGTATTTCCTATCCACATCATCAGTTATGTCTTTTATATATAACCACAAAGTGCGATCGCAGTTCAGCGCTTTATGCTTTGTGGCTGTGAAACTGCATTTTGTGATACGGGTAAGTTTTAGCGGTTGTCAACAATTTCAATGGCGCACGGAATAAAAGTCAATAGGCGGGTTGGGAGGGTTGATCGGTATGTTGGGAGGGTGAGAACGAGAGGGAAAAATGACGAAAATCTAATTTATTATTTTTGCCGGCGACAAAAGGCGAGTCTGAATTGCGTGCAAGGGAGAGAATGGCATCCCCTCGTGTCGCATTGCCAGTGAAGTTGAAACCAATTTAATATTTGATACCCGTCTTGTTTGCGGTTAAATAGCACTCGACTAGGGGAAGAAAGATGGGCGATCCAGAAGTGGCTTTCTTTTCTTTTCTCAAGAGATGCATTTTTCAGATGTCCTCAAGCTGAAATGAATTTTTGCCGCAGCACAAAAGCACTGTTCTTCACGAACGCTCACCATGAAGCTTTTGTATATGTATGTCTTTATTTTCATGGAGATTTCAGAAAATTCTTAGAATCTGCAATCCGCATAGGAATCAAAAAGCTCAGTCAAGCTTGCGCTCATCTCAATGAAATCACTTCGAGTAGCTGCATTGAGAATGTCAAAGACTTTGCGTGCGATGCTTCGGCCAATTTGCATGCAATTCCCAGCTGAGGCGAGAAATCTCGTGAAGCCGCCGGCGAATGAATTATCCGTGGAATCGTTATTTGCAGAAACCCTCTGGGCTTGCATTCCCAACTGAGACAGTCCAAAGAATCTCCTCGGCTGTGGGATGAATCTAGCTTCATTTCCTGCCAGTGCAAGTAATGCCAATGAATGCCAAATGACCACAATTGCATAAATCTTCACTTTTGCAGACATGTCAGCAAAGCACTTCAATCTCTGAATATTTCACTGTAAACTGATGTTGAGAGGATGGTTTTTCATGTGAAAACCCACAATAATCCAGCTTTTAATGACCGATTTTATCGCTGAGTACAAATTGCACTCATTAAACGTGTCCAAAAAATGAGAAATCACAAACACAGAGCTGCTCTACCTCGTCCGTAAAAATGACACAAAAGACAGATCTTTTATCATTACACTCTATCAAGGGCGTGCGTTTATTCTTTGTGAAATACTTTATGTCCCCAACATTTTCTACTTAATGCCATGCAGTCAGAGATGAAATGCTGCTCTATGTAAAATGCTGTGCTGAAAAAGATACCTTTTGATGAAAAGAATGTGTCTAATAAATTAAACGTTTGGCCGAGGAGTGAAAAAAGGAGGATTTCATGAATGAAAAGGAAACTTCTTGATTTTTGTGGCTACCTCTTTGAGCTGAGGACAAAATACACTATACACAATGCGAAGCGTCCTTTTATAAAATACACCTTTTCACGATTATAGTGTGAGCAGCTAAAAAAAGCTGGACAGAGAAAGTGGGTGTGTTGAAGATAAGGTTTTTTTTTCGTCAATGAGTCTTCATGGGGAGTACTGGAGAGAAGATTTTTAATACAAATTTCATCTAATTTATCAGGGAGGATGTGAATGAAATCAATATCCATGTTGTAATATGAAACACCTATAAAAATTAATTGGATAATACGATTTTGCCAAGACACTGGGAGCTATAATCAATACGGTTTTTGCCATCATAGCATCACTGGGTATTTGTGTTACAATTTTCACGTCTTCGAGGCAATCTTAAAGCATAAGAAACTTCTCTAAGACACTGCAGATCTTTAAATTCTGCAAGAAGTTGTGATTCGTTTTTGTTTGCTCGCAGATTTGTGGAATGTTTCATTCAGGACAAAAATACCAGGCAAAATCTGTTCCAATGGTTTAAAATGCATTGAATTTGAAATTCCCCAGCATTTAATAATAAATACCTCAACTGTATTGTGGCTGTGCAGACTTGAGAAGTGTGAAAATGTCTTGTATTGCTAATAGAACGAAGACATCACCAGAATTGATACTCAATTCCATAAATAACAGAGGTTTTCATTGTTCCGCCACAACACAGATACTGAATAAATCACATTTGATGCCATTGAGAAATTTTTGGCACATCTTTGGGGGCATTTTGGGCGATGCAGAAAAAATTAAGGGAAAATGCTTTTAATTTCCAATCGCTCATTTTGCCACTTTTGCCATCTTCATCCACTTTTTTTTCCTTCCCATTTTTCTCTACCTACAGCAGCGATTCACGCATTATGTGAATTTCTTCACAGATACAGTGTGATTGTTGTGACAACTCTGTGTCATATTTTCGAGATTGATTATTCTCCAGAGGTTTTTATTCTCTCACTGGGATCAAACATATGCACAATACTTTAGCTTTTTCACCTCCCATCTTTTACTATTCTCGCTCTTTTGGTAACTGGGCACAGGGAAAAGTAATAACAGAGGAAATGCAAACACTACTTGGAACACAATTATAGTGCAGCATCTTAGGTACAAAATTCACTAGATTTCACACACAGTCACTATGAATCACTTTCACGGTCGTTCTAACACTAATTGCTTGTGTTAAATTACTATAAAATCACGTCATGTCCCTGTCTCTCGATGACCCGAAGACTCGCGCCTCAGAGACGCGTCATTTCGAAGAAAGTGCACCGCGATTTAGTGTTGTTCGCCGCCTTCGGGCCTGGGAATATTGATCCGCAGTTCACGTTGAGTGCTTGGAGGGCCTTAATTGTGAAATCAGGAATGAGCGCCGCCACGACTACCACAATGCACAGCAGCCAGAAGGTGAGCGATGATAAGAGATTTGAGTACACGTGGAGCATATCGCCGTCGAAGAGGTCTCTGAAACAACGTTTCAAGAGGATTAATTCAATTTCGCGTCTCTCATAAATATTAGACACGAGTTTCTGAGAAGCTCTTAACGCTCACGGAAAATCTGGTGGTCCAACATCCAATCAGAAAATCAATTTAGCAGAAAATATTGACTATACTCACAAGTTTAAGAGGTTGTAGATGAATGTTGTGAGCACAAAGCCAAAGATCGAGAGCCAGATGGAGAAGATAAACCAGTAGGATTGATACATGGACGTGAGCCACAGCTTCAAATTGACCAAAATCACCACGTTGTGTATCATGAAAGTGCCGTAGCAGAAGAAATTAACATTGTGGGGTGTCGTGAAGATGACCGGATTGTTCACCCACATGAGATAGCCAGACACGTATATGATTGACGAGTGGTAAACAGCCAGCAGTATCCAACCGCAGAAGTATTTCCATTGTAGCCTCTTATTTCGCACGTTATTTTTGTAAAGCGGTGGTTCACTGTAATGGCAATTTGTTAAAGTTAATTTGAAGGGATTCTCATGTGAGAAATGCACTCACTTCATCAATTTGTCCATGGGATAGACTTTCTCAGTGATTGATATCACGAGAATCGGCAGCGCTGTGTACACAACATTGTAGAGCGTGAGGAAGAGTGAATCGTAGACGGACTGAGAGGAGAACATGCTGTTGGTCTGGAAGTACAGCTGAATCATCATGAACACGAGGTTCTTGTAGAAGAAGTACAACACCAGCAGTGACAGTCGCTGGGAGAAATAGTGGCCGTGCACGAGGAGCATCCTCCTGACCATGGAGAAATTGGCAAAAGCATAGTCTGCACACCGCGCCGCCTGGCGTCCCTCCTTGCCCACAATGCCCAGACCCACGTGAGCCTCCTGAATCATCGACACATCGTTCGCCCCATCGCCAATGGACGCCGTGATTGGATTTCCAGCGACAGTCTTCATTAAATGCACCACTTCGCACTTCTGCAGTGGACTCAATCTGCAGCACAACACTGCCCGACAGCGCACGGACAAGTCCCTGAAGCGCTCTGGAAAGTCAGAGAGAGCAAAAGCCAGACTGCCACCGTCAATTAGCAGCGCGAACACCTCGTCCTTGTATCGATTGAGCTCATTTTCAAACACACTGAGCTGCTCCTCGAGCTTCTCAGCGCTCTGGCACTCCACGATGAAGTGCTTGATGGCATTGTCAGGGATGTGGCCACACGACAAGGCGATGTTGAGAGCGGTCTCCACTTTGTCACCCGTCAACACCCACACCTTAATGCCAGCATGTCGCAGCGCTTCTAGTGTATCTCGCACATTATCCTGCAACGCATCCTCCACGGCTGTCGCCCCGAGCAATTCCAAGTCTGCAACGAGTGGCAAAGAGAACCACTTAAATTTCTATGCAAAAGCTGCGAAATTTAATTGATTTTGATAACATCGAAAAAATTCTCTGCAATTATGAGTAAAGTGAGATTACTGATGAGAGTTGTCTGAGAAATGTGGATTTTTTTTATTCCTTTCTGTAATAAAGGAAAGTCATTTTGTTTGACGACTAAATTTTTCGCAATGTTGGATTCAAATGGAAAACGCAAAATTAAAAACAATTTCCCTCTTCCAATGCCACAAGCAGTTTTTCGCAAACAATTTCACTATAAAGTTTAACAAATTAACGGCACCCGCGGGAAAAATAATTCAAGCGAGGGTTGAAGAGTTAATTGGTATGAAAGTCTCCCTACAGGTAAAAAGTCCTTGCAACTCTATAATCACTTTCACTCAATGCGCGGTGATCCTAATTAAAAATCGCGCAGAGAGAAGCTGTAAAATTGTTGTGTACATTGCAAGGATGCGCAACAATGGCTAAATTGCATTTGCTTTCTGCCAACGAACCAAGGATGTTCGTGCAATTCAATTTACTTACTTCTCTCTATTTTCTGCTGGCAGTTCTCCACAAGAGCTTTTCGGTCTGTCAGTGAATTGTTGGCTTGTGTTATTTCTGCAAGAGAAAGTCCCAATTAATGCTAATCTCCTTGGAATTCTCACCTTTGTGAAGTCACCATTGCAAAAGGCGATGTATTCAGAATTTGAAATTCTCCTCCTCGCCACAGTCAATGTGCGAAGGCCCAGCTTAGCGAAGTCGTTAATGTGACTCTGGGTTACACTTATCAGTTGGCGAGGTGTGTTATCACAGAGTGGCAGCACATGACTCTCCGCGCCCTTTGTGTACAGCCAAATTTGTCCCTTCTGATCGCGCACAATCACACTCATCCTCTTCCTGTCCGACGTGAATTCCAGCACATGAAGTCGCTTGAACTTCATGATGGTCGAGTTGTCGGCTTTGAAGATTCTCTTCACCGAATCCAGAGTATCGACATTGCGAGCCTGAAAATCAATAGAATTGAAGCATCGCTAGATTTTCTTAACGCTCTCGAATAATTTAATTACCTTTCCACCACGGAAAACTGACTTCTTAATCTTAACCGTCACAACATCATCGTCATCGCCCGTGTAAACAAATCCCACTTTGGCACATGCCTCAACAAGAGCCTTCTCATCGGGACTCGAAGCCTGATAATTCAATTGCCTGTGAAGGACAAAATAAGTTGATTCATGGAATATTTTCGAGCACGTGTTTAAGATTTCAGAGATTTATTAGCATATGAATTAACACAATATGTGAAATACTTGCCAGAACTTCACAAGAATATGTTAGCACGTGAAAGCAGAGAAGATTATTGAAACAATGCAATCTTTCAATAAAATAAAATGAATTCATATGTTCGAGTTTCATGAATGAACAAGCATTTATCTTTAAATTATACACATTATATTGGACTCACTCAATGACTGACTGGATCACTCCTCTTCTGTACATGGACTCATTTCTCTCGATTTTGGCGGCCTCCGTGTGCTGAGGCGCCGCGTAAGACTCTCTGGAGTTCAGCTGCGAAATTATGCTCCTCACGCTGGACTGGCGTGACACTTTGGACGGCGTCCTCACAACAGACGCCGACGCATTGGCTTTGTTCGGTGGCACATTGTAGGATTGCGTGCGTCGGTGCGTCTTCTGATGCACCTCGGCATCCGTCGAGATGGTCCTCTTGAGGTCGACATGGGAATTCGGTCGACTGAGTGGCTGAGGCGTGAAGGTGAATTCGTGCATGTTCGTGAAGCTGGCATTGTCCATGCCCACGACACTGTAGGGCCGCTGCTTGCCCTCGAAGATGAGGGAGGCCACCTTGGGCAGGTGCTCGCTGGACGGTCGCGAGGGTAGGAGGTGGTGGAGGGTTTTACTGTAGCCTAGAAAATGTTGATCGGTGTCAGTTGGTTGCCTATTTAAGAGTGGGTTCAAGTCACCATTGACGCCATGGTTGATCGTTTCACCATTGCCACCATTCATCTCGAGGATCGGTGACTCTTCGCGCTCCTCGCTGATGTCGGTGAAGTTATCACCAAGCGTGAAGGCGCTCGAGTTGATATTATCAGTCTCATCGCTCTGTATCATTGGCATATCATGCGACGGTTCGACGTCCGCATCTTCGCAACCGGCCACTTGAACTGTGTGACACACCGAGAGAGCTTCAAAGAAGCCAAAAACATCTTCCTGCAATACACAAGTACCATTAGCATATTCCGAAACAATGCGCTAGAGTCGTTTGTTACCTTGAATTCAGGAAGTTTCAGTAGTAAATGCTTTCCTTCCTCGAGCAATCCCGTTCTCTTCTGCATGAACTTCTTGCCATTAATTGAACAGTGCTGGAAAATCATTTCGTTCTTCGTCAGAGTGCCGGTCTTATCGGAAAAGAGTATCTCCACTTGTCCCAACTCCTCGTTCAGATCCGATGTATTGACGATGCACGGTTGATTAGTCGCCACGTCGTACAATTCAAGATCCCATTCCAGGTAGAAGGAACCGAGGAACTTGTGCACTTCAATCGTTACGTACAGTGAGATGGGAATGAGGTAATTGAACAGGATTAGGAACGAGAAATAATCCTGAAGGAACTGGGAAACCTGATAGTTAGGAACGGGATCACCAAGATAGATATTGCGCTCTTCACGGTGCATATCATAGAATCTGCAAGAAAACAGATAAAGTTAAGTGTCTTGCAGTCATAAATCTTCATACAATCTAACCTTTTTAAGAAATAGGAAACAGTGACGATCGAGATGAGGAGAATGAGGAAGAATACCAGGAACTTGTTGATGAATTTCTCGCTTGAGCTCATTTTGTACTTGGTCAATTTGCTGTTGAGTGCCAACTTTGTCATTTGACCTGTGTAAACTGCACATCCAATCACCCACTCTGTGTTCTTCACTCGCGATCCTCGCAGAAGCAGATTCTCCGCCATCAGCGGCAGGACATTGCTGTTAGCCACATCCAGATCCGGAACCACAGATGTCCGCTGACTGACCATCGCTTCGGACAATTCTATGCGTCCGTTGAATGAGTAGAGATCCGTTATTGGATACTCACACTCAATAATGCCCAGCGAATTCAGGCGATCAATGTCTACCGTTGGCAAGCCTCGCGGAATCGTGAGTGTCTTGAGATTGGACTCACCATCCAGATTAGCCGTGGTGATGTAACACTTCGCGTGAGGATCTGACGACTTGAGGAGCACCAAGTCGCATGGAACATCGCAATCTCGCACCACTTTCACGAGATCACCCGGAACGATGTTCTGGCACTTGATGTCCATCTCAACGCCATTCCGCATCACCGTCACGAGGGAGTAATTCACCATGTTATCAGCCCGATGACGAAGGTAGTCTTCATATCCTTGCTTCATGGCAGTGACGGAAATGACGAAGACCAGCGGAATGATCGATGTTAGAGGTGTAACTGGACTATCTGAAATGTAGTCTGTGTAAATAGAAAGGAAACACTTCCTGAAACTAAAGCAATTCAGCAAATATAACATTTTGGCATACGTTTTTTCCGTCTGTAAATAATGCAGTGTGTGTTAATTAGTATTTACAACAAAGCACAGTGATCACTATTGATCAATTTATCGCAATACGATACTAAATTTCACGAGTGACGCTGATGTAAGTGTTGACATTGAACCTCAAAAGCGCAACCAATTGGTATTATAGAGCCATAAGAAAGAATTTAGTGTATAATAAATGATAAATGCCAATTAGAAACACTTCTCGCACGATCTCGAGGAGGTGGAGAGTTTAATTGGGCGCACAGGCGAATTTTTGCCCGTGTATGTCTGTCAAATAATGCAAATTATGTTCTAATCAAAATTTAACTGCCTCCCGTGGCACTTGAGAGACGCACAAATTCGCAAATATTGTATCGATTCCAAAACGTCGCGCACAACTACACTCGCCTGCAGATGATTGTCCAATTTATGTGACGATCACTATTGACCCATCGACCCTTTCCAACCACAAATACACCAACTCAAATTTGAATTGCTTCTCCGCGACATATCGTGAGGCGTTTTGTATCAGAATTGCTTCTCAGAGTTGTTCTGTTATTTATTTAAATAATTTCACATGGAATTGCCAAGGGGTTCTCCTATCCATTCACTCTACATTGATTTACCAAGGAATGTCTTCATCGGGCTTCGACATCCTCACATATGTATCTGTCTTTTCTTCAATATGTGATTTGCAGAGTATTTTCTAATATTCTGTTATTAGTATTTATTACTTTTACTTCAACAAGTCAAACTTTTCCAAAAATTCAAGTGAATCTAAACTGAATAAATCCAGTATATTTATCGAAATCAATTCTTGACTTGTGAACATTCTCCAAAACGCTTTGATTATAGGCTTCTTTGATGTCAAATCAGTATCTTATCTTCAGGCATTTTCAAAGCTACATCGCTTGTCTCAGTTCTCTAGTTATGCAACAATTATTTTTAGGTGTATCATTTTAATAACAATATTAACTTTGGGAAGACTGGAACTAAGCCCCTATTTGCCAGCTTAAATCCAAAAATAAATATTGCAGGTGAAAATATTCCGGGGAAAATCACCGAAAAACCTGTTACAAAATCATCGCATTTGCTCTGTGAATCACTCTTATCAGCTCACCGCTTGTTCCATTTTTTCCGACAGAACAGATAAGATAGTGGTTTGTGTAGTGATAAACCCCTGGACTATGTTTCAATCTCCGTGAATAACTTACCAATTATGAGAGCTATTGTAGTCATTACGAGGAAGTAGAAGTTGGCGATTCGGCGGAATTGCTCGAGCAAATTCTGCGGCAGGAAGGTGATGAGGGTGTATTTGGTGGACTTGATGCGGTTCTTCCTCTTCGCGAAGGCCTTCTTGTCGCTCAGGTCGCCACCGATGTGGATTGTGAGGGAGTCTCCATGAACAGCGACGCGATTTCCCTGCGGAGAGGAGTCAACATGAGAAAGGAACGCGCGAGACATGGCCACTAATTGGCAGACGCCCGGAGACCTTCTTCCAGAACCAAGGCCTCGTGTAAACAGTCCCAACTGAGAGTGACATAATTCATCTGCGCTTTTCCACGCGATGCACCACAATTGACATTTGGCGGGCGCACAGGTGGATTTTCCCCAAAATAGTAGTCGCACACTCGGAGAGCCTTCAACCCTTCTCACAATTACCGTCCGTTCGGGCACGCGAGCAATCACCAGTTGGAAATGCGTAGCGACTTTTCATCTCTGTCCCGCGGAACAACAAGAAAAATATATCGCTAGAATGAGTTGGGCAAACAGAGTCACTCCACGAGAGGCCCCATGTTTTCAGCGCTGTTGTGGAGCACACAATAAGGTGGCAATTTATCCCACTATTCACCGCCAAAAGGCACTGGCGATCGCTGTTTGCACTGGAGTCACACACCCTCGCGCTCGCGAATGCACCTGTTGCGCGATCTCCTTCCCGAAATCAACTGAATCACGGATAAAAAGTGGCAAAGTGTTATCAGTGGCGACCACCTAATCTATCGCCGCTCTCCCTCCTTCGCAACAATACAATCGCCCGTGAAATCACAACGTGCAACACAGTCTCAAAAGAGCTGCCTCTAATATCGCGCTCCAATATTTGCTCCGTGATTAGATAAATTGATTCCGAGAAGGAGTGTCTCAGAACACTCTTATCGCAGAATTCTGCTACAGTTTGTGCGGAAAAGTGTGCCCAAAATATAGAGAAACTAGCATTTTCTTGAACTAAAAATCTAAACGAGGATCTAAAAACTCTTGGAAACATTGGGGAATCCCCGTGACTAAAAATAAAACTGAAGATGTGTTTTTCCTCGGTCTTCATGTCAGTTTTGTATCGATAATTCATTGTGAAGTGCAGCCAAAATCATACAATTTTGACTATCAATGGATAAACTTTAAAATTGAGCAATTTTGAGCAAAAGAGCGAAAATATTTTGATCTTTTTGTAATTGTTTCACTTCTTAACATTGCAGACTTTATAGTTGGCTATTGATTTATTTCCTTATTTTGTGTCTTATAAATCGAAGTCAATGTTTAGTGAACTAATCAAAAACGCAAAAAATCAATAACAGCATTTTTTTCGATATATCTTTTATCAGAATAACGCCAAAGTTTACCTGGTAAACAAAAAAAGTCTATGAAAAGACGTTGATAATATTGGTAATTCAACAACCAAAATAAAGAACTTTTAAATTTCCTTATAGCAATCCATTCATTCATTATGCTAAGTTATTGTATGTAAACTTGTGGTGTTTGTGTTACAGTGAAGCATAAATCATTTAGTATGTCCAATTGATCTGAATTCCATGAAAAATCGCATTTTTACATGGAACAATGTTGGAATCTGCCGAGAGGAAAAAACACTCTTGAGCAGACAAAACACATTAGGAAGATGTTTGAGGATCTGTGATGGCTTCAATTGTGGAATTAGCACTATTCGTTGGTCACTCAATGAACTTCAGAGCGATTTAGAGACATTCTCTTTCACAGCAACACCTCAGATAATCCTGTTAAGGGTCCTTTTCATCTCCCTTTACCGCCAATTCTCTCAGTGAGCCAGCTTTTGAGGTGCACGCAAGATTGCACACATGGAAATGGAGTGGATGAATGAACACACGAGGGCAAGAGGATCAACTTACAGCGAGAAATTTCCATAAAAACATACACGTTGTCACGATTGAGAAGTGTTTCATCTGACTCGGGGGATTTCTCCTATTGCGCTGCTCGCCACTACACAATGTTTATACTCGCGGGATCAATTAAAATCGCGCCCAACCTCGAACTGTAATGGTAAATTTTCGGCGCTGTCCACAAACTCAACCACTTGTGCACACTCACAAGATCACAGCACGCAAAGTCACAAGAACGGCGGCGTAGCATTGAAAGGCTTGACTGGAGTTTACGAGACGCAGAGATAGTTTCCGGAGTCGCAATACGATCAGCACACCAGCTGGAAGATCAGTGCGAAGTGGCGAATGCTAAAGAGATCCATGGACAAAGTGCCTCTTGTCTCTTTTGTACAAGCTAATCACTAATTATTCGCGTCCTTGGGACACCACCAGCTATAAACTACGAAATGATCAAATGTGTCTCACTTGGCGATTCCACACAGCGCGAAAAGCCTCCCAAACGCGCGTCCGAAGTGCTGAAAGGCTGGCGATCTTCTGAGATCGAGAACAGAGCAATACTGTCGCCAAAGTACGAAATAACTTCTTCAAGAGGGAAGTGTTAATTCGCACTTTAATTGTCAAGTAATAATTTAGCGTGAAGTAGAAAACCTCTTTTTGTGTCCATTCACCAATCCATTCGCACCAATTTGTACCACGAACACTCGCACTTTTCGGCAAAACAACCCACAATTGCCACCTTGTTGCGCTGCGCCCCAGAACATTGCACTCGCGCAGTGCGAGGCGTTACGCATCGGTGCAAATTCAAAATCGTCCCGCATATGCTGCACGGCATATCGTTCACGGCGCTCTGATAAGAGCGATAAGAGTGTCCAGATCGGCCAATATAAACTCCTCGGCGGTTCAGGTGGAGCACCATTGGCGTCTGCTTCTTCTGCCCACATTCTCGAGTGGCGATAGTGTGTTTTTCGGGGGAATTCACTTCTACGTGATCAGGTTGATATCTTATCAGCACAGTTAAAATTTCGCAATGCCATCGATTTTCCGCAGAAATGGAATTATGAGCCTAATTTTAGCCGTGAAATACACTTAAGCCAATCTTCCTTGTTCGATTCGCGCTGGAAAGTTCAACTTTGGGTGCTTTTGTTGGGAATGAAATAACCGTGACATTGAGACGGTGTTTTTCATTAATGCTTATGATTATGATTAAACTACACTTTGTTGTCTATTTGAGACAAGTTTCTTGATTTATTATACTCTCGAAATTTTTAAAAGCACTAATTAGAAAAATATTCGTTAGGAAATTCACAAGGAAAGTATTTGATGCAGTTTTATGAGTGAAGAAAAATACCTAGAAATGTTTTTCGCCAACAAATCAAAGCCACCATCAATCAAATACGATGAAGTTTCACAAAAATGTCTCAGACTAATCCGGAAAATCCAAATGAGTCACAAAAACATTAAGCAAACTCCCTAATAGTGATAAGGGTAGAAATTTTACAATCCATCCCTCCTTGATAGCGCAAAATCAGTTTTCTAAATTGTAATTCTCACAATAACATCACACAAAACTGTTTGTTAACGAGAAAATTACCATTTTCCGATGTGAGATAACTCAATCCAACTCAAGTTGACGATAAACCAGCAACAATTGCAGTCACTAAAGCATTCCACATTAAAATTTCACCTCAATTAAGCACGGAAGCAACACTCGAGTCACTGAGGGTTGGTTTTAGTGGGGAAAATTCAGCCTGGGCGCAGAACCTGTGTTCCATCATCCACATAAGCGACGCCGCAAATTAAGACTGATGATTGTGGCATTTCCACAAAACTTATCGGGTATCAATATTCATTATCAGTGAGACATTTTATCACCTCTGATAAATCATGATTATAAAGTGGCGAGGTGCGTAATATTTGCAATTACAGGTAGGGAAAATAAGCCTCACCTCAATGTGACTCCATAACCGTTCGACGCCGGAAACATTCTGCAGCTCTTCGCATTCTTTTCTTAATCTTCCACAGACAATTGAGACTCCTTCGACGATTTTCAGTGGCGTTACATTTTTTTTATTTTGTGCTCGTCCACATTCTTCCTCATGTTCTTAATTATTATAAAATCCACTCTATCTTATCACGCTCCATGTTCGCACTTCCCCATGTTTGGATTGCGCGTTCAATCTGAAATACACCTTTGCCATTTCAGAGTCTCATTGTCGCCCAACAGGTCGGCAGTAAACTGGAAAATAGCAAATTTACAATAAAAACATGTTAGTAAATTCAATTAAAAGCGCGTCCTATCTAATTTACAAGAATTATTATTCTTGCCAATTTTCTTCATGGGAACTGATTGCAATTACATTTTTATGAGCGATTCCATGCGAGACAATATCATTTTGTCTAATGTCATGCTTGATGCCAGGGAACTTTTGTATCTCTTCGCTTTCCACATTGTGGATTAGCCAAAGAGCAGTGAATCATCACCTCGTGGCTTTATCAGCCACCATAAAATAGCTAAAATACTACTTTAGCTTTTACCCATTAGTCAATAGAGCAATTTATGACGCGATTACCTTCATGACAACCGCGTCATAAATCATCACATTATTTCTTAATTATGCTAACAATAAGACTCACCGATGAATTCCGAGACAGGGTCCTGGTCACCCTCGCCTCGCATCGACCCCGTGATTTCCTCATTCTCCACCATCGGCAGGAAGAGCTGCACGAACTCCGGCGAGTACGGATGTGTGATTGTCTCCAGGACTTCCGTGACGAAGTATCTGATCAGCGAGATGTCCGTGTCCCCGCGCTGGCAGCACTGCTTGATGTACTTCACCACCGGAACGACACATCCTCGCGTAAGCAGATTCACCATGCGATCCAGCAGCATCTTGCGCATCTCCAGCTGCACCAGAATCTCCAATTCGTCCTGCTTCGACTCGAACAGACGAATGAGGAGACGCAGAATCTGCGGATGCAGCGAGCTGTGAACTGTGGCGACTTCATCGAGCAAGGCCAGATGCGGAGGGCAACTGTCCGTGGACAGCTTGAAGTACGACGGCTCCGTCACCGTGTTCTCCACCCAGCGAATCACTCCCACACCCACAACCGGGTATCTAATGCAGTTGTACAACACCTGCAGATCGGCAATCAGCTCCGTTGAACCCTTGTTCACATTGCATATCGCATGAACCTTCTCAATGGCTTGTGTCGTGTTCTTCAGCTCATCCTTGTTGATCATCCTCTTCATCTGTCCGCCTTTCTTCGTCTGCGTCTCACACACACTTGCCGCATATGCCAGTAAGTAGATGTACTTGGACTTGTGCTCCGGATTGATTTTCACACCCGCCTTGAACAGCGAGTCCACCAGAAGATCAAGAAACTGCGGATTGCGGATCAGATCAATCGGCGGCGGATCCACGGCTGAGTAGTTGCGGTAGAGAACATTGATATCTGCCGGATTGAGGGTGTTTCGCGACAGCATCGACGTCAGAGCTTCGCAAGCTTGCGGATATCCAGCAGATCCATTCAGTGCCATTGTAATCGGAGTCACATTTTGATTGCTGCAAAGACAAAACACACGTAAGAAAAAGATCATATTGTCAATCATTGCGACAGTTTTGCCAAAATGTACTCACATTTGAAGGGCGTATTTTGTGATTTCCTGCGACAGACGCTTCATGTTGAATCCACCTTTGGCCTCTTGGGATAAGACCTGTATCAGAACTTGGCTGTAGACGTACGTATGTTGACCATGGCAGACCATTTTCTATCACACAATCAAATACCCTCAATAAATTGCATAAATTAGCAGAGATAAGATTGAAATAATCCCACTTACGGCACATTCGAGAATGGAATTTTGTACATCGTCAGGATTTGTGAGGAATTTCGTGATGGCAGTCTTTAGGACGCGCGAGAACACCTCAATTTGCTGTGCGGCAGTAGAGATGGACGTGATTTCGCTCTGGAATCCAGCATCGGAGATCAACTTGATCGTGAAGTTTAGCATAAGGCAATCTGGATATTCCTCAGCGAGGCGATAAATAAGCGATCTCCAAGTGTGGTGCTCTATCATCTCAGTCAACCAGGCAGGAGTCTGAAAAGCGAGCAAATTAGAGCCTTCCGGAAGGATGCAATTCACCATTTACTCACTTCTCCCTCTTCCGTGAAGATCGTGTCGGCCTTCTTCGGGTCAAATGTACGCAAAATCATGTCTTTCAGGTGATTCTCCACCATCGCCTGGACATCCACAACCTTCACACCGGCTGTAATCAGCCACTCTGCTATCAAGTTGGTCATCTGAGCCACGGCAGAGTAGTTGTGCGACAAGAGATTAATCACTTGCTCGGGCGTTCCACCCGCCTGGAAGTATCTCTTGAGTTGTGTGAAAATACCCGGTTCCATGATGTAATCCGACGTGGAGAACTTCTCCAGGCACTCATTCAGTACTTCCTGCGGATTCTCAATATGTTCCGGTCCCTCAGGCTGTGAATAAACAGAGAAAATGCGAAGGGATTTTAGCACTCTAACCTCAAACCACTTCAAAACTGTAATTTCACCTCTTCATCACCCACTCTATGCCGGCCCATCCATCCATCGTCCTCAAAGTCCTCGTCCATAGCGATAAATGTAGAAAAACCTCCCTGATTTCCACTAAAAACCGTGAAAAAGCCTTTGTTTACGACGTTTACGGCGACACTTCTTGCCCAATGTTGTCTTTTCTCCGATCGATGCGCCACTGGTGTCAGGAAATCAAACTTGTACTTGCATGACACAACGACATTTCAAAAGTAACTGACTTCGCTCAATGCTGAATAATAAATAAAAAGAAGGATTTCCACCTCAAATAACAAACAAGCTTTCTCTTCAAATATCTCTAATACATGTCTAGGCATATTTAGAGGCCAATTCTTGCAGGAGTCCTCCTAGGCGTTGCTCCCGGTGTCAAAATCTCCTGCTTGGGTATCATCGCCTCCTCGCGCTGAGCCGCTTGCAATTTCTGCTCCTCCATCTGCTTCTGTGCCTTCTGCATCTGTGCCTCCATCTCCTGCAGATGCTCAGCTGCCTGGCGCTTCTTCTCGCGCCCACTGCGTCCGGTCTCCTTCACGGAGAAGAACATGGGTCCCAGTTCGGCCAGCCAGTGTCCGTCCACTGCCGTTGCGCACTGCATGTACTCCTTGGCCGTCATCACGAGCTCGTGATACACCACATAGTCCGGAGTCGTGCCCAGACCGTACAGAGCGGACGTAGGATGCAAATGACAAGGCATTCCCGTGCGCAGATTAACGTACTCGCCGATGCCCTTCAGCCGCGCCGCTTGGTAGAAGTACGCTGAGCAGATGCACTTCCGCACCACGTCCCAGTTCGTGCCACAAGATTTCACGGGCAGACGTTGCTGCACCAGAATGTCCTTCAGTTGCTGTCGCACTTCACGCACTTTCCTCAGCGCCTTGATGTGAATGAAGTGCTCGTTGGCCCAATTGGAGGAGTAATTGTTCTGCTTCCACTGATTGTAAACATTGAGGTAGGTCAGATGATCCGACTCAGGCACCTGGAACTTCTCGCGAACACCATCAGCCTCCTCCTCGCGCCCCTTCGGTCGGTAGAAGATCGACGGCACGGACAGCATAGACACTGAAAAGGAGGAATGGTTTTAATGATGCAAAAAGAAAGATTAAAAAAGTTGGAGATGCCGGGTATCGATCCCGGTGCCTCTCACATGCTAAGCGAGCGCTCTACCACTTGAGCTACACCCCCTGATATACGTCTTTTCCCAGAAATGACTCATATTTTCCATGTATTGATTCTCATGAAAGCTGACTGTATTGTTTTTTCGTGTTCAATGCACACATCAACTAGAGTCGCTATTTGAGCTCGTGTTGTATGACGAAATCATTTTGCAAACTAGTCTTTTTGCTTCAGGCTAAAAGCATTGCATGAGTGTTGGACATCCGACAAACTACATTCATCAGGGGGTGTAGCTCAAGTGGTAGAGCGCTCGCTTAGCATGTGAGAGGCACCGGGATCGATACCCGGCATCTCCAATTTTTTTTCAACAACTTTTTTCTTCAAAAACACTAAAAGCTCACGCGGAGCTTCAATTTTAAAATTCCAAGTAATTTAGTCTCTGGAATGTATCCAAAACCAGAGTCAAAATTAGAGAATTTAAAATATTCGACATTCGCTTTCTACGCGTCTTCTCGTCCTTAATATTTTTAAATCATCTCACCAATAATCAAGACCTCTGCACTGCATCCCATTTGACATGACACGATTAACATCTGACATTGCGGTGGATCAAGAGGAAATTCGGCCATTTGTCTGCCCAAAGGTGTGAGACTTCCCGTGTGATCCAGAGCGCCGAGAATCCACAACTGGTAGAGCGAGTTGAGGATGTTGTCCTGTGGCGGAGGATCCATGAAGTGGAATTGCAGCAAATCCACGACTCCCAGTGACTTGAGGAGTAGCACTGTATTGGCCAGATTGGTTCTCTGGATCTCAGGCACTGTAAGAGGTAACAAGTCGTCCTTGTACTGCCGCTCTGTGTACAATCTGAACGCTTGGCCAGGTCCTGTGCGACCAGCACGTCCCGATCGCTGATTGGCATTGGCCTGCGAGATGGGATAGATTTGCAGAGCGTCCATGCCGATGCGAGGATTGTACACTTTCAGCTTGCAGTAGCCGGAATCCACGACATAGATGATCCCATCCACTGTCAAAGAAGTCTCGGCGATGTTGGTGGCCACAACACACTTCCGCAATCCCTCGGGGGATCTCTGGAAGATCTTCGCTTGCAGATCTGACGGTAGTTGCGAGTAGATGGGCAGAATTGAGAGCTGCGGCGCATTATCAATCTCAGCCAGACGATCCGCCAGCACTTCGCACGTCACCTCGATGTCCTCCTGACCCGGCATGAAGATCAGAATATCCCCCTCCGTGGGCTGCAGGTGAATCTGCAGCGCCTGCTTCACGGCCGCGTCCACGTAGTCATCGCAGCTGTTCTTACTGAAGAACGTGTCCACGGGAAATGTCCGTCCGGGAATGGTGAAGGTTGGCACATTGCCGAAGAATGTCGCAAATTTCGTGGAGTCCATCGTGGCGGATGTCACGATGAGCTTCAGATCGTGTCGACGTGCCACAATCTGCAATGAAGCGCACACATATGCAATTACATATTTGCAATTTTAGGTCAACACACTAGACAGTATGCAATAGAAGATTGAACAATTGCCCAAGCGACGTTTCAATTGCCGGACGCCTTTTCCCACCCTCATCTAGTGCCCAGACATCATCCTCAAATCCACTTCCCACTCGTTAGTTTCTGCGAGTCGCGCCAGAAATAGCTTGTGGATGCACCAGAGAGAAATGAGTCAATTGACACTCTCAAGGAGTGCATTCTGTGCCACATTCGCCTCCTGGCCAATCACCAAGCGCGTCTGGCGGACTGAGGAGAAGGTGACTGAACCCACTGATCGACTCCCGCCAACATTATCAATTAACCTTTCCGAACGGTGGGCAGGAGTGACTGAAATTGCCACTCGAATGCCGAAATAAGGAGTGCCAGCCGCCCACGCGACATTAAGCCACAATTTAGGGTTCAAGGCACCTCGTCTGAGTGCGTTCACGGAACTTGAATGCAGAACTTCTCAATCAATTACATTCCAACACCATCACATTCGTCCGTAAGCAGTTTTTGGAAGTGAGAAGCCGCCTCAGATGCCGATAACATTATTGGCAAAAGGCCCAATTCTCCCTGTGACCAACGTCGTCACGTGAAAATGAGGATTATCGTCAGAGAGAATCTTTGGTAAATACCGACTGATCTTCGTCATCAGAGAGGCGAGAAGAAATATAAGAATTTCCCACTCAAACGTCGTGTGAAATGGAAAATTTTCACGTTATCCCCAGACAATATCTCGTAATCTCTCTTTTTTCTCCCTCTTGTATTTATAATCTTTTCGGGGAACCTCACGTCCACACAATGAGTTGGTAATGTGATCTTGAAAAATTCTCAAGAGCCACGCACGAGATTCCCAAATCATCATGATTTTTTTCTCTCTGCAAAATTGTACACATTTGATCAAACACAGATTTTCTTGTCATCCAACCTTGAAAGCCATAGAAATGCTACACTTTCAAAATTGTGCACAGTTGGTTGTTTGGTTCTCTCCTCAAGCAAACCATCCTAAAATACACACTAACACACAAATGTTGTTTGTTTTAATAATTCTTCTCTCTCTCACCGAATTTTACATCCATTAATTCGCATCGCATTCTGGTACGAATTAAATTAGAATGGCGGAACAGAAGTGAAGAGGAATTTCGCGAAACACGAGAGAGGGAGAAACAAGCCAATGTGGGTGGACTTCTGTGGGCTCGTCACCATTTTTTTGCCATTAATCACTCGCACACGATCACACATGAGAAGAGATCTAATTGAGGAACTGTGAATAAGATTAGAAGACTTTTATCAATGGTTTGCTGATCATAAATTTTTATTCTGGAACACAAACGAAGAAACGCAATTCACCTTCTCTTTTTATCGATACAAGACACCAAAAATTGTTGCCATAAATTTCATCACTTTATAAGTAAAAAAAAAAGAAAAGCCAATCAATTGAATTCACGTGATTCCAGACCTCTTCATTTCGCAATTACACCGATAATTCACTTTGCAGAAACACCCAATTTAGAGACGGAGTTTTATTTATTGACTTGTGTGATGAAAATATCACAAATTGAGCGCAATTCTGAAGTGCACAATGATTCAATGTGATGCTTTTCACTCCGCAGCGCGAATCCACACTTTAAGTTCTCTTCTTATCATACTTCTTGCAAGAGTGAACACAATTTAAAGTTAACAAGGTCAGAGAGACTATCGAAAAGAAAATGCCTTTTTCGCTCTTCAAGAAGCACATTGTGAGTAAAGTTACAATATAAATCGCTGATTGTTGAATGTCGATAAACGGTAAGAAGGAAATTGCACTCTTTTCTATATCATGCTGACAATAAACACACGCGCAGTCAATTAAAGCACACAAAAGTGTCCAAACTAATGAATTTACGCATCATTAAAATTAAATGAGGTTTACTCCATCTCAAAATAAGCCAATTTTGTGTCACTGACACATTCAAGAGATAGAACATTTATAAAATGTTGTAAGAAGTTTAATCACTCATTAGTAAAGTTGGGGTTTAATTGTTTTCCGTTCTTGAAAGAAAAATTACACAATGTCTTTGATCCCATGCTTGTTCTGAATTAGGCACATACTTCATATTTGCGATAAAAAGATCAAAAAATAAGAATTTTTGTGTTTTTAATTTGCAAGATCTCTATTTTAAGAACTTCTTCAATTATTCTCGAGAGGCCTATATATACGAAAATTGAAAAAATATGTAAAAAGCAATTTTTTCGGTAGCTTAGCTGACTGTATTAACACGTTTAATTGTTCAAGAGTTTTTGTAAATTTTATGGATTTTCTGGAAACTTAAGCAGTGTCCTAGACAAGGTCATCAGTTAATTTTTCGGAAAGTCACATGATATTTTAGCTAGTAAAGCACAAATTTGTGTGTCTTTTAACAGTGAAATAAAAGAATAATAAGAGTTTTTGATAAATCTAGATGTTTTTCTGCCTTGTCAAAAATTTACACAATGGTATTGAAAGTCTTTAAGGTCTATAGGCAAAAAACTTGTAAACCTTCAAAGGTAGTCTAGTCTCAAATACCTACAATATAGTAATTTCAGATGAGGTTAATGGTACAGGAAATAGGTTGTGATGTTACTGAACTTTACACAGTCCATTTTACACACAAGTTAAAGTTGTCCTCGATCAGATTGAATAAAAATAAAATGCTCATCCCTGACCGTCACACGCGTCTTTCCAATACCAGTGAACTCTTGGCACAATAATCACCAGATACTCAAGCATCGCTTGTGTGTTTTCGTAAATTTTTTTTATCACCATCTTTTATTGACTCTCCCAGTGTCATTGAGGTGTGCAAAAACCACTCAATTAATCCACCTTAATCACTTCTCAATATAGCACAACTTATCACGAGTGTTCTTATCTTCTCGATGTGCCTCTTCTCAAATATTGCGCCAATTTCGGTTCTACATTGCATGGCCTTGTTGGGAATGGACTACAAGATATTGCAAAAAAAGGAAGAGCTTCATCCAGAAATCATGCGCAATTCGAGAAGCCGGGTTCTCTACCACTCATCTCCATTTTTGGATATATCTCAAGGATCTCGAGAATTGTCTTCTTGTCTGTTCAGCGAAGCGGTTCAAGCCGCTGAGGTAAATGCCAAGTTTGTAAACAAATACAGCGAGAGAGTGAGAGAGACTCTAACCGCCTGCAGCCAGTTATATTCCTAGACATACTCTTGATTCCCCTGCGACTCTACATTGTTTAATTTCCTAAACAAACCATCAGGAATGCGCGATTTTTTTAGTCATGGTGTTTGAATGCTCTGCAACTCTACGTTGACTTCTCTTTAATGCGCCTCGAAATTAACACTCCGCGCGCTCTTCGCATTCTCTCAAAGGGGAGCGGCAGTGAAGTTGGGGATAGACAGAGAGGAGCGAATAGCGCCAAGCAAGAGAGTGAAGGAAACGAAAACACAGCACTCGAGAGTCGATATGGGAATTCTCTCACGGTTGGCTCGTAAGCATGGAAAATGACACAATTAAACACTAGAAAAATTAATTGAACGTTTGTGCATAAAGTTAATTAATTAATCAATCTGTGAATTGAACATAACTTGAAATTTACATTGAAATTCAGTAAGATTTTCTATAGAATATTATGCTCTTTTCATCCACAATGTGCGGTGAGCAATCAGCGTGAGTTTCTCTCTCTCTCACTCTCTCACGTTGGCGGGAGTCAGAGTGATGCCTTCAGAGCTCCACACTGCCCCAAGAGCCAGTCCATTCGCAGAGAGACTCTCATGCAGTCAGCATTCTCCCTCAACACCACACATTTTCCCAGCTATTTTGACAAACTCCCTAAGAAGACTCTATCAAATTGAGTAAAGTGCGATTCCAGCAAAGATTCACATTGAAAAGTCACCTGAAAAGTGTCAAAAGCGCCCCCAAAACAAACTTCAAGTGGCAGAGAGACCACCTTTTCTCACATCTCACGCGAATGTGTGTACGTGACTGAAGAGAAACATATTCAAGTGTGCAGAAATTGCATTCAATTTCTCCTTATTTTGTGTTTACAAACAAATTTGTCACTATCACTCTCGTTATTGGTGCAAAAGACACAGCATATCGAAAGGATGAGAGAGAAAGTTTAGGAAAATTGTCATCCGCTTGAAGCAAACTGCCATCAGACGAGACAATATAGCAAAAAAAATATCCACCTTGTGAAGCCAGAAGGCAATCAAAACCAACGATAATCGAGACAGAAAACTGTGCAAAAGGGTGCAAAGACTTGTGCTACATAGTTAAAAGTTGCAAAGGAAGAAGTTTCTGGTGAAGCATACAACACAATTGTCAACGAATTGGGAGGTGAAGTGCTGCAGCACACCAGTGTGGTATTGATCCCCTCGGCATTCTCCACTCTCACCTTCCTCACTTCGCGTTTGTTTTAAGTTCCATCGACACAATTTCCCGAGCATCCGGCCTTTCCCATGTGTTCTGTGGAAATTGGAGCAAAAGAGTGAAATTGGATTTTACACCATAGTGAACCAAAGTGCCAATTCAAATCTATTCATACGTCCTTCTGAGAAAATCTCATTTCCAATTGAGCACAACACTTCACAGCAGATTTTCTTCCCAACACGCTCCACTACATAATTAATCAAGAGAGAGAGAGGAAGCAGAAAAGGACCTCAAGCCGAAAGTGATGGAAAGCAAATCAAAGTTGATGAATCGCAGTAATTCCGTGATAAATGCACTGAAATTGTGGCCATTGACGAAGCAAGAAAAAACAACCACAGCCTTTGGCAGTTCAGTGGCTGTCCAGAAATTGCGGGAGTCCAAGTGGTTTGATGAGGACGAGCAAAGGATCTTCTGTGCTGTCGTCGAGTGTGGCTTTATTGTGGAGGTGAAAGGTGGCCAAGAGAATGAAGGGTGGTTTGGCGTGGTGATTTGCAAAACGGCTAAAGGTGAGTAACTTAATTCTATCTATAACATAAATTGCCATTCATAGCAAGATTCATAGCGTAAATTAAGCCATACAAGCAATGAACGAAAAATACAATCAACTCCAGGGACAATTTGTGTGTGGCATCGTGATAATCTCTCTCTCACACTCACATGACCACTCAATTTAACAACAATGAGGTCAAACAATCTCAACTCTATGGAAATCACCTTTTGCCATCCTCGCACATTGTGCATCGCAATGCAATTTTCTCTGGCGCATGCTAAAAATACTTTGCAACTCAATTCACAATCATCCAGGGAGAAAATGAAAAGCCACAAGCCATTTCTCTCAATGAAATTCCTGACCGAACTCAACATTTTTCTTTCTTTTCATTTCAATTAAATAGTATTAAAACTAGATGCGAGTCACGTAAACAATCGCCTCTTCACACCACTCTGTTATTATTGATTTCCAATCATATTTCGATGATCTTTGCTCTTCTGTGATAAACAAGCATAATTCATCACCGGAGATCGTGATCGTACAATGATCCACAAGGCAAGATCACTCAAAAATTCATATTCCAAATGCAACAATAGCCAAAGGTTAACACTTGAAGATCATGGACATTGTACTTCCTCAATGATCAAACGCAATTGTTTCGAAATTTCCCCCAACGTGGGTGTAATAAACAAGAAAATCAGTCCCCAATATAGCATGTTGAACAAATAGATGGTAATTTGTACCGAATTAAACATGCATTAGCGAAAAAATTATGTTAAGGTGCAACACAGCAAACAATTGTACACGCTTTGCTCTAGATTTTTCTAAAAATAAATTCAACAATTGTGCTTTCCCATCTCTTTTTCATCATACTTCCACTTACACTTAGTCTGTGTCTATGTACTCTCAAGCCCACCTCTTTTTCTATTTCCATCATCTTGCAGCGGAATTGACGGTGAGGAAGAAGTACAAGCAGAAAAAGTGCTCATGCGCTTGTTACTCTCACGAAAAGATGCGAGATGGGCAGGAAACAATAAATGAAGAAATTATACTTTTTTGCACCCAATAGATTGATTTAAAGCGTCGGCAGAAATCACTCAATGGGAAAATGAAAAAAATGAGAATTTAGAGATGCTGAAAACGGTATGGTTTCACCGTTGGCATTGTTAGAATCAGCGAAATTGCTTCCACAAACGCTCAATGATCACTTAATTTCCTTTTGTCCTTACTTAATCATAGGAAATTATGATACAAACTAACAGGAAATATTGTTTTATACGAGAATTCTATATTCATTGCTTGAATTACCAATCTGCCATAGTCTTTTCTCATTTAGGGAGCATAAATTGTATTGTCTAAAGTTGTCTTGGGAATCACAGTGACCAAATCTTGAGATAAAAAAAAAACAGTTCAATATCTAATTCAAAATGCACTTTAGCAGTGAGATTTTGCACAATTTTCCCATAAAATCACAGTGATAATTATAACACTTATATTTTCCTCTTTACTGCCTGCCACCAGTTCTAGCCTCTTATCATTCTTGTTGTATGTTTTCCACTCACTCTTCACCCATTTCTTGTGCAATATTGTTGTTTCGGCGGCAGATTGGCAAGTATCCACATCGTAATTCTCAGTATATTCACTATCTTCGAACACAATAGTGTGTGTTATTTATTTTTATATACGCATAAAATGTTTTTTGAAGTCTCAAGAAGTGAAGAATTTGGCGCCCCGCTGGCATGTTTCGCGTCTGCAAATCTTTCGCTCTAGAACTGATCAATTTTTCGCTTCAACTTCTTCCTCGTCGATTCTTTGCTCCGCTTTAATTTTTTAATTAAAATGCACTTATCGGCTTTATCTCTCATGCAATGCGCAGATGAGGTCTCATTGCGTGTTGATAAAAGGAAGGCCATAGAATGGAAGAAGGTCGACTTCTGATCATCAAACGTGCCTAAACTCACGAGTTCACAACTTTAAGACAGCATTTCTAAAGCAAATATTGTGGAAAATGCTGTCTAATTATTGATTTTCTTAGCACAATAGATCTCCTTATCGCGCTCTCTTCCTCTCATATTTCACAGATAAGAAACCAAAGCCGGAGAATATTGAAATCTACACGATTAAGATCACTGAACGGCGCATGAAGATACTCAAGATGACACTACCCGATGTTTGGCGTCAGGGAGCCAAGTTGAGGATTAACAATTTCGGGGACAAGGAGAAGGCGGCACATTCAGATAAAGACATCCGGAATCAGGTGACATTCGCACAGAAAGCCAAGCAAATGCTGTGGCACAACAGCAAGCACTTCGCCTATTGGTGCCGCTACGGCGATAGACAGCAAGACGTTCGACGGCGACAGGTGAGAATTTTGCCAATACTTTTTCTTTTCTTCACATATGTCGCCAGTACTTATTATTATGCATTCTGAGCAATCATGCTCAGAGCTTCACAACAGAATTATCTTTGATAAATATTGAAGAGGGAATTATCATATTTATATTCTCTTGACTCTTGACCATTTGCTTTCTGTCTCTTCTCTGCAATTGCGTTGTATTTTATCCAATTTCCACAGATAAATTACAGTAAAAAGTGTCCCAGAAAACATGATTTCATTTGATCAACCAATTCGATATCTTTTAGCGCGAGATATAAGAAAACATTTCCTAATCACATTAACTCATTGAGTCCAATCAACACTATTGGCAGCCACAAAATTGAGAGAAATTCACCTTTCGGATTCGCGTGACCCAAATGCGCACAATTTATTCGGAATCACGTGTGAGGGGGTGTAAAATCAATTATAAAACACAACAGAATTGCAGTTAAATGCTACAATCGATCAAAAGAAAGCATCAAGGCTGAGGGGATAAGAAATTTGGGACGTGCTTCTGAGATAAGATGCACTCAAGAGTTGATGTTATTAATAGAATCTTATCAGAAAGCCACAATTTGCTAATTGATGCAAACCAATTAACTCCTGACACTCTAACATCAATGATTATTTCTGCTCTATCTTCCAGATGTCAGAGTGCGTGAAGTGGGGAAGTGTCGGCATGAATGCCGGAATGCTCCTGCTGATGAACCGCCAGAAAGCCCATTCCACGTCTAAATGACCCAATCACGCCACAACAAGTGCCGAAAGTTTGTGCTTTTCTGATCCTGAGGATTATCTCACGAAAGACATTTTCCCAAATTGAGAGAAATTGCGAAAGACTTCTTTTCCCTGCCTAACCATTCATTTCGTCCTCGCCAAAAAACCAGAAATTTATGCTGATAAAATGTAAAAGATTACACTCTATAAATTGACTGTACAAGTAATTAGTGATTTAGTTTTGTAAGAAAAGAATAAAAATTGTTTTTGAGTCATTCTTCAACGCGTAAAAAAGAAAAAAAAGAAATACTAAGACGCGTGAAGAATTCTATTATTTTTTTAGAAATACTATTTTTTGATATCAAATATCAAGATAATATGAACTATATGGAGCCTGTGTAAGTTATTTTTTTCTGTGACAACTTTCAATAAAAAAAGTATTTTTGTAAGCTATTGTGGATATTTTTCTTGTGATAGAAAAATAAATGATTGAACAGCTAGTTTGGGGTCTTTGACTTACCTCCCGAAGAAGACCAAATAGCACATCTGTCGATAAGGATCTCTCGTGAGCTTCATCCATTATAATTGCCGCATAATTATCCAGGTCGGGCTCTCGAAGGCTCTCCCTGAGCAGAATGCCGTCCGTCATGTACTTGATGACTGTGCTCTCCGACGTACAATCCTCGAATCGAATGGCATAACCCACTTCTTCACCTGAAAGAATAAAGAAGTAGTATTAAGAAAGCCTCCTTTTACTCAATTCTCTCGAGACTCACCCAATTTGGTTCCCATTTCATCTGACACTCGCTTCGCCACGGACATCGCAGCCACTCTCCTCGGTTGAGTGCATCCAATCATGCCGAATTTGCTATATCCATCTTCATGCAGATATTGCGTGAGTTGCGTAGTCTTTCCGCTGCCCGTTTCACCCACAATGATCACCACAGAATTCTCCCTGATGACATTGAGCAACTCCTGCCGCACAGCGAACACTGGAAGATAGTTCCTCTGCTCGTGAATGGTCTTCTTTCTCGAAAACTCACTCTTCTTCTCATTATCCGCCGCCATCATATGTTCAGCAAACTTCTGATCCTTTCTGTAGTCCGCCGTGTCGGTCTCCTCATTGAATTTCTCGTCCTCCTCGTCAGTCCTCTTCTGAATGCCCATAATATTTCCAATTTTCGTTCCACCGAGCTCCCAATGCTTCTTCTGCGCCTTGCGACGCTCCTTCTGCTCTCGAAACACCCTCACCAAGGCACTTCCTTTGCGCGCAATCAGCGCCATGTCGCTTGTGGGATCCTTCACCGGAATCACAGGCTCGGGCTGCTTCGTGAAGACAATGCGGCCATCCAGAAAGGGTGGAACAATATGGTGCACCAACAAATGCACCCTTTCGATCGCCTCTTCATCGTAATCCTCCGATACATTGATGGACATCACAACTCCCGAAGTCAGCATCCGATTGCGCTCCCACAATTCATTATCCTTGTTGATCTGACGCTGCTGCGCTGACATTCTCTTTGTGCGCTTCTGCTCGAGCTGTTCCTCCCTGCGCCGGAAGTACTCAGAATTTGTGCCACCAAATGGATTGTTCTCTTCATCGTAGCCCTCATCGATGTTATACCACTCCCGATCCAGGCGCTTCTGCTCCTCCTCCCACAACTCCTTGTCCTCCTCGTTGTTCCACGGCTGATGGTGCGCAGTGCCAATGTCGCGGGAACTGCGTGGAGTCGCTCCTGAACGCCTCCGATCATTAGCCCAGCTATTGAACTTGTGCGCTGGTGTGGCTCGTGGTGTCTCATCCTCGTGCCTGTGTCGAGACGACCAGGGCCTCCTGTTGCTCCTCTCAGACCACTCACTCCTCTCCTCTGAGGACTTCGGCGTGGGAAAGTCCCAAGAGGACTTCTTCAGCGGAATCCGCTCATCATCCTCATCCCATGACGAGCCAGAGACGGAATATCTCCCGGAATCACGGGGTGTGCGAGGAGTTGAGTCCCTGGCACGCGATGAACTTCCTTCACGACGATGCCGATCATCTCTGCTGCTCCTGGATCTATCGTAGTCACGGTCTCTCTTTCGGCTACTCTCTCTCTCCTCATTGCGTCTCTTGTGCTCCTTCGTGGACGCGTACACGCCCTTCTCCCCACTTCTACTGGCCACATTGCTGTTCGCCATCCTCTCCAGCATCCGATGGCGCGCTGTGTCCGTAACTCCACCAGTGTGCGACGGAGTCTCATCGCCCCCATCGCGATACTTCCTACTCAGTACGTGTGATTTGCTGATGTCCGGCGTCTTGAAGCCCCCCTTGCTTGACGATTCAGACCCTGCGTCATCATACTCACTGTCTTTGAATGAAATCAGTCGGCTGGCTTCCTTCTCTCGCTCCTTTCGTCGAGCAGCAGCCAATTTATCAAGGCCAAGAAGCGACGGCTTCGGCACCTTGAAAACAGACTCTTTGGGCTCCTTCTTGATCACCAATCCACCCACACTCGAACTGGAGCCCTCCAGCCGATGAACCCCACTCTCTTCATCCGAATCCATTGGATTTTCTCGATAAAATAAACGTATTTCCCTATTGTTTACACTTTTCCAACACCTGCAATTTTGAGGTTATAGAAATGACAACTGCTTACCGTCGCCAGCAATCCTGGTGGCCAACACAAGAAGACTTGAGTGAGAGTTGTGTAGAGTAGATTTGTGTTTTTCAGTGAAATTCGTGGAAAACAAGACGGAAAATGGATGTTTTCAATAAACTCTATTCTTCTGTGAGCAGCACAGTATCACAACTACAGGGTGTGCTACCGGGGAATCCCGTGACGAGGGAGTTTGAGGTGGTGGAACACATCGCAAGTGCAGGACCAGGTGAACTTTTACCCACACGTAATTGATTAGTCACAACACTAATCCGGGCGATTCCCTTCTTTCAGGCCTTCTGTGGAAGATCTACCGTGGCTATAAGAAGTCTACGCGACAAGAGGTGGCAGTGTTTGAGCTGGAGAAGCGCCAATTGGAGCGATGGCAGAAGGACGACCGGGAAGTGATGATGGAGACCATGAAGAGAGGAATCAGTCAACTGACCAAGATTCGCCATCCGCAAGTGCTGACTGTTCAGCACCCATTGGAAGAGAGTCGTGACAGCCTGGCATTCGCCACTGAACCCGTCTTTGCATCTCTGGCAAATGTCCTGGGACACATTCACAATGTTCCCCAACCGCTGCCTAGCACTCTGGCGGGATTCAAGCTGTTCGACGTGGAGATCAAGTACGGGATTATGCAGCTGGCTGAGGGTCTGGCATTCTTGCACTCGGACGTGAAACTCTTGCATCGGAACATCTGTCCTGAGTCCATCATAGTCAATCAGCAGGGTGCTTGGAAGATCTTCGGATTTGACTTTTGCATCCTCAATCAGACGCCTCATGAGGCGAAGCCTTTCTGGCCATATCAGGAGTACAACTCCACTTGGCACGTTCTCACGCAGCCTATGCTCGAGTATATGGCACCCGAGAATGCCCTCATTTCCGCCCACTCGCCTGCCAGTGACATCTTCTCACTGGGCATGCTCATCTACACCATCTATTCAGTGGGCGGAAAACCCATGAAGAGCTTCGGGAAGGACTGGGGATCCTTCAGGCGCTTCGCCGGGGAGCTGAAGCAGGGACGTATTCCCAGTCTCTCCCACATTCCCGACACTCTTGTGGATTACGTGCGCCTGATGCTGAATGCCACGCCCGAAATGCGACCGGAAATACATGACTTGAGCAAAGTGCCGCACTTTGATGATGTGGGTGTGAAGACTCTGAGCTACCTCGATGCCCTCTTCCAGTGGGACAACCTGCAGAAGTCCAAATTCTACAAGGGACTCCCACAGATCATCTCCAAGTTGCCCCATCGCGTGAACATGCAGAGAATCCTTCCGTGCCTCGTGAAGGAGTTCATAAATGCACCCATGGTGCCATTCGTGCTGCCCAATGTACTCCTGATAGCGGAGAATTGCACGGAGAATGAGTACAAGAGACATATCCTGCCGCCGCTGAAGGCCGTGATGAAGATTCAAGAGCCCATACAGATCCTGTTGATTTTCCTGCAGAAAATGGATCTGCTGTTGAAATTGACTCCGGCGGATGATGTGAAAACTGATGTCCTTCCCATGCTCTATCGCGCCCTCGAGTCGGATGCCCAGCAAATCCAGGAGCTTTGTCTCTCCGTGCTGCCCACATTCGCCTCCCTCGTCGACTATCCTGCCATGAAGAATGCCCTGCTGCCGAGGATCAAGAAACTCTGCATCGGGACGCCATACATGTCTGTGAGAGTGAATTCACTCCTCTGCATCGGCAGACTTCTTGAGCATCTGGACAAGTGGTTGGTGCTGGACGAGATCATTCCCTTCCTTGGGCAAATTCCATCCAGAGAACCCGCGGTTTTGATGGGAATTTTGGGCATTTACAAATTGGCGCTGACCCACAACAAATTGGGCATCACGAAGGACGTCATGGCAACCAAAGTGATCCCTTTCCTAGTTCCTCTCTGCATAGAAAACGGATTGTCGTTGAGTCAATTTAACGCTCTCATCTCGCTGGTGAAAGAGATGATTGATCGCGTGGAAGTGGAGCATCGGACGAAGCTTGAGCAACTGAATTCGATTCAGCAAGAGTCCAAAGCACTGGACCTCAACTATGCCAATGCCACGGGACCTCTTGTGCCCTCAGTGCCGTCAAGCCACAATTCCGAGATGGACAAAATGTTCTCGAACTTGGGTCTGGATTCGTACTTAAACACATCACAGCATGACCCATCTCCTGTCACCGCACAACCTGCAGTTGAAGTGAAGGCCAGCACTTCCTTGTCGCTGGAAGAGAAGCAGCGGATGGCGAAGCAACAGGAGCAGGCCCAGCGTTTGCAGAAGCAAGCGACAGTCGTGCCCAAAGTGGCACCAGCAAAGCCGAAAGATCTCACGTCCACCCTCATCGAGGCCAATCTCAGCCAGATCAAGACCACGCCCGCGACTCGCGCGAGTGCCATCAATAACAATCCTTCGATGGCCTGGAGTCCGACGACTACGGCCGCGCCTGCAAACTGGAATAATGCCGTGTGGACACCAATGCCGGCGAACACGAGTCAGTGGAATAACAACAGAGGCGCTCCGGCCAATTGGACAGCCCTGGACTCGCTCTTGCCGCAGAACAAGAGCACGGGCAAGATGAGCCTAAATCAGATGCAGACCACGAATCAGCCACTGCTGATGAATCCCAGTCAGAATCAAAGTAAATCGTCAACAAATCAACTCAGTACGCAGGAAATTATGGATTTTCTGGGCTGAATTCTGTGTCTTTGGCGTCTTTACATGTTTTTTTTTTTAATTTATCGTGATCGAGTTCGCTTCTACCGCAATATGCATTCCGCATAGACAGATAGATTGTGCAATTACGATGAAAACTGTCTCTAATTATAAAGTATGAAATGTGTTATCTAAATATATATATAGTAAAATTACTGGAAAACTTGTCTGTTAATTATTGGTTGAGGTGGGAAAAAATCAGCAAAGTGTGGCGAGAAATTCCCCCTTGATTTCTCACTTTCTCGTGTGTAGATTCAAATGTTGTGTGTGAAGTGAGCGCAGAACTGCTCATGGCATCCAACGTTGAGACCATTCGACGCAGGCAAGACGGTTTTTTACAGCCTGTGTCAGCCAGTACGATTCTGTTATCGAAGCGAGCGGGAGTGTATTTTGATCACGTTGGGCCGAACTGTTGAGAGATCTTGAATTCCTCAGAGTGGAGAAAAGCATATTGTTGCAGATTCCGGAGTGTTCACTGCATCGTCTTGCATTCTAGTGTCTGGGTGGAATTTTCCGTGGAGAGAAAAGTGCTGAGCATCCTTGAAGAAGGGTGTGTGAATTGAAGATTGTGCGTCATCCTTTTGTTGTTCTCATCACAGCGAAAAAGGAGCTTACTTGAGCCAGCCAAAATGGGATTAAACGGATGTTGTGGAGTCATAAAGTATCTCGTGGTCTTGGTCAACCTCATCTTCTGGGTGAGTTCGGTCATTAGAATATTTAATCATAAGGAAAAGTCTAACATCTTGTGCAGATGATGCTCATAATGACGACATGCACAGTGGCGATGACAATTTTCGCCCTAAAAATAAATTTCTACGCTCTCGATGAGTTGCTGCTCGTGTTGGCAGGAATATTTCTGCAAAGCCGTCCAACCAAGTGGGAATAGGGAAAAAGTCCGTCTGCTGTTTGCCATGGGTGCAGAGATGGAGAGACGAAGAAAGGGCGCGCGCGAGAGATGTTTAGAAGAGGGAAGAAGAGAGGCAGATGATGGGAGAGGAAATGGTGGACAGAGAATTTTCCCAGTGGGAAACAACTTGGCCTGGGAGTGATTGTGAATGAAACAGAGATGGGAATAATTGGTTGGATGTGGAAAAAATTGTGCGAAAGTCAGCAGATAGAACCAGTTTAACAATTCTCTCGCCTCTTATTTCCTTTCCCCCGCACAGACACACATTCACGAAAACTTGCATTTACTACCAATTTTTCGTCTTTTTCCCTCTCTCGCTCTTTCACCAATTTCATCTTCTCCCATTGCGCTATTCCGCCTTTTCTCGTCATCCTCCAGAGAGTCCGCAGAGCACGTCACTGTGTTCGTGGCCTCACATCTCCGCCATGAGGGCACAAACAGGCTTCGCCGCACGCACACCCAGTCACACATTCAAAATGGCACTCTCTCTCTCTCTCTGGCCATCGAGAGAGAGACTGGCAAAGAAAAGTGAGAGTGTATCTTTGGGCGCTGGGAAATCCCAGAATTCCCACCAAAATCATCCAGACTCCCGCAAAATGACCGCACAAAGAAGAAATCCCACTTGAAAACCCGCATGAACAGTGGCAAACACTCTCTCGAACATGTCCTCCAGAGTCATTTTCCTGCGATGCCTGGACCAGAGATGAGAGCAGATCGCTGTGGCGCATGCGAGCAAAATCTCGTGATTTCCCAGCGAACTGAAAACCCAAATACTCTGTGGCTGACGAAGGGATTATTGGGTCGAAAAGTCCTCCCAAACCACCCCCAAAACACGCCACTTTCCTCAGGTCATCGAGAAGATGCCAGAGCAACTGAAATTATTGTCCGCGCGCACACTTCCTGGCCAGGACTTGGCCTGAAAGGCAGTAATTTATTCATCCTGGCAAACCAGTGCGATTTCCCTTTTCCCATGTCCTTGCAAACCTCAAGCAGAGTTGAAATGAGTGACGTCACCATGCCACACCTACACATTTTATTTTTATTCTTACCCATCGCAATTTGTCGCAATAGGTTCTAATTTACAGGAATTTCATTCCGCGAAAATCACTCAGAAGCTACTCAAATTTTTAATGTCACGCATCTATATTTATCGGATGATTCCGACTGACCTGCACAAGAGCTTGAATGATGATTATTTTTCAGCGAATATGACTTGTTGGCTATTGTCAACAGATTTCTGGCGAATCGCACAGATTCGCCATTCATTTTGAGAGAGGGAATGGGTTTTAACTATTTCTCTCTGTTCTCCTGATTAGATATGCAAGCAAAGATATTTGAAGTTTAGCAAGCTCATCTTGCAATTCTGTTGACTTGAATAAATTGTTTGTTTTGGTTGTCCATTTTTAAATGATAAAAACACAGTTCAGATAGATAAAGCATGCTTCTTGTAATCGTATTTACTTTCCTAAATGTATTCGAAGATATTTTGATCTGAATTCTTTGGAGAAAATCCAAATATTCTAAATCGGGAATAAAATGCGAATATTAAGAGATCTAAAACGACTCTAAGCAGAGTTATGTGTGGTCAGAACTTTTCATGGTGTTTTAAACTTTTGAAATGTTGTTTTCAAAACAATGAATACCCATTAACTGCTGCTTTATTTAGTGTGAAACACTTTAAGACTGCAAATAAATTGAATGAATATGAGCAAAAAATGTTTTGAAAAATTCCTCGAAATGGAGAGATTTTATGAACATTTTAATACAAAACCTAAATCTAATATAATTTCCAAATATTTTGCGATACTTAAGAGATTATTAATCAAACCATTGTTCCTGGAACCCATTATTTTTGTTGCAATTCTATGAATTCCTCTCTTCTTTGGCCCGTTTCGCATGTTTTTGACTGAATTCGTTATCAAACACAAAGGCTTTTGAAAATCGTGAGGATCTTGGGAAGGACTTTGAATTCCCCTTGAATCGAAACCCCTGCAAAGAAGGGGTTTGTCCCATTTGGAAGTCTCGTCACACTGTTTCCAGGAAAATATCTTCGTGGAGGGAATTGTACAATATATAGGTACACACGCAGAGAAATACATAATTCATAGAGGCATGCATTTCCGGAATAATAAATGATTTTCAGAGGATTTTTTCACCCGACATTTCAACTCCCTCACAATCTATATTATTGGACATAAAATGCAGTCGTTTGTCTTTTTCACCCCCTTTTCGTTGGGAAGAGAAAGTCACGAGGCTTTCAAGGGTAATAAATTCATCGAAATGAAACAGGGGAGCGAGAGGGTGACACCAGGCGGCAAACATAGAAAATTGTAAGAGCAGAAAAAGTTCAATAAACTTGAGAGCAAATAATAGAATTTTCCTGCAAGTCAAAGGAATAATCCTGCGAATGAGTCATGAGATTTATTCTTGTGAGGCGAAACAACACCCACAATCATGTGTTAGAGCATTTTTGCCTCCCTTCCTTATTTCATCTTTGTCTGCATTGACTTCTTGGACTGCCTTCGCACAAACACACGCATTGGTAATAATCAGTGGAAGATTTTCAATTGGTGGGATCTTCTAAAAATAGTCTCGAAAAATTGAATGTATGTTTTCTAATGTGAGAGATGCAGAGAATGAAAATTCTAACATTTGAGCATCGGAGAAAACCTGAGCCAATACTTCCTCCTCTGAAATTTCATTTTCATTTCACGCTCTTTCTCTTTTCACCGAAAATACTATCTGAGGGGTGTGTTAAATGAGGCACAGACTGCGAAGCCACTTTCAGTGGCGTACAGTGAGAAAATTAAATTGACTACAATTTCTCAATTTTGCAACCACAGCAAATGACTTCTTCACATCTGTAATAAACCACTCCTCGACACCGTGAAAATTCAATTAGGATCCTTTTGGCTGCGTGTGTTGTATATTTTGTTAAAATTCCTTTTATTATGGCAAAAAAGAACGAAAATGACATTAATTTACTATCGCTTGTGTGGAGCTTATTTACCCAATTCCCCGCGGCTTTTGGGTGGGTTTTTTCGCTTCTCTGCTTATACTAAAGGGTGTTGATTAATTACGTTTACTGCCATCAAATGGCATTCGCAGGTGTGAAAAATGGCAAAACACACTCTTCACATTTTGTGCAAATTTCAACGTGTTAATAAAGGAACGATACGAGGTCAGTTCCTTTAGGATTTATTAGTGATAAACACTTTGTATTAACAAAGTGGATAGTAAAAATTCTAATTTTACCACAGACACACCAAGAAAACCGCATTTTGATCTTATAGCAAGGTTTCTCCTTTTTATTACCAACCAACCATTCCAAATACGCACAGTGACTTGAATATCAAGCTGAAGACAATTGATAAGGGGAAAAAGCAGTCTTGGAAGACAAAAGAGATTGTTATGAATAATAAAAGTTGCATAATTCCTCACTTATTTACATAATTTTATAAGCATCAAGAAGAAGAAAAAATCGTTAAAAGTCTTCAGCCTCTCATATGGTGTAATTTACAAGCAACAAGGCAGGAAAAAAGGTCATTTCTTACTCAAGCTTGTATGAAGAATGTTTTCTTTATCAGAATGAAAGAGTGAGAAAAGAGATTTTCTGAAGTATAATGTTGCAAGTTTGAAATAGTGTGAAATTGGTGGGAGGGAAAAAAAGAGACTGGAAAATATTTCTCACAGACACACAGAAAATGCATGAAAATAAATTCTCAATGGCAATAAATTATCTCTCTCAACTTGCCTATCGATATTTCATGTCACAAACACTCTCACTGAATGAATGAATGCAAAGGGAGATGAATTTTTAGGAAAGGGAAAAAGAACATTGAGATAAATATAAGGTGAATTGTTGATTTGCAAAATGTGCAACTCGTGTGAATGCCCTCGTATGACTCTTTATTTATAATTAATTCCATTGCAAATAGAACTCCATGCGTTCTATCGATTGACCCATTTATAATAAAGTGTGGTTTGTATTGAGGCTGCAGCCAAGCTGCTGTCAACAACATTCTGTCCGCAGATTGCATCTGCAATGAAAATTGAAATGAAATGTGATATTTACAGATTAGTGCACCTCAGAATATGTCTGTGATTTTCCACAAACGTGCATTCACAGTGATGTTGTGTCTGTGGAGCAAAATTAAAGAGGCTTCGTGTGGATTGAGAGGGCTTTTAATTTGAATAATATATGAAACCCACGTTGATAGTATATAATTCTATTTTCTTGTGGGTTTTTCACGTCAAAATGATTTCTACTCCCAATTTATTGTGCTCACATAAAATGCTAATGTGTGTCTGTTGAAATTTCACCCAATTTCATCCTCGGGAGTCCTCCAATTCCTCGATAAGAGGAAATTTAATTAGATAAATGTGTGCGAAAGAAAAAGGGTGCTGGCGCGCAAAGGTATTGATAGAAAAGTGATGTGTGTGAAGACCGGAAATAGGACTGTGATTCACTTAAATTTGTAGGACAAGGACACTAATACAAACCCATGGTGATTCTGCACACACCTTTTTCGGGAGGGTTGCGCTTGTGTGTGGCGCTTTCACGAGATATTGCGAACGGAGAGTTCATGCTCAATGCTCCAGAGTCCTGTTTATCGATTTTTCTCAAACTCTTCCTCTCTCGAAATCATCATCCCTGAAAAAACACAACAGCCAGACTCTCTTTCTCTCAGATCACCAGTGACGACACACTTTTCCATGTTATCCATGTCCTGGAAATTTAATCCATCGACAGAAGCAACATTTTTCACACTTCAACTCAGGACGTATTGTCTGAAGAAATGTGACAAGAATATAAAGTTGATTCACAAGAATTACCGAAGAATCCCGATGAATTTCTAATGAAGTGTTCAATGATCATTGTACAGTATAAATTAATTTTTATCGCCCATTGTTTCACGTCTTCAACACACATTGCATGAAATTTCAGTGAGGAAACCCACTTGTATTTTTCAGAGCGAAAATTATATATCATTTTGCTTCCATTATCACGAAGGAGAGTGGAAAAAGAAGAGGACATTATTATTATTGATTTCTACGGTCTAAAGATAACCTTTGGCAGTGATGAAATACCATATTTTACAATTACTCTAAAACTCATGAGCGTAGTGATTTCAACGACATACAATTTGTCTAATTAGTTTGCTCGTAAGCAAAGATGAACCACTCCTTATAAGCGACTAACTAGACTGCAACATATGCAAGACTCTGCCTTGAGGTATAAATTTTCACTTGTAGTCTGTCTTATGTGTGCCAAAACGATTATGAATATTTTCTGAAATATCTGTGGATTATTTCCAGAAGATATTTTTGTTTATATTACAAGCTATTTATCGATAAACACAATTAATCAACAAATTAGGAGTCGGAAGTCCTTCACAAATTCTAAACTTAAGATCTAGTCTTTCTGAGATTCACTGTAAGTTAATTACAAAATGAATAATTACTCTTTGTTCAGCTGTTTTAATCTGTTAATTAGGGTATTTGCCAGTCTTTTAGTCACTTGGGGAATTTGGTTTATAGTTCTTCGTGCTAAAATTGCCTTATAAATTATGGATTTATCGCATTTATCATGGCATTATCCATCAATCTCGCCTTACCTTCGAGTGATATAAGCGATTTTCAAAATAAATAATGCATTTCATTTCCGTCTTCATGGGTTTTTTTTCGCATTATTCCATTTCATGTAATGCGACATCAAAATGATAATTGCGAGAAGAAGCCCAAGAAAACTTCTATACATTTATGCCTGCGGGACAAATGTCTCGGCAAAAGGGTAGGTTTTTTCCTCTGAGGGGTGAAATGTAAAATGTGTACTAAATGGCGACTCTTGGGCGCCACAATTCTGTTCCTTTGACGTTGTCCTCTTTTTCCCAGTTTCATTCAAATAAAAATGATAAAAAGTGCGAGTCTGTTCTGGTCTTTTCCATATATTATGCGCATCTCTGCCAGTAAAAATTCTTTCATGAGTTTTCTTCTTCTTTTAGTGTGACAATGAACTTTGATTGAGCGTCTTTCCCATATCAATTTCCATGGAGGGGACCAGCAATTATGAAAAATGTCTGGAGAATAAATTAAATTACAAATATAAATTCCATCAGCACAGGAAACCGATCAATTGAGAGTGATTAAATGAAAGTCAGTAAACTTTGCTCACTACTGTTGTGATAGACAAGCACAGATCAGTGATAAATTTGTGAGGTAGATATTTATTTTTGATTTATCAATTTGAAAAACAGCAGCAGAGGCCAATGAGCTTCACTGAATGCCGGCGAGTGTAATTTATATTTCAACATGCCGCATTGCGGGAATAAGAAAATAGAAGAAGAGCCATTTAAATTCATTATTTATATTTGGGATGTTACCTCACTTTTGGCGAGAGAGTCTTTTTCTCTAAGCACGAGAGTGTAATTTAGCAAATTGCATTGTATTGCAATTTTACCTGTTTGCCGTTTTGCCCACGCCAAGAGACTCATGAGACATGATTCCGTGAAATTTTATTGCATAATTCCGCACTTTAGTGCTAAAAATTACAGCGTTAAGACAAATAACTGTAGAAGAGGAGCGGAGTGGAAACCTCTTCTGTTTTTCTTCAACTCTGTCCATTTTTCTCTTGAACCCATTTCCTTTCTATTTATCTTCTCCAAATATTTGCTTATGCATTTTTTGTTTCGCTTTTGTTGCCACTCATAAAATGAATGTTCAACGAAGATCTTCGCATTGATGATTGCACAATTTTTTTTTCTCTGCGAAAACATAATTATATCTTGAGTGAATATGCGAATGATTTTGACTAGTTGGAGAACAGACCTTGGCATACACAGGATGTCGTGACGCATGGAGTTATATTTTTGAGTGGAAAATACAGAAGACCTTTTAATTAATCTCTCAATTGAGGTACAAGAAATTTGAGATTCCACGAAGTGAGTTAAAGCATGGTTAATTGAGGAAATTGCTGTGGGTGTTTCTGACTGATCGACACAAAAGACTGTCTACCCAAAAAGACCACAGCAAATGCACTTTGTCAACAGTTTAACAAACACAGACAGAAAGTTCACAGAACTTGAGACATTTTACTTTGAGAAAACACTCAAGTGGAATTTATGATCACGATCTTTTTGATCTTCTCCTTGACATTTTGCCGCATTTTGTTGCCGTCGACAGTTTTGTAGGTGAAATCACCTCGATGTTTGCAAGAGTTTATGATTTTCTGATACCTGTGTTAGAGAAGAAGATTGTATGGTCAGAATGGAAACTCTGTGTGTTTCTAAATTTCCGTGAAGTTCAGCGAGTGTGAAGATGGAAGTTTTTCGCTTGATCTTTTTATTAAACTCGTGTGCATGCTCAAGAAGTGTAAAAGTGGGAAATATGTAATACATATAATATGAGCTCGAGAGTGAAACTCTAGTCGTTTTACTCTGTATAATCCATAATTATTTAACTTGAGGCATCGGCTTAGAAGCATATCGGTACCCGTTGTAGAAATTGTAATAAATATGTCGTTTCCATACATGCACATACATATTTGTATGTATATTAAATTCCCCCTTTTCGTGCGTCTCTTTGTGGTGTATGTAATGTGGGGATTCTTTATAGAGAAATTGTCAGATAAAGAGCATAAGCCACAGAGGTCATATGGCTGGTGATGTTTCCTATTTTTTGTCCACTCTCTTCATTTTTTCTGATGAAGTTCATGACAGAAAAATGACATGGGAAATTTAATTGAATTAGATGATGAGAAATTTAAATTGTAAATTTTTCAGAATAAATCATCTGACCCTCAAAGTCAATTGTGTAAAGGCAAAGTGAGAGCAAAAGAAGGCAGAGATAGTGAAGTTTAAGGTCTTGTACTTCCCACTCAGTAATTCTTTATATATGAGTTTGGCAAGCAAAAACTTTCTAATATGCCTTTTAAAGCAAAAATAATCCAGAATCACGCCTTGAGGCGAAATTACTTTCTTCTCCAAAGTCTTTCACACCCATTTTGACGGTTGTCGGCAAAATTTCACGTCTGATTACATGGTTTTTGGCCAATCTATTGTGCTTCCGTGTTTTGAAAAGTCAGAGTGAAAGGCTTGCATTTTGCAGACAATGCAAAAAATGTGGTGCGTCTTGCAAGTGACCAGCACTTGCAACACATGCAATTTCCCTTGACTTTACCTTGTCTCTTCTTACTCGACATCCCGTTTTGCACAAAAAAGAATGAGAGGCGAAAGTTTCCTTCACCGACATGAAGAAGGTTTACTCGTAACTCTTTCGACAAAGTACGATGGTCAGAGAGAGAGATTGAAGACGAGAAATGTGGGTGAAGCACATAGTAAAATTTCTGACACCTGCAAATTGTGTTCACCGAGAGAAAATGAAAAAATGCGTCTCCGCTATTGTAAATATTGCTTTCTCTTCGATTGTCGTTCAATTCCCAAAGTTTTTGTCTTTCAATTCAATTTACTTTCTTCCGCAGAGACAGAGCCACACACACACACACGTTAAATAATAAAGGCAAATAGAGATTTGGACTGAAACTTGACGAAAATTTCCACAAAATCATTTTATTCATTGAACAATTATGAAATTAAGGAAAATTAGCATATGCATAATGACCCCGACACGCAACACCAATTATATTCGGAGAATGTGTAAATAATGTGCAAATTAAGAGCCACACAAGCATTGAAATGGATGTACAGATATGGTTTCAGACCTTCATAGTCATACTTTTCTCTCATTTTTCGTCTTCAACGTATTGAGCACCTCATATATGAGTCATGGGAAAATAAAGGCACAATGAAAGAATGCATGATTATCTGGAGAACTGATGCTAAAAGTAAACTGATCATAGTTCAAACTATAAACTGTTCAAGCTCTTCCAAACCTACTTGATTTTTCTCGGTCAAATTCGAAAGAGTTCACGCAAAAATTGCATTTTACCGTATGAAATTGTCGTCATCATTAAATGGTGATTTCCTCACACTGGAGTTATGACTCAATTCCATAACTTTGTGCGAAATCGATCCTTTTTATGTCACCACCACTGATGAGGTAAATAATGTGGGATGAATGAACATTTTTTGGCTTTTAAAGCCAAATCTATCCTTCAATTCATTGGTTTTCGCCAGAAACTCGCCAATTGACTATTCATCGTGAGTGGATATTTGTGCTTTTCACCCCTTTTTACAGTTCTTGGACTGAGTTGAATGACTTGCTGATGTCTCATGTGACGTCACGGATGATTTTTTCGTCACTTCTCTGCCCCCTTTGGGATGTTTTCACCATCGTACCTTCCCTATTGGCGATAGGCAAGTTTTCACGTTCGCCGACACGGTGTGAATGTGATCTAAAGTTAGAAAAGATTGGAAGTCAGTGTGGTAAAGAGATACCGAAACTCTTAAAATAGCTTCTCAAGTCACACACAACTGAAACTTGATGTCTCTGTCGAGGATGGCTGATGTCATACTAATGCTGTGCGCCTTTCTTTTTCCCCTGCAGCTCGTTGGATTGGCCACAGTTGTGCTGGCGATATGGATGCTCACAGATCCGACCTTCCTGATTTCCATGACACAAGATGAGAATCACTACTACATCGGATTGTACATCTTCCTGGCGATCGGCGCTCTCATGCTCATTGTGGCATTCCTGGGATGCTGCGGCGCATTCAAGGAATCCCAATGCATGCTCGTGTCGGTGAGTTGAGGCACGCGCAAAGTGGCTGTTTTTAGATTACACCTCCTTGTCTCTCTGTCCTCTGCAGTTCTTCTGCTGCCTGCTGATCATTCTTGTGGCTGAAGTAGCCGCCGGAGTCTGGGCATTCCAGAATAAGCAGGAGCTTAGCAAGATGGTTCAGGCGTCCGTGAAGCACACCGTCAAGGAGGAGTATGGCATTATCAACAGCAGAACCATTGCCTTTGATGCTATTCAGAAGCATGTAAGAGATGTGTGAAGACAGCTGCCAATGATTCAATTTGCTAATACAGTTCTTCTATCCCTGCAGTTTGAGTGCTGTGGAGCAAGTGGACCTCAAGATTGGGCATCAAGTCGTTTGAACACAAAGGGAAAGGATGGCGGCTTCTTGGACATGAAGATCTCAAGTCTCAATCCATTGTACACAATTCCCGAGTCTTGCTGCAAAAAGGGCACTGAAAAGCTTGCCTGTGAAACATCTGTCAAAGGTGGAATATCATCCTACATCAATCCCGCCATAAATTCTGAGGTACTTATTGCAAAATATCCTTTCTACAAGTGCAAGAACTAACGGGTGACTTTTGCCACGTGTCTTTCAGGGCTGCGTGGACAAATTAGTGACGGCGCTGAAGGAAAACATGCCGATAGTAGTTGCTGTCTTCATAGGTATCATCACTGTTGAAGTGCTGGGATTGATCTTCTCACTCGTGTTGTGTTGTGCGATAAAACGCAACGATCACTACAAAGCCTAATTTATCCCTCTATCTCTTATGACACACTCTCTTCAGATAATTTTAAGCATTCTCCACAATGTTTCTCATGAGATTTCACTTTGTTCCTTATCATTTGAGACACCAGGAATATTTAAGGACAATATTGAATCTCCTGTGAAGATTATCTTACTCTCCCAATGATTGCAACCTGAATTTTTTTCTCTATATTAGGAGAAAACTCTCTGAATTATGAATTGAATTCATTCACCAATTAATATTGGTATAATATTTCCACTTTTTTGTCCACTTTACCAAGGAAAGCAAATGTTTCTTGCAATTGAATAATGATTATGAATGTTACCAAGGCAATTGCAATAAGAATTTGCTGTGGATTTTACTGAATTAGGAAAAGAGGGAAAACACGAGATTTTTGTAGTGCCAAAAAGATACACAAGAAGACACTGTAAAGACAAACTTCCTGTACGGCACAAACTTTTCTCTTATATTTGTTACTTTTTACTATCCTTCTAACACATTTTTGAACAATGCGCTCAAGAAATTTCACCACAATGTCGAGAAAAATCGAGTGAAAAGTCTCTATATTGCAAAGAATTAAATATGGTTGCAGAAGAAATATAATGATAATATATATTTATAACTTAATGTTATTGAATTAGAGGATATCGTTATTTTAACATGAGAAAGTCGCTCCTGAAATGCAAAAGAATGTGGAAAAGATGGAAGAAAAAGTGAGAGTTACAAATTTAGGGGTAAATTATATATATTTTTGACAAGGAAAAGAAAAGCAAAGAAACAAGAATTGAAGTGAACTCTAGTGAAGCGGAGTGAAATACACACAAGAAGAAGAAGATGAAGGAAATATGACGAGTCAAAATTGTTGAAATAAGAATTATATTTTTATGCTTCATGTAAAAGAGAGAAATAAAAGTATGTAAAATGTGTTTCTCGTAAGTGTGAATATTGTATAAGTATAATATATTTAATGAAATGAAATGCATAATTTTAAATGTGTATTAACTAGGGTTTAATTGACTTCTTTGGCTTTGCATAAATGTAATACCATTTTTTTTGTACTAAACTATACACTATATACTTTAAAATGTCTTACAAGAATCGAATTCAAGTCCAAATGAAGAATTTCTCGATATTTTCCTTTTTTGTAATCTTTTTGTATGAATTTTTATTTTACTAGAAGGAAAAAAAATCCACTGTTTTTACCAACAATCTTTACACACAAAAAAGCTGAAAAACTGATATTTTTATAATAGGCGAACCAAAATGTGGACATTTAATGAGCATTTTCAATTGACTAATAATATTTAAAGAGAAGAAGCTAAAATGTGTTCATTGTGTCATTTTTGTGAATAGATGTCTCTCTATAAGACGAATAATGACGATTACTATGGGAAATACAAATCTTTTCGAAACAGAAATCTTTGTAAAAACTTTTTATCTTGTATTGAAGCATTTTTTATACGTCAGTACAACTTTCATCATTTAAGTTTTTGTGTTAAGTTTTGCAATACAAAGTATTCTTTTAATTCACACGCATAGATTCAGTGACAAACACTAATTGCGAATTATGTCGTCTCATAAGTATAAATTTTGAAGAATTCATGTGACCCGTAGATTGACAAAAGAAGAAACGTATTAAAGATAGAAGATTTTAGCGTGTTCAATACTCCTTTTCCTCTTGCTAATCATTCACAAAAGTGATTTATGAAGATCATTGAAATCATTGTAGTAATGGATAGGAAGTTAAGCAAATGAAATGTGTTTGAAAACTCATCCCCAAGACAAACTTATATGTAATGGATAAAATAAAAAATAAATATGGAGAGAAAATGTAATAATTAAAATTTAAATTCATCATAAACTCAGAAGAAATGTAATATTTGTCATTAAACATAAAAATAAAAAAGCTCTCTATGGAAATGTACTGCAGTTTTCATTTGTGCGCAGAAGGGAAAACTCGGGAAACTTAACGATGAAGACTGAGGTTGTGTCTAGTCTTGTGCCTAGTCTGGACTCATTTATCGAAGGCATAACTATCAATCCTATAAACTTATGATTTTCTAAATGACTCTCTGCATTTTATCGGTTTCAACAGACATCGCATAACTCTCGAATAGGTAATCAGGATGAAGAAAATCTCCGTTTTCATTTCTATTTACCTACCTTTCTTATTCCTATCTTGCACTATAAGAAATTAGGCATAGAAATCGTGAGATTCTCAAGATACAAATATTGTGACTATCAATTTGCCTATATTCGGGCTTTACCTGTACTGAAAATTGGAAAAACTTACTTCCACTTCTCACAAGATGGATAAATTCGCGCTATTTTGAAATTATATACAGAATACACTGTTCTTCATAAAATTTGTGACACTATAAACATTTAATACAAATGTATGTATAAGTTCAGATTGTTATAAAAATTATTATCATGATATTTCTTACTTTTATTTTATTCAAGGGATAATACTAGAAAAATTGATTAAATTGATTTTTCAGGTGCGAGATGAAATTGGAACTCGACACATTGTTAATTGCACCGAAAAAGGACGAGAGCAAAGAAGCTCCAATTTTGTACCTTTTTGAATTTCAATATTCACAAATTATTGATGTATTGTTAATGTACCGCACCATGTTCTCTGCGTGCTGCATCAAATGAAAGTATATTTTATTGGATATTGTGCAAGATATGCACGGATCCATTGTATAATTCAATGAAATAGATCAGTAATACTTGAAGCAATGACTTCACAAAGTTTCTAATTGAATTCTTCTTTGGATTGTGATGTATAAAGTTTTTCAAAATTGTCCATTGAACTCAAATGGCCATTTTCGTTGTATGGCTTCGTGTTACATACACAATGGCAAATGAGCGGCTATTCTAATGTTTCAATAACTTTCCAAACAAATATGAGCCCTTCTAAATTACATACACAACATCGTCTGAGAAATCGCGTCTTTTATGGAGGATATACCTGACAGTTGCACACATCCAAACCGGAAATTAATGTGATGTATTCGAGAGAAACGAAATCGTTTTGACCTCTAATAACACCTTTGAGAGCGCGAGTGCAAAATACAAAAGACAGTTTTATAAGAAAAAAAATGCTCTATAAGGCCAAAGTATTTAGAAACAGCATAATAAAATATGTAGGTGCTTCTGCTATTGCATTGCCACTAATTTTTCATGCATACAAACAATCATTTTGGGTGAGTGTTTGAAAAAAAGAAGTGTAAAACAGAAGATGTTCAGTAATTGATGTGCAAATTAATGCGGGGATCTTCAGAGACCAGTGAGGATGGCATTGGTGTGATATTTTCAGTTGAAAAATTGGTTTCGCATATGCGACTTTTAACACAAATCATTATAATAAGGTGTAAGTTATTAATAAAGCATAAAATTTTTAATGAAGAGACACAGTTTTTGCGTCAATGCGATGCAGTATGTAAAATCTGGAGTTTCTTCTTAATGCACCTTGAAACATTATGTATGGACGGATTGTGGTGTTGGGAAATCTATTCGGACATAAATCAAAGTGATAAATCGGACTATTCTTTGCTTTATGTGACATTTTTAGGCTCAAATCATAAATTCCCAAGGCTTCATTCGATGAAATGATTTATCAATCATCTTCAAGATCTGCAACAACGCAATGCGATGATGTCTTTCACATTTCTTTGACGCAAGCTTCGGTGTAAATGAGGCATAAAAAAGGATCATGCGCAATTACAATCTTCTCCAATTGTGTCAAAAAGTACACAGTTGCAAATGCCACACGAATTTAGCAATAAGCGCCTTAAGAGCAGTTGAGCAAGAGACCCAACTCCACCATCAATCTAATCAAAATTATACTCTAATGGCGAAGAGGCAAAAAGCTACAGCTCGAAGGCCACAGGTAATTTCAATCACAATTTTATTGAGACGAGATTTCGTTTGGGAAAAGACGATGAACGAGCCGCTAGCCAAGGTCGCATGCTAACCTCTTTTCACTTACAATAAATTTTACTCATATTTCTCTTGCGCTTAAGCGTCTCAAAACTGCCGTCAAATGTGAGATTCGGTGTTATGTGCAATTTGATGAGAAATTTATAAGCGTATTTCGCTTTCAACTAGGTGCAAAAAAATGATTGAAATGAAACTTTTTATGGGCCCGTCTATGATTGTACACTACAACAATTTTTTTTCAGAATGCGTGCCTTTTCTTCTTGAGATAAGAAAAAAGGCTTATCGTTATGGCAATATATTGCAAAAATTATCAATCTCACTGTAGAAAGAAATTATTGATGTAAAAAAATAATCAAGGGGACTACATATTCATACATTTAGAAAATATTTGCTAACATGTTACTTGAAAAGTATTCAAAGACGCTCTGATTTGTGATTCCTTAACATATCCTCCTTGTAAAGACTTTTCCAATTACTTTTATTCTTCATAATTTATTCCAAATATTTATGTATTCACAAAATATTTGCATTACAATTTTTAGCTGAAGTTTCCCCTAGAGAATAATTTGAATTCACAGACGCTGGCTGTAAGGATGGGAACAGGAGAAATTTGACAGTGTAGCTTTCAATGGCATTTTCGGCGATGCTTTTTCCTCCGCGCTGTTTTTACTACACGCGTCGCTGTTATTACTATTATTGCTATTGCTAGTCGATATTTTTCGTTTTCCCCTTCTATGAGCGCCGTGAAAGAAACGAGTGGCTTGCAAATGGTGCTATTATATTGTGAACTTCCACTCGAAACAGTTTTGCTGGCCGTCGTCTCGCGGAGATTTGCGGTGGAACCCAAAGGCAGCTTTCGCGCGTATGAATTCGCCCGCTTCTGGCCAGTGTACGCGGAGTCGTGTCTTGAGATGGTAGCACATTTTCGGTGCTGCACACCCTGCACTTCGAGCGCCATCAGAGGAAAGTGAGAGAGAGAGAGGGAGAGAAAGAAGTCAAGCTGCATCGTGTGAAATTAGGCTTTGACGGGAGAAATTTGCAGAGGAGAGTTCATGAACTCAAGGTTTTCTGCATTGCCTGCACAGTGAACACTCTCATCTTCATTTGACGTGGGGGAAAAGCCTAAGCAAGTGCGAATGGATCTGTGGAGTGAGACGATCGGTGAATAAAAGTGTGCCACAGTACAGGAAAATATAAGCGAATATTCAGCAATAGCCTCTCCACAAGACAAGTTATTACATCAAAAGAAAGCAAAAGTGCAAAGTCTCTCGGAAATCGTGCATCTCTGCATGGTATTAGAGTTATGGCTAAAAAGTGAAATGTATATTCTTCCTTTTCACAGTACACCATTTGAATTTGGTTCATTCTGTTAAAAGCAAATTGTGAAAAAAAGTGTACATCAATTACAGTTGAACGGACACGGAACAGACTTGTTGTTAAAATTATATTCCTCACTTTATGACTCTTGATATTGTCAATTGTATGTGATTCTTCAAGTGAAAGTGAAATTGTGAAAATGACCGCGAGTAGCGGAAAACACTTAACATCACAAACTCTGAATGGAAAATCGCAGTCGTCATCATCAGAAGCCACCAACATGCTTAGAACGGCGATTTACACTATTGTGGACGTAATTGTATTCCTCCTCGTCTCGCTGGGATATTGTATTCAGGTAATTTGTCTCGATTTAGCGCAACTAACGAAATATGTATCACAAAACTACATAAGAAACAATCATTTTTCATCCAAGATATAGTGAAATATATTGCAAAAACACCTTGTTCGCTGCTTATGTATCACGTGTTAAACAGCATGCACTATATATTGTTAAACTGTGTGTATCTATCTTCCTATTGCAATGAAAGTGGGAAATTTTCACGTCGAAGGTATTTAATGATCCTAAAATTTACCAATTAACCCGAAACCCGTTTCTCGGGCCACAAATTCAAACATTGCAGCAATCATTGCAGTCATGTACACACACAGTATGTTAAGGTTGAAAAAGTCTGAGATGGAAAAAAAGGCAGAAAGATTAGCAAAAGAAAAAGAATACAGCACGTAGGGAAAGTGTTCAATAAACTGTGTCAATTCATTGCGTACGCATTGGTATATGAACTCGCGTATGAACAGAGCCCACAAAGATGTAATTTCGGAGAACCAGTTTAACTGCATTTTAAACCAATGCTGGACAATCAATGTCTGCAATTGCTCAAAAACGTCACCTGAATGTTTTCAAGCCGTGAAAATCATCGTCTTTAGAGAAAAACGTCTTTGTGAGCAACAGAGCTGATGAAATATCGATCAAGTTGCGTATTATCTTATCACAACTGCTATTTCCAATTGATTCGCTTATCAAAGTGTACTAAATACATTATACCAAGGACAAACTTCAAAAATGTATCAAATCAAATGTTTATTTGATACATATTGATACAGACGTTAGCACAATGAAGCGTCTTCAATTCGTTAAATCCATATAATAGACACAACTATCGACAATTGCAGTTACACATTCAATTTATTCCGACTGTAATTCGAAATTGAATCCAATTTATTTCCTGATATTGGCAGTTTACAATACCTATCGTGTGTGTGAATTAATTTTTGCAGAAGCAAGAAGTTGCTAATTGCCTTTGTACATGTGTGACTGTTGTCTATGCTAATTGGCAAAGAGAAGAATGCATTAAGTAAGATTTATGAAAAATATGGAATCCAAGAAGCTACATGATTGATCAACACTTGCCAATGCTGTCGTACAAGTGGTTTCACCGCTCCATTTGTTACATTAACTGCGTACTTGCAGTAGTAATTTTATGAAACCTCCGAAGACATGTCTCTCTTGTGGCCAATTTCCAGAGAGAAAAGGGGATTTCCATGTAGTGTGAGCACATTTAGTTACTCAAAAGAAATATCTTTACATCAACTTAAGCAAAAAGTGAAACAAAAAGAAGTAATTTATGAAAGTTGAGATCCAAAAGGCCAAGAAATTTTCTATGTAAGATGTTTGTATGATAAGATATTGTTGAGTGTATAAAGGTTTTGTTACAAAATCATTGCACAAGTCACAATGGTTCGAAGAACACTTTAGGGCACGAGTCATGCAATGACCACAAAGAAGAATTTAATTAGAAATCTATTAATTTTGCAAATTAGTGAAAGCTAATAGAAATTTGACGGAATCTTCTATCTTCTAATTGTATTATCAAATCGGTGTTAATTTATTAGGTCTAATCTAATTTAATATTTAAATTTTATGCCGCAGTCTTCAAATTACCACCAAATGGAGATTGTGGCGTGTGTTAAAAATGTAAATTACTATACATAATAAAATGTGCCGAATGAAATGGAAATTATCAACCCAAAAACGGAATTACGTATAGAGAAAAATCCAGCGTCAAGTTCAATGTCGAGATGGTTTTGAATCTGTATTGCATCACACTGAGCCAAAAGTGTTAAATGAAAATTTTTCAATCCATCGGAATTGTTTTACGGCCAAGGTGACAACGGAATATGAATTTCAAATAGCATCCAAAATTCGAGATGTGTTATGCAATTTCTTCGCTAAATCAATACAAGCCCATGGAGAGCGCCTCAGTGTCACCATTTCTAATGCAAATTCCCGTGTAATTATTTAATTGAGTGGTGTCAAGATGCCACAAGGACGTTCGCAAGTACTACGCGTGTCCTCAATTTCGCTGGCCCATCAACACAGAACGCGTATTGTGCTGCATCGCGCGAGATTGTAGATTTGGATTCAATGGTATCTGGAACATCCAGTCATTGCTAAATGAAGGAGCATGAAAAATAAATAAAATAATGGCTCCGCTCGATGTTGTGTAGATTTACCTACAAGTACAAGTACTCGCTGTTTGTTGCACTTCTCAGGCAGTTGACACATTTACGTTTACACCGCGCATTACAAGTTTATTGTACGAGATCAAAGACCCGCGTTATGCAATTCCTCCGCGAAGTGAGTTGGTGTGGTCAAGGAAAATCATTTGTTCGATTCCGAATATTATATGCACTTATTTACCTAGATAGCATAGAGAGAATTTGGCTTTTTTGCGGCGCTAGAATTTTAACAATGCATTAGAAATTCGTATGAGCAATTAATGATTCATACGTTTAGACTTTACGGTTTCCAGTAATTGATACAAACTTTGTATTTTATTAACAATTTTCTATTAAGCTAACATTGTTCACAAAGCATAAACTTTTATACACATGCGACCATAGAAAAGACTACGTTTGAAACTTTTTGGGCTTTCCGTTTTTTCCGTATTGGTAATTAATCATTATAACGACTAGAGTACAAAGTATTCGACGTCCGTGACTAGTTTTTATCACAGTTTTATAACTACATGACGATGACTTCTGAGATGCTCAAGGACTCTCAGAACTTACGCGTGTTCTAATTGCCTCTCTTCGTCACAGCGGATTGGAGATGAGCAAAAATTACCCAATCTTTATAACATGAAGCAGACGAAATATATTTTATATATCTTAATGCTCCGCTCTTTATCTTTCAGGATTGGTATTTTATAATATTTGGCATGCCAAAAAAGAGCCTCAAAGGTGAATTGGCTCTTGTGACTGGAGGCGGAGGAGGACTTGGAAGACTGTTAGCTTTAAGGCTTGTGCGGCACGGCGCGTCCGTTGTTCTCTGGGACATTAACCCAGAAGGTAATCCAGACCAAACTTGTCTGTACTGGAATTCAAGCTAACTGAGTGATTTTTTTTTCTTCTAAAAGGCCTGGACGAGACGACGAAACTGGTGCAGTCAATTGGTGGACAATGCAAGAGTTATGTTGTGGATATATCCGAAAGAGAGGAAGTGTACAAAGCAGCTGATCGAATGCGAAATGAAATCGGTGATGTAAGTTAATAATGTGACTTCTCTATTGAGTTAAGCAAATATTGTCACAGACATTTTTTCCTCTGATATCCGCGAAAAAAGCACATCAACACGTCACAGCTCGACATTGATTTCTTATGTTTTGATATGTAAATGATTTTGTGCAAAAAGTCACCGCGAATTAAGGGGTATTAAGCATCATATGTGTAAAATTGCTCATCAACGATTTGTGAAATATTAATTTGCACATGAGTTGTTTGTTTGTTTTTTCTACGGCAAAATTTCTGAGATGTGACGCAAAGTGCCGAATAAAAATTATAAATTGAGATAAAATTGCTGAATTCCACAATTTCTCCAATTACCATTGATATTCAATTGATTCAATATTGAAAATCTTGACCCGAATAGTTAGTTAGAGGGCTTCAATGGTTCGTTTGCAGCGCATTTGTTACGTTATTTGCCAACGCATGTGGTGAGAAGAGATGAAAAGCCTTGTTAAAGAGCTGTATTGCACCATCCGAAACTACCAAACGATCGTATGTGTTGTGCAATTTTCGCCTCAAGGAGAAAAGTCCCCATACCTGTAATTGAAAATTGAGATAGACAAACGCTTTTTGTATGCCCACATCGGATCATAATGAACGATGGGATTTCATTGCATATCTCTAATACTTGACATTGGTGACATTTTTTTGGCTGGCTTGACTCTGAAAAAATTGATGTTATCTCAACTGTGTAGATTTCACCCAAAAAATAACACTTTGAAATTTCAGCTTAAGCGGAGTCTTTCCGCTTAACACGCATCAATAAAAGAGAACTGAAATTGAGTTTTACTTTCAATTATTATGCACTCAACTGTACGCACAATTTCTATGTCTGGTCTATATATTAAGCTTTATAATGGCTGTATAAGTACATAACAATAGTATCGCACGATGTTGCAAAATTGACTCAATGAAAGTTACAAAGAAAGCAAAGAATCAAATAAATTTCAGCGTTATTAGCGATATGTAGCTAAAATGATGAAAATCACACAACACATCTGCTAATGGTTAGAAGCTTTTAAAGCTCGTCTTTTATTGCTTTACCACCCCAGCCATAAATGTTTCATCTTTTCGAATGATGTGTACAAAAGAATCTCCGCATTCCAGTGAAATTCTCAACTTTAAAGTCAATTAATTGTATGTGGAAATGGAAATCCAATAAGTGTGTACACAACATGTATGCTTTGGCAAACTGCCGCAGAATCTCGTGCGCAAGCTTTCGGTTGTTTGACAATTGGTTGAAGATCAATTAGGCAGTTCACAAAGAACTGATATGTACTGGAAGAACAAGGATTTTTCTTGGCATTTATTTATGAATTCCAATGCATGACACTTCTGAATTGTAAACATTCAGTGTTTATTATTTGAGATTATACCAAACTCAAATATTGATTGTGCGTCTCCTCGGCATTACCACGCTATAAATACACTTACACTCTCTTTCCGGAACAACAACCTTTGAACTCATGCCTGTATTTCCTCCCAGGTAACAATTCTCATCAACAACGCTGGAGTGGTTTCTGGACGAGTGCTCTTAGACACGCCTGATCATTTAATTGAGCGATCCTTCAACGTTAATGTGATTGCACATTTCTGGGTATGTTAATAGTAACTACAATGAATGCGAATAATTTAAAATAATTATATCTTTGCAGACTGCTAAAGCCTTTCTTCCAAATATGCTGCAAAATAATCATGGTCATATTGTGACGATAGCGTCTCTTGCTGGACAAGTGGGAATTTCTAAGCTCGTCGACTACTGTTCAAGCAAATTTGCCGCTGTCGGCTTCGACGAGGCCGTGCGATTGGAATTGGAATTCTTGGGTGCTAAAGGTGTTCACACGACCTGCATTTGTCCCTACTTCATTCAGGCAACAGGGATGTTTGACGACGTCTACTCCAGGTTGCAATCAACCCATTGAGCTCTAAATTGATTGATTTTCAATCTCTGTCTGTGATCTTTTCAGATGGGTGCCAACCCTGAAGTCCGAAGACGTGGCAGACCGAATAATTGTGGCCATAAGAAGAAATGAGAAGCTCGCGATCGTGCCTGCCTACCTCAAGTTCATGCTGGCGCTCAAATGGTCAGTGAATTACAACATACCAATTAAGAAGAGTCGTACATTTACCGCTGCTTCTCTTTAGGATTTTCCCATGGGGATGTACAGCAGGTTTCCTGAAGCGACTCGTGCCGGATGCTTCGCCACAGCACAGCCTCTACGCAACCGAATCCTCGCCGGTGGTTAACAATAATTCATCCGAGAAGATCACTTCTCAAACTAATGGTGCAAGCAGCCAATTGAGCAACAACAATGAGATGAAACCAATCCAAACACCACCACTGTTAGTGCACAGGGTTTCAGTGGGAGAAAGAGTGCATTAAGTTCGCATCTTGTTTTATCAGTGAAGTATGAAAGATTCACTTGCATTGACCATTGAATTATGTTCTACAAAAATCCAAAAATAGCCACAAGCAAATTGAGGATGAATTTATATTTTATTCTTCAGGAAATGTTCCCAATTTAACTTGTGTGTTACACACTTTAAATTCGGACAAGGTTTTATTGTAATCATAATTATGCTATTTTGTATTAGAGAAAGTCTACAATATCTACTCATCAGTTCTATATATAAATGGAATTCAATAAGGCAATGTAAATGGGACTTGAATATTTAAAAACAATATGTAAATACATTAGATTGTAGAAAAGTTACTTCGTGATTCTAGAAAATAACATGAAATAAAGGATTATAATTTGAGAAAATGTGGTATGGCCAAATAGCTTAAGGGTTTTCACAACTAGGACACTTGTAATATACATAACTAGTGCAGAGACTTTTATACAATGTACATATTTTCCTTGAAATAAACTACTGATGTGATTCCATGTATCGCTTTTCCCTCAACACCTTTGACGCGACAGACTGTCATCAAATTAGATAAGGCATACGCAGAACCACCCTTTTCTCGATTTCACACACCAAAAAAACAGTCTTGGTATTTGTGGGTTTAATCTTATCAATCGACTTCTTGTGATTGGAAACGATGTCGAAGTCAGTTTATCACGGAACTTCAGTGATAAAACATCGAAATGAAGTATTTCACGCGACTGTGTCTCTTCCTCACACTCTGTGCATCCTGTCTGGCCGGCAGTTCCATTTGCATCACTCACAGTGACTGTGGGGGATGTCTGCATGCCGATATGAGTTGCTCCTGGTGCACTGATCGCAATTATGACATGCGAAAGGTGCGCTGTATGACTAAAGCTGATCTCATTGCGTCTGGCTGTCGTGCAGACTTCATCCTGTCCAATGTGAAACACAAAGTGGAGTACGTGAGAAATGAGAATCCTGTGGATTTTACGAAGTCCAACCCAGATGCCATACAAATACAACCACAGCATATAAAACTCAAGTTGCAGAGACGTGAGTCCGAATTTCTATACGCTTTGATATAGAGCCGAGTATTAACATAGTGATTTGGTTTTCTTATCAGAACGCACCCAAACTGTGAAAATGACATACAAGCCGGCGAAAAATTATCCGTTGGATTTATACTACTTGATGGACTTGACTGTGTCGATGAGGGACGACAAGGACACTCTGGTCAATATGGGAGGAAGTCTGGTAAATGCACTTTATGAGCTCACCGAGAACTACAGACTAGGCTTTGGAAGTTTCGCTGACAAGCCCAGAATGCCCTTCATATTCCCCGATGAGAAGTACATTGAGAATCCTTGCGCACCGGAAAGAGAAGTGTGTGAACCCGTTTATGGGTTTCGCCATCGACTCAGCTTCACCGAAGACATTGAGAAGTTTATTCAGAAAGTCAATTCCAGCGACGTTACGGGGAATGTGGACAATCTCGAGGGTGGTCTCGATGCTCTCATGCAAATTCTGGTGTGTGGCGATAAGATCGGTTGGAAGGAAAAGGCGCGAAAAATTATCGTCTTTGCATCCGATGGACAAATGCATTTCAGTGGTGATGGACTTCTAGCTGGGATTGTGATGAAGAATGACAAGTTGTGCCACTTGAGCGATGATGGAGAGTATCTGGCATCCACAGAGATAGACTACCCTTCTCTCGAGGAGATCTACAGAACTCTGACTAAGCACAAGATCAGCGTTATCTTCGCCGTGACTAGAGATGTTCACAGTCACTATGATCAAATCCACAACCTTCTCCACGGCATGTCCAGTGTGGGGACATTGATGATGGATTCGTCGAACATTTTGGAACTCGTGCGCGATGGTTATCAAGAATTCATCAAACAAGTAGAATTCTTCGATAACGCTCCGCCTCACATTCGCATAGACTATGAAACGAACTGTGGCGTGTACAAGTATCGGAAATCCCAAAGTTTCTGCAACAACATTGAGATCAACAAGAAGTACGAGTTCTACATCAATATTACACTCCTGGATTTGCCAGAAGACGGAAGGACTAAGGACACCATTCGCATAGAGGAGAGTCACATCACGGATGAATCCTTGACCATGGATATTGAAATTGAGAGTGACTGCAAATGTTTGACAGAGGAAAAGGGCGAATACAACAGTCCTTTGTGCAATTACAAAGGCGAAATGAGATGCGGGATGTGCATTTGTGATTCTGGATGGGCTGGACAGCAATGCGACTGCGAATTGTCCAATTTCAACAGCTACAAGGCCTTAGAGAATAACTGCCGGATACGAACAATCGATTCCAGTACTAATGAGACCACTTACGGATCAATTTGCTCTGATAATGGCCAGTGCATTTGCGGCGAATGCTTCTGCAATGCTGGAGTTGATGGGAAATATTGTCAGTGTCAAGCATGTCCACTGTAAGTAACCATATTTATATCTAATTTTTAAACAATCATTATATTAACTCATTTTTCCCCCAGGAACAAGGGAAAAGAGTGTTCTGATCACGGAACTTGCGATTGTGGCGTGTGTAAATGCCTTCCGGATTGGGAAGGAGATCAATGTCAGTGTCCAGCGAAATCTGTCTGCATTGCTCCGAATTCCAATGTCGAATGCTCTGGCAAAGGAAAGTGCGAATGCGGAAGATGCGTGTGCAATTCGGGATCAATTGGAAAATTCTGTGAGGGTGAAAGCACCGAAGGATCCTCGCTTTGCTCATTCTATGAAAATTGTGTACTCTGTCTGATCCACCGATTGGAAGGCCAAGAGTGCGACAAGGTGATGGAGCTCTGCTCCTCTCAAGATGGTCAAGAGTATTACTATGAATTCATTCAGCGACCGCCAGACAATGAAATCAAATGTGTTGTTCACACCAAAGAACCAAGTAATCCTGAAATCACTTGTAGACACGAATTTATCTACGAGAACACCATAAAAGGGGACACATTCTTGAAGATTCTGCACAGAAATTGCAAACCCGTGAACACGGCTTTCATATCACTAATGCTAGTAATTGCTACAATCGTCATAGGCCTCGTGCTGATACTCGCTGTGAAACTTCATCATCATATGCAAGACAAGAGAGAATGGGCGAAATTTGAGGAAGAGAAAAAGAACACTCAATATCACGAACTCAACCAAATATACAAAACGCCCATAACCCAATTCGAAGTGCCTGAGCAATATCGACAATCTTTGCCAGAACCAACTTTCGAAGTCCTGGAATCGCCAACCAGAACCAACCTCTAGAAAAATATATCCTCATCGTGTAACTTTTTTTTTACCATTCTTATAAATACGTTAAAATATGCTTACGGAGCTTTTAAATTTTAAGAGAAATTTGCAAAAAAGAAAATAAATGATCTGGAAATAAATTCTAAATTTTGAATTGAAATTGATGAGAAGTTCGAATTGGTCCATGAGTAATCCCATCCCAAGTATGATTGCGCAGTGATGGCTGTAGTATTTCTCTCTTTCTGTGTGTGCACTCAAACCCACACAGTGAATCCAAGTTATTCTACTTGATTCGAGTGTGTTGGACTCTTCTTTGGAGTCGTTAAAGACCAGCAGATCGTCACACTCTGTGGTGACCATTTAGTTGTGTTCTGTTCGCTTTCCTGCCCTGAGATTGTGGCATCCGAATGCCTTTAAATTAGGTGTTCTCGATAGAATAATTGTGTTATTAGGTTCTAAATACTCTCTATTGCCTCGAGAATGGCCAACTCTATAGTTTTTACCACTCTTCTTGCAATAGTTTTAGGTGAGTAAACGAAAAAAGAGAGTAAATCAAACGCATTTCAACAATACTTCCACGTAAACATTTCCATTTCTTGACTGAAGCAATGGGCAAATGATGTGGTAATCAGCTGGCCAATGGTGTTGATAACCTTGTGACCTTGATCTTGCTCACTGTTTCCAATTCGCCTCATTTCTTCAGTAAATTTTACCGGCAAATAATGCACATGTTCACACTTTTCTTTTTCAGGTTGTGCACATTCACAGGTTTTTCCTCTAGGAGTGCAATTTGAGTATGCACTCGAGAATACCGTCGTGATCAATGATCTCCGTGCTGGTGAATACAATTCGTCCATCAAACTGAAGGCAGATTTGAAGGTGACAAAAATTTGGGAGGCGGAGAAGAAGAATTTGTTGGTACTTTCGCTGTTATCGCCAACTCTTCATGGAAACGATAAGCTGTTCGCTTTGCCTCAGTCCGAAGAGACTTTCCTGCTGGAGTTCGATGCGGAGGACACAAATGTTTATCTTCCGAATTCTGATGTGGTCTCAATGAGGAATCTGAAGAGAGGCATTGCGTCGCTCTTTCAATTTTCCCCAGAGAAGAGCCCAAAGACTGAAATTGGTGTCACAGGCGAATGTACTGTGGCGTATGATGAGCTGACAGATAGGAGATTCGTGAAGAGAAAAATGAAGTGTAAGACTGATGATAGAGATTCTTACCATAGAAAGGAAGAGCCACTGGGAGTTGCGATGCCAAATGCTAGGAATACGGAATATCTTCTTGATGTTTCTGAGTCAATTGAAAGTATCGAGAATATTGAGTTCTTCCGCATTTCTTTAGCCGGAAATGATGAAGTCGGAGCCACTGTTGACTCAAGGTTATCTCTGAAATTAGTGAGTCAGAAGGACGCAAAAGAACAAACCAAGAGCACTTCCTATAGTGATGTCTTCAAAAAGTACAAGAATCTACAGAGATTTACAATTACTTACGAACAAGAGGAGAAAGAGGTTGAAGAAAAGTCAGATGATGTGAGTAAAATCATTGGGCAATGAGAAAATTGTGTTAACTTTGACTTCTACTTTTCAGATAATCAAATTGGTTAAGCAGTACAAGAAAAACTTGGCAAATTCCAAGATTGGAACAGAGAAATTGTCTTTCGCAACTGTGAAACTAGTTGAAGCTGCGCGGAAAGCCAAAGTGGATGATCTCACAAAAATCCTTAATGCGCGCAGCACAAGGGACTACAGAGGACAATTGATGGATGTTTTGGGAGCTGCGCAAACCATTGATTCTCATGATGCTGTGAAGAAAGTGTTGAAATTTAGCAAATCCGAAGATTTCCCTCACGTCGAACGATATTTGCAATCTTTGGCAGTTGGAAGTCAACCAAAACCTGCTGTTGTTAAGGATTTACTGGAAATGCTGAGGAAGGACAATCATGAGAACGAGAAGTACACAGAAACACTCATTCAAACCATTTCCTCCATGGCAAGCAATCTAGCTGATAAAGATGAAATTGGCAAAGAGGTCTTCCAAGAAGTTCAAAAGTACTTCACGAATATTGTAGAAAAAACCACAAAAGTTCCCAGAAGAGTAACTTTTCTTCAGGGTTTTGTGAACCTTAAATCGGCCGAGAGTATACCAATGTTGCTGAATTATGTTCTTACTGGCCCGAAAGCTGTTTCAGTTACTGCAATGAAGGCTCTCGTCTCAATGCCTAGAGAATACTTCCGTCTTGAGCATGTGAAGCATTTGGAAAGCATCTATCATCAGAAACGTAAGAGATTTGACTCCAGTGTGAGAACTTTGGCTGTGGAAATTCTTCTGGATCCACTCTTTTACCAATCATCACTCAAAGACATGATCTATGCATTGAAATACAGTGATTCATACGAAGTGAAGCAATACTTCATTCAGAGATTAAAGATGGAAAGCGAGAAGGACGAATCATTCAGGAATTTCGCAATGGAAATCATTCGTGAGGACGCCACATTGAATAACTATCACATCTTTGGGACGCAAGGACTGTCCACAGCACTCTCAAGGAAGTTTCTCACTTCACCGTCATTCAACAGTACACTTGTTAGCATCCAAGAAATCGACAGAGGCATTCTCAAGAGGGGGATTGTCGACATGATCTTTGAATCGAAGAAAGACAAATTCAGCTACTTCACAATTGGTCTCTATGCTGATGGTTTAACTTCCTTCGTCAGCTCAAATTCTAATGCAGATGACAATCCTTCAGATGCTGAGGAATCCGAAACAATGGCAGGAATGGAACTTGTTGTTCAAGGTATTTATTTTATGAAAATGCATGGCTGAAGAATTAATAATTTTAACGTCTTTCCAAATATTCCAGGAAGCTACTTGAGACCGCTCCAGTTCTTCCGTGGTCAAGGAGAGCTTATGGGTCACGTCTGGAGTGGATCAGCGTCTGACTTAACACCCGCCTACCAAGCTACGACCCTCCTTCATGACCACAAGGAAGTGATCTGGCTACAGAATGGAATGCGCGTGACTATTGATGTCATGGGAGCCATGTCGCTGAACCTCAATGGTCAAGTGACCATCAGCATATGGTACCGAAATGCCAAATCCCGCGTCCTGCAAGAAATCGGGTTCGCCGTCACCGGAAGAGTTTCCATCGAGAATGATTATGCTGAAATTGGAAATAATTTTGTTGTCCTACAAGAACCCAAACTTGATCTTGTCTCCGACATAGACTTCTCAAGTGAATCTATAATATGCATGCAATTATCTCAGCCCAATTACGTTCTGAAGTAAGTTTTATGATCCTTTTACATCCAAGAGTAAATTATTAATTGATTTCTTCTCATTCTCAGAACAAAACACACCAAAACAGCGAATATTGAGGGTATCAAAACGAAATTTCAGAATGAATCTCGGAGAAAGTATAACATTCCTGGATACACTCACTTCTTAAACCAAAAGAACAATGAAATTTGTAACAAAATCCATTCGTAGAGACACTGTGTCTTAAATTGTTGAAAATATACAGTGAAAAAAATAGAGTCAACTTGTAAATTCCGTTGTCTATTCACTTCCCTGTGGAGCGTAATAAAAACTGGTCAGTTCTGTTAGATCTATTCACCAGGTCCTGGTAGAAATTGGCTGGATTTCATTCTGTGTGAAGAGCTCTTTGCGAGCAGTTGTACTGTAGCGTGATTGTGTCTTAGTTTCTTGTGAATTTCAGTGCGCCAAAAAGTAATTCTTATAGAAAATTTACGGCAGAGCGTGTTGAAGAGTTTCAAAGGTGCATCAATTGATAGAAAAGTGAGGATTATTTGCAAATTGATATTGCAAAGTGACCGAAAAAAGCTCTAGTGAATTTTTCCACTTTACAGTTACCGAGGGAAGAAAATGGAACAACGCTCTAAACTCTCGTCACAGCGCGGCAGCTTTGATTGGGTGGTTCCTGGTCAAAACATGAGTCGCGGCGCGGCCGCCAAAGTCTATCCCAAGCAGCGATATTCTCCGTATTATGGAAAACATCCCAATTCTTCTGTTGGCCAGCAGCAGCCATCTTTGGCGCCTTCGGAGGGAGGATTTGAGGCTGGTTGTACCAGTTTGACCAGCACTGCGGGCTCAGATGCTAAATCCTCGACTGTTACACTGCAAATCAGCAATCTGGACTCATCATTCAGCGAGACTATGCTCTGGAATTGCCTCGTTTCGATGCTGAAGCCCATAACTCCGGTGATATCCCTCAAGTTTGAGTCTCACTCCTGTGCTAAACTCACGGTGCCGTCGCATAATTTCGCCAAATCAGTGATAGCTCACTTGCATCGCAAGAAAGTGGGACACAAGAGGATTCTCGTGTCTTACAACAGGGATATCTCATCCCATGAGTACTCAACTCTGTGCTGCCAAGTTGCTTGTCTCCTCAAAGACATTCCGGATCACTCATTGCCACTCTACAAGTTCAGAGAACTGTTTCAGTCCCGCTTCAAGATGACCATCAATCAAATGGAGTTGTACAAGATGAAGGATCTCTGCACAATTTCCTTCAATGAATCTGGTGATAAGTGCATCACTCTCAATTCGAATTATGTCCACTGCTTCACTGGCAATCCAATTATGAACACTAATCTTCAGCACAGCGTGCCATACTGCAGAATCCACTTCCAGCAGGAGCAATTCAAAGGCTGGGCAGAGATGGACATTGAGCCATTGCCCAACGTCATGCTGACTCTCAGTCAGATGAGGATTATTTTGCAATCGCTGCTCAAGAGTCACCAGGGTGATATTCCCATTGCATCTCTGCTGTACTGCATCAGATGCACTTTGGACTTTCCAATATTTCCCAATGATAACGGCGTCAACTTTGAGCACTTGATCAGCTGCATCTCCGGCACGAAGATCTGCAACAATGCCTTTGGGATTCGCATCTTGACGTGGGGAGAGACAAATGATTTTCCTTCTGTGGACTCTTCCCCGCGATCATCCACGGATCCGCTTCATCAGATTTCGAAGGAGGTCATCGAGTTGCTAAAAGTCACCCCCAAAGCCACATTGCAGTTCAATAAGTTCATCCCCGCGTATCACAATCACTTCGGGAAGCAGTGTCGGGTTGCAGATTACGGCTACACGAGGCTCATTGATCTCTTCGATGCACTGTCGGCTGTTGTTCAGGTCATGGGAGAGGGTGAGAATCGCCTGATCACTCTCACGCATCGCACGCAAATTCGTCGCTTCACCGCTGATCTCTACAAGGTGCTCAAGTGCCAGCTGAACAAGTCTCTGCTCCTGTCTCAGCTGTCCGATGTATTCGCCCAGGTTCAGTTCAAGAGCTTCGACATAACAGATTATGGAGTGTGCTACGTGACGGATATCCTCGATGGGTTGAGATCCAATAATACAGTGGTCATCCAGGACATCCCAGAGACTGGCGATATGCTCATTTCCATTCCCAAGAGGTCAGTCAAAATAATTACTCTACAATCCATTAAATTACAATTCTTTTGTGATATTTTCCAGGGAACAAACACCAACAGAGATTGAGAACACGTGCGTCTTTGCGGCTGAGGTTGTTGAATTGTGCAGGAATGCTTCTCAGTACTCAATCCTCTTCCAGAAGTTCGTCCGCTACTATCATTACAATTTTGGGCTGCAGTGCCGCCTGAGTGACTACGGATTCCTCAAGTTGGCCGATCTTCTTGAGGCTATCAGTGGCGTGATTGAGCTGGAATTCACCAATTACGAGCAGAAAAGGATCTTCTTGTCACCAAAAGTGGCTCAGCGTGTTTTTGTTGAACAAATCTACCAGATCCTCTCGTGCACCGTGAATGTCGCCACACCAGTGAAGCTCACCACTTTGCTGCACTGCCACAAAGACAAGTTCGGATATCAGATATTGCCACAATCTCTTGGTTTCATGAGCATGGAGGATGCCATCCAGAATCTCCCCTTCGTGGAGGTGATCAGAAAACGAGGAATTCCGTGGATACTTTGCCACTACAATAGTGCGACATTTAACAGTATTTGCTACATCGCTTGCTCCGTCTTTCTCGAAGCGCACACGGATCACATGCTCCTCATAGACTTCAAGAAGTTGATGCAACAGAAAAGTATTCCGCTAATGGATTCTAAAATAAGCGCCATGAGCAATTTCTTTGAGGTAAGTTGCAATGAGATGGGAAGAGACGTGATACACACATTTCATTATACTACTTTTAACGCAGTTGGGAGTTATGAATGGTCTACAAATGATCTTCTTAAGTCCGACGATTAAGTTTCTCTTCTCCGTGATTGATGTCTTGAGCAAAACTTTCGGCCTCAGCATTGTAGATCTTAAATCAATGATGAATCTCAGCATTAGCAGCTGCTTCGCATTCGGTGAGTAATTGAGATGAAATGATAAAAAAACTGTTCAATCTTTCTCAACGTTTATTTGATGAAAATATTTCAGGATACCCAAATATCTCTTCGATGCTCATGGCCTATCCTGACATCTTCATTCTATCGCCGTCCACAAACATCTCTGAGCGCAGCGCTGTGAAACTTAATGAGGATTTCATGCTGCTGAAGTACAACTTGAGCGACTATCTCGAGTCCATTCGCAATAATTCATCATCAGAGCACAATTTCTCTCAGAACAGTATGTTCAGCATGAGACAATTCAGCTCCCTTCCACCACCGCCTGGACTGGGATTCCCGTCGACTTCCAGGCCTTTTGACATGTCAACTGAGTCACTGTACGGACATCCATCAGCAACATCAACGTCTTATAAGCACTCAGTGCAGGAATCCCAATTGAAACTCTTCGAGCGACGAAATGGTCCTGACAGTCTTCTGTATGGACTGAATTCACTGAGTCACCTCGCATCGCTTTTCTGTGATCCACCGAAGCCAGACACTCCGCCGTCGAACTCCAATCTGCCCTACTGGCTTGATCCCGTGTGGCGTTACCAGAAGACCCCGCCGATCGAATGCCTTAACATTCAACTGCCAGAACTCAGCACTGTGAACGTATTCCCCATTGTCATGTCCCCTTTCGCTCTGCACGATCAATTCCAGTTCCAAGTGCCCCCTGACTCCCAGCAGGGAATACCTCAGCCCAAAGACCACAAGTCCGATGATAAGTAGAACAATTGATGATAGCCAAATGCATGATACGATAGATTTTGTAGTGAATTTTGCATGCTCACAATAAAGAGAGAACCATGATATGAATAAATGGCGCGAACGGTGTCTCTCAGCTAACTTCACAGCAATACCAACCGCGCGCGCGCGAGACTGCCGCGACCTCTGCCATGAATGAGTGTGATTGCATGACAAGTAGTCTCGCAGCCAAGTCGTAAACACGGAGAATTTTTATTGCTGTTAATGAAGAAATTACACTAAATCGCCCCCAAAGAGGTCAGCAAGGGGTGGATTTTGCGGAATTTCAGTGAAAATAGTGGCTTTTGATGTGCTCAAGTGAAGAGTGTCGCGGAAAAAGTCAAATCGCCATTTTTCGAGGTGAGAGACCATTTGTTTCCTGTTTTTGTGTGTTTATTCCACCCAAAGTTGGGGCGACTTTTTCCGTGGTGTGAAAAGCGCATTTCACACCACACTTTGCTGGTGTCACTTGGCCAAAATTGCAGCGATGGCTCCTGCAAGGGGCCCCACACATTCCTGGTGCTCCTCGTCACGCGGAGACAAGAGAAATGTGACGAGCCACTTTTTGTGGGTCGCGAGCATTGAAGTGCAAAAAGTTGAAGTACAGTACATAGTGTCATACTGGCGAGGAATTTTCTCAATAAAATTATCGATGGGAGATTTAATTTTGGCATCGTTGTAGGCTTCTTGTTGCTATAATTAGACAGTGAAGGTCATGGGTATCTGCAGTGATATTCCCAAAGCACTGAGCCGGCAAAAAAGTGCCCAAATGAGAGGAGAAAAAGAGTCACGCACTGTTCGATATCAGGAAAGAGGCTTAGAGCAATGGTGCCCAAGATCGTCCGGGAGTTTCCGTGGCAGCTGAGATGTCGCACTAATTGATATAATTGCTCGGTAATTGATTTGCCTTATCACCTGATTCGCCCTGTACGCTCGAAGACTCGCCATAAATCTTTCTCTCGATTATTTAATTCTTTCAATTATTGCGATAGTCGACTCATGCGCATATCAATTTTTTCTGCTGTACAATGTTTCCGGTCAATGTGGGAATCTTATTCTCAGACGAGGAGGCAAGGAAATTGATTTTCCCACTCAGTCCTTCGAACTGCGTCATCAGTTGCGTTCAGGACAATCACACTTGGCCTCAATATCGGCAAGTCACCTGATTCGACTGAGAAATCATCAAATACTCAACGCCCTGATAGCAGTTGCAGCACGAGAAAAGAGAGGGAGAGAGAGTGTGTGTTTGTACACAACATTAGGACACTATTTTTGGGATGTTCAGTAAATTTCCATGACGCAAAAGGGTTCAGCTTACACTCAGGACTCAGCCAAATAAATCCTCGTGATATTGGTTGAAAAAGCAAATGACTTCGTTATTGTTTGCAAAATTTCTTTAGAGGCTATAAGTGTTTTTTTAACGATCGCATAATTTGGAAAACATCCAAATTGCACTACCATCATTTACCGATAGTACCGTGTTATTGCTCATTTGGCTTCTGGTAACATTTACTGGCATCTTGTGTGAATATTCAAATAATTCCGTCATGTGAATATTATTATTTAATATTCCACAGCTTAAAATGAAGACAAATGTGTTAATTTTGATGGATTTAATATGATAATACAGAGGATGTAATTCACTTGTTAGAGGCTTAATCAAAATTGGCCAAAGTTAGGCTTAAGAATGTGCCATAATTATGTCATTCGTATGCCAGTGGCAAAGTTTGCGTCGCTTAACACATCATAAAAACCAAAGTGAAGAGTTAGACTACATTGTAGCAAGACTAGGAATTAAATGTTCTGATAAATTCGACCATTTAGGGATTGAAACTTCTCCATGTTTAAATTTCTTGGTTCATTTAGGCAATAGATAAATGTCTTTTTAATTGCAATGTTGAATATTTTCTCCAGCGCAAGAAAAAAAATTTGTACAATTTCAAATTTAGAACATTTCTGCCACGCATTTAAAGTGCAAATTATTTAAATTGTGTAACAACTTTATGCACGAGGGTCATGGACAAATATTATTGCAAATTGTCACTGCCTAGAGAGAGATTTGCGGTGTCATAAATGTGCATCTGTCGAGTTTTGCCTCGATCGCACGGTGTTGGAGATCAGAATTGTTAAAATGCACATATATGAAAATTCAACATGACAAGCAAGCCAATCTCGTCATGTGACTGTAACAGAAAATTATACAATAGTCTGACTTAGAAGTTGTTATCATTGGTGGCTTATCATTATGCTTTTAAGTACACATATAGGGGAAAAAACTGTTTGCTCGTATCAGAGTGTATGTATGAATCTTTGTGATAAAGAGCAGCAATGAAATTTTCTTTTCGATTAAAATTGTCTCAACAGTGCGAAGAAGTGACTCGGGGAGAAATAAGTATCTATTTTTTAAAAGTGACTGAGATATTGAATGTTATGATTGACTATGTGTAATTCATTGCACGTTGATTTTACAATTCAATGACTAAACTGCCTGTTTTCCACCTATATTTTCAGACTCGTCACACGATGCTCTTTGAAGATCTGACATAAATTGGACGCAAGCTGCCATGAGGTCGTCTTCCCATACTCGACCAGGGGTTCTTGTCTCCCCATAAATGCGAACGATATCACCGTATAGAGATTTGAAAAGTTTCATACCGCTAAGAAATAATTGAGTTTATCTCGCACAGTTGAGATTAAAGGCATATATAATAATCGATAAAATTGTCAGTCTAGTCAAAAAGTTGTTGCATTCTATTCCCAAATAATTGTGATAAGAAATAATTGAAGTGTATTGTTGGTTAAAACAAACTGACCTTTGGTGACGGAATAAGAAAGTGTGTCCATTTGTGTACATGATAAATGGCTAATGCTTATTGCAAGTGAAATAATCATAGTGTTAATTGTGTATTAAAGGCAGAACAGTGTGTGAGAAAATTCACAGTATTGCATAGTGAAGAATAAGGGGAAATTGCATTGGGAAAAATGCCGGCGAATGGCGATGCAGCGGCTAGAGCCGACAAATTGAGTGGAATCGAGGAAGAGGCCGACATGTACGATGCCTTTGCTCCTCACGTGGACACCAGCCAAATAACAGTTATCACGGATTCGCCTGCAGGTAAAGGAAGATTCAACCTTCGGAAAATGCTAGTTTTTCAATAGTCTCTATTCAATATCAAGCGCCGTCCCGAGATAAGCTTGGGTAGGTGTCTGATTACGAGTAATGACAGTGAAGAAGAATCATGCGTAACCCACCTAAAAATCCCCATTTTGTAGATTTATCAATAGGTTTTATGTAACAACGTTTCCATGTTTTTTTTTTCTTCTTCACTGAAATACAAGTATATTTAGAAGATGACAATAATAGAGGAGATAAAAATAAGTGATTTTGGTCAGTCAAAGTCAAAATATACCGGCAAATGATAAGGTTTGATTGGAATTGGTTTTTTTTTTGTTACCGACTCACTGGCAGTGAGACTTAAGAATTCCCATATTAGTCTGCACTGAATGAATGACTAATTGTACAAATCAATGAAACTCTTTGGAAATGTCTTTTAGTGTCACATATTCCAGACTTTACTTCAATAGTGTTATTTGCAGAGTTGTAAAGTCTGACGACACTGCAGTTGTTATTGCTACGTGAGGTCGTTGAACATCTCAGATAGAAAATGATTTACGGCATTATTTATTTGTTATTATTGAATATATTGATGTACAAAGTAATTTCGTTCAACTTGATATATTTTGCTGCATTTACTTGTAAATATAATTGCCATATACAACTCTGGCAACAACCACTATTTCACGTTTGCATAATAAGGAAGTTATAAGTATAAAAAAGACAAAACACTGTCGGTATAATAATAAACACACAATCGCTTAATAAGCATGTGCCTTGGCGTACGTACATTAGGGTTTCCTGAAAATTTGCTGGCATTTTCATTAATGAAAGTGCTTTGAAATAATGTATAAATGATTATGCTATCAAGTGGCAAAAGAGGCATGTTGCCATCTAATTGTTTGCCAATATAAATTATTGTTATTAAATTGGATAGCGCAGAACTCTGAACTGTGTGTCAAAAACTTATTGTTCTGCAAATTAAGAGATCCTATATTTACACATGTCTTGGTTATATATCAATGATAGACAATGAATATACATAGAGTAGAGACAATGAACATAAAACGTCGATGTGCATGTAACACACGATAATAATCTGAATTGTACATAAGCTATTTACCATGTACCTTGTACATTAGACTGATGCCGAACTTGCCTATGAAATACAACAATAAATTCATATCAGTCCAACAGTGATTATCTGCATGAGAGAGATAGCCAGAGAACGACGTTGGACTGAAGCAGATAGTGCTAATGTTAAGGGGTAAACATGATATGTCAAATAACCGATTTATTTATACTAATCATGTGGCACAGGGTGTTTTCTCATGAAATATATATTAGAAAATTCATTCAATCAATACATAAAGTCCTCTGACAGATCAATAAAAAAATGGATAATTTGACAATAATTATCAGATAAGCTGTCGACATTCAATTAAGATTAGATTACACTCTAATCTAACAAAGCTATACTGGCCAATTTGTGAGCACAACGTTTGCAAAGTGACAAAGTGCAAGTGTGGAAAAGAATCTTTGGGAAAAACTATTTGTTGGCTACACCCTGTTGGCATGCAAAGCCCATTGTAAATAAGGAATACATTTGTATTCTCTCCCTCTCTCACTCTCTTCGCATCACTGTAATGAACTGCTTTGATAACAAGTAGTCTTCTGTGATTGAGGAGATGTGAGTAACACCAATATATTTCAGTCGATCTCTCAACTCGGTTCTGAAATGATAGAACTTTTTCTTTCGCTCGGTAGACGCACGAAAAGAGATTCAGTGGTGTGATTAAGAAGTCAGTTTTCTTGTGGTTTTTTAATAAATAATTCAATAAAAGTTATCGCAATATAAGAGTAGACATTCGTACTCAACATATTTATACGTGATTAGATAATATATTGTTTTCTTTCAACCCATTTCGTATTTAATACAATGTGACATTAGCGACAATGATTGTCGAGAGCAATTTTTTGAAGCCAAATGAAGAAAGAGGCAACAAATGGTGGTGCATAAAGTGAATGGTGTGAGCTTAACATGTAAATAGAGACTATTACTATAGACAGAGTGCAATAAGTGCGCGATTTCATTCCTTTTAAAACCGACAATACCAATTTTACGTCATCCTGTATTTTGTACTAATTATGCTGAGGAATTTTACGGTCGTGCATAGTCACTGATCAAGTGTATTGAACACTGCAAGGAAATGAAACTTGTGTCGAAAAAATGATGTTAAACAAAATTGTCTTGTCAATTTAGCCTTTCCTCAATATATGGGAAAAAGTTTGAATTCTTGAGCACTGCTCCCATTTTTGCACTAATGAATAATTCATTGCATAATGGTGGATATCATATAGACGTCAATGCATACATACTTATAGATGGTTTCTGGTTTCTTGGAAAAATAGTTATAATTACTTTGCATTGACTTATCAATCTGTCGATGTGTGCGGAATGAATGGAAAACGCAATAGACTATTCAATCAAACGTGATAAATCTGGCAGACATGTGATATGTAGTGATAATGAAATATACGTTCTTCTCAATTGCAAAGTAGCAAGTGAAAAAAAGTCCAGCCGATCGTCTTCTATGTAATAAGAAATAGACTGTTGTGATGAATTTAGCTTTGTGATAGGCATCATTATACACATATAAATCTAAAATGGTGGCAAAATCTACAGCACTGAAAGAGTTCCTAACACTTGAGAGTGCCAGCAAAAGAAGTAGTGTCTACGTCGATCCTGATCGTGAGGTTTTCTTCGAATTACCACTATATATTCCAACAAATGAAAGTGTGACCAAATGCTTTAACTTGTTTGAAGGTAAATTTGACAATATTTAGGAAATGTGACGATAGAAATCGATTGAGTGTGAAGAGGATGGTTAGAGAAAGAGCGTCCAAAAAAAAATTCACATTGTATTTAAGAAGATCTAATCTAATTAGCGAAAATTGTGTGCGACCTTCAAAGATTTGTGTACATTTTCCATGATACTCTTGTATAATCTGCCTTAACAATTACTTTGGCAAATAATATGCATCATATCCACATTTTTGGTCTTTATCGGAAGCTGTATAGGAGTAATTATTTTTACTTGAAATTCTTTTTAGCTATTTTAGAGGTTAAAAGCATGGTCACTTTTGTGTGTTGACGGTAATTATTTAAGATATTTAAGAATACATTTTACATGAGAAGAGAATGTAAAAGAGCATATTGAAACAAACAGATTGGAAATAGAGGAAAAAAGACGTGATAATATTTATGACGATTGGCAATAATTTTATGTTATTACCTATTTACGACGGAAATTGATTGAAAAAAAATGCGATATGTGTTTTCCATATTTATGGGTTTGATTTCGAATTGCAGGGAAAAAAGCCACTTTGAAGACATTCAACGATGTCCAGCAGCTTCTGCAGCAGGGCAAAAAGCGCGAAGTGAAGACTGCAATTCGTGAGAATGCATGGCCAATAAATTCACCAATTAGATCGCAATTGTGGCCGGCACTGTGTAGTCAATATCAGAATGGAAAGAGTATGTTGGACGGATTCTACTGGGACATGGTTAATCAGGTGAATATTGACTGCGATGATTGATAATGAGAGTGACGCGGTGTAACTTGCGTAATTGCTCATTGGATTCCAGGTGTTTGGGACAACTGAACTGCCAGACAAACCTATTATGCTACCACCCTTTGTGGACTCAACCCACTGCCTTCCGTACCACTTGACGAGAAAAGGACGAGCCGTGGCGGATCGCGTAGTCAGTGTTCTTGGCTACGCGTGTCCTGATATCACATATAGCCCATCGCTTTATCCGATAACATCCCTGTTGCTGCACTTCATGTCGGGTAAGCCGAAGCAATTGTCAGTGATTCAAGCTGTAGACTTCTTTGAGTTAGATTGAACCAGATTCTTAATCAAGGGTCTTGGGCATATTCCACTGGGTTCGGTATTGAGAGCAGAAGCCGGCAGTGTAAAGCTCATGAACACAGAATTATGTGTCCGTGCGGTTATCTTGTTTTGACTTTTCACAGTTGAAAGTGGAAAATCACGACAAAGAGTCTCAATAGTCGAATTTTTTCCTACTCAATATTGTGACTGATTTATAGTTATGCATACATATAACATATATCATATATGTATGCTCATGACGACAAAAATGACAATCACAGCACACTAAGTATGTGAGATTTTTTAGTAGAGAGCTGTCATAGTGAACAATTCACACATTTTATTATTAGTTAAGTGATGGTACTTGCGAGAAATGTACAAAATTGCTTTCATACGCGAGAGTTTCTTTATGCTCTCATGCTTCATTTCCTGCAGCATGAGTTCGATTTTAATTGTAAACTAATCTGTCGAGGTGAAGCGCGCTAAAGCGTCTCAAAATTGCCACATTCGTCAGGCTGATTATATGAAATCATTCTATATACATTTCATTCTTGGTGAGTTTAATTATAAATTTGTTGTTTACTTGATCATTTTTACAGAAGAGGAATGTTATCACTGTATGGCAAGTCTGGTGGCTGCCAAAGAGAAGGTGTTCATCACGCAGACAAAATTACTACATGAAGTGACGTGGAAAACTGTGATGCAAATAGCTAAGAAGCACGCGGTAAATAAATCATTAATCAAATTTACATGTACAACACAGCGCGAAGGGGTGGAAAGAGGCAACGAGCTTTAGTCACTATAATCAAGATCACATTTTGGGCATTGAACGCATTTTGGGCCATATGTATTGACGTAATTGTTATTGAAAGTCAATACGAGTGGAAGTGTTAATTTGATAGGCAAATGCATAATTGAAGTTTGGCCTTTTACAATTTCAGAAGGCAGCAGTAATACATCTGCAGCGTCTGTGTCCTGGCCAGAAGATTGAGAGGATATTCATGGACTGGTGTTGGTGGATACTCGGCGGACTTCCTTTTCCGCATTTGGTCCGTGTGATGGATTGCTATTTCCACGAGGGAATCAAAGTATTCTATCGCGTTTCTCTTGCCATTCTGATTCTCTTCCAAAAGAATATCACATCGTCGAACTCAGAATGGAACACTGAGTCCCTGAAGAATGACATTGACAATGCAATACCCAAATTTTGCAAAGCGATTTCGGTCTCCCCGACAAAATTACTAAGGACAGCATTCAATATCAGAGCCCTCAGGTGAGAACGCAAAACACACATGACTTGATAATGTTTCCAAAACAGCTGATTGATTAATATCCCAATTTGCATTAATTAACATAAAGACAATGTGTGACTGAAATATTTTTCTGGCGCGCGATACATTCAAACGTAATGGAATTTTTTCCCAGAATGTCATATAAAGTGCTATTTTTAGACACTCTGTAGCTCCCCAATCTGAAACATTATCTTATTTTTCTTTCGCGATCTCTCGCTATTATGACAGAATGAAATTGAGTGCAATGATGTCTAATGTTGTGTGTTATCACAGTTGAACTCGATAAATATACTGTTCTTCTGACTGTGACTTTTCCTTTTGATTCTCTTTTCAGCTCAACGTATATTTCAAGGGTGTTTATTAAGACTGAAATGGTTCTTAAGAGTAGATCGGTTTTGAGTGGATCCAAACAACTGGTTCGATCGCGTTCTAGCGATAATTTACCAACGAGTCAATCGCAAATGAATATTCAAATGATGTCACACACTTTAACAATTCGAGAGGTAATTTTTTCGTACTCTTTCCCTCCTTAACCTTTTTAACGTCAAATATTTTTCTTAATATCGAAATACAAATTTATCTGTTATTTTGTACCTCCTCTTTGGAAGTGGAAGAAAAGATGATGAAAAAAGAAACATGAAAAAACATCACATTTACACATAATATTACTTGGTGATGAGGTTCTAAAGCCAGCCAGCATATCTATTATTTAAAATTAAATGTTCCTCTTTATCTGTTGCCTATAGAGAAAGTAATTAATATAGTTAGGAAGGTGCATCATAAAGTAATCATTAGTGATTAATGTGCAAGTAGAATAGACAGAAATAATTGTGGACTTTTGGGATTTCAGCGAATGCAGCAAAGCGAAACATGTCGCAATATGGTACGGGGTTTAGTAGTTACTTGAATTCTATTAATACTGTTCTTCATTTTATTAACCTACTAATCTCTTAAAATATGCCTATATACTCATTTAAAATGAATCAAAAAGCTGTACTGTGTTTTGTAAAGTGATTGATTTTATCAAGGTGTATTTATGTTTTGTCTTTCTGCCTATTTTCCCGGCTGGGACATTGAAAAAAAAAAAAGAACAGTGAGCGAATTGCTAGCTTTATTTTTCACTATTATATTCCATTCACAAAAGAAGCGTAAACACACCTTGATTGAATGTGGCATTTCATGTGTGTAAATTGAATATTCCATAATTACAGGACTAACTGATAACCACGAAATTCCGCTGAAGTAAAACCATACGACTTTCAACTCAATAAAAACATAATTTCACTTGCAAAGACATTGAAAATTTTTTGAAATCTTAATATATTTAAATACATTTGAGTTAATATTGCTTATTTGCAGTCTTTTTGTCGCTTTCAATCTGCTTTCTCAAAAGTGTCTTTACAGGTGAAATGTGTTCATAATAGCATGAGATACAGGATTAATCGTATTTAGATTGTAGTTAGGGGAAATTGATAAAACTAATCCAAAATGTTTCATGTAACAGAATTTACATAAACACACATATGAACAATTTAAAACTATTTGAGACAATAAGAAAAGCCTTCAAACGGATGTTTACTCAATGTATAACAATTTCTTTTCTCTCTTTTTCTTTGTGCTGCTTTTAATACCATTTGTCTATGTATCCTCCACTCTTTGTTCCTCAAACAAAACAATGACAAAAACCCCCACAAAAAAAATCAAAAACCTCTCAATAAAATTATTCGATGTGTGAAATGCACTAATAGGGGGCTCATTCCCCAGATGCAAGAGTCCTTGCAATGGGCGTTTTTCCCATTCAGACGATTAAAAGTCAAGTCCTAGATCAAGAGGATGTAAGTTCGAAATACTGTAATAGCACAGCACAAAATTTTATTCTTTAGTTTCACACTTGAAGTTTTGTATTTGCCATCTACAATATTTCTTTTGATTTCTTGATTTTGTAGATATGTGTAATCTGATATGCATTAGCGTACAACATAGTGAAAAAGAGAAAAAAAAGGTTTTTCTAAAGTTTGAAAGTCCTATTACGGTATAAAATATATGAGTAAATTTTGTTTCTTAAATATATTTTTAACTCTTATTGTTCAAGCTTTTCCAATCACATCGCAATTTATCAGTGTGTTTTATGCTTGCATGATTTTCATTTAATCCACAGCTTCACATCTTTAACACCTCTAATATTTACACTTTCTTTTGTTATTCTTTCTTCCTAATTTATACTTGCCTGTTGAATGGTTTTTTTTTAATTTATGTTATCAAACAATTTGACATAGAGAAAAAGTGTGTAAGATTTCAAAGTGTTGCGACTAAGTGAATTTCCTCACAACTCCAGCTTTTTACACTCTGGAGTTGGCTGCCAGTGCGGATCACGATGTATCAGCCGGTGCTTCTGTACACCACGGAAGAACATGGATGCTCATTGACAACGTTTTATGTTCGGGTGGAACAGCATGAGCCTACACTACTCATGATAAAGACTTGCAACAACGAGGTCCGTGTCTGTCAACGTGTGGCAGGAATTATGTCGCCTGGACTGTGATATAGTATACAATTTTGTCTGCTCTTCAACAGGTATTTGGTGCATATTGCTCTTCGCGGTGGTTCGAGAGAAATGTGAAGGATGACAAGGGCCAGAAGCAGGCATACTTTGGGACGGGCGAAACATTCTTATTCTCACTCTATCCAGAGCGCTCAAAGTATCCGTGGGTGGGCATTGATGGCGACACGAAGCACGGCCATGGGTCTGAATTGTTTATGGCGGCCGATGCGAAAATGATAACAATTGGAGGAGGGTAAGAGATTGTTATCGTCATCTATAATGATTTGTTTAAACTCCACTCTCGATTGTACTGTGAAATCAATCATTTTATCTGTGCGCTTGTTTGCTTACAGTGAGGGACAGGCCATTTGGATGGATGAGAACATTCGTTATGGCAAAACGGACAAGTGTATGACTTTCAACAATCCGCCGCTGTGTCCGTCTGGAGATTTTGAAATACGCGTCCTCGAGGTGTACGGCTTCGTCGGCGTGTAGAGGTAATTTTGGGGGACAGGTTGAATTCAACAGCTGTGGTCTAGAGTTTTGTGAATTTTAATGAAATTGGAGAAGGCTTCTACCGGGATATAGTTGCTGCAATATTAGTGATTAGATGCGAAAATCATTAAATCGATTACATGATATGCTGATGAGAGAATTGTTTCTTTATGTACAGATTTATCATCATATCTTTGTTCAATACATCTCTGAGAAAATCTATCTACCCAATAGCTTTTTCCGTTTGTACATACTTTCTAAACTTACATTATTAGGAATTGTGTTAAAAGAAATTTATTATGTTTATGAAACAATGTTAATGCGTGGGATGACGAGCGATGCCCTTTAGTTGCAAAAGAGAAGGAATGCAGCAGTGAATGGTCATGATGTGAGGCAATCACAACGAAATGATAGTCACATCGAACAGAATTGCATCGTGAAAGCGAAAGAAAATTGTTCTCTTTCCAATTGTTGTGCTTTCATTGATTGATATTTACAATTTTGCCCAACTATTTATTGAATAATAGCAAAACGAATTCAACAGATGATAGAAATAAATTAACATACGTGCATAAATAAGTAATTTTGCTGTGCGATTCATATCACGAAAGGATCATTGTTATATTATTTTTATGAATTGTTAAAACCAAAATTTTATTTACAAGGAAGTGACAGAAATTGAATAGCAAATAGCAAACATAATATTTATCATTCCAATATGCAAGCAAAAAATATGAATATTTTGAAATATCTTTTATTCTGTGAAAATGAGAATAACCTGGATATTTATCGATAAGAAGAGTTTACATTTTATATTAAGGATGTGAAAATGTGTATCACAAAATTTAGATTGTGTGTTTTAGATGAAAACAAACTCATGTATAATTAAGGAATTTATGTCCTCAACATTGAAAGAAAATGAAATGACATGTGAAATTATTTCTTTGCATACCAAGAAAAAAAAACTGTTCTTAAACGCTCTTGTCTGCGCTTCCTGTACCTGTTGATTCATCTGCTAAATTTGCTCTACTCGACACTTTCTGTAAAAGGTTGTAAATGGGCTTCAAAGTGCTTTTCCCTTAGAAAATTATTTATCAGTAGAAGAAAAAGAAACAGTAGATAAATACAGTGAGGAAGTAAAAGTGATAAAAAAAATAACTTTCGGAAGAAAGAATTCATGAGAAAATATTTATTCAAGACTGTTTCGTAGCAATAATAATTAAGAAAAAAATATCTATTTTCTCTCATTTTGGGATGCACTTGAACTTTCACGAAGAAGTGTTTTGGACATTAATTCCTTAACTTTAGCTTCTCTTTTACCAAGTAGATAAAGATAAAAAAAAATGTCGTAAAATCAATTGCTGAGAAAGAAACGAAAGTCTCTTTTTCATGAAGTATTATTTTAAGGAATATTGGATCAAATTGCATAATGCTGCAACATACTTTTCTCCAATAGTGTTTATATAATTAATATTTCTCCTCCACAAAGTATTACTATTGAATTTAGAATGATTTCATCATTGCAATCAGACGAGAAATATGAAATACAATAATCATGTCGCATTATATACGAAATATTCTGTTCACAGAGTTTACAAAATATATATTTAGGCTGTAAGATGATTGAAATATTCGTAGAAAATGAACATTTCTGTGGAACAATAACGAAAATGTAGCGTTATATCAAAATCATGCATACAATGTAATCCAGAAAATCAAAGAAAGTCATTTGAAGTTATCTGAAGGACTCTTGAAATTGACTAAGTGTTAAGGAAAGAATTCTGCATTTGCGAAAATAAATGTGAGACAAAGCATATATTACTAGTGAATTCAATAATTTTGCGGATTATGTAATCATTCAGTGTTGTTTGTTGATGAAATGAAACAAGATCTATATGTTATATTCACAATTTGACACTTAATTATTACATTAATGTAAATGTTGTCTTCTCAGTGTCATGTAATTGGTAAAACTTTAATCTGTATATTGGATGTTGGTGTATTTTCCGCTCTCTTGCTTTGACAGAAAAGAAAAATGATAATGAGAAAAAGAGAATTTGCATATTACAAGCATTTGTGGCGCGATGGAAAAACGCTTTGGAATGAAGATACAGTGAAAAAGAGCAAATTTATTATTTTCTAAAATATATGTGAAGTAATCATTGAGGCAATCACTGTGGTAAATAGCTGAATGCATCGCTAAAAAAGATTACACAGTGAAAATGCTTTTTCTTTAGGGAAATCAGCTTAAATTCAACAAATAGCAAAATGATTCTGTGTTCAAAATATATTCTTATATCTCTAGTCCATTTACACGAAAAAAAAGAAACACGAATGGCACAACATTTCTATTTTACTAATCTATGTTTATGATTATATTCTTTGTTTTTACTTCTTTGAATTATATTCTTCTATTCTTTTTGTTCAGAGTTATTCCAGTGAGAAAGAGAAAAAAAAATATAATGAGTTTGATGAAACAAATTTCATTGGTACAGAAGTAGATACAGATTTATGTTAGCATGTTAACGTGTAATTTATTGATAAATTTTATTTTATCCATAGAACCTTCGAAAGAAAATATTTATGAGGAAAAATATCTGCAATACAAAGTGAGATATACTGATTTGTAATATAAATGTTATGGAATAAAAAAGATGCATGACTAGTATTATTTAGAATGTACAATGAAAATACATATTATTCTCACAGAAGGAAGACGTTAGAGAAGAATAAAATTGTTTGAAAAAGCGTGTCTTTTATTTTAAGATGTCCCGCCAAGCAGAGAGCTTACGCGACAGAGCATGAGATTGCGACGGTGGCGCTGTCAGCCGGGAAGCGTGGTGTGACTCTGTGAACACGCGCGGCGCCACTGGCGACAGATTTTCTCCTCGCGATTTTGACAGTCTAGGTGAGATTTCCAGTGAAGAAAATTCATTTTCCGCATGAAAAGCGGTTGTTATCTTATGAGAAAGTGTGGATCTGTCCATATAATAGAGTGTTGTGCGCGAGATCAGTCGGAATTCACTGGATTTGTATTGGAAATTAGTGCCATTTAAGGTGTTCCATTTGCACCGTGAAAGAGTTGCAGAAAAGGAAAGTATCCCTGAAATTCTCCCAATAAGGGAGGATTTTCATCTGGGAGAAGCTGAAGATTGCCAAGGCGGTGTTTTGTGTGAGTAAATTGGGCTATTTCAAGAGAAAATTGTACACAAAAAGTCTCCATTCAAACGCCGAAATTGACGTGCTGAAAGCATGACAAATTGCATGAAATTTAATTCGCCATGAAACATTCTGAAATTTATCCTGTTTCTCGTGAAAGCTCTGTAGTGTTTCATCGATGTTTCAAGGATCCCAATACAACGCAAAAGCTCAAATTACAACATTTTCAGTGAAAATATGCTTTTTTGTGGTCAATTTATGGGTTCTTCAAGCAATTAGATATGATTAGATAAGATTGTTGAGATTGGCTGAATTTGACTAATAAAAATTTTGATTTTAAGTCTCAAGAAATATCCTTAAGAAACTTACATGTCCCCTACAAGGAATTTAAAAATATATCTTCATTATCACGTAATTTTTAGTGGGTTTTTCTTTGTCTGATTCTTTAATTGACTGTACAAACATTTAATTTCCGTCCGCCCTTAGTTGCCCTTAGAGGCCAGCAAGAGTTCCAATATTATCACAGTGATTCATGCGCCGCTGGTAATTATTTGCCTCTAGAATATTCCGCCACTGAACGCTGCGTCGGCTCACTAATGCCGCTGATATAAAAGCTTGGCACTATCGCTCGCCTAATGGCATTAGTGTGTGTGATTCTGCAAAAAGTGGACGCTCGCGAAATAGCAGGCGAGTGATGAAGTTGAAGAATTTGCAGAATTAACACAACGGCAGCGTATTGGAGCCTTCCAACACGATCGTTTAACGAAAGTTTCACGAAAGCATTCCTCTTTTTGCCCCCAATATTTGCACAGCGCCGCTGACGAATTCGTTAGACGAGCCACAACATTCCGGTCTCCCACACGCTTTTTCGACTGTGATCGATTCCGTTTTTGGAGAAATCACACACGTAAATCGAATGTGATTTTCTCGCCTTATCAGTGCTTTTATCTCTGGTGTGCAAGTGACAAAAAAAGGAGGCGCATGTGGCAAAAGAGTTCATTACAATTGAATTAGCAATTAAGTGGAGCAACAGAAGTGAGAGAAGGTTCGTGTGGGCATCGCAAATTGGAAAGAAGCAATCAAAGTCAAATCAATTTTGCCATATTTGAGCATCAGAGTGTCTGGAATTTATTGGATCCAGAGACACACATGCTTAATTGATTGCCAAATTTATTATATTTCACACATCTCATCGGCAATTCTGCATGCATCACACAGTTGATGGTTACATTGTGAGAAAGTGAATTTCGAAAAATAGATGGTGGCAAAGCGGAGTTGAAATTAGGCTTGCTAAATTAAGAAAATTGTGTGGCACACGCTCATTTCCACTGGTGGGTCTCTTAGTATCGAGGGAAGTGATTAAAAACGGTTCCAGATAAGGGCCACTTAATCAATTGCCTACTACAGTTAGGCTCCATTTGGGCCAACAATATGGTTTTATGGCTTTCTATGACGAACTGAAACTGGATTGTCGACTGTTCGTATAAAATGTCTTTTATAGAATCGTGCACATTGTGCATATTTTCACCAGCATAGAATGCAAAATGTGGAGTGGAATTAGAAAGCAAGATTCAATGTTTGGCGCGAGGTCACTTGTAACTCTAATAGGAAGTCCTTTAACGCTCTGAACACTGTTGGAACATTTCTTTATCACTTGAATAAATAACGTGTTCTCGACAGTGAAAATGGTGACAAATGACACTTTTCTTTCCAGTCTTACTTGTGGTTCTTTGCATTCTACGTGAGAACAAATGCAATTAGTCCAGAAAGTGGCAAGGAAGCGCGAGGAGGTATCATTTGAGAGGACACGATTGGCGATTCGCTGGAGTAAAAGGCAGCTAAATACTCCATAAAACACGTGGAGCGAGAGAGAAAGAGAGAGAGAGAAATCATCTCGTGGGAGAGAATAAGTGATTTTATCAGTGGAGGAGGCATTGGAGAAAAGTACTGGAAATTACAGAGAAATATCAAAAACTTCTGGGAGCAACTCTGAGGCAAGCAGAACAATGTCGCGACATTTGGTGGCGGTTTGCGTTGTCTGTCTTCTGTGTGCTGATCACATGCCGTGCAAGGAGCATGTCGCTGATCTCACACAACCTGAACTACCGTCTCACATATCACAAGACTTTCACGACGCTCCTCGTGCTGTCGCGAAGAGGCATGCGGCGATTCATCATCATGTTGAGGAGGAGGAGCATGATCCGGGCAGGAGCTTCCTGAAGCAGATTTTCAAGAAGTTCGGCAACGAGAGCGACATGACCATGAGTTTGGCGGGTTTTGAGAATATGCTGGAACAATTGGGTCTCGTGAAGTACCTCCAGGAGAGGAATTCAGTTGCAGAAGCAACTGTGGCAGCTACAAATCCAAATGATTCTGTAAGATTATCAATGAGAGACGAGATGTTGTTGTGTCTCTAACAGGAATTTCTTCTGTATTTCAGTGCATTTCCAGTGAAACCCTTGTGGAGAGATTATCACGTGATAAGATATCAAAATCCAGTGAGGAATCTACTGAGCGGCATAAGAAGGACACTCTTAAACTCACCGAAGTCGATATGAAGGCAGTTTTCCCCATTCTTATGCATCATCTTGTGGCGAAACCCACCTCAATAGAGAGACTTGGTTGTCTAACATCCGAGCAGTTTATCACTGATCATCATCCGCACACAGAAGCGGACAATTTTATGGCAGTTAGTGAAGATACAACTTTAGGTGAGGCATAACAATGTTCAAATAGTCGATTTGTGTATTCCCAACCTTGACCGAAATAATCCTACACGCGACAATCTTAAAGAGAGGAAAATTCCTCCGTGGTATTTTTGGAGTCCCCGCAATATTGGTTTTCATAGTGATTGTCTTCAACCTCTAAACGTATCGATTAAACAAGGGGGTTGTGTATAATTGTACTTGACTTACGGAATTGGAAGAGGAGCAACAGCGTGAAATTTACCAATCAAATTCGCATAATTTAAATTTAGAATATCCAAACTTTATACATTTTGATATCATCTGTACGGAAAAGTTTTCAATTAATAGGAGTTTGTGCATCCTTGAAAGTGAGGGAATTGTTATTGCTATAGTGCCTTTATTCTCCTTTTTCAGTGTGGATTTATGCGTCTCTCTCGATACTGGGCGTCAGTCTATGCGGCCTCTTGGGAGTCGCTGTTATACCATGCATGGAGAAGAAGTACTACCATCACGTGCTGCAATTTCTCGTGGCTCTGGCAGTGGGAACACTGTGTGGCGATGCTCTGCTGCATCTCTTGCCGCACGCCATGATGAGCATCTCACACCATCACCACGATGACGGCGGCGAGGATGATCACACGACTATGACGCTGAAGGGACTCGTGGCGGTGATGGGAATTGTCTTCTTCTACGCCACCGAGCGTGGGCTGACCATGATTGCTGAGTGGAGGAAGCAGCGTCAGAAGAAGGAGAAACCACCGTCACGCGTGCGTGTGATGCGAGATCCGGAATCGGCGTCGCTCAACAATGCGACTGGAGAGAAATTGTGCAAGCACAAGTACAGCTCGTATCCGTATTGCTATGATGAGATCGCCATGGAGACGAAGGATGACCATCACTTGCACAACAACTATGAGAAGCCGGGATCGCCGAGTGGGCAGAAAGTGCCGCAAAGTCGAAAGCACAATTCTGTGCTGCCGTTTGCGCGACCACAGCCTGAGCAGCAGCATCAGGAGGCGCTGATGCACAATTACACCATTTCGTCGGCATTGAGTGAGAACCACAAGGAGGCGACGGCGGCTGTGGCTGAGAAGCCCGAGGTGCCGCCTGAAGAGGTGCCCGCGCAGCCCGTGGAGGAGGCAGCTAAGAGCGAACCGCGCCATGAGCACAAGTACACGGTGATTCTGCGGGAGCATGAGTCGCAGCATCACGGCCACTCGCACACGCACGGTCACGTTCACTCGCCGCCCAGCTCACTCTCGTCCGTGGCATGGATGGTCGTAATGGGTGATGGATTGCACAATTTCACCGACGGAATGGCAATCGGTGAGTGTGATGTTCTTCATATCAATTAAGCAGTGGCGTGTCGGTCTCTGTGATCGGACAGACTGACAGCTATAAATGTTGATTAACCCATTGAAACCAATATTGTCCCACTCTCATGATCACACAGTATTAATTATTTGATAGGGTTTTTCTCACTGTCAATCAATTGAATGTGGACGTCTGTCTTAATCTAGATAAAGGATAAATTGATTGCAAGGGTGGAAATGACATCCTTGCACACTTTGATTGACCTGCATGAAGAGAGTCTTCTAATCTAATTGGGTTGAATTCACAGGAGCGGCTTTCTCCAACAACATTGCTGGTGGATTTTCAACAGCAATCGCCGTGTTTTGTCATGAACTTCCACACGAGTTGGGCGACTTTGCTGTGCTACTGAAGGCGGGAATGTCTGCCCGCCAGGCTGTCTACTACAATTTGCTGTCGTCAGTGCTTAGTTTCTTTGGTATGGTGTTAGGTGTCTTCATTGGTGACACTCCTGAGGCTTCCGGATGGATTTTTGCTGTTGCCGCTGGGATGTTTCTCTACATCGCTCTCGTGGATATGGTATGATGATCATAAATTGCACATTTCCCAGTGTTTATCACTCATGTGCTCATGTTAATATCTTTGCACAGATGCCGGAACTTACATCGTCTCATCAGGAGAAATGTGCTGTGTCCACGTGTATTCTGCAAGTTTGTGGAATGCTGGTTGGCCTCTGTGTAATGTTGCTGATTGCACTCTATGAAAATGATCTCAAGAGCATCTTCACAGCTGATCACGGTCACTCTCACTATCATCACCATCATCAGCATTAGGAAGGGCTGCTCTTCTATACTTTGGAAGCGGAAAGAGAGTTAGAGGATGAAAAGTTTGGGTGAAACAGCAGCAGGAGAGCATATTAGGTTTTATAATTATTTTTTAGAATTGAGAGAAGAAGTAGAATTTTACAATTTTTATCTTATATTTTGTCAATATATATATATATACATATAACATGTAATTTAGGTAGGGAAAAAAAGATAGAGAAGAAGGAAGGAAAGGAAATTTACAATGCAAAAATGAGACGTAGATTTACGTGGGTTTTACACGGAAAAACAAAAAAAAGAGACCATCAATAGATCTTCTCAGTCAATTAGGAAGCAAGGAAAAGAGCGAAGAAAATGATAAAAAATCAAACAGGAAAAGTGTTTTGATGGTTCACTTAAAGGTATTTTTGTTTTGTGGATTTTGAGAAAACTTAATTTTCCATTAGTTTTAATGTAGAATCCAACTGATTTTTTTTCTTAATTAACACTCAGAAACAGAAAACTTAATGCTATATGACAAAGCTGCCAATTTGTTTAAGTTGAAATATTTAACTGAAGATTGTATACATATTTTCCTCTGTTGGCAAACTTACAGCACTCAGACAGTCATGCAATTAGCCTAATTATTTAATAGTTACTCTATATAAACATACAATGTCAGTTGAATAAAATCATCTCTAAAGTCAGATTAAGAATTTTGTGATTAACTAGGAAAGACTGCTTCAAAATCGACGACACAATAACAAGAAAGAAAAATGTTGGAACATTTGGAATGTAATTAAAAAGAAGAAAAAAACCGTACCAAAATTTTCACCAGCTGCAAGAGGGGAATATTTACGGAAAAGTGTCAAATTCTCACCTAAGAAAATCAGTGTTAGTGTAGAACGAAAAATTGCTCGTAATTTTTTCAATCATTCAAGATGATGAAGATGAAGAGGAAATAAAATCTGTGCTGAAAATAACTGACTTATTTTTAGACTAAACTCACCAATGCGCGAGGTCGAAGACTTCATCAACCTGAGAATCGCGCGCTGTTCGCAAAGTGTTCCATTGAAACAGGGAAAGTTTGTATAAATCTCATTTTATTTCTCTCACTTTCGGATTTTTTACATTTTTTTTTTGTTGTTTTCAGTTACATCACTTCATCATGTCCTAGATCACTTCCAAAACTCCCGTCCAACATTGTCCTTCTTTTAGTAACATTTAAACTTTCTTCTTTAAAATTGGATATAAAAATTACTAAGAATACATTTTATTGTAGTTCTATTTAATCTCTGCATCTCTCAAAATTTGCCTTTACTCTTTTTTTCATTGAAATTTCTCAACATTTTCTGTGTATTTCGTATTGTGAAATTTCTGTTTTGTAATCCTTGAGGTAATTAACGAATTATAGTTTTTCTCAATTTACGTCATTTTCTCTTTTTTTTTTTTACTTGAATTCGCAATTTTTTTTTAAGTTTTCTTTAATCGTCACTCAATGTTATTATTTTTTTGTATTTTCTCTGCAACCGCTACAAATACTTAAATGATCTGCAACATTTACACTGCTCTGTAAACTATTCACTCTTCTTTTTCTCGTCTATAGAAAAAAAACCTTTCTTAGTGCAACACATAGTTTGCATCTGCATTTTTCTTATCAGTATAAGTAACATTACATATCTTTTTTTTTCCTTGATTTATCTAAATCTCTTCCACTATCTTTTGCATTTCTCTACGCAAGAATTCTTATATTTTTTCTGCTTTAGTGGTGAAAAGCTCGCGACATTTTTGCATATCAAGTTAGTGTGCCAGCCAGAAAAATTTTGAAAATATACAGACAGTAAAGGAAAAAAAAACATCTAAGCAAACATCCATATCACACTGTGACTATTCAAAGTAAAGAAACACAAAATAAGAAGACCAACTTTGGGTGAAAATCTAAGTCCTTTTTTAATATCGCAAAATGAAGGTGGCTTTTGAATTTTTTTTGTTTGTTTGTTTGTTTGTCTATTGAACTGTAACGCATTTGGATGGTATCGAGTGATTGTCTCTCTATGAATTGTATTAGAATATTTCAAAAAGTTTAACAAGAGGAGAAGAAGTTTATCATTTTATTTAGTTCACAATTGCGTATATTTCTTTTTTTTAAGATCTGTAGAATTCTTTTATTTAGGGAAAGTTTGGTATTCTTTCATTCTCTAATCTCTAAATCAATAATAATAATAATAATGGTATTTAAGAAACAAAAAGTGAATTTTTTTTTCTTCAAAATTACAATAGAAAGTCTGTTATCAACTTTGCAATCCTAACTTTGAATTGACCTGAATTTTTAGTCTTATTTCTATTTTAAATTTTTTTTTTCATGTAACTCGTAAGAATTCATTTACTGATGAAAAATTATCTCTTTTCTTTTGACATTACTATTTCTTTTTCTTACTTCTTAACATTGAAACATGGTACAAAAGTGTAATTATGAAATGAAGAGTTTTCTTACAATTGCATTGGCGTCAAAAACGATTCGATTAGCGTGAATATTCCAATACTACCACCCCTTGAAGGTCTCTGAAATTGCAGTTTGAACTTCAGTTTTAAAATTCGATTTTTTTCAAAAACAAAGTATATTTTAATATTATAATGTTTGTATTATGAAGAACAATTCTATTGTTCTGGTTATTCATTTATTAAGGGGAATATGTGAATGGGAAGAGTAAAAACAAAAACAACGTTGGGTGACTATAAAATGTTTCAAAAAAAAAAAAGAAAAAATTAGGTATTTAAATTAAATTACATATTAAACTGAAAAGCTGAGTAATGTGGAAAAACAGGCATGACAATGAACTTTCTCCCATTTATAATTTCTCCAAAATCGTGCGAAATTGATAATTTCTACACATTTTTTTTTACAGACTTTGAACTGTGCATTATTAATTAGATTTTTGCTGTCACCCAACAATGAATTTCTCTACTTTTGCTCCACAAAATTCACATTACGCTTACGATGTTTTCATCTCTATTCTATTCTACGGGATGCTTTGACAATTCTGTCTTTCTATTCATTTGCAAAATGTTGGAATCGTTGGCTTTATTGGGCACTGTTTTCGCTGCCGTCTTTTGATTCTAATGACCGATATTCATCTGAATCTTCTTGGTCGGACATCAAATGGACAAAAATTGGATTTGACACCTGCATAATAAATGTAACGTCTGAATAAAAGGGAAACGGAGTTGAAGAGAAAATAATCCCAAAAAAAAGGATAAATTTATGCATGCGATTTTCAACTGATTATCCATTCTCCACAGATATTGAATGTTTTCCGTGGAGAAACAACAGCAAAGTCATGAATTTGTTCCCCGTGTAAAGCATGAAGAAGGTTAAGCGATCAATAAATATACTTTGATAATGCAGGCAACACAACAAATTGAAATTGATTTTCATCTTCCCTTTCTCTCAATCATGCTTAAAGAATAATAATTTAATTGAAGAATTTTCCCCGCCGGTATAATTCTACAAATACATCTCAGCCCACTTAAACACCATTACTCAGTCTTCAACATGTACAAGAACTCGAGATTCTTCCTTCAAAATTGATATGAAGCCCATTTTGAATGTTTGGTTATTAGCTTTGAGAAGAATATTAGTAGAAAAATGATTTAGCACAACACAAGCGCGCCATTGCAAAGCTGTAGTCCAACTAATTGTTAATACTTCACTGGCTCTCTCTATATGTGTTTCAGCAAGCATAGCCAACGACATGTAATGAATTAGAGTTAAAAGCTACTTCCATCTTTCCCTCAAATACCATTAGAGATAAAGTTTGTCTACCAGAATAGTAAGATTCTATATTATATTGTATTATCATGACGATCTTATTCTTTCACTGAATCAATGAGGCACAAAAGAGATAGTTAATTGGTGAAGCCTCTCTCGCTCTCTCTCTCTCTCTCTCTCTCTTCCCCAGCTCCTCAGCACGCACACACACAAGAGTAGCAAATGAATTCTCACATTCTGCCCATTGTAATTTGTCTCATGTGAAGGGAAGAGTTACATTCGAAAATGTTGGTGATCACACTTAATGCCAAAATGATCGCCTACCTCACTGGCGTTCTCCACGGCAGCCTCGTCCTCCTCGCTCACGCTAATGTAGCGGCAGCGCTGGTCAGTCAGAGACACCGGCTCATCCTCCTCAGTCACGCTGATATTCCGCTCCTTGTACGCACTCTTCTGCTGCGCCTCCACGCCGGAATCCACCATGTCCTTCGGCGAGCTCACATCCTCAATCAGCGTGTCGAGGCATTCGGTCTGGGCAAATGAGTCCATCAAGTGTGTGGATGTCTGCGCCACAGAAGAGCTGCTCGGCAATTCTGTGCTCGTCGATCGACTCACAGCCACACTTCCCGACTGAGACACTGAAGCAATATGATAGAACACAAATTATAACATGAAAAACATGGGAAAAATTGTGGTGGAACTTACAGTCAAGCCTTCGAGAAGCGCGTGAAGAATCCAATGGGAGTGGAGAAGATGATCTCGGTTCCACTTTGACACGATAAAATTTAGTTCCCTTGCTGACTTTGTATCGATTTTCATCCTGAAAAGAAAGGACATTTAGACATAAAAACAAAAGGAACATCAATTGCAAGAAACAACCATCGATAGCAGAGCAAAAGTCCAAGATATTGTAAACATGAAGGGCTCTAAGAGTCCAGATGTCTGCTAAGTCAAGTTCACTCCACTTTTGCCAATCTAATCTGTACACTAAAGTGATAACAGTGGAAAAACAGTGCGATTACTCACCTTTCTCGCCACACAGAACTCCTTCTCGATCACCCTCGCTATCACATGTGTCACAGTTGGAGTTTCATTTGCCACAGGACGCGGCAGTTTCAAAGTGTTATAGCTTTCCCCATGCAAGAAGTAAAGAAGTGACGCTTCCTAATAACGAATAGAGGAAAGTGATTATCATCTTTTCTGGCAAGAAACACTGCATAAAACTTACTTGAACAATAATATATTGATCGTGAGCACTATTCCAGATGACAAGCACCAAATCTCCCTTCGAACACGTTGTAACACTTATCAATCCTTTGCCAAATGAGCTGGACGACATTTTCGACCGGGCACCACTCCTCGACATCTGATCAGGACTCACTGCTGTGCTGTCAGGAGTCACTCTGTAAGAGACAGAGGGACTTTGCAGGCACTCTCAAACTACTCACAAGTATTCACTTACACTTTCAGTGCTGCAAAAGACGACTCCATTTCCAATCGCTTTGACTTCTCCACTTCCAATTCCTGCTCCAATCGCGTCCTGTCCTTCTGCAGCGAGTCCATCTTCTCCTTGAGAGCGCACACACTGTTCGTGTCGTTTGGATCCGGTTCAGTCAAATTCTGAATGGTTTCGCGCAACTTATTGATATCCTTCAGCAGTTGATCTTCCCTCTGACGCATCATCTCCAATTGATTATCCTTATCCTCGAGAATACGCTTGTACAGATCATACGTCTTCGATGGTGACTTTGGAGATCCACTCATGAAAAACTGTCCCATCCCACTTCGGCTCTCCCAGCGTTGCCTCTCACGATCCGCCCCCGTCTTTATCGCCATCCCTCGCTCAGCCATCATCTCCTCCCTTGTATGTTGAAACACAGCCTCATGCCCTGACATCTCCAGCAAATCCGGTCGCTCAATCTTCTCCAGACTCGTGTCAGACGGAGATCTCTCGATGCTCGTCATCAATTTGTAGCGTGATCTCAGTGATTCCAGCTCAGACTTGTGATCACGCGTCAATTTCTCCGTCAGATCTTTCACGAGTTTCTCCTTCTCCACACTCGCCTTCGCCTCGCGCGCCTGGTAGTCTTCAGTAGCATCCATGAGATGCTTTACTTTCTCATTCATCTCCTCCACGATGTTCTCATACCTCTTAAGTGCCATCGTGTGCTCCTCCTCCAGAGTCCTCCTCTCATTTTGCAATGTCACAATCGTCTCATTGCTCGTATCGAGACTCTTCTTCAAGTCATTCAACTCTAATTCATGATCAACAGTGCGCTTTATGAGCTCCTGCTGATGATTACTTGTCTCCAACTTCACCATCTCCCACGCAACATTGAGCGACTTCAATTGGGCATGTAAATCACTCTGCCCACTTGCAGAATCATGTCGTATGACTTTCAGTTGATCCCTCAGCACATCTATTGTTGACTGAGACTGCGTGTAGAGTTCCTTGAAGAGAGTCTTCAACTTTTCCACTTCACACCGCGTCGTTCCCAAGTTCTCCTGCAATTGGAGCGAAAGCAAACAATCGCTATTACATCAATTCTCTTGCAAATTTCTCTCAATCACCTATGCATTTGGCGTCAATGAATGAATTTATACATAAAAAATAAATAAAATTGGTAAAATTGTTAGTGTGCTTCAAGGATGAGCAATGAGGACAAGGACTAGTGGAATAGGACTACTGCATGTGCTGTTTCAGGAACATCGATATTCAGTCTTCATGTATGGGCCACCAGCGTCAAATTTCCATTAAGCCTACAAATTCTGCATTAGAATCAATTGCCTAAACACACTCCATAGTTTGTCTACAAACAGGCTTAGAAATGGGAATTCGAGCAAAGAAATTTCGCGTTTCATTTTAAAAACGTATATATAGAATAGAGGATAAATGTCATTGTGCGGTGAGAAATGATAAATAAAGAAATGTAAAGCCTAAGTGAGCAACTACACCTACAAAAAGATCAACTGGCAAACCAAATATATTTAAAAGAAAATCATAAAAATGCTGAGAAATATCATCATCTCCACTGGGAAGGCAAATGTGGGAATTTCATATATGTTCCAGTTTCACAACAAAATTTGGAATATCTGTGAAGGTATGTAAAACGTATTTGGTGAAAAGTACCTGAAGCAACTTGATAACAGTATCACAATTATGATGCTGCTCTGCACAATCCATTTTCCCCTTGTCATCATCCGGTGTGATGATATTGTGTGCCATTCCATCAAGACGATCACTACTCAAGCTCGATGGCAGGGATTCGTCAATGTAAAATTCAGAATTTATGAATTCACTATCGAATGTTGATTGAAAATTGCCATGTTGATTGCTATCAACAGACACCAGTTGGTGGCCCAAACATTTCCCATTGTTTCCACTCTCACAATCCGCAGAATCATCTGGACTCTGTGTTGATGTCGACACTGAATTGCCATCTGAGTCATTATTGCGGGACGGTGATGTTATTTCAGGAATTGAGGGTAATGTTGAACCCGTCGAAAAGGTAAGGGAATTATTGCTGTCGAGACTTTTCATCGAACTCAACACGCTGAGTTTGTTGAAACGGGGATTTTTCTTTGATGGAATGGACAGTGAGGAAGACTATAGATAAGATGGTTAATGATAGAGATATTGTGCGATTAGTAAAACCCCCAAGAAACTCTGTACAACATCCAAGCGCATAACGTTACACAAATCTATCGCAATAGCAATTCAACAATCCAAACTCACCTCAGTCAGAGTCTCAATTGTCTGCATCGCCACCACCTCAGTCGATGTGCTGATGCTACACATTTCTGGCTTAGAAAGTGATGTCATAACTGGAGCTTGAGACGTTTGCGTCGACGTCGCAAGCGTTGTGTATGCCTGAAGACTCCCAGTGGTCGATGTTCGGCGACGATCGATGGGACTCTGACCAACTTTCTCAAATTCCTCCGTGTCTGTTTCGCTCTCGAAACCCCTGCAATTGTAAGCAATTCCTCTTAATCACTCGCTCAGCCACACCTTGTCAATCAACTCACCTCTCATAATCCTTCAAATGCGAGTGCATATCGAGAATTTTGGGCAAATCACTCGTTCCCACACCCATACTCCGACTTGTCGCTGCACTCGACAGATTCCTCGCATTTTCACCGTCATACGCAACGTCCTTCTCTTTGCTTTTACTCCCAGATCTTGTTGAAAAAAAATCTATCACAGCACTCAAATCTGGAAGTTCGATTTTTGATCCAATGTCAGGCAAACAAACGGACAGCTCACTGATATCTGCAAAACAATCATCGCATTACTTCAGTTTCCCTGTCGAATACCTTTGGAGATGTGTTACGAACCATTCTTTGTTAAGCCCGGGAGACTAGAATCAAACACTGATGGGGCTTCTGTTGCATATGACGGCGGCATGTCGTCCATCCCAGGAAAGAGCGTGCACAGAAAGTGCCCCTCGAACATCGACCAAAACTCCTGGCGACGCATAACTTCATCATTGTAAATTGTCATGAGATGACACGCCAAATCGGAAGCCCACTGAAATCACCAGATATTTGTCGTTACTCGTTTTTCTTTCTAACCTAATAAAGCGTTCAGAATAATTTACCAATAAAAAAGCGCTGGAGAAGTTTCTGCGTCGAACCACTTCAGTAACAGCTGTTACATATACACTCGGAGCTTGGTGGATTTGCTCAATAATCCCCATGTGTTTCTGAAGTCTTCGGCAATTGCGGTGAATGAAAAGTAATTTGCTATCTATCTCATACATTCGATTCTCTATGTAAATTATGAATCTGTCGAGGAAGAGTGCGAAAAAGGAATGATTAGTCAATTAACACATCACACTCCACACACAAGGCGATTTTACTTAAGTCTTTGCAGTAAATTGTGTCCAAGCTCCGACTTTGCCCGTGAAATTCTCGATCTAATGTCTCGCAGTTGCTTGTGATTCTTCCTCATCACAATCAATTGATTCTTGTGGGAGACACACAAATCTGGCAAAATTGACGTATCTCCCAAATTGTTGGCTCGTGTTTGATTTTGCTGGAATGCCTGAGCCAATTCACTTTGCTCCTTCACAATGTTCTTCACATCGAACATCAACTTCTCAAGACCACTCAAGCGATCCTCCAATCCCTTGATCAACTTCATATCATCCTTCTGGGCAGCCTCAATTGCATTCTTCACCTCAGCTTTTAAGTTCATCATCTCCTTCTCGTCAAATTGCTCCAAACTCTTCACACACTCCGCAGCCATTTTCCTCAGTGAAATTTGATTCTCCTGTGCAGAAATCCATTGCAACAGTGTCGTCACTTTTTCATCTCTCTTATCATCCACATTTTCACTCCGCTCCTCGCTGTTCCTCTGCAAGGGACACAAAACAAAGTCAGTTCGATTACAGAGGGTGGCTTTCAATCAATTTTTCTCACCGCATTCATTGATTCCGGTTTCGAACTCTCTGGCGCAGCTTCGTGTGTCTTTGTACTTGCTGCCGACGCGTCATCCGACTTGTCATTCCCCTTTGGAAACGAGTCATTCTCATAAAATTCATCAAAGGCATGAAAAGGCTTCTCTGCATTTTGGATCAAAGCTGGAAGTATCGGAATATTCGACAAATTGTCCAAATCCTCATTGAAACTGCAATTAGACCAAATAAACAAAGTTCAGCACTCAACAAATCGAAAGACTTTCATGTGATCTACTTACTGTGAGAGACACTCCAAGTATTCTGTGCGCCTCTCGAGGACTTCATTGAAGACATTCTGGAAGTCATCGCATCGCTTCTTGAATTCCTCCGTGAGATCCTCCATGTTGGCTACAACAGCCGCCCATCCTTGCTGCTGCAAGTGCTGCTCATGGACCAGCTTTTCGCATGTGCGCGTCTCTTCTCTGCCCAATTCATAAATATGCTGCGCCAGCTGCGCTCTCTTCACCACCGTATTGTAATTTGCCGGCAATGATAAGCAACGTTCCACTTGATCCTTCAAATCCGTGTCTGAAATTGCAAATTTAAATCCTATCAAGGATCTCACTCAAACGAGTTCAACACTTAGAAATAACACCTTCTCTATCTTATCACAAAATTAAACTGTCTCCGTGCGTTTTGCGTATGTCGAGTTGGTTTTTTTTGTCTTTCTCCTATTTTGTCTATCTTCGTCACAAAACAAAAACGCGTGTTATCATTTGATAGATGTAAAAATGCCCAGAAATTAGGTCACACTCATTGAAGATTTCTATTGCACGATAATAAAGTCCTTATCAACTTTTTTTTAATACCCATTCAAATACTTTCCTGGTTTCAATGCGTAAAATGCGTAAACTCCTCATTTTATTTTCAAGGCGAAACCTTTTTTTCTGTCCTGTTAACAGTCTGTACAGGAACTTAAAATGCACGAGGTCACTTCTTTGCAGACAATGACTCACGCAGCAAAAGGTTCTTGTTCTAATCGCAATATTATTGATTCTGAAAATCCATTGTTTGATTGAAAATACATAAATAAAAAACACCCCGACACATTATGTACGCCAAAGTGGGATGCATGTGTGTTCAAAACTGATTCATTATCAAGAAAATTTAACCTCTGGCGCGCGTTGGAAATTAATTTGTTTAGAAACCCTCAATATATTTTGCAATTTCATAACATTGACTATGAAAATGCCTTGAAAATCAAATGCAAATTTCATATATTCGAATTGTAGAACAATTTATGTAAGCTGCTAAAATAAAATACTCACCTGGCTCTATACTTGGCCATGGTTGGAGTGAACTTTTCGATTCTATTATATTTGTGCTAAACATAAAAATGGGGTTCGTATCAGTCCCACCTAAATAGCTGCAAATCCGATTCTGAGGAAGAAGCATTTCACCGCCACTGACCAGTAACACTTGACTTGCGGCTGGTATGTGATAATGCGTTTCAATCATTTCCTTCAGATATTGCACACTGAAATTAAAAGGGAAAAGGAAATCAATGTTAATTGATTAAATACTTGTAAATTCTGGGATTATTGAGGCCTCGAAATTGCCTTTAATACTCCATTCATGCGCATTCTAAATACTTTCAGAAGTAAATTAGTGCAGGAAAACAGTAGGTAAACAATACAATAATTCCCTCATTGATGTTTATATTAATTTTCCCATAATTTCTCTTCACGTTCACCTCAATCAGTCATAGCAGATTGTTTGGAATATCACATACAGTAGACATCAGAAGAATTAGAGCGTTGTCTGTCCCTAGTTAATTGCGAAACACTGTACTTTTCACACTCTACAAAGTATACAAAATGTCCTGTCTTATCTAATCGCATTTCTTCGCACATGAAAAATCTATTCCTTCATCACACAAAGAGGTAGTGAAATCCAATTTCAAAATATTTCTCATTCTTCAAATCAGTCATTATTATCATGTAACTTTTCTGCGACTTCAGAAAGAAAACGAGCTTGTCACATACGTACACACAAGCTAACATCTTGACATGTGCAGCACACGAATGTAGAAATATTTCCGCACTGTTTTCTATACATTGAACAAAAATTTGACGCAAAATCAGCTGAGTTCATCGTTATACGAGAGTGTGCCAAGGAGAATGAGTAAAAAGACGGAAAGTATAGAGAAAAAATACACGATATGTCGGAGTATTTAAAACTCACACGAGGCATCTGCGAGAGAGATTATACATTTGTGTGAATTTCACTCAGTTTATCGCATGATGATTAACCCATGCTTATTACATCAGATTTTATGATAATGCTTCTGACAGTGCGACACGTTTTAATCGAACGCCATGCTCAAGAAGCATTTTCATCATTTCAACGCAAGAAATGGAAATCATGGCTAAAAATACCTGCATAAACATGAATTATTAAGTGAGTTATTGAAATAGAAATAATAATTGTGTGTATTCACTTCGCGAGGTGAAAGTGATTTCAACCATTTTCCGCTATAATTTTTCGAGAAAAAAAATATTCTTCCCGAGAGATAAAAGACTGCACAAATGTTTACATTCACATTAGAACCTTCTTTATCTTGAACTGCACACAGTAAGATATTAGCAAATAAACCATTCTCAGGTTATTCACATTTAGATGAATGAGGATAAGATTATAATAATCCTTTTTCTGTCTCTTAAGTTCCGTTTGTGTCTCTCTTATCTGCTGTGACACACAAAAGATCACGATACGAAGAATTAATCACCCTTGATCCGTGATATAAATTGTTAAATTGACAACATCTAATTATTATATGCTCTTCAGCATTGTACGCAATATGCGGAGGAAAAATGCTTGCGAAATTTTACACGACACTCACACAGTAGTAGGAAAAATCAAACTCTTAAGCGTGCCTCTTCATACTAACCTTGGCAATTACACTACTACTACTAATCCACAACCACCAACTCAATCATTTGCCTCTATTTGCCAAAGAAGCTCATAATAAACAGTTCACTCATTCAGTGAATGATTATGCCAACTATTAAATTAAGCAAGGGCCTCAAAAACTTGCAAAAGAAACAAGAAATTCACTCACTTTTCGAGCGCTACACCCATATCGAATGTAATCATTCGACCAGTATCCACGTGGAAAACGTACAGCATTTTTCTGCCGTATTTTCTGCTTCACAATTCCTTGAAGTAGTGTCACTTTGTTTGCTTTCCTTTCTCAACGGTCACCTTCCTATGTGCCAAACACACTCTCAATGAAAGGGGAAATTCATCAATTTCCTCGTTCTCTCTCCAGCTGTATTTGTCTTCTTTCTCTTATCAATATTCCTCTCCCTGTGTCGCCAAATTTTAAAAATCATGCGCTTTGACAGTGACAAATCTCTTCTATTCTTCCTTCAACTGACGACTTTCCACTTTGGCGAGAATCAAGAAATCCACCATCCTTGCAGTCTTATGTCACTTATTAGACGCTCTCCACATCGCCTTATCATCCAATACTTATCTCTTGTCGCCGATAAAACACGAAGAATAAATGAATCCTCGTTGTGAGACGCACTGATCCAATATGGATATTTAGAAATCACCTTTCTGCCTTTTCTTTCCTCCACTGTTATAGATTTCTCATCTGCAAAGAAAGAAAAAGTACGCAAGAACAATTAGGTTTCTGTTTTTCTGTTATCGTGAAAGCGTCAATTTTTTGTTGAATGAGCTAAAAATACGACATTTTGACTCATTCGTTACGCCAATTTTTGAAAGAATACATCGTACTGAACATATGATTCACAATCTTCAGTTTGTGTAAATTCTCTTCATAAACTACTGGTAAGACGGAATAGATACAATTGTGGTATAAATACAAAGTGTATTTAGGCAAAATCAACGCTAATTAAGATATTCATCTCACTCCAATACATTCGCAAACCCATTGTGTGTCTCAACACTCATAAATATTTCGCAATTTCGTCTCAAATTAAATAATGTAATCCGATTTTCACGAATTGTTAGATTCTCCCAATAAAGTGCGTCTAACTTTAAGTGTGATAGTGTGATTATACAGCATGGATCACCACAAGTACATAAGTTGGCTTAAAGCATCATAATGCTGGCCTTGAATCTTTTTTTTTGTCATGTATTCAAGAAGCGTGTAGTAAATAGTGGTTTTTGTTAAGTTTTGCGATCACCAAAGAAATCAAAATATCGAAAGACTTTCGCCAATTCATATTCACACTCTGAATAAGCTCAATAAGTTCATTGTGAGCCTCTTTACTCATTACACATTAAGCTATCTAATAAATCATTTACATAGGAGACTCACACACGCGCAAGCATTTTAGCCAAAAAGTGTTCTAACGTCAGAATAAAACCAGTCGAACTACATAGTATCAATTTGCGAACAATTTACTGGTCATAGAACCTTTTCACATCGGATGTTCAATGACAAGAGTTCATCAACATTGCCAGAGACTGCAAAAAAACCTCAAAATCGTCTGAATATAGATAAGTAAACAGGTAAAATCTCATTATTACTCATCTTTTTCATTCGTCATCTACTCACAAAGATATTAAGGAAAGCTAAAATAATACTCTTTACTTGAGTTTAGCCAGTTCAGCGAACGAAGCGCTCTTTTCTCTGAAGAAAGTGGACAAAAGCAACCGAGGGAAGGATTTCAGTCGGCTCTAATGGACTTTTTCTCTACCTTTTACTTCTCTTCTATCGTCTTCCGTCTTTTTCCAGGAAACAACTTTTGTGATAACAATATTTCTTCTTTTGTACGACTCGACCACTGAGAATATGAAGGCATGCACGCTCGTTCCTCCCAAGGTGCAGATAACACGAAAAAAGTAATTGCTTTTAGAATACGAAATGACAGTACCATTTCGAATAGGGAGAAAACAGACCGAAAAAGAGGAAAGGTTCTTGCATTTGCATTGAAAAGTAGAAAATACAAAGATACTTAATTGATTTCAATATACATTTATGATAATTTAAACACATTGTCAAGGTTAAGCATAAATTCTATCAATTTTATAAAATTTCTCAACATAGAGAAGAGCTGGGAAAATGAAAACAGTTTTTTTTTCGTGTTTTACTGTAATCCTTTGATGAATTAAATTAAAATTCTATAAATTGTTGGTTCAAGAAAACGATATGCTTTTGATTTACAATAACTCAGACCCTATAAGACCATTGAACTCTGATAATACGACTGCATTTTGATATTTTTGTGACGGAGTTCGGATCAAGACATCTCTAAAAATAAACTGTCTTGTAAGAAATGATTCTATAAAATCAGAGTTACGGCAGTTCAAAGGTTTACCACAATATTCAATTCGCTGTCCGAAACAGCCCTGCTCTCCCCTATGTGCTTCACAAATTTCGTACAAAGCGCTCTTTGCTAGACACGCAGATATTGATACACCTTCTTCAAGGCACACCCGGAAGACGGTTTTCTCAATGGTCAAACAAGAGAAGAATTCAGCGAGTCTCTCTATATATACGAAATATTAGTATCAATCTTTGTGCCCACTTTTTTTTCTTGAGCTTTTGAGTGTGTTTTTGCCGCTCTCTTTTGATTTGGATAAAAATTGCGGAAGTGGAATTCTGTGAGCGTGTTTTTGCGCACTTTCTTCGAAAACAAACTTGAGGAACAGGGAAAACGTCTCACACTCGCGAGTGGAAAATTGGCATATTTGTGCTGAAATGTGAGGCGAAATATTAAAGAATTGCGAATTGGGGATGAAAGGAGAGAACGAGTTGCTCGCGATGGCTTTGCGATAGAAGACGCAAAAGTGTAAACAACACGAGCCAGACGATGTCAAAGTACTCAGAATTCTCTATAAAATGTGTGTTTATTTCTGAGGATCTCGCAAAATGACACACGAAATGTGTCACTTCGCGAGGAACCAACTGGTTCCTCGCGCTTATTTGGTGCACACTCGGGAGAGCTTTCGGCAGGCCCAGAGTCGCAAAATGCAACTCCCTCTCGCTCCGTCCCTCTCTGGGGAAAACAATGGGAGCCCAGAGAAAATGGACGCGATTCGCCCGACCGTCGTGAAAGCCCCCGCGCTGAGTTTCGACGAAAATATTTCCACGGGGAGGACGTGAAAAATAGTCCGCTTTCGTGGTGGAGCGGCAGCACAAACAACACAAAGAAGAGCCAATCAATATTCTGGCTTGGCCATAGGCAAGACGTCCGTCCACCATTGCAGCCATTTCAATGCATTTTCATGCAGTTTTCCCAGTACTTTTCCACTCACCAACTATTCCGCCAACTTTTCACAGATCGTGTGAGCTCTCCGCAATCGCCATCAGTCAGCTAAATGGCAAAAATCTGAAGCATTCATTCGTTGCGTAGTTTCATCGCAGTAGCAAAAAAGTATCACAAAATTCATCTATTTGCCATTCAATTTTACACCCATTTCCCAACACAGAAACACACCAATTGCGTCTTCTATTTTCACTGCACGACTCCCTGCTCACTTATTTACAGTATAAAATAAATACTACACATTGAAAAACACTAAAACTGAATTTCTTTCTGTATTCCGTATTCCTTCAAGTGCCTTTCTTGTCTGAAATTTTTCACTGAACTGAGGAAGATGCTGTCAGCTGGCTGACTCCGTGAAGTTAGTCATGATGCATGGTGAATATGGCGCAATTCACCACTCGCCGCCAATTTCACCATGGCGGGAACTATGAATTGTGCCATAATAATACTTGGAGTCTTCGGGAACGTTTTTTTTTCAGACATACCGAGCTTTTCAAAACAAGATTCGTGAGAAGTAAATAAATGCAATTTCTTATATCGTGGAAAATATATAAATTCTTCCATTCGTGTTTATTAAAACTCTTACACATTGAAGTACACGTGTTCTCGGTTTCTTTTCTCTGTGGCTCGTACAAAATGATACTTTTAGGCAGTGGTAATCAAGAGAACTCATACGTGAATGGGTGACAAGCGCGAAAAAGGATAGTAAATTAATCGTTTATGTATATACATATATAGCTTATTAATCAACAGAGAACAATTTCTTATTCATTTTTGGTTTCAACGTACATTTATCACCTTCGCAAACATGGCCTAGGCACGCTTGCAGGGTTAATTTTAAGTTAAATTCTCTCTTCTATCAAATGTCGGGATGCATAATTTGCTTTAATCGATAGGGGCTAAATTACTGCTGTCGCCACTGCCTCCTGTTGTACCCTGGCCGCCTGAACCTGTGTCTCCTAGGCGGAGTCTGCACTGGTTGGCGCACTCTCTCCTCCGGCCTCAGCAGAGCTGAGGCGTCTGGGAAGTCATTGGCAGGACGAGGTCGTGGAGACAAGTCGATCTTGCGGCAAACAGCGCACCTGCAAGGCGAAAAGAGTTGAGAAAATCTCGCCAGGAAACTGAAAATTCAGATCACTGACCTGCTGACTTTAGACGACTGGTCCATCTTAATGGTCTGCTGTTCGGGCTTCTTGAACATGTTGCCATCCTCGATGACTGTGAGCCAGTAGGAAGTGAGTTGGTCATAGTAATTGCACCTTCCTTGTCCGCCACTGCACTCGATCACCGGCATCTGCCGGAACTCCTCAAGGCACGAGCCAGGCGACAGAAGATCCTGCCCGTATCCTCCGGTGTTGTCAGAAGTGTACTGAAATAACAGAATCGCTATAGAATCTGAAGATTATCCCAATTCTCTATCACTTACCATGAAGTAACTGAAACCGACCCAAAGTTCTTCCCATCCACTGGCGCAGTTCGGGATGCTCATGGATTGACTGTGCATGGCAATCACGCGGGTTCTGCTCTCGCAGACGGAACACCTGGAGACGTACTTCTCCACTTCGCGCGCAGGGATGGGCGCCATGGAGAAGGTCATGGGCTCGCTGGTGGCCAGCCACAGACTGTCCTCATTCTGATTGCCGTAATTGCACACATTCTTAATGTCACAGGACAGGAACGGCAAGGTAGAGAATCTCCTGAGGCAGGATCCGGGCAGACCCAGATCCTGACCGGCTGTGTAACTGCCTCCAATCACGCTGGCCAGTGAGTATCCGTCCCAGAGCTTCACAGTGTTGACTGAACACTCGGGAATGTGGACAGATTGAGAGTGCCGAGTGTAGACAAAGCCCCTGGATCTGCTTGGCGGTGGCGGAGGAGCAGGATCTCCTCTCTCTCCCTGCACTCCTCGGTATCCATCCAGACCATTCAATCCACGAGGTCCAGGCAAACCTTTCTCACCCTTGATGCCCTCCAATCCACCAAAGCCAGGAATTCCCTGGTCGCCCATCATTCCTTTCAGTCCACGCAAACCAATCACGCCCGTCCAGCCGATTTCTCCCATGTCTCCGGGCACTCCTTTGCGTCCAGGAAAGCCGTCAAAGCCAGGATCTCCAACGATGGCCAATTCATATCTAAAGGAGTCACCTCTGTCGCCTCGCAGACCGGGAATTCCATCATCTCCATCGATTCCATTCCAGCCCGAATCGCCCTCAGGACCTCGAGGACCTCTTGGGCCTCGAGGACCAGGGAACCCTTGCATTCCAGGTGTTCCCTGCATTCCTGGCGCTCCATTCAATCCTGGCGGCCCTGCAAAGCCTTGATCGCCGAGTTCTCCGCGAATTCCTGGAACGCTGTAGCCAGCATCACCTTGAATTCCCTTGAATCCCGTCTCTCCTCTGTATCCCATAGCACCGCGCAAGCCTGGCAATCCTGGTCGTCCAGGTGGACCTTCGAATCCAAAGTCTCCAGGCAAGCCTTTAACACCGTCGAAACTATCGCCAGGAAGACCAATGGCTCCTGGTGGACCATTATCTCCGTAATCGCCAGGAACGCCTTTAGGGCCAACACGCCCAGGTCTTCCAGGAAATCCATCGATGCCAGGAATTCCCGGTTCTCCTGGCTCGACAAATGACAGCGGCATTCCACGCGGTCCTCTCAATCCTCTGTCTCCCATCATGCCTTTTCTGCCTGTGAAACCATCCGGTCCTGGTAATCCGGGCTCTCCAAAGTCTCCTCTCTCGCCCTTAAAGCCCGGCAGTCCCGATGGGCCCTTTATGCCCTCTTCTCCGTATGGACCACGCATTCCATGAGGACCTCTCTCTCCTCGTTCGCCCTTTTGAGCTCTGCCAGGAGTGACAATTCCAGGAATACCAGGGAAACCCTTGTCTCCCATCTGTCCAGGTAGTCCAAAAAGTCCAGGTTGACCCGGATCTCCTGCATCACCAGGTAAGCCAGTGAGACCTGGATATCCACTCTCGCCCACGTCTCCAGCTTCTCCCTTAAGTCCAGAAAGTCCTACCACTCCATATAATCCAGCCATGCCTTTCCTTCCGTTAATACCTCGTAAGCCAGGTCGTCCGGCAGGACCGGCTTCTCCTGTTTCGCCAATCAGGCCAATTTCTCCAGCATCTCCTCTCTCGCCCTTCGAGCCAAAGTATCCATCTCTGCCATCCCGACCAGAGTCTCCAGGAATGCCTTTCTCTCCTGGATATCCATCGTACACCACGCCAGCGTCTCCTTCAACACCCTTCAGACCAACCAGGCCGGGCTGTCCAGGAATTCCAGGGAATCCCACTGCGCCTTGCATTCCAGTCTCTCCCTTCACACCACTAAAGGCAGGCTCTCCCTTCGGGCCGCGTAATCCCATCAGCCCAAAGTCTCCCCTCATTCCTTTGAATCCATCTCTACCAGGACGTCCTCTGGCTCCCGTCATTCCCATATTACCAACTTCACCCTTCAGACCAGGTTGGCCCATATTTCCCGGCCGCCCAGGATATCCAAACCGTCCTGGGTTTCCTGGATCTCCTCTGTCTCCTGGTTCACCATCGAGTCCACGAAATCCTGGAGTTCCGATGAATCCAGGATCTCCTGGCAGCCCAGCGTCACCAGGTAGTCCTGAGAAGCCAGGCGCTCCGATTTCACCTTTGGCTCCAAAGATACCAATCGCTCCCTGATATCCCGGATCTCCACGAGCGCCCTTATCACCGTAAGTTGCTGGCAGTCCATCCCGTCCAGGCTCTCCAGGTAAACCTCTTCGGCCGAAAACAATTTCACCGCGTTGTCCAGGAACTCCAGTAATTCCCACTTGGCCAGGCAAACCATCATCGCCTTTGCCGCCTTTCACGCCTTTAATTCCAGGAAGTCCTCGTATACCAGGCAATCCAGGAAATCCACGATCTCCAGGCTGACCGATCGGACCAATATCTCCGTCTTGTCCCATTTCGCCGAACAGGATAGATCGGCCTGGATCACCTCGGCTGCCCTTCAATCCGGGGAAGCCAGGTTCTCCTGCTAAGCCGTCAGTACCAGGAATGCCAGGCTGTCCTGCTGGACCCATATCACCAATAATTCCTGGATAACCCTTGAAGCCCTCGGGTCCCTGGATTGATATGCCGGGCTGGCCGATGTCTCCATCAGGACCTACAATTTAAATTCGTTTTCAACCCCAGCAGTGGAGATGTAATGGACACTCTACCTGGCAATCCCGGAGCTCCTGATAGACCCGGCCATCCTTTCCTGCCATCCAGTCCTTGCTCACCAAAGTCTCCGGGAATTCCTCTATCACCCTTCGCCTCCGTCACATTCAGAGCAGGGATATCTCCATCTTCGCCTCGAGCGCCAGGAACACCTTGGTCACCTTTCTGCCCCCTGGGGAACATCAAAATAGAATCACATCGAAAATATGTGGAATTCTTGGGACTTACCAGAGTCCTTCCAATCCACGCTCGCCTTGGAGGAAGTAGATGGGAATGTTTGCGTTCTCTCCGGGTCGTCCATCGAGCCCATCTCTTCCCGGAGATCCGTCTCTGCCCGGCAACCCGGGAATTCCATCTAAGCCTTGCAGTCCCTTTTCGCCACGCTGTCCAAATCTTCCTGGCATTCCAGCCTCTCCAGACTTGCCAGGCGGTCCCACTTCTCCAGGATATCCCTCCTCACCGTCATCTCCTCTATCGGGATTCTCCTGAGTGCCTTCGAAAAGCACATCTCCTGGTGTGCCCTTTGCACCTGGTCTTCCAGTTTCGCCAGGACTTCCTGCAGGACCTTCGACACCTTTCCTTCCTTTCAATCCTTGGTAACCCGTTACTCCTCTCTCTCCGCGAGGCCCCGTGAAGCCCTTGCGACCAAGTGCTCCTGGGAATCCTGGTCGACCAGCATCTCCTGTAAGACCCTTCCTTCCTGGTGCTCCTGGAGCGCAGCGTCCACAGTCTTCTCCACGCAGACCTCTGTCACCCTTCAGTCCAGTTATTCCGTCAAATCCATCATCTCCAGGAACGCCGCGTCTCCCTGGCAAACCACTCACGCCCATCGGACCAGTGACATTGACTCCTATTCCCGGTAAACCCTTGCGCCCAGGAAGTCCAGATTCACCACGATCGCCCTGAAATCCGAATTTTCCATCGAATCCAGGGGTTCCAGGCGGTCCCTTGGGACCGTATGTGTTTCTCCCAAGAAACCCCTTAGGGCCCATTCTGCCAGGCGGACCTGGTTCCCCAGGCGGGCCAATGGGCCCAGGAGGTCCGCTCTCTCCAAAATCTCCCTGCTGTCCCATCACGGAGCCTCCTTTTCTTCCCCGTGGACCCGGAGTTCCGGGATCTCCGGGTAAGCCAGCCAGACCTGTAAGTCCTCGACGTCCGGGTTCTCCTGGAATTCCATTCATTCCTCTCTCTCCCACTGGGCCAATCTCTCCTTGAGGACCTTGTGGTCCAGGATGTCGCTCGTCCAAATTCGGATCGTATTCACCCATTGGACCGGCAGGACCTTGCACACCAGGCATACCATGATGTCCATGCTCTCCTGGCTCTCCTTTACGGCCATCAGCACCATCGTAGCCGGCATATCCCGGAGCTCCCTTGTGTCCTTTTTCTCCTGAGGATCCCGGAAGACCATCCTTTCCGCTCTTGCCACGATCTCCCTGCTCTCCTTCCTCTCCGCGATATCCCTTGATGCCCTGCTCTCCTGCCCATCCTTGACGACCCTCACTTCCTCTCGGGCCAAAATCTCCCAACATACCTTTGTCACCCTTCTCGCCCACAATTCCCTTGGTAACAGTCTCATTCTTGCGCCGGAAAGGCACCACACTGTCACCCTTCTCTCCGGACTCTCCAGGAGGTCCTCTCTGGCCGGGAACAGCCCGTACATCTAATCTAGCGTCATCTCCTCGCTCACCTTTGTCGCCCAATTCACCGTCATGTCCCTGGAAAAATATACATCACGTTCAATGAATGCATCGTGCCAGTGATGGAGATTCTTACATCAAATCCTGGCAATCCTTGGTAGCCCTTCATGCCCAACTCTCCAGGATATCCCCTGTCTCCTGGTCGTCCATCATATCCAGAGTCACCGCGATCTCCCTTGGTGCCTTTTGAGTTAATGCCACCCTCGCCAGCATCTCCCCTCGGACCGGTCAAGCCACTCTCTCCTGGAGGTCCTCGCACTCCTGGGTTACCGGGCATGCCACCAAAGCCCATGGTGCCATCCGTGCCGTTGCATCCATCCAATCCGCGTGGACCACGATCACCGGACTCTCCTTGAGTGCCATTATAGCCAGGAATTCCGTAGTATCCTTGCATTCCTTTCTCACCCTAAAGCATACGTTGAAAGTGAAGACACTCTTTGCCAATTAATGATCTCATTCTATACTCACTCGGAATCCCTTCTCGCCAATCATGCCCAATTCGCCGTGATCTCCATAGTCTCCTGGTCTTCCGGGTGGCCCCGGAGGTCCGACGTCACCGTGAGGACCCTCCTGACCAGACAGTCCAGGTGGCCCCATCTTCCCCATGGCGCCCTTCAATCCGTCGCAATCGCATTCCCTCTTATGTGCGTCCTGGAATGATAAGATAGTGTCCGCGACTTAGATTGTGTGTCCGCCAAAAATACACTTCCCACTCAGTGGGCAAAAAGTCCACTGTCGCAGAGGTCAGAAGATAGTTGCGCGCGATTAAGAATATGCCTGTTTATTTTTCCACACATTCGCAGAATCGGTTTTAATTAAGCCACAATATTCCCGAGATTTTCAAACAGCAGTTGATTGGGGAGAGAAAAGGGGTTAATGCGAATAAATCTCAGAGACAAATTGTCGAGTGGTGCGGCATTTGGCACACTGAGAGTGAAATGGGAGCGATCTCAAATGAATATGCCCATATTTCTGCGCAAATTCACTAAATTGTGGCTACATTCTTAATTGCTGATATGCTGAGATGATAGTGTCTGCCAGCAATTAATTTGCCACACCGAGAATTGTGATGGACACTATGTCGTGTTCCATTTCTATTAGAAAATATGTAAATTGCCGCAATATTTAGTGCATCTGGGAGTCTCTCGCAGTCCCCAAAACCCACACACTGCTCCACATTGCAGTCGGGAAGTTGTCTCATGTCTCTGCTGTGCTGCCCCAGCACCACATTCGCGAATGGCTGTCGGAAATTGCAGACCGCGCGTAGAATCGCTGCCACCCAGAGATATGAGATCATTGTATATTTTCACTGTGGAAATGTGCTTATTAAACAAATACCGCTGTGTCTCGCTGAAATCGACAGCTAAATTTAATGCAAAGTGTACTTAATGGACACTGCAAGAGGAGTTCTCAGCAAGAATTCATAATCAATGAACCTCTTTATCGTTGCATTGATGGGAATTCCCTGCGAGGAGTTCTGCATTGTGCTGCCGCGATGGTTATTGATGATTCCAGAGGTGGGCAAGTGCGCAAAATTAATGTGCATTCAAGCAGATCATAAGCATGTATTTTAATCAATTCCACTATAAATTGGCACTAGATTTGTAATTAATAATCTCATTAGATAGTGCTCTTCATTATGTACTTGTTTTCCTGCATTTGACTGAAATTGCAGTAGTATTTTGTTGGGGAAATGGATTTAACAGGACAGGATGAGGGTTAAATAAATAGATGAAATTGTTGATTGCCGCATGTACGCAATTTGGATGCCGAGCACGCTATCCTTCATTGAGTATTTGCCTTAATTGTAGCAACACTGTATTTGATGCTAAACACTTGATTTTGTACGTAATTCAAGTTGTGAATTATCAGCGTATTTTTATAACTAAACCACGGGGTCAAGGAACAGCACAATAAAATTATGCTGAAGAAAAATCTCGCTAGAGGGGAAAAAATTTATCAAAACGGGAATACTATCAGTTTTGTGGCAGAGGAAGCTGATCTCACAGCCTCAAAACTAGAACATATCGCGTCTGATAACTTCCCTTCTCGCAAGATTTCACACACAAGTGGTGGTGGTTATAAATTGTGAAAACTCTGCGTGTCGATTTCTGTCCTTGCACGACAACTTGCTGACGAGGATTTGGGCACTGGTGACAACTTCTGAAGAAATGGCCAAGCAAGAGGGTAAAAAATGTGTCTTCTCGCTCGCCTGGGTGAAAATCACACAACACAACATCTGTTAAAACATGCTCGATGGTCGTTTTTTTATCGCTTTGAGCATTTCTTCCTAGTCAAACATTGCCGACTCATAAATATATATAACGTTAAATGGACTGTCACCACTTGCTAGAGGATTGGATTATTGGCAAAGATCCACACGTGATGCTCGCAACGGCACTTGGCATTCAGCCTCAGACATTTCATTCATCATTCGCGCCACAAGAGAAATTTCTCACATATTAAGGGTGGATGACACTAATTAGTCACATCTCCTTGTGAATTAATAGCCACTCCTCATCAAGTGGTGGGCGTGAGAATTTCCCATCTTGCATGCTGAGAGTTTATTTTCGAATAAATAACATGCAAATAATATAATGTAAATATTTGTTCAGCACTCAAGGATTCAATAGCCCAAGCAACATTGTCTCAATCCGAGTGTAGCTATCATTATATCCATTGAGTAATTATTATTTCATAAATTTCCGATAAACTAGTCTCCTTTCATCTCGTTGTGATACTAAACGGGCACCGGAGCACAAAGGAAAATCGTGTAAATCACACCCAGAAGGCATCTCTGAAAATCCTCAATATTAATTTTCATCACGTATCTCAGGGAGGCTGCTCGGGATGAGGAATTCGTTCCAGCAACACTCAAATGACTTGTAATCTATTTATAAAGTGTTAAAAGTGACTGATTTTCAAACTGTGAAATTTCCTCTGGTGGAATTGTCTGCTGGCTTTTTTCCACAATCACGCCGACTTGTGATGTTGAATTTTCGTAAAGAAGAAGAACGATCGCGTTCGCTCTCTATCAGTAAATTAATTTCTTCGCGAGTTGAGAAAGGTGAAGGGGTCAAGCGCAGTGTTGATTGATAAACAACAGACTGGACCACACAGCATTTCCATATTTTAATGGGATTGTAATTAATTTTCAGCTTCTGCGTCCGCATCCCTAACACATGTGCGTGTGATTCGAAATTGTTCTCTCGCGGTTAAGCAGTTGACTGTATTACATTGTTTATGCTGTGTCTTCTACAGATTGCCAATGATGTAATTGGGGTTATAGTTTATTTATTATTTAACATCATTCCTTCACAGATATTGTGCAAAAAATGTAAAATGAGACGGCGCTCCATCGAGATTCAGGCAGGCTCAAAAGTGAATGAAATGCTACAGAACGGTGTTCGAAACAGAGACGCAGCATCAGTAATTGGACAAATTTTCGATTCAAAGTTGGCCAAACTCAAACATTTTTACATTTCAATATCAGATTAGAAATAGTATAAAAATTACAAGTTATAAAAGATTGTTGTCACTGCTTTTTTGCATTCGCATTTAAGTGAATGTTTATATCTTCTTCATGTTTTTACGCTATTTCAATTTAAATCATGTAAAACACATTTTGATGATTGAAAATAAATGTCAACTGACTTCAATTGCACTGCCGACATTCTTCTTCGTGTATTACAATTATTGTGGTCAAAGTAGTCTTCATACTCCTCACAATACTGTGGCGAAAGATATTACAGATACTTGGGAGTCAATATAGGAAAAAATTGATGATACAGTTACGGTCTTTCCACTGATGAAGAGAATGATGAATCTCATTGGAGAAAAGCAAATAAACCGAGCTGTGGATATTTCGTGTAATATGGTGAAAATTAAAAATGTCTGTTTACATTTGATTTTGAGAAAAAACTAAACACGGAACAGATAAAACAATATTTATACGAATTTCACTATTTTTAAAACTTCACCAATTTGACCATTTCACAGGAAATATTGACTCATGAGCCTCAATACAACCATTGATTTCTCATCTTCCCTATGGGCAATCCGCAGTTACATGAAGAATTTCTGCCGCGAAGCACGGAGAGGCGAAGGAGCCCAAAGAAATGGCTAAAGGGTTTCGTAACTGTTTCATATCTCTCCACTGTTGTCTGCTCCACATTGAGTGTGTTGTATCCTACATATGTGCGGGTACATGTGCTGTGTATATGCTAAATTCCTCACCAGAGAAGATCACAAGGAATTGGCGCATGGATGGCATCAAAAGTACGCGCGAGTGTCTTGAATATCAAGCGATTAGCGCGAAAGCGAAAAAACTGCGCGACTGAAGAGGAAACATGAAAAGGAGAGAAAAAATAGAGGAAAACAACAATAAAAAACCCTTAATTTTTTTTACACACAGACCGAATTTCTGCACCAAACTTGACTTCACATGGAAATTAAATAATAAAAGAAACCAGTTTAGGGCGCAGAGAATCCGCGAAGCGCGAGAAGCCCACCATTGAGAAGCTGGCATTCTGGCATCGAGATGGCAAAAAACGCGCCTTACGGATCATCAAAATTCAGAAATGGCTCACTTGTTGGGGGCTCTTCTTTTAATTATATTGGAATGAGAGGAGACTGAGATGCTTCACAACTATTGATGGCTTTCGCCTGGAGGCTAATTTAGGAATCATGGGATCTCTTCATGTGAAGACATACCCAAATGCATATGACCCACTTTGAGCACTCCCTGTAAACATTTGCGGGAAAAGAGGAAGAGACTCACTTGAGATGTTACATTCGTTCCATTTCAAATTGGTATAAACATCGACATGATTAGTTGTAATGTTGCATTTTACAGTGTGGAGAAGGATATTAAATTCGCAATGAGTTGAAAATTGCAGTTGAAAGCCAGGATATTGCACATAAACTGGACACATAAATTTCTCACTTTAAAGGTAGGAATTTAAGCACAATGTCTCCGGATTCATAAGATTTTAAAATAAACCTTTCTGGTTCACTGCTGAACAGATTGTAAGAGAAGAACTCATTAATTTTCTCATGATTTAATGGTTGTGCCTCCAAAAACTTCCCAGAAAAGAGTCGTCTTGTGATATATTGCCTTCGCGAGACGGTGAAAAAGAGCCCTTATCTCAAATCTTGAGAAGCTTCAACTCATGTTTCAGGTGCAGTTTCTGCAGAAATCGCACAGAGGCAATAAAATGGTTTTCACACTCACTTTCTTGCTGAAATATACGATATTGCTCTCTTAAATAAATTCCTATTGAGAACATGAGCATCGGAAATTGTGAAGAACACCACTTCTGACCACTTCTCGAGTCACTCTTCCGCTGCCGCGCGTTGCGCTTTCGCGCCTCTCTTGAGTCATAGGAAGGAAACCCATAGCTTTGGCTATAAATAAATTGCTCTCGCGAGTTGAGAAAAGGCAACACTGTTACTGATGATTTCCTGAAATATGTTAATTTGGCCAATTCCTAAATGAATTGCATATGTAAAAAGTACAATGCAAAGTGCGCGGAGATGATTTTAACCTTGCATCTTGTGTGCAAGAATCACGACTGCAATTGGAGGAGATTAAGTGAATTTGAATGATTGTGGGCGTGCAGATCGTCTAATCCGTCTTATCATAACATATTAGCTGTTGCTCGCTATTCAAAGTCAAATAGAAGTGACTATGCAGACATAGACAAGGATTCTTTTCTCAGATTTCATGCTCACAGTTTCACAAAACCCGGCAAAATGTGGTCTTGCCGCCCGACAAAAAATCACTTTCTTTCCCTTTTTTCCCCACATCAGGTTCTTTCGCCTGCAGATCGCATTTTAACAGTCGTAATGAAAACACAACATTAAAATACAACACACATCATTTTATTTTTAGTTATTCCCAAGAAAATTCATACAACCGTGCAATACAAACATAAAATTTCCTCCAACATTCTCACATCTATCCATTTTTATGTCTCTCAATTCCTTTGCGCATTGTTGATTTCTCTCCTCTTTCCATCTTCTTTAATTCGACCACATGTAATTAATGGACATTCTCATCCCGATAAACTTCCTTTGCCTCACCCATCGTGTCTTGGAGTATTTCTCAAATGGAAAATATCACAATCGATCCACGCACTGATTTGCTCACTCTTCGCCCCCCAAAGAAGCTGTCATATTGAGGGGGTATTTTTAGACGATCCAGAGAATTTTCGGCTATGCAATTACAAGGAATTACTTCGGAGAAATCACTTTGAGAAAGCCTTTCACAAAACTTCATCATTGCTCCATTCTGTGGTCAGATTGAATGGAAGGTTTAGACTATTTCCCAGAAACTACGCCACTGATTAACCCCAGTAAATGAAGTACATTCACACATTTTTATTCAGACTGAATTACTCCGCAAGCAACTAAAATAAATCACGTTCTCAGTTCATTGGCTGGGAGTTCTGAAGGAATGCAATGTACTGAAAAATGCCGGAAGAATGATAAGAGTTGAAGCTGTGTAAGTGAGAATTTATATTCAATAAGTACACTTGAGAAAATCCGCCTCTGCCAGTGATGCAAAAATGCAACACACAACTTTTCCACCCTTCTCAACACACGAAACCATCATTTCCTCAATTGAGCAGAAAGGCGCACGGTCCGATGCCATAATCCTAGTCACAGTGTTGTCAAGTTTATTTGTGCTAAGTAAATGAAATCTTATCGAAGTGCAGTTTGTTGGGCATCCGGGAACAGGGAAATAGCGTGTAATGGTCTGCACATTAAGCATGAATTAAATTCCCTTCGCGACTGAATTACAAAATTCTCCTCCTCTGTGATAAGGAGCCATGATGTCATCATCTCAATTCCGCTTTGCGGAGATGCGGAAAAATGCTCGCTTGTTCGCAGAAATGACTTAAATTGGGCTCTCCAGTGATAACAATTTAGAATAAAGACTCGTTGTTTCTTTGCCAAGAAAATAATTATTTCACAAAATCACGACAAGTGCGAGCAAATAATCTCAATTTGCCCACATAGTGAAACACTTCCCGTAATTTTTCTCTGCTGTACATTGAACGAGACACTTATGTGCAAATAATATTTGCTTTTTCAGCATCATGAGAAAAAGTGTGTGAAATCTTGAACTTGAAATACAACACGGACACTTTTCAGCTTGCATCATCACAAATTTCCTGCGCTTTCAATCACTTTTGCGCCCCCAAAAGACTGTATTTTTCGCGACTTGTTCAATTCTACACTTGTTTTCCATTGTCTTGAAGCAAATATTGCAGCTCGACTTGGGCGAAATGCGACAGAAGGAAGGAGAAATTCCACATCTCACGATGGGAGGAAGTTATGCATAAAGTCAACTTCTGCAATTTCCAAAGCCAATAGAAAACAATTTATTATTAGGACGATTCTATCGCTGGCTTTTCAGCAAGTGCCTTGCAATTGGACACCCTCAAGCAGTTCAGTGGTGAAGAGTTAAACTGATTGCGCGTCGACTATGAAAATAAATAGCTCCTCTATTGACGATCCATTGAATCATTTTGATAAATGGCCGACTCTCCGGTCAGTGGCAATATTTTAGACCTGCGATGCGCCTCTTAAAACTGATGAGACGATCGATACGAGCATGTCAATGCATGGCTCATTCGCTACGCCAGACGATCTTATTTTCAATTGAGAAATGTCTTCTATTTTGCATGAGTTTACAACATATTTATGTGTGTAAATATGTAATATATCGCATTAGCATTACACAAAAGGCGTTGAACTTGGAGCCCAGAGAATATGCTCATTTATCTAGGCAGCATGTCTGCAATTCATCGATATTGTAGACTCCAAAGAGGAAGGAAACATGGTGGAAAATCTTGCTTTTCAGCAAAGTCAAGGAACTAGTTGAGATTCATATCGCAACATCACATTTTTCAGACATCTCTCGCTTCATTCAGAGATGCTGTGGAACTCATATTTTCTCGCCCGAATTGTTACAATTCAATTGATAGGGTATCAATGACTGGCGCCTATTTAAAAAATATCTACACAGCAACAATGATTCTATGATTTATGTGCGGAGTTAAACAAAAACCATTCACTATTCATGGAATAATAATAGAATATAATGGCTTTTCAATGTGAGATTTGAACTCATGTATCATCGCGATAGTCTTTTGAGAAAATACAGTCAGACGCGATTTTAACGACCACTTCTGCTCGTATTCTCCATCGTTGAGAAACATCAACATACTTTCGCGACTCACTGTAAATGCGAGCTTTCAGTCAAATGCAGAATCAAAGAGAGAAGCAGCAATAAAAATAAATTTAAAAAGAATTCATTCGCAATGGTGAGAGATCGCCAAGAAGATGTCAATAAGTGTAGAATAAATAAACTGAATTTTGGGTGGTTGACAGAAGCTGGGGCGCGGTGTCATTGCGTGGTGTGTGGATATTATAATTGATTCATTAAAGGGATATTTTAATTAATCTCCCAGCAGACGCTCCACTTAATTGGTCTCAATGATTCAAGAATGTACACACTCTTCGCCCGTTCTAAAATATAATAGGAATATTGTCTAATGCCCCAAGGAATGCTTGAGAGAGCAAAAGTCTTGGGGGATGAGCAACAGATGCACACTTTGTTGGGTCTATTTTGAAAATATTCCAGCACCGAAAATACCACAAAGTCGCGTGTGAAAATAAATTTCACTTCTAAACTAATTTCAAATTGTATGAGATTTTTGGGGTGTTTGGTCTCTTCTCAGGAATTGGGAAAGCTTATGTGCGATGGAAATTTCTCGAAATCCACAGGAATTTGTGTGGTTTTCCGTGTGTGGATTTATTGCAGAACATATATAATATGCTTTACATGAATTTTCCCTAAGACACTTTCAGGGATGGATTTCATGCAACCTTTGACTGATACCACACCTCAGCTACAATTTCATCCCATCACGATATTTCTTCTAGAGAGCCCCTCAGGGTGTTTGAGCAATTTTAGCGAGCGCCAGAACAAAGAGACGATCGCGATTATCTCTTCGAAGCAAAATTGATGTACAATTTCGATAGAAGAGACCCGTTAGCATGCAGCCTCTTCTTAAGTAGACTCAATCAGCGGGAAGCCAGCGAAGATGGCATCCCGAAATGAGTTTCATTATCAAGTACAGAGATATTTTATTCATGAAGCGAATAGTCTCACTTGACTGCCATTTACATACAATGCCCTATCGCATCTGCGCGCGAAAATGTGCCAAAAAATACTGGCTTCTAATCATCGTCTGAGGTCATGAGGTGCCTTCTGAAGGAGACAAAAAAACGCACACATCTCAAAGGATTATCGCCGGCGACGGCGAAAAACTGGGTTGATAATGGGCTTCACTCTCTGGGATTTTGGGGAGTTCACAGAGATCACCATAAAAATTCGATAAGTGCGGTCGAAACGGAAATTTGCTCATTAAATCCAAGGGCGATTGCGCGCTGGGTGGAAAAAATGCGTCACACGAGATCGCGATCTTCTTTGCAAACAATGAATCCTGACAATGCATCTGGCTACTCACCACAGATGAGAGGACATGCAGGATCACGAATACAAGAAGCACTGCTGATGATCGCGTGCTCCCGCCCCGGCCCAGAAAGGGGCTCGTGGGTGATGACCACATCTTCTCCCCGACAATTCACTCACTTTCAACTTGTGCCGTCTTCTCACCAGTGAACAGAAAATTGAAATATTGGTGGAAGAGAAGAGTCCACGATCGCTGGGGATTGCGCTCACTGTGGGCCAAAGACTGTCGCATCGACAGCGGCTAACGTTCGAAACGGTACTAAAACGGAGTCGAGATGTGAAATCACTTCCATGCCCCGATGCCTCGGCCTCTGTCCCACACCATCCCTCGCCCACGATCCGCACGTGTTGGAGCCGAACCCCGCACTGCCCCGCGCCTCGGCGCGTCCTGGATTTGGGTTCAGGAACGATGAATTTTCACAGATTGTTCAGTACGCTCTGGACGATCCATCGCGCTAGATCGGAAACCGTTCTCGGAGGAGAATACCCGCGGTTCCGTGAGTGTCTCACTTCTTTCACTCTCCGTTGGGGAATTATAGATCCCAAGAGAAAATCCACTTTTCCCCCTTTTTCCATGCTGGAAGATATTTTTACTCCCCCGGAGCAAAAGTGTCTTCTCAGTTCGTCTCACAGTGCATCTTCTATGGCTATATCTTCTTCTTATAGGGTGAAACCACCAAAATTCACACACGGATGAAGTTGAAATCTCACAGGATATAGAGTTGATAGGAGTGCAGTGCGTAGTTTAAGTGATCACCAGCGAGATCTCTTCCCACCTCTTCTACCTTGGCCACAGAGGATTTTTTCGACTGGTCAGAGCCCTCCAAGGGGCAAACCGACAGGGAGCCACTATGGGCATCCCATATAGGCGGTGAGCATTCATTCTTCTTGGACTTCTCGCCCGACGGCATATCAGTGAACACATAATGTGAAGAAAATCATAGTGAACTTTCTCTCAAAATTCTCGCAAATAAATTCACGCAATTTTTTTCCTCACTTTCAACATAATAAAGTGCCTCCAATTTGCCAATAATTCAAACATTGTGACAATCTTTCTAGGCTCGCGACGATTGTGACGATTTTATGTTGTGTGGTTGGAACCAGAGCGGTGAGTAAATTACATCATTTTCAAGCTGCACCACTCCAAATTAGAAATTTGCAAGTGAAATTTGTATATCAAAGTGTCTCGGAGTTGTGATCTTGAGTGATCGTGGGACGACTGTCTCAAAGAATTTTGTGATGCCACTGGAAAATGTGGAAAGAATGTCTCTTAAGTTCAAGATTATTCCGCATGGGACATAGTGCTAAAATTAGGTAGGAAATGATTTTTAAATAAACAAAAAGGCTAAATATACTGAAGTGTCCCATGTTGGAGTCAGATGTTGCACATAGAAAATCGATTGTGATTTCGACAATCGTTTAATTGCTTTCCGAGAAACATAATGTGATGATGGCAAAAATTTTCACTTTGATCACTTTTCTCCCAGAGAAGTTACACCCAAATGTTACATGTGCTAAAAATCTACAGTACTGTGCAAGAAATGCTGAAGCACAAATAAATAATCGTCATGTTAGAATTAGAATTCCAATTGGCATTTAACGATCACTCAGACTGATTCTTCTCTCTTTTCTAAATTCTACTTCCATAAATAGGACTCGCGCAGACGCTACATAAATCAAAGAGTAGGTTCTAAGTGTGAAAAAATGTCTATTGAACTGTGCTAATGCTTTCCGCTTCGTAAACTCTACAGAAAAATATAAAATACCCGCGATAAAATCGCATTATGATCGTGTCATAATTAAACGATGCATCTCTTCAATTGTTCTCAGCAGTGTATACTTAAAGCCATATGCAAATCAATATCCAACACTATTAATAGTTCGACAATCTCTTGCAAACGGAGGTTGATATGTAGTCCATAAGCTATTCACAATTGATGTTTACGATCAAAATCATTTGGCCGTTTTGCTACTGTAAGCGCGCGTTCTCAAACTTGAGATGAAAATTCATATATGAATTCATCGTATCATTTTTCCCCGCGAAGTTCCGCACTCATTTATCGCTCAGTCGAGAGGAAAATAGCCACTCTGCTGGTTGATAAGAGATGCTGGCCAGTGAGCATAGACTCCGAAAATTTGCTAACTTCCAACTTGATAGCGCGCACTCCGGGGTGTGCTCCAAATTAACCAGAGCACCCATATTAAAATAAATATAGCGCCAAGAAGTGATTGTGATCGTAATTTGAATGTCTATGTAACTAAATGTGACACAATTTCTCACATTTTGTCGTCTCAGTCAAGATGGGGAGTGTATTTTAATTGTTTTCTATTCGCTAACACTGTAGCAATTCTGGAATGATCCGAGCAGCGGCGGAGTGGGACTCTTTCGGCGGCCAGACTACTACAGATCAACACCGGAACCTGTTCAACCGGAAATAGACCCTAGTTACGACGTTATCGACACTGCCAGTGGACGTCTACATGGTCCAACTAAGAATTGCACCAGTTCGGGATGTTGCATTCCCAAGTGCTTCGCCGAGAAAGGCAATAGAGGATATCCTGGCGTTCCCGGCGTGCCCGGTCCCAAAGGTGTGCAAGGTTTCGCCGGAGCGGAAGGTCTGCTCGGGGCTAAGGGTATGAAGGGTGAACCTGGTCCATCAGGACCGCGTGGCCCCAAGGGAGATCGAGGTGCCCAGGGGAGCCCCGGTTTTCCCGGTGTTCCCGGATTGCCCGGGCACAAGGGAGAGGACGGCCCCGCTGGTATCCCTGGACGAGATGGGTGTAACGGAACAGATGGTCTGCCGGGCCTGCGGGGCCTTGACGGTGTTCCCGGACCCAGAGGTTTACCCGGTGTTCCAGGCTTCAAAGGAGACAAGGGTGAACCTGCCGAACTCAATATTAATTACCTCAAAGGTCAGAAAGGAGATCCAGGCTTTGATGGCAGACCTGGCAATCCTGGTGAGACAGGTCCAGCTGGGCCGAGAGGACCTGACGGAACACCGGGTACTCCAGGTGTTCCTGGAAGAAAAGGACAGGCCGGCCCTAAAGGAGATAAAGGACAAGGCTGTATATCAATCCAAGGACCCCCAGGCCCCAGAGGAATTAAGGGTGACAAAGGTGAAAAGGGTGAAAGCAGTCCAGGAGAAGTCGTTGGGCCTCCAATCACAACAACAGGCCCCAAAGGCGAAAAGGGCTATGTTGGTGACAAAGGAGATATGGGGCCCAAGGGAGAACCAGGTGAACTAGGCGCTCCAGGTTTCCCCGGGGACAGAGGCACACAAGGAGAGAAAGGTCTTCCCGGTCAACCTGGTCCGAGAGTAAGTATTTTCACATAATAATGATATATTCAACATTACAAATTAATTCATCTACAGGGACGAGATGGAAACTATGGACCGACTGGACCTCCTGGCCAAAAGGGAGACAGAGGAAATGAGGGTTTGCGTGGCTTAGACGGAAACCCCGGTCAGAAGGGTGAACCTGGAGAGTCTGGACTGCAAGGCGTGCCAGGAATAGTAGGACCTCCAGGACCACCAGGTGGAGGCAGAGGATCTCCAGGACCCCCCGGACCGGCTGGACCCAGAGGATACAGGGGCTTGCCCGGACCTAAAGGATTGGACGGTCTTATGGGAGAACAAGGTCCTCGTGGTCTACCAGGAATGAAAGGTGGACCTGGTATTCCCGGACGAGTGGGATTGGAAGGTTTGCCTGGAGACAAGGGACAGAAAGGAGAAGCTGGAATAATTGGCATGCCCGGAGTTCAGGGGCCGAGGGGTTTCATTGGACCACCTGGAGCCGATGGTTTAAGAGGACCTAGCGGAGAACCCGGAATTGGCCAATTGGGACCGAAAGGAGATGATGGAGTACCTGGGTATAAAGAATTATTTGTGATTTTAAGACTTCTTTTCAGAACTGCATTTTTCCTTTTATAGATACCCTGGAGCAAAGGGACAAAAAGGTGAACGTGGATATCCCGGTCTGCAAGGTGTACCTGGAGATTCAGAACAAGGAAAGCCCGGTAGTCCTGGAGTGCCAGGTCGTCCTGGAGACAAGGGTGAAGCAGGCCGACCTGGAACACCAGGCTTGAAGGGTGAAAGGGGCGAAAAGGGAGAACTCGGCGGAAGATGCTATGACTGCTTGCCTGGCTTACCAGGAGAGAAGGGTGACAGAGGTTTTGATGGTCTGCGTGGCCCACCTGGACAGGACGGTTCTTCTGGCGAGAAAGGTCACCAAGGTGAACGCGGATTAGATGGATTACATGGAATACCTGGTGATCCAGGTGCACCAGGTATACCAGGTCAACCCGGTCTTCCTGGAGCAAGTGGAGAGAAGGGTGAGAACGCTTTCATATCATCGAGCTTACTCAAAGGACAGAAGGGCGAAAAGGGTAATCGAGGAATTTCTGGACGATCTGGACCACCCGGATTGGATGGACCTCGTGGCTATCCTGGATTAGATGGACTCAAAGGCGAAGTTGGATTGAAGGGAGACAGAGGCATTCCTGGATTACCAGGTCTGGACGGACAATCTGGAACCCCCGGTCGAGATGGGCTTCCTGGCATTAAGGGATTGAGTATAAAGGGAGAAACAGGTCCCAGTGGTCGAGATGGTTCCAAAGGTCAGAAAGGAGAATCCGGTTACAGAGGCGAAAAAGGTAATCCTGGAGTATGTCCACCACTCGATTACAGTAAAGGCTTCAAGGGTGCCAGAGGAGACAAAGGAAGCAAGGGTGAGCCAGGAACCCAGGGTCGAGATGGCTTTCCAGGAGAGCCAGGTCTGGTGGGATTACAAGGACTGAAGGGTAATACCGGAGCCTTTGGCCCACCTGGACCTGTTGGCCCTCGTGGTTTGCCTGGTCCAAGAGGTGAAAAAGGTCTTTCTGGACAAATTGGCTTCCCTGGACAACCTGGACGGGATGGTATTCGTGGTCTACCCGGATTGGCAGGGGCAAAGGGACAGAAAGGAGAAACTGGGGCCTCAGTTGTTGGACCTCCTGGACCCAAAGGTAGTCCTGGTCCTTGGGGACAGAAGGGAGAACGTGGTCCGACTGGAGAGAGAGGCTTGGACGGATTAGCTGGACAAGTAGGATATCCTGGAGATAAGGGTGAAGCTGGTCTTTCAGGAACTCCAGGCCTTCCAGGATACATCGGACCCAAAGGAGAACCTGGCCCTGAAGGACCGTCGGGTCTGCCTGGTCCACCTGGCCGACCTGGTATGGATGGCATCAAAGGTGAACCAGGATTGAAGGGAGAAACTGGAGCTCCTGGACTTATTGGTATGCCAGGTCTGAAAGGTGAACGTGGAGTACCCGGAATTGAAGGACAGAAAGGCTTCCAAGGACCGAAGGGCTCTCCTGGACTTAGAGGACTTCCAGGCCAAAGCGGACTTCCTGGATTTAAGGGTGATAAGGGCGAACTCGGCCCACCTGGATTTGATGGTGCACCTGGAGCCCCTGGTCAACCTGGCCCGATGGGACCGATTGGCCTTAAAGGTGACTTTGGACCCGTTGGTCTCACTGGATTGGATGGTCTTCCTGGTCGTGACGGAGAAAAGGGTGATGCTGGATTTGTGGGACCGATTGGACCTAAAGGAGAACCTGGCTCTGTATCTGAGAAGGGACAGAAAGGTGAACCAGGACCACCTGGATTGAGAGGTGTGGATGGCAGAGATGGATTCCCAGGCCCCACGGGTGAAAAGGGTGATGCTGGTGTTCCTGGATACGGCAGACCGGGACTGAAGGGAGACAAGGGAGATCAAGGCTTAAGCGGACGTGATGGAATACCTGGCATGCAAGGAATGAAGGGTGACCAAGGTTTCGCCGGCATTCGAGGTCTTAAAGGTGATAAGGGCAACATGGGACCACCTGGTATTCCAGGAACTCCCGGAATTGATGGCTTACCTGGACAAGATGGCCTTCCTGGACCACCTGGCTACACTGGTGAGAAGGGTAACAGGGGAGATCGAGGATTACCTGGCTTCGCAGGAGAGAAAGGTGACAAGGGTGTTGTAGGAATGCCTGGACGTGATGGCTTGATGGGAGTGAAGGGAGAACGAGGTTTCATTGGTGAACCAGGCGCTCCAGGACCTTCAATCGAAATCAAGGGACAGAAGGGTGAAGTCGGAGAATTTGGACTGGTCGGCTTGCCTGGTGAACGAGGATTACCTGGCCAGCGTGGTGATACCGGTTTTGTTGGCCAGAAGGGTGATCGTGGACTAACAGGACCTGTGGGTGTGCCTGGAATGGAAGGCAGACCAGGAGAAAAGGGAGATCGTGGTCTGACTGGTGAACCAGGAGAAGCTGGGCCTGTTGTGAAAGGTGAGAAGGGCTTGCCAGGATTGCCAGGAAAGAATGGACGCGATGGCTTGCCCGGACAACAGGGTGAAAAGGGTGACAAGGGATTGGCAGGACTGATTGGGCCGCAAGGTGCTCGAGGAATGCCCGGATTACCAGGACGACAGGGCGAGAAGGGAGATAGAGGCTTACCTGGCGCTTCAGGTCGTGATGGAATAGATGGTGCACCTGGATTGCTTGGCCCGAAGGGAGAACCTGGCTTTCCAGGTCCTAAAGGTGATGTTGGCTTGCCCGGAGGCCCAGGATTCCCCGGAGAGAAGGGTGACAGAGGACCACCAGGAATGCCTGGTCTTAATGGCTTCGATGGAATAAAAGGAGACCGTGGCTTCCCTGGACCTGAAGGACAAATTGGCCTTATTGGTTTGCCCGGAGAAAAGGGTCTGCCTGGACAGCGTGGTCGAGATGGTCGTGACGGTCTGTCTGGATTGAAAGGAGACAAGGGAGAGCCAGGATTAGTTCCTCCACCTGGACCCAAGGGAAATCCAGGCCGACCGGGACGTGATGGTGAAAAGGGAGACCGAGGACCGCCTGGACCACAAGGCATTCAAGGATTGTTGGGAGAGCGCGGAGAAAAGGGTGACCAAGGCTATCCGGGAACAACTGGGCCACCTGGACTGCAAGGACTTCGTGGAGAAATTGGCGTGGCAGGACCAACGGGGTTGGACGGCCGACCTGGCGCTCCAGGTCCAAAGGGTGACCAGGGCGCAGCTTGCTCTCACGCTCCTGATTACCTCTCGGGCATCTTGCTGGTGAAGCACAGTCAATCCGAAGAGATTCCCGTTTGTGAGGCGGGTCATGTGAAGCTCTGGGATGGATACTCCCTGCTCTATGTGGATGGAAATGATTATCCTCACAACCAGGACTTGGGATCGCCGGGATCTTGCGTGAGGAAATTCTCCACAATGCCAGTGATCACCTGCTCCAACAACAATGTGTGCAATTACGCCTCGCGTAACGATCGATCCTTCTGGCTCTCAACAACAGCACCAGTGCCCATGATGCCCGTTGTGGAGGAAGAGATGAGACAGTACATCTCGAGGTGCGTGGTTTGCGAGGTGCCATCCAACGTCATCGCCGTTCATAGTCAAACGCTGGACATTCCCCACTGCCCAGCCGGATGGGAGGGTCTCTGGATCGGCTACAGTTTCCTAATGGTGAGTGTGAGTGTCTTTCCACTGAGTGCAGTGATTAACCAATTCTTTGCCTCTTCAGCACTCCGCCGTGGGCAACGGTGGCGGCGGACAGGCGCTGGCGGGTCCTGGCTCCTGCCTGCAGGACTTCCGAACGACACCCTTCATCGAGTGCAACGGCGGCAAGGGTCACTGCCACTACTACGACACACTGACCAGCTTCTGGCTCGTCACCGTGGATGACCACAGCCAATTCAGGCGACCAGAGCAGGACACCCTCAAGGCGGGTCGGCTGCTCACGCGTGTGTCGCGATGCCAAGTGTGTATAAGAAATTAACACGTTTTTTTGTATAGAGTCCGCAATGGAAGTTAAAGCCGTAAATTTACAATTTTTTACCACGTTCTTGCCTTTCATATTGCAATAAGGCGCATTTATACCAAAAAGATGAAAGTTTAGAGTTTAATTTGTTCTTTCCCCGCGCTTTGTCCCTCTTTTCCCCCGCCCTATTCGTTCACACACGCAATGTTTCGTATCGATAGACAAAGGAGACCAGAAACCACCCTCTTATCCTTCTCTAAATTCAAACATTTTATATATATCTTTTGTTATGAAGCAAATAAAAGAATGAATGTCACAAAACCTATAATAATAATAATGTGATATGTTATTAAAACAAAAAAATCTTAATTATACTATGTAACTGCCTTCTTCTTGAAATTACTGAACTTTTAAAGCAATTGTGTTCGCTGTTGATATGAAATTCAAAGTGCCATTTAATAGGAAGAACAAAGATCGTGTTCAGTTATCGAATTTTTCTTCATTCAGTGTTTTTCTTTTTTTTTAAATCTATTCCCTAAAAGCAAAACATATTGTAATTTATGCCCTCACTCTCTAGAAGACCCAAAATTGAATGTATTTGACTTTTGAAGTGCACGTCAGATGAAGAAAAGGAAATAACTTTCAAAATAATACTGCCTAATAAAGTGAAACATATTTCGAACGAAATGTAATGTATGTAATATCAATAAATTGTATTAAAAATATGAGCAATTTTTTATTTTGTACTTTCTGTGCGCTGAAACATTTGAGTATTATGCATCAACTAACTCATCAAGCAACTGGCTGAAATCACTTCGGAGTGGATCCTGGGATTGATCCGATAACAAAGAACTTTGGCTCATCTTGTCCACATAAATCACGCAAAGGCTTTCCGCATCATTGCTCCAAATCTCTTCCACATCATCGTCACTGTCATTATCATCGTAGAGCGGCAAGGAGTGCAGAATCTCCATTAGCATCATGAGATCGGTGATCTGGTCCTTGCCAATCTTTTTGCGATTTATTTCGAATTCTGTTGTCGACTCATTTTGTGATTCCCCAGCAATCTCTTCTTCGTCCAGCAATTCCGGTGGATTATTAGTCGTCTGAGAGACATCACGGCTCGGAATCTCTTGCTCAGTTGCCCTCTTATTTGCCTCCATGATCCCAGACTCCATCTCAAGCTCAGGAATGCATTGGGTTTCCTCTATCTGCGTGGGAAGACAAAGCTCAATAGCTTCTTCACCGCCAATAAGTCTTCTCTCGATGGCATCATGACCCATCGTGGCCACATCGGGATCATCAGCCCTTAGTACAACATGATAAATATCCTCATCCACTGCCTGAGTGCTGGTGACGGGAAACACCTCGATTTCATCATCATCCGTTTGAGTCTCATCGACATTACTGCTGTTGATATCATCATCGCTGATTTCAGGTATATAGCTGGCATTCCAAAAGTCTTTCAGGAATTGCGGACCTTCAGAACTACCTCCGCAGTCATCGGTCACTTCGTTCTGGCCAGATTCGAACAAGAGAGCTATAAAAGAAGTGAAAAGAAACACACAATGTTTACTCAAAATTCTGAAAATATTCCATTGATTTTGTCACCTTCTTCTGCGTCACAATTCAACCCCTTTTTCTTTGCTTCTGCAATTTGCCGCAGTTTCACACTGCGCGGTGCCGGTGTGACTATTTTCGCACTGTAGCTGTGATCTAAAAACACATTTTTCTGCCGAACGGAAGGCACAACTTCAGAACTCTGCACGTTCTTTCTCCTCTTGGGAATGGCAGGAGTATCCTCCAAGCTGAAGATGTCTCTAGAGCTCGCGTTGTTATCAGATTGCGAAGAGTTTTCAGCAGACTTTTCAGGCGACTTCTCGTTTGAGGTCTCTTTGGACGTCTTTGATTTCTCAACGCACTCCAAATTCTCAGACCACAGGAAATCATCAAATTTTCGTTCATCAAAAACACCTTCTAAGCTTTCCTCACACAAATCTACGACATGAATATTATTTGGATTCTTCTCTGAATTTCCACCATCGGATTCCTGAGTGCTTTCTGAAAGAACTGCAATAATTGTACATGAAATCTTAATTAGTATTTTTGACAAAGACATACAATTACTCACTTCTCCTCCTCTTCTTCGTCACTATGTGAATTTCAGGCGCAATTGTCTCTTCAGAAGTCATGGAAACAAGATCGATGCACTCATGCGACTTCTTCCTCGATGCTTTTTTGGAACTCTTAGATTTCTTACGCTTGGAGAGCACAAAACTCTCAGGCAACACAGAAGTATTATAAAAATTGTGTATAGCTTGAGCATCTTCATCAGATTCTATGATAATTTCCACATCATCTCTCTTATTCTGATCAGTATCAATTGAGACGTCTGAAAAATACCAGAAAAGTAACAAGTGGTGTAATGCTTAAAAATTCTACTATAATAACTGCGTACTTTCTTTCTCTTCTGAGGCACAATTCATTCCCCTGTTCTTCGCCTTTGCAATTCGTCGCAATTTCACTTGTAGAGGAGCCGCCGATGATCTCTTTTTCCTCACACTGTAGCTGTGATCTAATTTAGTACTTTCCTTCGTTGTCTGTGAAGCCACAAAAATTTCCTCCTGACTAATGACGTTTCCGGAACTAGTGGCTCGCTCAAATCGTAAAGCAGGTTTAGCCGTTCTGCTCCTTGTGAGATATCTGCAGGTTCTTTTGGGAGCTACATCTTCGGGTGAGTTCTGAGCCCTTCTTTTAGAACTCCTGAGGGTCATGAAATAATTTTTTGCCTCTTGCATCCTCTCAAGTTCTTTCCTGCGCAAAAGCACGGACAGCGGAGCAGCTGTCGACTTCTTCTTCACCGTCGAGGTGTTGGAATTTGTATTCGCAAGTCCAGCTTTTTGCAGAAACATCTCTCGATTTTGATCAAATGTTAAACGCGTCAATTTAGTGAAATAATCCCTCTGGGGAAATGCTTTCCCACTCCTGATGTCCTCGTTCATCCGCGACATCGCCTCGTAGACTTTCCGTTCGCACTGCATCCAATAGTTTCTCTTGCTTAAATCCACTGAGCACTCTGTGAATATCTGGTGCTTGAAGAGCAGGTACTGATCCGTCTGCGAAGGCTCAGGAGGCTTAATGACAAGCTTGTGCAAGCTCAATTTAGGACTTCTCCGTGATGTTGGGGAAAGTGTGTAAGCGTTGTAGAATCTCTGCAGCTCCTTTGCGAAGACATTCTTATCAACTCTCTCTGCGGGCGGGTAGCTCTTCCTAATGAACCTCCGGACCAGCTGATGCACATTGGAGTTAAGGAACCAGTCTGGGATTGCAACCTTGGATGACTCTCCAGACATCGCCAGAGCCTAAAGTAAATGCGCATATCTTAGAATTTGGCCATAGTTTCTATGTTTTCTCGCAAACCCACTTACCAGAGCACAGCAGAGGACTTCCGATTCTCAAGATCACACTCTTCAAACAATGAAATACAACTGATATAAAGATTTTCAATAAATTTCTACACATTCCAAACTGACAGACGCTCTGCACTGCTAACCTCAATCTCACTTTTCGTTTTCCCGCATAAAAATTGAACGAAACTCAGTCCGGCGGATTATCCAAAAAGTGTCTTCGCTATTCATTCAAGCCACAAATGCATTTAAAAAAGTATATAATTGCAAAAAAATGAGTGAGATACATAATGTACATAAATTAACCCTTGATCACGGCGATGGGACGCAGCTTGAAGCACTTCTTGCTGATTCCAGCAGCATGGCAAGTGTTCACCACGTCCGTGACATTCTTATAGGATTCCGGAGCCTCTTCCATGACTAGTTTCGGAGACGCCACACGAATTGAAATCCCCATTTCGTTGAGCTTGTTGAGGACATCAACGTAGTCCAGGTTCCGCCTTGACTTCGCCCTGGAGAGAGCTCGACCCTGTGAAATGATGGAAATTTTCAGTTTCAGTGTATCGCAAGTGTGATTGGCTAATTTCCTTACCGCTCCGTGACACGTGGAGCCGAACGTCTCCTGCATGCCCTGTTCCGTGCCGGTGAGAACGTAGCTACAGGTGCCCATGGTGCCTCCGATGAGCACCGGCTGCCCAGTGAGCTGATAATCCACGGGGATGAGTGGGTGATGGGGCGGGAAAGCCCTGGTGGATCCCTTGCGGTGCACCAGGAGCCTTTTTGGCTTGCCATCCACGATGTGCTCCTCCATCTTCGCGATGTTGTGCGACACATCATATATCACGTGCATGTCCAGATCATCTGGAGTGGTGTTGAATTGCTTCGCAAAGGCCTGGCGAGTGAGGAAAGTCATGGAACTACGATTGACCCAGGCAAAATTGGCCGCCGCTGCCATGGCTTTCAGGTAATCCTGTCCTTCGGGGCTGTTGATGCGAGCGCAGGCCAGCTGCCGGTCGTTCGTCTCGATCTTATCACGCTTCATGGCCTTCTCCATCTCCACCAGGGCATCCGTGGCGACTTGATGGCCGAATCCTCTGCTGCCCGAGTGGATCATCACGCACACCTGGCCAGTCTTTTCCACGCCCATCTTGCTGGCCGCCGAAGCATCAAAGATCTCATCCACAACTTGAATCTCGCAGTAGTGATTCCCTGCGCCCAGGGTTCCCAGCTGAGGCAAGCCACGCTTCTTCGCCCTCATGCTCACCTTCGAGGGATCGGCATTCAGCATCCGGCCGTACTCTTCGCAGTGCTCCTTGTCCTCAGCCCACACGTAGCCCTCCCTCAGCGACCAGTCCATCCCCATCTCCAGCGCCTCCTCCAGATCTCTGGCGTCCATCGGGATGATCCCCTTGGAGCCCACGCCAACGGGAATGTGATCGAACAGACTCTGCGCGAGCTTCTCCTGCACCGGCTTCACATCTTTCTCGAACAGATTCGTCCTCAGCAGCCGGACGCCGCAGTTGATGTCGAATCCCACGCCACCGGGAGAGACAATAGCATTGGGGTCGTCCATGTCAAATGCTGCCATGTTCCCAATGGCAAATCCATAACCTGAGTGGATGTCCGGGAGCCCGATTGAGCGTCCCACGATGCCGGGCAAGGCGGCGACGTTGGCGATCTGCTTCACGCCCGGCAGGAAGCCACCTGTCTGGCCGGGACGACAGGCGTTCCGCAGTTCCTCGAACATGAGCTTCTCCAGAGCCTCATTCACGTAGAAGCAGCCCTCGACCTTCATGTTGGGCTGGAAGCCCTTCTTGATCCGGTAGCATGTCGGCGAAACCTTCTCAATGTACTTCAGCTCCTCGTCGTAAGGACGCACAACCATCGTGGGAGGATAAATAAACTACTACTGTGTTGCAATTTCTAATGGTCAAACACTTAATCGGATACAGACGCACTCCAGATACTCCAGAAATGAACAATTGTTGTGAAATAAATCTTTATATACACGGCAATCGGCTTGACTCACACGAGCGCTGACACTCGAGTGAATGTATGTTTTCTTACATGTCGCTACATTTTTTTACATACTTTACACAAGTCGTAGTGAAAAAGTTTTCACGACTTTGCATTTGATTTGAAACTGAAGTCAAGTAAAGAAAAATAAATTTTGTTCTATTTTCCACCCAGACCGGAAAACTGATAGAAAACTCTTTAATTCAAGGCACATTTTCCCGACAAATATATAGAATTGCCTAAAATCATGTGTAAAGTTGGTAGCAGAAATTTCATGAAACTTCCTGTCTTTGATGCGCAAACACTTCTCTTAAATTAAGAGACAGTCCGAACAGAGGCAAATCAGTGAAGATTAACATTTCGCTTCGTGACCATTGAAATGAATAAATCTTTTGAGCTCTTCCAACTCTGTTGCCGACGTTCATTATCTCTCCACTTCTGCGCGAGTCTCCTCGAGATGCGAGCGGCTGAGGTCAAACATTTCACTCAGTTTTCATGTGGACGCCGAGTTCACTGCAAGTGTTTCCCTCTCCTCAGTAACAATTTACCACAAGACATCTTTCAGTGCATCAATAACTCAGAGAGACTTCCCAGTGCCCTAAATGGTTTCCCAATTACGATCAAACGTGTGGGCATTGAGCATTTGAATTAATTTCAATCGCTGCTGAATAACATTTTCTTCGAACTCTTTCATCTTTTAACTTTTCCCCCATCGAGTGGTGCGAAAACAAAAGACAATTACGAGAAAAGAAATCAAAGTGTGTTTTTTTTCTTCTTCTTCAGTCAATTGAACAATCTCTGGATTATTTTATCGAATGATCCATTTGAGCAGAATTCAAGGTGAGTGATCAGTTTTCCTACACCATTTATTTTTTCCCGTGAACTTTTTGTCCCGCGCCGTGGAAACAAACAGAATTCTAGATGAATGATGGACAGTTGGCGGATTTTTATTGGAAACTTGGTCAAAAAGTCTTCAAATCAGTCAGGTGTGCTCAAAATTAAGCAGCCCACATGCCATCCGATGAAATAATCGCGCCGTGAATGAAAATTTTCTCTGTAAACACTCATGTAAGCGTCCAAAAATGGTACTAGAAATTAGCATAATTTACCTTTCATTACACCCAGAGTTCATGTACGGTCACTCAGTGAATCTCCTGTGAGATCTTTTATCACTCAATTGGGGGAAATTGTTGTCTTGTCGCGGAAAATGGTGTAATTGAACTCAATCTTTTAACTTAAGAGACTCACAGATCATTCATTCCACCAACAAATTCCCACGACAACGAAAGACTTCAATAGCCAAAATTGCAGAAACCTGTTCATCCCAATCGAGAAACACCACTTGTTTAATTAATATCATTTTTTATTGACGAATATGTTCATTTTCTTGTGCTCTTTTCCATAAATCTTCACAATATGGCAAATATCTCTTTATATGTGTGCTTCCCTCCGCATTTCAGTTAACCAAATATTATTCTTCCTTATTTGTCGATCTGTGATTGTGTGGGAAAACGAAGAGAAATGTGAACTTTTTCCCAATAGAAACGTTTTTCGCAGTTGTTTTTAGGAGCTTTAAAACATGGAATCGCTGTTTGTGAGGCTTTTTCCGCCAACGCACAAGCGAATTTGCGCCCAGAGAGTGTCGAGAAGTCAGAATATATTAAAAACCATTAATTGACTCATGTTCTCAACGCTGAAATCGAGAATTCCCTGACATGAAATATTTTACGATGCATTGGATGAATAAAATACCCTCAAATCGGAATTGTTGCGCAATGAAGTTCACACTAATGATAAATGTATTATTAATAAGTAATTTTATATCTGTGCTCAGCGTCTGGAGTCCTTCTCGTGTGGATTTCTCAGTTTTATAGCCATGTTCTCTGGCCTCAATGGCTTTCTCTATGCGCCTTTCCAAGAAGTCTATAAGAGAATGCCAAAACCGCAGAAACATGTATAAATCTAATCATGAGATCCTATCAGCGATCATTAATCTATTCTGCTAGAAATTAAAATTATCTCAACATGGAATTTCATGTTGGTGGAATTTTATTGACTTTTAATTGATTACTCGGATCGTGAGTGTAATTTTGGCCGAGATGTTCTTCTTTTATTCCTCCAGAGAGTCTCCCCGAAGTGGAGACCATTAAAAGGCCATCAATGATGATTAATTATTCATACATTGAAATTGACCTCATTCATTGCAATATTGTGGCAAAAAATGCAACGGATGTTGATTTGTGTTGACAGAAGTGGGATCACAAAAACAAGTTTGCAATAAATCCCCAAAAATTTGCTATAAATTTTTATTACTTTATCACACGAGTCTCTCAGATTAAGAGAGACAGAGACAGGTTGAGAGTTCGGCAAAAAGTCGTGAATTTCTCTGGAGAGAAGTGGATCTTTTCGGCAAATGAGGCTAAAATACATTGTGTATGTGGTGCTGTACTACCTTAAAATGGTCATAATCTCTCTCTCTCTCCTCACTGACTCAGAAAATGCGTCCCTCGACGGACCTTTCACATTTTACAATTCGCAATGAAGACTTCCACTTTGGGATTATCTCACATTGAATATCACATGCAGACAACTCTCACTGCAAATGCTGCAAATTGGCGATAAAATCCATGTTACATTGGTAATGAGAGGCACATTGAGTAACGTGGATTTATCAATTTTATTTAAATTTGCGTGTAAAACCACGTTTCTGTATTAAATTGTAAAATTATCCATTTGGTGAATTGCAATCACAGCATTTAACCGCTTCTGGGTGTAATTTATCACGGTTTAATTGTTGCAAATTCGATTAGTCTTGCATAACACTATTTATCAAATTATCAATATACCAATTCATTTCCAATGACTGAATTTATCTTATGGTTTTTCTTCATTGGGCTCTTTTGCAAGAGACAAAAGACCGTCTTACTTAACTCGTTTGATGATTGTGTGCATGCTTTTGTGCTATTCTGCTGCAATTTAATTAAAATAATCAGGTCTCTGTGCATGTTGGACATAGAATTATAACTTCCACCTTTGCGGCCAATCATGCAAATATATCTGCTGGAACGCCAAATGAGTCAAAATAGCACTAAAACAGAGATTCCATCAGTCTGAGCACTCAATTGAATTACCCACCAATCCATCCGCTATGAAAATTGTGCAAGAAGGCACATATTGATTGTTTTTGCTGACTTTTCTGAAAATTTCACTGACTCATATACCGTTTTTACGCTTTCCGTTACCTTAATTGATTGGCTCTGTGATTTCCTCGATTCCCGAACCAGAGGCACAAACACACACACTCTTGTGATGCATAAAGGAAGCCAGACAACATAACGAATTGCCAACTACCGTGCGCAGATAGTGAGTTTTCATGATGAGGCGCCCGCGAAGAGAAAAAAAAGTTCGTTAGCGCTTTATTGGCAGCATATTAATAAATGCACATATCAAATCAAGTGAGCAAAATCTCCACGGTCAAGATGGTAATGAAGACAGCGGAGATATTTCAAATATCATACATATAATGATGCGATTTGAGAATAATGTCCAAAGAGCTGCGGAAGGCATACTTTTCTGCTTGCCATAACAATAGATCAAGGCGAGGTTTTTTCGAATACTTTCTAACTGACCTGTGGTCTTGTTTTCACTGAGGAATTGGATTTCTTCTGTGAAAACACCACACATTTCCAAGCATAGCAGATAAGGCATCATAAACCTCCTTATTTGCCCAAACACTTGTCTCAATTTAGAGACAAAACATGGGCAAATTAACTCGCAGAAGTTGCCGTCAGTTGGTCAAATACATCTTTTCAGCACTCGCCACGTTAATTGCTGGGAGATAAATGACTTACTGTCTTCTTTTATCCCCTGTGTCACCCTCATTATGGCTGCTTAAGCCTTTTGTTGCCGCCTAATCCATTCACATTGAGCCAAAATATTTTGGCAACGTCAGGAAGAGGAATTATTACCTCTTCCCAAATACTGCCATCGTGTGCCTTATTGGCCGAGAAATTGAGACATTGAAGTGCGGCTCTTGAACATTTTGCTAAATCACCCAATGAGTCAATGAGAAATGGACTAAACCGCCACCTTGAGACAATATTTCATGAAGAAACACCATCAATCACGCCAGAAATCACCACTTAAGCTAAATATCATTGAGAGTGGAATGCTGTAAAAATTAAATTCAGACCTCGTGGGCGTTCTGCTGTGCGTGCCAATCTGCTAATGAGCGAAGGGGTGCCAAAGAGACAAAAATATTTAAGGGTCAATTACCCTAAAGTGCTCTTTTATTGGGAAATAAATAGTGAATGCCTTCGCAACGCACACAATTAGTGAGTCAATCGACTGGGAGACTCCAAATAGCGCAAGTCTCCAAATTTGGTGGGACGACAAGAGCAAGTTGCGAAAACATAAAGAACGTGGTTAGTTCTTCACATTGTCCGCAGCTCTGGTTGAGGAAAACCAGTGTGAAGCACATATTCACACAAGCAAAAAAAATTATAGAAGCGAAGCACTTAAAAAAATAACCACAAAATATTTTCAGTGGCACAGATGCATAAGTAATAATCATGGATTCTCTGTATTGAGCAGCGTATTCGGGAGCTTAGAATATTTCACAAAGCCACGCCCACCTATAAGTTCCGCCCCGTTTTCGTCACACTGTTCTAATATCACGGAAAATTTACTATGCCACTGGTATTTTCGTAAACAATAAGCATAAATTTAAGCTTTCCTGCACGCGTGAATACCAAAAGCATCAGCTAAGCATGCCAAAGCCCACAATGCGAAGTGAATTTGTGATTTATGGGGTTTGTCCGCTGATTATGATGACGTTGCACCAATAAATTCAGATATTGTTTTGAAAAAGTGGCTCTTACTGAAAATAGTGAATAAAGTTGTGGGATGTTATTTATGTTGCGGCTTCGGAGAATACTTTGCCATGGCAAACAAAAGGGGTTTGTCGTATAAATCACAAAAATTGCATTCTCCTCATTATTTGAACTCCATGGCGCATGCTTTTGCCGATTCTTCATACCAAGTGGCTGAGGATCTCCAGCCTTTCTTTCGCTCCACATGAAATGTGTGCCCCTTCTCATATATGGTGAGAAGCAGGAAGAATTATGATCAGCCTCGGAGTTCAATATCTCCTCGGCAGTTGTGTGTGAGGTGGAAGAAATCACAAATACATACAATTCATCTCAGTCACTGTGCCTTCTTGTGGAGCTTAAAAGGAAATGCCAACTGTTCTATCTACATAGCAATCAGTGCACTTATGTGACGACAATATTCCATCTCTTAGTGTTAAGAGAAAGGGCGTTCATTTCTTCATTTTCTTCCCCATTTCATGCCTCAACATTGATTAATTAACAATGAGCATGCTGTTGCAGACGACCTTACATCAGTTTTAACACTTTTCGCATGAATTCCATTAATCAGTTGGTGTAGCGCAAATTTATACGCAAATTATCAGATCTCATACGGAGATTACAGACTCTCTGTACAGCACTCTTATTCCGGTACTCGAGAGCAAGAGTCCCTCGCCAGAAGATTGTGTACTTTGCCCATAAATGGGCGTACCGATGCTGCCCGCGGGGAGTTCCAATCGGCAAACAGAGATGCAGGAGTAATTCATCAAAAAATGTACTCTTCCGGTTACGTGAATTGTGACATGTTCAGGGTTTTCTCATGCTAATTAAATGGTTCATTGTATCATCGGATCACGACAAGAGGAGATCCATAACGGGAGACTCTGTGGCCAGCTTTGGCGCACTTGGCTACTGGATTGAGTTATTGGGCAATCATGCCATATTACCAGAGAAAATTGCTGTATAAATAAGTATAAGTTACTGTGGGTAATTAGCAAAGTATAACATCACATTTAGGTATATCGCCTGGCTATTTGAAAAACACACCTGGAGCCAAGCGTTTAGCAATAAATTGAGAGACTTTACGAGATTTTCAACACATTGAAGGTATGCAAAATTGCAATTTAGCATATTCAATTATTCTCATGATCTTTATTAATAGAGTGATCTCAGTCTTGATAACTCCACACTTGTCGCAGAATGTAATCTACTTAGCCATGCCCCTACCACTTTAATTCACTCTACGAGAGAGATATTCTGCCAGCTTTTAATTAAGATAAATGCCCAACAGATATGGCAAACAGAAAATGGCTAATTGAAATGGGAGACCAGAAAAATACTCGCTCATGTTGCATTCTTATTCCGTCTCTGCGAGAGACAATAAGACAAATTTGATTGAGGTTTATGATTTCTCTGCTCAACCTTCATGACATGGATTGTATGAAAATTGCATTTATTCCACCGGAGATGCAATAAATCTCGATGATCTCTGCATTTTTGCCCCAGACTTTTATCTCGCATGCGAGATCACAGCGAGATAAGGCTTTTTTATGTCCCAGCCACTTGAGAAAGAGATTATCGAAATTGATTCATAAATAAAGCCCAGTCGAAAGGTTGAAAATCTAGATTGACCTTCGAGTACGCCATACAAGAACCTTCATACTTCTTAGTCCGACAATTCGCCTCTGCTTTCAGAGGCGAATTGTCGAAGAGTCACAAAGAGAGATGTTGATATAAAAAAATGTTATTTTAGGGCTTCGCTTTGCACAATGAATGCTTTATGCATATTTCCACTCTATCAGATTGACTGAGGATTCCGAGAATGTGTGTTTTCCCATGCTTTGGTGAAATTTCAAAATTTCCGCCAGAGAAAAAGCGAATATATCGGAGTTGATGGATTCTTTCAGCGGCACAAATCGCATGGGAAGAGAATGAGATAAATTGCTGAGATAGTTGGCAGAAAATTCCAGCAATTGATGGTGAAATTCCTACCTCAAAATAGCCACATTACCTCAATTCATCCGGTGTAAATAGTATTAGGTCATCCAATAATAATCCCAATGTCCTCTGACTCTGGATCCACGCTCACCTCGGAAGTCTCCCGATGCTGACTTCGCGGTGTCTTGACCTCAAACTTTGGAAGTAGGTGAGTCATGATCAAATGGCCTGGGAGAAAATTCCATCAATTTCTGGTACATTTCATGTATATTGTCTCTTATGCAATTGAGGTGGATTTATATCGTGGGTAATTAAGTGAAGACACAAATCTCTGCAACAAGACTGTTCAGCATTTTCACCCAATGTATTGAGTTGTTTGGGCACTTTTAATAATATTGGCATTTTCAATTGAATTATGTTGTCTCACAACTTCTCACAAATCATCAATTATTGAATCCATTGAAGCAGAGTTGAAAAAGAGGATTTTGTCGTAGATCGAAGAGCGTATCGAAACTTATGGTAACAAGAACAGATGGCAGAGCAAAGGAGTTGATTTTTAAATTAGCAAACTTCTGGTTATTCTCTTGTTCTCCCAAGAAATTACCCTAAGATGATCATAAATGTATACAAATTTGCAATGCTATATAAATTCATCACATCCTAAGTAGCACAAAATAATCGTGACGATCACATTTGTGACTTAAGGAATTTCACTATGCTTTTATCACCATCGATATTGCAAAAAATTTTCCCAAACCAATTAAAGCCGCTCGCAGGCACTCTCGTGAAGAGAGGCACAATCAGGCAATGTTCGGAAATGACCTCATGTGACTGGGGCTAACAGCCGAGCGACAGAGATAGTCGAAAAACGTGCCCAACTTTAATGACTTTGGCAATTTTGCGGATTCTCCGTCGCTTGCGAATGCAAGAGATAATCCTCGAGATAGGAATTAGTCACTCTCTGCTCTTAATTCCTGCCCAAGTCGACCCTTTCTCGTACAGGCAACGACGATGAGACTTATTGCATCATGGCACACAGACGTCTGTGGCTGGAAAGTTGTCGGCCCCAAATCCAACACACAACTCAATACATTCACCTGGGAGTTGAGGCTGAGACTTGAGGTGTTGCGATTAGTTTCGCGTTGGCGGGCAACACAGGCGGATGTGTTCACGAGTGAATTCTTGTGTGAGCGCGATCTTGGCGAAATCGGTCAGTCGCTGTGATTTTTCCCAGTTGTGTCGTATTTGGACAGTAAAATCCATTTTTCTCCTCAACCCAGACTCTCAGTACAATTGAGGTTCTCTGAGTGAAGAAATTTTGTGCACACGGCAAAGAGATAAGTGACTCCCAATGATGGTGCGCATTTGAAAGTGTTACAAGAGCATGAATTGATTCTTACTTTGAGTGATGCCCACTCTCCACATGGACCATTGTCGAATGTAATATAAAGTGAAAATACAGACATTTTTGCGTGCGGTTCATCTGACAATTGCCGTGACCGTTAGAATTCGTGATAAAAGAGACTTTTTACAGCATTTTCCATTGACGCAGATCGCGATTTGAGGCTGATCTCACATAGTGTGCAAACCAGTTTATTGGACATAAAGAGCAACCGTGGCTGGATTTGCCAAAGCCAGGTAAACGCCAAATGGAGAGACTTTTTCCCCAGAATTGCCGAGAATGGAAAATTCGGTGGAAAGAGTTGAGAAAGATTGCTGGAGAAATGAGGGAAATTTAATTGTGCTCTTACTGTAGTTACTCACTTAAACGTATCCATGCATTTCTAACTAATTACATTTTACAACTGAATCTTACGCATTGCTTCACTCGCTGAGAAGTGCGCAAGGCATCGCATCTTCATTTTCATTTGAAGAGGTTTTATTAGAGAAAGAAAAAGGCGGTACTGTTAGACTCCAAGAAGCATCAGCATAACTGACTGGAAGACTGTGTGCTTTGAGTCCTCTTGTCGGGGAAACAAAGCGCATCGGTTGCCTCAGAGAACACCCAAAAGTTGTCAATAATTCAATATTTATTATGCATTCGTCGTGATTGATTGCCATGGCCAGAAATGGAAGATGTCCTGATGCTTCTGAAGTGCATGATAAATTGCAGAGATGCTGGAATGCTCACCCAGAATCTGCAGAAGTGCTCTTGGGAGAAATTTCCTGCCATTTACCGCTACACTCTTGGTCATATTTCGCAACATCACGAGTGTGTGATTCATTGAGAGCAAAACATTGACTTTTTTACAAACTTCTTATCAGGCTAACACAAAAGAACAATTTGCTATTCAAATAAATAACACTTTGACATTAATTTGCAATTGTACAGACACGACAATTTTCTGTAATTTTGCGGAATTTTAAGCTAATTTCGAGAATTCATGGTGTTTTGAAGATGGAATACAATGGAGAATATGAAAACAATTATGAATGAGTGTAAAAATGATGGTTGATTTTCCAAAAGTGAAAATCACGATTCTGCATAATTTTATTGATTCTCTATCAAAAATTTCTCAAATAAATTACACATGTGATGTATTTCCTTATTCGTGTGAATATCTGGCATTCGCATTGATAATAAATATTCAAATGCTGACACACTTCTCTTGAAAATCACCGCAGAGTGGAACAATTTATATTATTGCAGCGTGCATTTCTATATCAATGGATTGAAAACAAAATAATTATTTAAGATGAAATATAGAGGAAAAAACGCCATGAAAATAATAGACATTGCTGCACTTTGCCTATTGAGGTCATGAAATTATCTCCACTTTTGAGACACTTTTGCCTTTGCACAATCTGGGGACTATAATAAATTACATTAAAATGGTTCAGATAGCAAAGACAACAAATAAATATTTCCATTCATTGTCTATCCGAAAGTCGTATTTTGCAATATTACGATTTTTTACCTCTGCATGATCACTCGAAATTGTGGGAGAGTTTTTTATGTTCGAGAAAAAAAAAATTTGTCATCCGCTGGTGTGATCTGTGAGACGTCAAAATAAGTGTCTTACGAAAAATCTGTCTACAAGTTTGGTCAGCTAACCTTGGCCACAGAGGGGGCACTGCTTATCCCAAAGTGTCCGGCTAATAAAAGGAAATTGAAATGAAATAGGAAAACTTTTCGTGCGCTGAGTGTGGGGAACAAATCACCCATTGTTGGAGTGATAATGCAAATTTATTTGCTTATCTCTTTATGGAATAATTCTATAATAAATATTATTTATTTCCATTGACACAATGTGAAGATTCCGAGAGGTGCTGATCGCGATCTTTGTCCATTCATGCGCTGATTCATAGGATTTTTCGGTCTCTGTGCGAAGTTTGAGTTTGAGAATACAAATTTTTCTCTTCACATTTCAATGTGTGAAATCAATGTATTGCCACAAATGAAAGTGAATCAGTCCAAATAATCTGTTGAGCAGATAATTGAATAAAATTACAGCCAAAAGGTGTTAATAACATTGTATCTCATCTCTGGGGTCATTAAATGAAATAAAAGAGTATTGCGCAAAGGCACGAAATGACCATCATAGATGAAAATGAAGACATTTCTCCTGGAAATCATCGCGATGGTGAGTGCAATTTGTAAAATACGTTGCGCGAAAGAGACGAATTATTCAATCTTTTACGAGCTTTAATTGAGGATTTATCACATTTTGCTTTTAACGATTTCTCAATGGTGTTGAATTAGTTAAATACCTCAGTTCCGCATACAATTAGTCAATTCAAACATTGTGCGATACAATGGGCAATTCTTTGGCGGGATTTGTGTTTGCTCTCGAGAACCTCGAGAACCCAGCGAGTGTCCAAAAAGTCTGAGCAGCACAAGATTTCATTGTTGTCAATTAGCCTTTTTTGCCACAACACTCTCTGATTATCTCCGGCTGAAGCTGTTGAGTTGCAAAATGTGTATGATAAATGTAAAAGGCTCTCTTCTCGCGCCTGAGATTCTTGTCGCTGACCAAATAGGGTGCCATCGAGGTCGAATTGCAGAGAAAAAAGTTTCACAAAAATACATTTTATCGTGCCACGGAATGTTGAATATGAATAGCAATAAGCTGAGAAATCGCTCCATTGCTCCAATGTGTGTCTTTGATATTTTGGCGGGGGTTTCTCGAGGAGAGATAATTATCTCTTGTCAGAGATTTTTCATGTAGGAGAGCGCCTATTCAATAAAAATTATCTCAATAATTGATATCTTTATTTATGGCTCATTGAATAATTCCTGGGCAGTCACAAGAAATTCTTCGGCGTAAAACTGGCTCGTGCAAAATTTCAATCAATAAATTTTGATATCCAGTCGCCACACGAATCGACACGAGAGAAAGTTCTTTTCAGCTCTGAGACTCGTGAAAAAATTAAATAAAATATTCGTGGGCAGCCGTCATTATATCCCACCTCTTTGTGAGAGAGACACCAATGCAGACGATTCATGCGATATGCATTCCTGGCCAACGAACACTTGTAAATTCACTTTTCGCACCGACACTTTTTCCAGCCGAATGCAAAAAAGTCTTCATGAGAAAATTGCTCGTCAAAGTCTAACATCTATTTGTAGTTTGATTCCACGCTTTTTTCCAACACAACACACACAATTTTCACATGGCAAATTTTATATGCACTTTGCCGAGAGTGAGAGAAATTCAATTCATTTCGGCCACAAAGGTGTATTGCTTTCATGAGAAAAAGGGTGAAATGTGCATAGAAATACTGCATTTCCTGTGAAAGTGAAGGAGTATTTCTAGCAATAAATTCATGCTATTTCGCAAATTGCTTGAAGAGTTGAAGGAGAAAAAAAAATGACAGAAATTTATTGGCATTGTTGGGCAGAGGCATTAAAACGAAACCAATTCAAGCAGACATGAAAAGCGAAACATTTTACTTGTTAATTATTTCTCTATTAAAATATAAGGTATTAAAATTGCGTTTCTGCGACTCTATTTAAAATTTCTCTCGCCTCGGCTTTGATGTGAAGAGCTTTTAGCAGATGAATTTACAGTGTGTCGCTGAATTGGTGGCGTACAATTTGAGAGATAAAAATTGTAATGTTTTGGGACATCTTCTCTGCAACACGCTGTATAGCACTTGAAGTGAAAGATCCAATTAGCAATTCTAATGCAATGGATGTGTAGTAAAAGAGAAGTAAGAAAAAATCACACTATTCATTCTCGTCACTATTCATGAAAATGCTATTCTTTGTACCACGGATTTCAGGTACATTCGTAAAAATTATGGTGAGGTAGTTAAAATGAAAAATGTGTATATATTACATATGATAAAGTTGATGTACCGTGGCATTCATCGTGGGCTCTTGTGTGGTACAGCACGCTGAAATACTTTAATTGCAGCCAAAGGACATTCATTTCTCAATATTTATTCTATTCGTCCCACTCTTGGTGGCGTTCCGAGAATATTGGGGATTATAATCTCGTCTGATGGACACGTAAGGTCAAGTATGAGGCAGAGTCAAAGCCTCGACAAGTCGAGGGAAGCCATAGTATTATTTGTCTCCTTTGTTTTTGCCATCACACACGAAAGTGCTACCAAAATAGAGGAGAACAAAGTGTCTGTGCTGCGAAGCAGAAATAATTAAATTCCGCTTGTTGAGGCGTTTCATCTTCCACAATCCACAACAGTCGATATGGTGAAGAAGAGTCTTTCCAACAGAGAGAACAACAGATGCTCCAATAAATTATCCGTCAACAGGGAATTTCTTGCTGGAATCTTACGTAAATGGGAGACTTTTTTTTCGTTCAGTGACACGAAGGAGAATTAACATTCAATTTCACACACAATATTATGCCTCATTTGTAGCACGATCGCCCCTCGATACTCAGAATAATCTATTTCCAGTGCATCACAATCTGTACAAATACGAGAGAGAGAGTTCTAAAATTAGACGAGGTGAAGAAATGGTGGAATAGAAAAATGCATCTCCTAATGTGGCCATTAATTTGTTGACAAATATGTAGAAATTACTTTTTCTTCTAATTTTAATGTCTCTAAGTCGGCACCTTACACATCAGGCAGAAATCTTTATGCAATTTCCTAGAAATCCCTGGACGATTCAATACATATTGCGAAGGAAGATTACAGAGAATATTTTACTTATTACTTACCGAAATAGACAAAATTTAAACTTTTTACTGCAACAGTCAAACTCTCTTGATCCAAGACCGTACAAAGTGTGATTTACTTAAAACAATAGTGATTTGAAACAAGCAAATACTGCATCCAAATGCAAATAGCAATTGACACCAATAAAATGTTTGCTTGCAAGCGAGTCGAAGAGTCAATTGACTTTTGCTGTTCACTTTTACCTTCGCGAAAAAAAACACATGTTGAAAATAGTATCATGAAAACTGTAAATAGAGTAAGTATGGAAGAGAGCGATGATATTCGCCTGCATAGTTTCTTCATCGAAACTTATAATGCTCTTCCTGTTGGCAATAAATGTTTTACCTCGGCAATTACATGAATTCTGCACCATCGCTGTATTTTTATGATTAAATGTGGAGTAAATAATAATGTTAATTGAATTCGTGTTTTACAGTTAAATAATAATGGAGGTAGCCATCGGTAACGCGGCCCCACCTTTCCAGCGCGAGGTTCGAGAGTGGCAGCGAGTGGATCCAAATACGGGAGCCTTGCTCACGGGTCGCTTGGAGGCTGACCGATGGATAAGGGATCACATGAACACTTATGGAAAGGTGAGATGCAAAAGAAAAAAAACCTGCACTGCTTCGCGTCAATTGGCAATCAGAAAGAAAGCGTATCCCAATCTCTTATCTATGCAATCTGCCACTCTTCAGCGCCACTGATTAGCCGCAGCATCAATTTTCACTTCATCACCCTTCAAATACTTGATTTGTGGGAATATAATGAGTGAATCACGTAGAAAATTCACTCGAGTCGTCTTGCTTTGATCCACCTGACACCCGTTTTGAAATGCCATAAGTGATCACACGGCAGAAATCCGTGATCGCAAAAACAGAAATCACAAGAAATCAATTAAAGTGTTGCGATGTGAGGAGAAGCGGTTACGCATGGCAGCACTGCCCTCAAAATCGCATCGGCAAAACTGTAACGGATTTGTCAAATTATCTTACACACCGCCATTGGCCAGGGAATCGAGAAGATTCTGTGCTGTGATCGTCAATGGGGAGAATTAGCATTTTACATAATAATCTTCTCAACTTCTCAACTCTTCATTCACTTTTTCATGTTGACTCTCTCTGATTGAGTGTTCACATTTTTGCGTCAAGTCCTCGTCACACTGAGGTTAAGGCATTGTGAATAGATTTCACGCAGTGCAAAAATCTTCCCATAAGAATATCAGAGAGGAAAACCACCTAATCGCCGGCAATTTTCACGGCCTGGCTCTTGGCAGAAAAGTCGCAATTATCATGCTAATGGTGTTTCGTAATCAAATAAAATAATTTATACATATTATAGTGGCTGGTAATTAGCATCCGCAGCCTTTTCAATTAATTCTTTTTTAATTACTCTAGTATATTTTTTTTGTGAGTATGATTGATGGCGCACAGAATATGCACTGTTTACTCCATGAACACATTCTGCATGCTTTCTGCAATTATATTGCATTGAACGCATCATTTTTTTTTCGTGAGGATCACGCCGAAGAGCCACGCAAATGATTGAAGATTTACTGGCATTTTCTCACACGCTTAGAGATACCTTCTAAAGCATCTTAATTGGTTATTGTCTTCAGCCAGCGCCTAAATATCATCGTAATTATGTTTATTTTAACTGATATTTAATTGCAAGTGACTCACCTTGCGTCACGGTAACTTCTTCACTGAACAGTTAATATACTTGTCGATCACATTTTCATGCTCGATATACTTAAACTATGATTCTCAACGAAGTTTTCACAAAATTCATGGAATTTAAATGTAATTATGGAGAAACAGATGATAAATGAAATAATTTGTTCACTTCCACTTGTTTAATCTCTTCTCCACGCGCATTTACAACATGAATAATTAATTTTTGGGCCCCACAAATGCTTACACTATGAACTGTAAAGTCTCAATTATCTCTTTTGAGGTGAATTTTGCAAGCGTAGAAAAAGCTCTTTCAAGGCTATAAAAACGGCAAATGAGATTTGATCAATGCTGGCAAAAAGTATGTATCATTCTTATTTATAAGCCACGCTTTGGTCTCAATTTTTTGCCTGAATATTCATTGAATAAAACACCGCGATATCGTGAAAGAAGTCACAAAATCACACCACATTTATTTTGTTTGTTTATCTTACAGAAAATTGGAAATAACGGAAATTAATCCACACGCGAGTAAATGACCTGAAGCCATGCATTTGCATAGGTAGAAAAAAGATGATCATTTGACATGTCAAAGACTTTATGTTTAATAACGTGAAATCGCTTCATTGAATGTCACATGTTACAAGAGAAAAAAAACAGTGAAGAAAGAAAGACTTGAGCACTTTCTACCACAGAGTCTCTGAGTGTGAAGCCTCAGAGATTTTTAATCTTTCCTCTGCAACAATTACTTCGCTTGAGAAAACAGCAACTGACCAGCAGATGGTCAGTGGTGACTTTCAATCAGATCGCGGTTTACAAAATTGCAGCTTCAAGTTGAATCTCTAAGAACTAACTAATATGTTTATTCTTTTGTAATCTCCCTAAAATAGTATTAAGCTGGCATTAGACTAGATCATTAGGCATTTCCTTTTCAGTGGATGACTAAAAGCATCTTTCTTCATGTCAAGAGCAATCAATCAAATATTATTTCATCGAGATCTTATCCGACTTTAATTAATTCTGGACAGGTTGAATGCTATGCCAACGAAAGTCACTCATTTATTTCGCTATAACTCTCAAATTAATGGCTGAGCAATAATCTGGTTTTAAGCATAAATCTTTCGCAATACACTCAAAGTATTGATTTAATATTGGCGGAAAAAACAGCGATACATTTTTTTCTTCGCCTCAGGAATATGAAATGAAAATGAATCTGTGAGAAAGTGGCCCCGAAAAAATAAACAAACAGAAACTCAGGAAATTTATAAGAAAAAAGTGAAAGTTTTGAAAATTCTTTTGGCCCACTAAATAGTAAAAAAAAATCGTTAGTTGGAAAATTACAATATAGAAAATGATTGATTTATTGCTGGGATCGACAAGTGGAACAGCTTCTGGTTTTTTTCTCTCTCTTTTTCTGCATTTAACAGTAAATGCCGCGGAATGCAGATTCCCGCCAATTTTGAAGCTCACCGTGTGGGTCTGTTCATTATCAAAATCACTTGGGAAATATGAATGGAACTAATTAAAATAATTATCTCTATAATACCCGCCTACCTCTAAAAGCAAAAGGCAGCGGCTTAAGATACATTGTGCTATTTATTGAGCAACTCACAAATACCCAGTTACCTTTTTCTTTCGCCAAAGTGGAAAAAAGCCCGCCGAGGCAATTTTCTCGTGAGCCTCCACCACGCACTTCTCGTTATCAACTCACTGTGGATCTTAATATGCACAAGAGAGTTTGCCATAAAAGATGTGAGCATTTTTTATCGCTTCACAATGCACGCTAGGCGGTCGGCAATCTTCACAAATAGCCCTGTGGCGATGTATAATAATGAAAATGGAAGCGCTAAAAATCACTCCCATTAATTATGCTCTTTAATCTGTTAATTGGTAAATGGATTGTGAAAAGGCTGAATGGGTTTTCTTCCACTGCAGATTATTTTCAACTTATTGGTGCATACAATTTCTCTGTCTTCTCCAATGCAGAGCACAACATTGCATTTGAGAGAGACGCTGTGCGGCCAGGAAATTAATATCATCGCGAAAGAAAGGGAGAAGAGAATAGACACGGAAAGAAATGCGATGCATTTGTAATTACTACCGCTTTCTGCCACCATATTTCCATTCAATTGCCCAAAAATGCTCGAAATTGTGCACTACAACACGGGAATTCCCACCTCTTTTGCCCAGAGAGTAGATCAGTGTCTTATCGGTGGATTTCCCTTTCAATTCATACACATTTCTTTCCGTCTCTGGAAAATATGACTGGTGGATACGAAAGTACGAAGAACGCGGAACCATGCGAGGGACTCCTACACTTTTGAACCTCTCAGCAGACTGTAAAACGAGCATGAATGGTTATAAATAGTCGGAGGTGGACTCGTTGATCAGCAACATCATCCCAGCCATAGAACTCGATGACCGCTCACCCGAGAGTCGTATATTTGCTGGAATATATTGTTTATTGAAATTGGAAATGTTGTGTAACATTATTCAGCTATCCTTGCAGCCTCGCGTTTTTGCAATTTAACTCACAAGTTCAAGTCGTAAAGCTTTCCTAATAGGGAAACTTCTCTTCCTGGTCGCAAAAGGTGATTTTGCGAAAGAGAAGATGTAAAGATAAACACTTAAAATCAATTCACGCCTGTTTGTAGACAAAATATTGAAAACATTTTCAAATATAATAAAATTAAATTGAATTCAAGAAATATAAATTTGATTCTCATTCACACTGTGGATGAAAATAATATTTCATATATGGGATGAGCACATCATAAATCTTGGTGGTTGAAAAATTGCGATAAAAACTAGATTTTTGGCCAGAGAGTCTGCGCCTTTGACGCGGTGAGACAAGCAACAAATTGCGATACATTTTGTGCAAATCACAATTCTAAAAAGATATAATTTGTAATGTTTGACATGGCAAGAAGTGATTTCTCAGAATGGCTCTCACCCACTCAGGATGATGAGGTGTAATTCTTGGATGTCTTCTTTCAGGTGGTGGATTCACAGAACGTCTCAACGCCCAACGGGACACACCACAGCCAGCGCAAGCAGCTGGAGGTTCTGCAGGCCAGGACAGCCACCGGAGGAGCCGTGCAGGTCGTCCGGTCGCAGACAGTTCACACCTCATCGTCGCGCTGGAACTCATCGGCCAAGCAAAACGGCATAAACGGCACGGTGAGCTTTCACAGTGGCAGCAATGCGAATAGGCATCGTGTGTCGCTTTGTGCGGGGAACAATAGGGCTATTTTGATAAGCAAGAGCAAATTGCTGTGCATTCAGATTTACAATATCGCATTCATTAGAATTATCTGCATAGCCAATATCGCAGATTGTCAGTGTACAAAGTAGCCCTACTGCTCCCTATTGAGGCTTGAGGGCGATCCTAGCGAAGCAGCAGTGACTGTGTGGTGGCTGCTCATCTGGCATTTGCTAATGTCTTGTCTCATCATCCAGAATTTCACATCATCGGCCCATTCGAGCCCACTCAGCTTTCAGCATAAGAAATTGCACGGAGAGACGCAGAAGACTGTAACTCCTTATGCGCCGGAGCCCACATTGCCAGCATCATCAGCGATGAATTCCACGTCGTCGCCACCGTCGGGTGGTGTGGGTGGCCATCGCAAACAGCTGGATCCGAATGAAAGAGAAACTGCGGCACTCAATTCGCATGGGTGAGTCTTACCTCTGCTTTCTGCGCCTCCGACTCGTGGGGTCTCACCACTCGTGATCTGCTGCTCCACCGGGCACCACCGCGACTCCCCATAAATCCGTGACCACGTCTTCCTCGCGCGGAAACTGCGTGTGCGTTGTGAAAGAGTCCCCATATCATAACAGTGATATATAATCCGTAAGTTATGCGATCGGGAGGGCCGTGAAAGATCAGAGAGGAGAGAGCCTTTGTAGTGTGCCGCAAAGTGCGCAGATTGAATTCAAATATGAGATCTTTTATTGGGTGAAACCGCGTGTAGGATTCATCTCTCTCTCTCTATGAAAAGTCGTGCGGCTGTGTAGACGTGATAATTTGAATTTCAAAGAAAATTTGATTGCTCGTGAAGGATTCTCTGCACTGGCTGAAGAACCATCTGTGTGATGATCAATTTTGCATGGCAAATACAATTTAGAGACCGTGCAGCAATCATCAACAGACGCGTGAGATAAATATTATGGCAGAGAGTTGCTCGCTTAGGCAGTGGGAAGTAAAAGCCTTGATTTACTGAATTTTTTAATCAATTTCGAGGGGGAAAGAAAACAACATATTTTGCAATGTTTTGCCACAAATTGAAACACTTTCACTCCCAAGTCAATTATTTCGGTGGCATCACACACTAAATCAGCGGATTTTGAAATGATGTGAATTTAAATTCGTCGGATGCGCCAACATTTTCTGCACATGCCTGTGCATTTGGTATTCCTCCGCATGATTGCTCCACATGGTAACAGAGATGAGTGTGATTTGGGGAAAAAGGGGAGGCAAAAGAAAGGCCGACACGAACTGGAGATCAACTAGTGTGAAAAATTGCTCGAATGTGTCATTATACGTATTTTAGTGTTTTTGCGAGAAAGTCTTGACGAATTCTCCGCGTCGATCTCGACTCGACGATCTTTTCGAGTAATATTCACTGCCTCTCTGTGAGTGGGCTGAAGTCACTATTCTATCCCACTCCAGTCGCTTTTTTTCACCTCTTTCATGCGCTGGCGAGAAGAGGTGAAAAAGTGCGATCTCCCAGTGTTGAGATCTCACTCGATCATCACTGATCACTGTGCTCTTCCTCAACCGCAGGTCGCTGAATCGCGGAAAGAGTGTCTCCAACGAGGATCTGGCGGATGACGATCCCGAGCCGTGCGAGTGGAAGCGCGTGAGCAAAATACGACGATCACTTCAGTATCCAAAAGCCACCAGTCCGGCCAAGTATAGCTCGCGGCCGCTGGACTTGCCTGAGAACTTAGTCAGCGTGTCGCGAATTCGACAAGAGCTCGAGAATGGGCGTCGCTTGGATCGTGCAATGCGCAACAACCACGTCGACCTTGCAGCTTTAGACAGTATTTTAAAAGGTGCTCCAGACCCAGGTGAGTTTTCATTGATCTGCACCCAGACTTATCACCTCACTCGGCTCATTCACACTTTTTGCCGCTGCAAAATTACCACGAGAGGGACAATTAATTGGGCAATTCTCAGTCAGGAAGCATTTCGATCGATCGCCGATCAAGATCAACGCTTGTTCCCCAAAAATTGCCTTGAAATTGAATCTCTTTCAGACACTCATTAACACATTCCGCCAGCAATTAAGCACACTAAACACTTTCTAACACAATCACACCATGTTTGGGGAAAATTAGTCCCCACGGCGTGCATGAGAATTGAGAATTCTCCGCTCAACACTTCTCAAAAATATCGTCTTGTTGTACATTTGTTACTCGCTTTAGACAAGCAAATATTGGCAAATTGTATGTCAATATAGAGGAGAAGCATGTGCATACTTTTGCGCACTCTTTCGAGATGCTTTTGTCATGACAAACTTTCAAATAACTTGCCTTAAAAGGATTCTCTTTCGCGAATTATAGCGGATCTCCCACGCAAAATTTGATTGATGATCTTCTCCGAAAAGTAAAAGCAGCGATATTATTTTTTGCGCACATCTGTGGTGCTGTGGAACTTAAAGATTTTCCTTGGGGGGTTTTCTCTTTCATTGAATTCACATAGTCTTTTAATGGATTCACACTTTATGTGATTGGCATTGTGAATTTCCTGAAAATATAAAAATTTCACAATTTCATGTTCACTCTCTGTGGAATATTGCGGACACATTTCCTCCGTCAAAAAACGGCTTTTTGATTGTCATTCTGTTGTTCCCAGATCACAAGCCGGAGGTGAAAAGCACCAAGAAGGCCACCTTCATCACTGCCGAGTCCCTGAAGGAGATTCGCGGAAAATTGCGGAAGCTGAGCGATGAGAGTCTGTACAAGGACGACATCCTGGTGCAGAACGACGAAGACGAGGTGAAGAGGAACGGACTCACCATGAATGAGTCACGCACTGATGCAATGCAGCCATCGACCTACGCCAGTCATTTGGCCACAACAACGCCAAGCGGTGGTTTCGTGTTCAAGCCGAAAGTCATGGCGAATGGGAATAGCAACAGTCTGCAGTCGCGGAACAAAGTGAAAGATTTGGCCAACAATGAGTGGCATTACAGGAGGAAGTCGTATGGATTTGAGAAGATGACTCCGCCGCCGGAATCCATGACGTCCCGCATGGAGACGTCCACGGACAGTGGAATTGGCAGATCGGGAGACATCTCGTCCTCCTGGTCGCCAACGGAGAACGCCCCGCGTGGCACAGTCATCACTCTGGCGGGGGATGATGGCAAAGAGGCCCTGGGCAAGTCCACCAGCGTCACTATTCTCAGCAATGGAGGATCTCAGATCAACAGCGTCGTTACGCCCCTTCGTCCCAATTCGATATACTTCAATGGAAAACCCGAAGAGGTGAAGAGACACTCAATTGCCGTCGACGAGAGCAAGTACGTGAAGGAACCGATGAGGAGGACTTTCGAACCAGCCAAAACGTCGTCAATCCATATCAACGGATCTCCAGGAAGCGACTCAAAGACCGATGATGATCTCAAAAGAGGACAGAAGAGAGTTGAATTTTGCAAGACCGAAGTGCACTTTGCGGCCGAGTCTGGCAGAGTGAACATCATTGAGACGGATGGAAAGCCTCCGCCAACCAACAACTTCCGGCGACGCCGCAGGTCGTCAGGAGGAAGCATTGGATCCACTTACTTGGAAGCTATCAAATCGGGGGTTCCTCTCACGCACTTCGGAGACTCTGAACAACCGCCGGAGCAACCGAAACCATCCGCAGATCTTGAGAACAACATAAGATCATCTCCCACTATTACAACCCCAACGGTGACAACAACTACGAGTACTGCTACGAATGGCGTGAGGAGCGCCAAGGAAGAAGAAGAAGACTCCAATGACGAGATCTCCCTGAGAGGAATCCTGAAGAATAAGCCCGTCAAGCCGAGGCCCTATCATCTTGGCGAGAATATTGAGAACAGCGAGAGTTTGTGGGGCGTTCGTCTGAGGCCAGTCTCAACGGACTGCACTCTCTGGACCCGGGACGCCAGTCAGAAGAGCCCTCCTCTGATACCCGACGACTCTGACTGCAACTCTGGTAAGATCATGAATCCCATGCAAAGAAATTTGACTAACTCTTGATCAACTTCCAGGCTTTCATTCAGACTCCAATGAGTCTGTGCGGAGTGTCGCCGAGAGGGTTCGCATTGTGGAGCAGCTGCGAAACAAGGACTCCCCAACAGGCTTCTCAACTAAAGTGAACCTGACCAGTTCGCAGTCCTTCAATTGGCCACTCAGGGGTAATTTCTTCCGTAGATCCTTATCGCCTTGCTTCTCGTATTAGAAAATGCACTCTATTTGTGGGATGATCTATCTTTAAAATGCAATTAATAGCCACTCTCTGCCGTATTGATGCTTCAATTGCTGCTGTTGCATAACTAATGAGACTTGTTTCTCACTCTATATTTTCTCTAATTGACCCCAAAAGACTAGCGAATTACTAAAAAAAAAAAACTGTTAGTGCCAAATTGACACAAGAAAAAATTTCAGATGAGACCAATCCAATGCCACAATCGCGATTTACTGTTCATTTGACTGATGGGGAGAGTGACGAGACTGGGCTGATTGGCTTTGAGAAATCCCACGATAGCTCTCTCAAGTCCACCACCTTGATTATGAAGACACTCAAGTCGGCGCAGCAATTCGATGAGGCAATGGCCAAATTGGCATCGGTCAATCCGGCCATTATTGTGCCGCAGTCGAAAATCACGGAGAAAGACATTCCGACCGACTTTCAGAGGGGCAATCGTCTGTCCAGCTACTCAGTGGCGAAGTCCAGCAGCGCCAGCAACATCTTAGGATCCGTGGCTAAGCTGAAAGTGAAGGAGAAGTACTCGTCATCTCTGGACGGAAACGGGGATTATGACAGAGATTGGAACTTCGATGACAAGCCACTGAGTACGTTCAGTTCCCTTCTGGATAAGAGGAAGCCTGTGGCTGCGCCGAGACTTAAGAAGCTGGGCAATTCCAGTGTTCTGAGCCAATTGTCACAGCTGAACAGAATGTACGAAGCTGCCGGTCAGGATAGCGATGGCAGTGCTCAAGCTGATGAAGAGGTCAATCTCATCTTTGGCCAATCCAACAGGATGCAACCAGAGGAGAAGACCACAACTCTGTCCGGCAGTTGGAGTCGATTAAGATCCAAACGAAATTGCACGAAGCAAACTTCCCCCAATTATGCACATTTAGGTATATAAATATCTTACCTCTTTGTTACTGTAAAGATAGATCATCCTGCCATTTTGTCTCCAAGTGATGATTGAGAAACTGCAAGGGGATAAAAGACTAATTTGTGGTTTTCTCACCTTTTGCAGAAAACTACAAACCTCGCGTATCACCTGCTAAAGCAGATATAATCCATTCTAATCTACTATCGATTCCTCTTCATTCCCCAACAAACTCATTGAGAAAGCCCACTCCTAAAACTGAAACTCCAATCATGACACGAACGACAAGTCCAGGTAAGAAGAGCCTTCGTGAACCAAAAGTTCACAGATTGTTAATTAAATACCAAATGAAATAATTGCAGTGAAAACAACACCAATTGCAATTCGAAAATCACTACCGACAACCGACAGCAAAATCATCTCTCAGGAGAAGGAGAAACCGAAGAGTGCGCAAGAACCACTGAAATTGGTCTGTGGTACACGAAAATTACGTGATCACGAGCTCTCGTACTTTGGCGTAAACACAACACAGCAACGTGCCTCAGTTACTAATGATGCGAAGAAATTGACTAACCATGCCAAAACTGAGACGCCGAGCAGGTGGAAGTGGACGGAAAAGACGGACTCACAAAGTCGAAAGGAACCGATTTACGAGAATCTCAAGTATCACTCGAATTCAACGAGCAATGTTGTACGACATCCAAACTACGATCGCGATCAAGACATTCTTGACGAACTCAATAGAGCAGCAGATGAGATCTTGAGTGTGAGTAGATGGCGAATTCAGGGGTAAATTTGGAGAGAAGTCAAAGAGCCTTTGTTAACTTACAGTCAGTTTCCAAGAATCACGATGCGGAAGAAAGCCGAACGAGAAGGAGGATCCAGTCGAAGCCACTGGAAACGATCACCGAAGCGCGATCATCGACACCGAAGTCTGTCCAGTCGCGTGGTATTCAAGTATCGCGCGGCGGAAGCGAGAGTGTTCGACGAAGTGGAGTGGCCAGATCATCCTGCCGGGTGTCTTCTGCGTCGTCTTCGGAGAGCATCCCCAGGCAGATCCCCTCTTCGAGTTTGAGAGCTTCAACTCACAGCTCTAGCTCGAAGAGTCGCCACAGCACCAGGAGTCATGAGGACTCCTCGTCCACGAGATCGAGCAAGCGACGAGTGACGAGTATGACGGAATGCCGTCGCCTTCATCGCACTAGCAGCAGGGACACAGTTCCCTCCCAAGCGAGCTCCTCTGAGGACGTCAACGAACCGAGACGACCGAGGCGATTGAAGGTCAAGGAGAAGCCTGAGAGGTGAGTTTGTTTTCACAAAAGGGCGGGATTCCTGAGTGGACGTGGCTTAAATTAAAATTTGTCCTCGTTTGATTTACAGTTCAGTAACGGCTGAATCTAAGAGATCAACCAGTTCCTCCAAGAGCTCCTCCAGACGCCACTCGAAGCCAGAAGGAACTTCCTCAAGACCAAGCCGAAGTGAGTCAATCTCTGTGCGATAAGCTGCTGAAAGCTAACATGTATTTCTCTTTCCTTCAGGCACTTCTGATCATCACCAGAAAATCCGTGTCAAATCTGGCATTGTTACCACAACGTATGTATTACAATCAGGCGTGGTTCCGCCACCCAGACACAAAAGACGTCGCAAGGTGGCTCGACGCAATTCATCACTATTGAAAAAACGAGAAATGAAAAATACTTCGAGACATATCGGCAAGAATTGTATTTGTTCGTAGTGATAATAGCATTTTAGACGAGTCTTTGATCAGAAGAAAACGTTTTAGTTTTATTCTAAGACATTTGAAGCGAGATTCACACAGTCAGCAAACCTTAGGTACTTGTATTGCATGAGACCATTGAAATAATTGGCTAATTCTGTAAGATAAACTTGAGGATTGGGATTAGGATTTGATGCATTTTATCATTCATCGGAAGTCATTTTTTTATCAGGAATTTATATCTTTTATTTCCTAACTATACTTAACGCCTGACGATCTTTCAAAATCATTCATTTCACATTTCTCTCCTTCATGCAAGATCTTCGGGATGTGCTCTGAAATGACGGGGAATAAAATTTAGTCACGTTGAGATTAGATGTTAACAAATTAATACAATTCCTCTAGTATCTCGCTCTATTGTATTTTTCAAATTTACAATTCTCAAAACTAAAAGTATTTGAATGATCAAATTTTTCATTTCTCGGTAGCCAATAACCGGTCATTAATTCTCTTAGGAAAGTAGATACATTGGATTAATTCACATAATCCAAATTATTGCGTACAATCCAAAAGCAATAATAAGTGTACTAATCTCTCTCCCTCTTCGATTTATTTTGCAGATCATCCCGAAATGGTAGCAACTGGCTTTTGAGGGAGAGCCGAATAGAGTGAGAAAGTGCGTGAAATCCGAAATTGTGATTATCTCATTGAATTTCTTAATGATTCGTCCACGAAGACATGAGTAAAATGATTAATATTATCAGTTGCTGTAACTTTAATATGCGATTAACAGACATTTTTTGCCACTCTAATATTTTTCTCATTTTTTACTCCTCTTGTGTTTTTGTAATGCAAAAATCCCAATTGATTTTTTGTATATTGATTTATATTATTTCATTTTATTGCCTTATATTTTATTATTTGCATTTCGACGTTGTGAAATTCCTAATTGATCATTAAACACCTTTTAATCGCAACTCAGTTGATTTTCGTGTTCTCCGCTATGAAGGCCGCAAGAGTGGCTATTTGGGTCTTCACGGAATTTCTGGAGGTTCCTCCAAGCGAAGAGTACTGCTCGACGCTATTCTCGAAGTTCCAGATCTTGAGCACGTCCTCTGCGAAGGCAGAATTGATGGCCTTCAATTTGACCAGGGGAACATCTCTGAGTGAAATGTTGTTATTCTCAGCGAAGGCCACAACTTCCCCGGAAGCGTGGTGAGCCACACGGAAGGGAATCCCCTTGCGGACGAGGTAGTAAGCCAGATCTGTGGCCAAAGTTTCGTAACTCAGCGCCTCTCTGCACTTCTTCTCATTCACTTCCAGAGTCTGAACAACTCCTTGGGTGACTTTAAGTGCCAACGAGAGATTGTCGAATGTGGAAAACATGGAAATCTTATCACTCTGCAGATCCTTGTTGTAAGTCGACGGAAGTCCCTTGAGACTCATCATAAATCCTGCGTGGTTCCCGAAAATTTGCCCAGAAATTCCACGAATCAATTCCAGACTGTCAGGATTGCGCTTCTGAGGCATTAAGCTACTTCCAGTGGAGAATTCTTCCGAAATGGTGATGAAACCGAACTCTCGAGTGCTGTAGATGATCAAGTCCTCAGCCAGGCGACTCAGGTGAACACCACACATTGAGGAGACGAATGTGAACTCGCCTGCAAGTTAAGGAATCTTCAAGACCGCCTTGTAACTCATTGGTATAACTTACTGATAAAATCGCGATCTCCAACGGCGATCATGCTGTTGGGGATTACAGATGAAAAGGACAAGTTTTTGGCCAGACCTTGTCGATCGACGCCAAAAGGATTGCCGGCAATCGCTCCGCTTCCCAAAGGCAAAGCATCGACTCTCTTGAGAAGGTCCTGGAAGCGCTGAAAGTCATTCTGCAGGGCAAAACCGTGGCTCATTAGCCAGTGACTGAACCGAACTGCTTGAGCTCGCTGGAGATGTGTATATCCTGGCATCAGAACGTCAATCCTCTCGCGCGATCGCTCAAGGATGACCTCAAGAAGACTCACGATGAGACAAGTGACATCCTTGATGGCCTTCTTCAGCCACAATCTCATATCCGTCACCACCTGATCATTCCTGCTGCGCCCAGTGTGCAGCTTTCCACCGACATCGCCGATCAGCTCAGTGAGACGACGCTCATTTACCGTGTGCACATCCTCATCACTGTCCTGAAAGACAATCTCACCGCACTTCCACTCCTCGAGCACTTGCTGCAAGCCTTCGATGGTCTTCTCGAATTCTTCCCTGGTGTAGATTCCTCTGTCAAAGAGAGCCTTGGCGTAAGCACACGATCCCTGGATGTCCTCAGCGAAGAGACGACGATCCACGTCCAGGGAATTGTTCAATTTCACCAACTCCTCATTGGTCGCCTTGCAGAATCTTCCTCCCCAGAGTTTCTTCTCTTCACAAGCCATCACTAGAAGCACTTGAGCACAACTGAGATTTTCTGCGCTCTCATTGCTCTTTATCAGGCAGAAATTCTCATCATCCAGAGGTTATCTGTTGGTGGAAAAATAACGCCAAGCCGCAAATTCGCCTGAAGTGAGACAAGAGAACTACTCCAATATTTATTTCAATATTATTCACAGGATTTTGTGGTACATTAATAGTAAGTGTACATATAACAGATAAAAGGGTATAGAAACAATCCTTCCTCTCAGTTCACGCTGGGACTGTTGGGTTGGTAGATAAAGTCCTGCGCGTCTGGGTCCTTCTTGGGCTTCTCAGAGTCACTGAGTTGCTGGTAGGGCGGATTGTAGTGATTGATGGGCTTGTTGTAGATGCCCAGGCTCTGCTGCAGTTGCCATTGGCGAAGAGCTCTCTGCGTCTTGGTGCGCCGGATGGTCTTGGCCAGCATGAAGGCACAGATTACTCCGAGGATCTGCAATGAAAAATGACTTGAAGGCTATCTCAAGAGCGAGGAATTGATGGGGTTGAGACCTGAACAAAGGCGACCGTTGTTGCTCCAGTGGCAATCAGCATGGCGCTCTGGGAAATCACAAAGTTCATCTGGTTGAAGCAGCCGTCCGTGAACCAGGCGCACTCTGTCTCGTGCTCGCCTGGGAAGTGCAGCTCACAGCAGGATTCAGGCAGAACGATCTCTTTGGAGCTGTCCGTCGTGTTCACCGGAGCCAGAATGCCCTCCCAGTCTTCGCGTCCATTCACACCGCAGCACTGAAGAGCGGATTGCATGAAGTCCACGGCCTCACGCACGTAGTTGTTCTCATTGTACTTGTCCAAAGACTTGAACATGGTGCGCATGAGCATGTCAGCCACCTGGCCTTGGAGGACAAACGCAGAGATCGCAGCAGCAACTTCTAGGACGAAGATGACGGCCAAGAGCACGCCATACACGTTAATCATGAGGGTGCTTTCCTTAACGGCTCCCACGCAGCCGAAGATGGCCACGACCAGGAGGATGAACCCAATAGCCACCAGAAGGCTGGGCGGTGACATAAAGTGGTCATCGACGAAGATGTCGAATTCATTGAAGATCGTTTTAATGGTCAATCCAACGGTGATCAGGAGCACCGAAGTGAGCTTCAGGAGGAAATGAATAATCTCAGTACACTTGTGAAATACTTTCTCATACAATGTTATCAGTATTCGCCATGGTTTTATTGTGTTTTTAAGGCATATTGCAATAACTTGGCACGACTTTGAGTCACGCTGATAAATTTCCACTCAAAAATCCTTTAAAATATCACACATTTTTAGGAAATAAATTCAACTATTTTATTAAACCACTGCCAAATTGAGGATTTTTGTCTGGGTTTTCCTGGAAAAACTGTTCAACAACAATACGCAATCGAATCGCTATCACTGAGCTGTGATAAGACATTATCGATGAGTTGGACTCTATTTCAGTTGGAAAAAGTATGTTTCAGCGCTCAATTAGACGGTGTTGTCCACTGAATTATTAAAGGACTTGCCTTGTAAAAACTGCACTTGAATATTGATTATTTCCCTTGGGGCTCTTAGAACGCCCATGACTCAAGGTTGAGACGGAATAATGCGTGTTTTCACACAAAATCTACTCACGACAAACATAAAGTTGATGACAAACAGCATGTACTTGATGCAGCGCATCCCAACGTTGAGATTATTTGAATTCGCAGTCATTTTTTCTGCTTATCTAATCCGACCTGGACAGAGAATGGTTTTCGCGTTCGCCACTAAATCCCACTAATAGCAACACTTTGTCTTCACACCAACTGACTCTGTGCAACCACAGGTAAGCACTTGAAGGTGGCGAAGTGGCAAAAGCCTTATCATATCTTATCTCAGCGAGCACCTCGTCTTTCTCCGCACAACCTCAGCTCCAGTTCCAACTCGGCGACTGAGCCGAGCTTCAACGCAAACCACCCAAACGACCACGTCGAGAACAAACACTCGCGAACGCGCAAGTGTTGGCACCTGTGAATTCAATAACTGGTGTGGGAAAACGCTGTGCGCTCGAATCACACCTCTGCTATCAGAAAAGTATGTGCTCCCATTGTGGCCCTGATAAAAAAAATTGATGTTTGAGCTTTACGCACGACAATGGGTTTCATTCGCTTCACCATTTCATCCAGCCAAATTAACTTAATTGTTCCCCAAGAAGAGTTATTTCCCAAGTTTCCCAAAAGCTTTCATAAGAAATATGAAACTCTATACAAAATTCATGAAGAAGGCAAATCCAAGTAAATATCGAGACTTAATTTACTGGGGGTTTGAAAAGAATTTTCTATTAATGCGCAATAAATTTCATTTCACTATAGTGCCCTTGGCTGGAATTAAGCGCTATAAATGATGCCTAGGTCAGCGAAGAGACTCCATTTAGAACTTGAGGCATGTGACAAATTTTAGAAAAAGTCGCTAAAGTAATTCTCTGAAGTCCCTCCCATTCGAAAGCCCCGCCCATTTCGATCCAGAAATATTCCCCTTCACAGCCAACAACGCAACGTTGTGAAACCTTATCTGAAAAATGTTTCTGAATCACACTTTTCAGATATTAAATCGCCATAAAATTTCTGTGAAAAAACAGTCCAAATATCAGTTGAATCACATTTATAATCCACGTTTATTATCTCTGTCGCATTAACACGATCAATTTCACCAAAAGAATTTTTCAATGAGCTTCGCTCTTACCACAAAATTTTGCTTTGCATTCTGAAAATCGAAATAGTGTAAACCTAAGAATTACCATGAAGATGTAGAATTTCTTTTATGCTTCACTGCCTGAGCTGCTGAATAAATTAAAAGAGAATACAGTATTTGCAAGAACAAAACCTCACACTCAAAGATTTTGCTACTGAAGACAACCTCAAACAGCTTCAGGCTCAGAAGCCTGAGTGGCCTCCTTGTTTGTTCTTGATCTGCCTCGCGAGGTAGCAGGCGAAGAAGATGCCGATGAATTGGATGATGCAGATGGCAATTCCGGCCGCTCCTAGACTCACAGCGTGCGCCATGATGTAAGACGAAAATCCTGAAAGGCATCCTTGGGCTCGGTCACCTAGCCGGGCATCCGTGCACTCGAACGGTCCCATTTGTCCTTGCGGGATTTCGCAGCAGGACATCGGCAGAAGCTTCTTTTCTGTGTTATTAGCAACTTGCGTCCAGTCTGTGGAATTGTGAACGCCACAGCATTCGTACTATGGAATAGAAATAACGATGATCAGACGAGAGCGACTCAGACTCATCCTAAAATACTCACTTTCTGCTGAATAGCGTCCCAGAGACCGGTGGTTCCTGTAGCCGCTGGGTTATTGTTCACAAAGTCCTGCATGCTGTCCCTCAAGCTTCGTTCCAGAAGAGCCTCAGTTTCATTCCTCAGAACATATCCACTGATTCCGGCTGCCAGCTCCAGGATGAACACCAGCACGAGCAGAATAGAGAAAGTTAGGACCATGCAGTAATTCTCTCGAATAGCGCCCTGGAAAGATCATTCTAATATTAGAAGTGTGCTCTAGTATTAATTACTTGACAGTATATTTGGAGTACTTTATTGACAAAAAATAGAAAAGAAAGAAATATCTCAAGTGGAATACCAAGTAATCAGAGCTCTCATCGCTGTTACAATCACTTTATCGGCTCTATCGAGGTGAAAATTGTACTTACGTAGCATCCGAAGAAAGCGATGATGAAGATGATGATTCCGATCGCGATGAGGAAGGCTGGAATGGCGAAGAATCTGTCCTCCAGCAAGTGTTCATAGCTGAAAAATGCTCCTTGCACGGCCAAACCAATCGACAGGAGAATTATGCCCGTGATCTGCAAAAGAAAAATCCCCACAATAATTCCGTCAGCGCGCATTTCACTCTCCTTTATCTTATCACATCGCGGAGCTTTGTGCTGGCCAGAGAACAAAAAAAGCACCTTTCGTGTGATGATCTAAATAAATTACTAACACCGCGCGATAGGATTGGCATTGTTGATTCACCTCAGAAGCTCTATATTAATTAGCAAGTCGAGGGTGAAAATATTGGCATGCTCCTGACAAATACGTGGGGAAAACCTTGACTTTCCGCCTCAGCGTCAGAGTCAACATGGAAAACTTACCACAAAGAGGAAATTAAATATGAAGAGTAGATATTTAATAACGTTGTCGCCACCAGATAAGAGAGTCATCTTGGCTGTTTTTGCGTGCTTCTTCCCTCCGAGTTGCCTGACAAATCCACCACTGTGTCACCTAAAAGGCAAAGAAAGCTCGTTATCAAGCGCTAAGCCAGAAGGTTTATCAATTGGAATTTCTGTGCTCTCCGTCTAATGTCCATGATCTTTTGTGTGACTGCAAAAATGCCCTAGAAGTGGCCTTTGAGTCATTAATTTGCTTTGCAAGAATTCTTGTCCATCACTCGGCATTGAAATCAATCAAGTGCGGTAAATCGATGGAATTTCACTATTCTTGTTCTTTCTTGGTTTTGTGCAGAACATTTTTTTTCTATCTTTCCTATTAGGAAATCAAATACACTTTCACATTAAAAGCCATTCAATTGATGCTGTTCGTAATCTCAATACAAAGTGAAACATTAATGAGTATTTTTCTTCGAATTGATAAGGCTATCATCTGATATCATCTTCAAACAACAATATTTCTGTCCTTGAGTGAAGAATTGTGTCTCCATTTAGGGGTTGATAAACCCTACAAACTGTACCACATTTAGCATATTCTCTTCATAAACACCGACGACATCCGACGACATACTTTTATCATTCACATTTCCATTTATATAACCAACTAGTTTGCGAATAATAGTGGAAAAAAAATTTAGGCATTTCTGCATCGAAAACAGTCAAAGTGTTTTCAATTGGGAACGATTACGTTTCAAAGGTCGCGAGTTCAATTGAATGAATCTGTGAATCGATCACTGGGATTAATGAGCTTCTCCGTTCTACTCATTTGCCTGATCAAGATGTTCACGCACATGTTGCAAAGTGACGTGGAAAGTCTGGCGACATGTGTTCTTTCTCGTGAATGGGGGAAATTCATGAAATTCACTATTTCTGTAAACAATTTTATTCTCGTCTCTTATTTTCACTTTCAATTACGGAATTTGCACCTCATATTAGTTACTTTTCATCATCAAATAGACTGTATTTCTGCTCTTATCATCGCCTTGATAGCAACAAAGCCCGAATTTTTTTTCACTTTATCACAAAATCATTGAACAAAAATCGAGGAATTTTCGAAGAACATTTTCTTCAATTAGAGTCTAATGGCTTTCCACGAACTGTCGCAGTGTCTCACCTTTCTTTCACGCGTGTTGCAACAAACTATCCAAATTGGGGAAAAGATGAGGAAAGACCAAACTTTTCCGCGCGATCCGCTCACACGTGATGTTACTTTCAGACTGAACAATTTCCTCGCACTGACTCAACGGCTGTCTTCGATAAATGTTCCGGAAAAGGGTTGGGCAGGTACCAAAGTTTCAGTAAATTTCATGTCGAACGCATTGTTCCTCTTCAATTTCAATAATAACATCGATATTTGTAATAATTTTCACAATTCTATTGCAATAATAGAGTCTCTGCTTCAATGCCTCATTCCGAAAGGCGGGAAGCGATGGAAACCATTTAACAGCGTGATTATTGAGTCTCTCCTCCGCAATGGGCAGATGGCGCGCTGGCTGACGAAGGGCAAAATCATAGATTTGCTGCAGAAAACATACGCGAGGGGCGTTTCAGTCTAGGAGTGTTGATTTTGTTTGGGTCGGTATTCCTTCGACGCTGCAGCAAATATCAGTTTTAATTGGTGTTCTCTCGAATAATTCAATTAAATAATTCACCAGCGCTCTCGTAAAGTCATTGACAGTCAGGTGAGTGTGGAAAATGTGCGGGAAATCGCCCGCTTTCGCGTTTTCCCGCGGGGCCCCCATGTCTGCACAGGGCGAGACTCTCCTTATCATCAGCTGCAATTCTCAAATGGCTCTTGTTCAGTGAAAGAGCAATAATTGCGGAGAAACCGAAATGATTCTGCACGCTCCGCAGCGCCCCAGTGACTCGTGATGGTGTTTTCTCCGAGGAGACGCACTCGCCCGAGGAACCACCCCAAAATTTCACGCCTCTCCAACCCTTACTTAATATCTATCGATTTTTTTTCACATCATTTTTCGACAGATTTCCCTGAAACTCTCGAGGGAATTGCACATATACACACACTTTCCACCTCGATTTCCCTCGAAGAATGTTTTTCTAATTGCAATTACACTCAGTGGATGGCTTTTGTCTTCCCACTTCTCGGGCCCTCAATGCTGTTCCCCGTTAATCCGAGAGCAGCAGAAATGCGCTGACCCTTTTCCGCCGTCTTTGTGCTCCAAGCCAATGTTCGCGCTCCGCAGAACATTCCGCGGGAGGTGCTCTTCTGGTGGCTTTGCTCTGTGCCAGAGAAAGAAAAGGTGTGCGATGGTGGAAAACTCTGCAGTTTGCTCGACTCCCCAGCAAACTGCCTTCTTATGACGCTCTGACAGCATCTTGAAGGATAATCCTGTGCTGTCATAGCAAGGATTGCACTCAGACTTAACTTCAGAAGCGTTATTTATCAAATTCTAATGGTTCTTGCTAGAAATTGGGCGTCGAAAGCAGTATTTTCCAATATTTTTACCAATATTTTAATTGAACATGTTTTTAACTTTGACCTAATAATCAATCAATTACAATATAATCTTCTTTTTGAGTTATTCGGTCCTAAAACTTACTGGTTTTTATTTCAAATTTCGCACTCCCAACAAAGTTGCATTACTGGAAATCGATTAGAGTTTACATAACACTTGTCATTAACCCAGGTCAGGCAAGCATACATTATTATCTACTAATATAAGTGCCTTAAGAAATTAAAAAGCTGGTTTTCACAGAGATTTGGGATTTCTTGCTGTGCTCGTTTCTGGTGAAGGCCGGGAAGTGAAGCGTGGCAAGACTCTGGATTGCGTATTCTGAATCACTTCACTCGATCAAATTTAGCGGATTACGCTATTGCTGTTCATTGGGCACTAGATAAGAAATTGCCGGGGCTTGATAAGAGCGCTTCGTGACGATTGAATTGTTGGGGGAATTGAAGAATGCTGATTTACAATTGAGAATCCATCTAAGTTGTGCAGTTTGTGGTCTGTGGCAACGATCTTATCATGTCTGCCTGCTTTTTTTTCCTCTCATATTCATCCACTTTTTCAAGCGCTCTCGCCTGTTTATTACTTACTCTGGCCTTCTTATCGGCTGTTTACTGGTTGGCAGAGAGAAAATGAATTATAAGTAAGAATATAATGCAATTTATGTGCTGTCGATACGCGACCACAAACAGGGTTAATTTATTCATAAAGTGCGGGGAGAGATTGAGTCTCGGAGATCGATTTGATGGAGTGGAAAATCCAGAAACGGGTTAATTAATTAACCCAGAGGACTTGACGGGGAGTCTCTCGGACATTCTTCCCGTTCGGACGCATTCCTGAGCCATCGAGTGTTTATTGTTGGGCCAGGAGGAGCCAAGAAATGGATTGTGGCGACTATCATTTTGATGGCATTGCGTGCCTCTCTTCGGTCATATAAAATAATGTATAGATGTGCCACGAGGGACCCACTCATTTCCTCTCTCTCACACCTGTGCGCGCGCGACGTTGGTGTGTATTTTTACCCCAGCACAGATCAGGGGTGCAAGAAGTAGGAAATAAATAATTTTTGTACAAGAGTTCCTGGGCTGTTGAGCGCGCGAGGGTGGGAGTGAATGTTGGTAAATAATCAATAACTGAGCCTTTTCTGTGCTCTTACAGGTGGAAAAGGAAGAGCCCCGACAATCTCTCACTCCATCGCGTTGAGATTGATTCATTACAGTCTAGCTGGGAATCGTGTTATTTAGTGATTTCCTTGCTGTTCGCGGGGAAATTCTGCAATTCACCCTGAGCAAATTCACTCCCGATCGAATGTGGGTCACAACCTTTCCTCCTTCCTTGTTGCTTGAGCCACAATTGGGGCGCGCGTACCTTGGTCTTATGCCTGTAGTGTTTGTTGGTTGGTGGCGGAAAAAAGGGGGAAAGTCTCATTTATTCAGGCAGTCATCAGCGAAAGGGGAGCAAAATGTGCCGAGCACTGCGAAAACTGTTGAATTATGAATAATGTCAGTGTTCAAATGAGGGCAATCTATCTATTTTCCTTGTCTTGCAATCGCCAATGGGACAAAGGAATCCGCCAGGGTGATTTCAATCGAGGTTATAGGGTTAACAATCCTCATAACTTCCCCTCTGTCTCATCAAAAATGGATTTTTCCTGCTTCGACTAATGAAAGTGTATAACTTTTCCGTTTCAGGACTTGAAGTGGAGATTTAACAACAGTGTGAGCATTTCAATAGTGGTGAAGCGTTGAAAAGAAAAGCAGCAATGGCTTCGTGTGGAATAATTTGCGTCAAATACTTGATGTTCCTCTTCAATCTTCTCTTTGCCGTGAGTATTGAAGCATTGTGAGATTCTCCGCCATTTGTATGGTGTATGAGTGTGTCTAAATTGTCTTATCAAGAAATGTTGTCTGCAGAGTTAACATGGAATGTAAAACAAGTGGAATAGAGTGTTCAAACATACACTCAATTATTTGACTTTGGACGAATTTATCACTGTTTACTCTTTCGTTTTCGAGTATGTTTTGAAGGTAAAATAGAGAACGTTTCTTGTCATACTCCTTTTTTGAGATTATTCTGCGTGGATAAAAGACTTATGGTTAAGTTGATTAGTTTCACATAAGCTTACGCAATACAATTCGTCCAATTCCTCATCGTATTATCATGTTTAGAGACTTTCTTTGGAGAGCCTTTGATATGTCTCAGCTGGAGATTCTGCTTCAGCATCTTAATTTGCATAAAGAGTCATCATCATGGTTCACTTAAATAATCAAGAAATTATGCCGAGAATTCCGTGTGTTGATGTGAGAATGGAAATGGATGGTGTTGTTTTTTCATTCTACAATTTATCTCTGGTCATTGTGGTTGAGAGAAGAATACTGTGTGGCGAATTTCACAGACAGTGCGGGAAAGAATTCAAGTAGAGGAACTCCAACAGGTGCTTGACGGTGGAATTACCTTCAATTTTAATCGAATCACGTGAGAGGAAACATCAAAGCGACAGAATAATTGTTGTTCGTGTTTGATGGGAGGGAAGGAAATCAGAGAAAATGAGTTGAATATCTAATTATGCTGTGATGGAGAAATGTGTTTGTGTGGAAGGCTGATAAGAGAGATTGTGCCTTCTAACCCACTTTGCTCGTCTCTTGATCATTTCAGCTCACGGGTCTTCTGATTCTGACCGTTGGGGCAATCATTCAATCATCCTACAATCACTACTCCAACTTTGTGGGTGAGTGTCGCGCGCAGTCTTTCTCCTATCAAAATTCCATGTCTCATTGGTGTTCACATCATCAATTGCAGATCACACAATTTGGGTGGCACCAATTCTACTCATCATTGTCGGATCAATTGTCTTCATTATCGCCTTCTTTGGATGCTGTGGCGCCGTGAAGGAGAACTCATGCATGGTGTTGACCTTCTCTGTGTTCCTCATCATCATTTTCCTGCTGGAAATTGGCATTGGCATTGCTGGATATGTGAAACATGGGCAACTCGAGGACATCTTGGAGAAAGGCTTCAACTCCACGCTGCACAACTATGACAAGAACGTGGATTCGCAGCACGCCTGGAGTCTGATTCAGAGTGAGTTGAAGTGCTGCGGCATTCAGGGACCTTCGGACTGGCAACAAGTATTCCACAACACCACTCTGCCCACATCGTGCTGCATCGAGATGCCCGTGAATGTGAATCAGTGCACGAAGGAGTTCGCTATGAAGGATGGATGCATGCCTGAACTACTCGCCCTGCTGCAGAAGAACGCTCTGATCCTGGCTGGAGTTGGAATTGGAATTGCCGTGGTGCAAGTATGTCAATCTGAAAATATGACGCAATCCTGGTCTTATCAACATTTCCTGCTCTCTTTCCAGCTGCTCGCCGTCTGCTTCGCTTGCTGCTTGTCCAGAGCATTCAAACGAAACTACGAGGCGGTTTAAAGGTGGCGAAGGCGATGGAGGTGGAATTATCTCACGTGAAGAATTCAATATCATTGTAGTCACGCTGGAATTCTCGAATGAATTCTCCCGTGAGAGAAGGTTGGGTGAGGAGGGAAAAGGACAATTTTTTGGAATCTTGAAACATTTGCAGCTACGCATTTTGCTCTTGTAATGAACCATCTTTCAGAGGATGTCGCGAACTATTTGGAATATATCTTTGAGAGAATCCTTTTGATGGAAATTTAACCGTCTTTTTTTTGGTAGAATTGAGAGAAAGCGGTACGATTAGTTTATCTATTGGAATTGAAAGGATATATTTTGCAAATGTTACATATTTATACATCGCACCTTATATTTGATAGATATTTTATCGTATTAAGCTTGGAATTTATTGAATTTGCATTGAAGAGCTCTTCGGGTTTATCAGAAGCACCGGAAATCCTTCTTTTATTCCACAAAACATTTACACAGAGAGAAATACATTTAAGATGGCAATTTCTATTTATTTGTGATAAGGACGACTTTTTAGGTGTATATTTATTAGTTCTGTACATCACAACTGGTAATTGGGACCATTTTTGCACGGGACAAGCATTTTTGAAGCATGAAAATGTTGAAAAACTCTGAAAAGACTATAATTCAGTCCATTTTTTTTTAATATTGATATAAATCTTGAGTATAAGAATTAATGCATAAGTTGAGCTCTTCATTATTGTGAACATTGATTTTAATGTATAGTTCTAGTCGAGTAAGGGTTCTTTTATATATTTGTGTACCTATTTCAATGGCAGGATAAATCATTTATTTACAGATTATTTGAGTTTCTCACAACATCAAAAGAAATACCATGAAATATGAAATACAAAAGCAGGAAAATATCATAATATTTTCTCAGGGTGTTTTTGATATAAGATTATACACATGAGAAAACGAATTTTTGAAAACCATACATTTTGAATTAACACTTTAATGGGAATTTGAGTTGATTTTCTAATCTTTGTTTTGTCTTGCAATTAAGCATAAGTATAATCAAGCTTTTTGAATAAAATGTGAAATGATATTTGACATAACTGAGGAATATCGTGCCTCTTTTGTAAGCAAAACAATTTTTGTAGGTGGAAAGGAAAGTCAAGAGAGCAATTTTTATTGGTAATCACACAATATACAATTCAAGTACATGTATTTTATCCACTTATAGACAGTTTGACGTGTAATCAAACGAAGTAATGTTTAAGATGAGGGAGAATAACTCATAATAATGGAAATAATCTGTCCACATATTGATGTTCATTTTAATCTTGTGATTAAAGTATAAGACAAAATCTCATGTTTTGCACTGATTTCTGAAGGAAAAGCAAAAGAATCTTTTTGAGTGGAAAATCTCTAATGATATGAGGCTTATTGGCGAGGTAATTTTGACGAAATGGTAAAGTTAAATTCTCAATTTTTCAATTCATCTCACAAACTCATGTTAATCGTAATCTTTATATACTGTGTAAAATTTTATAAGGAGCATTTTTGGTGTAAATTTATGTGTATTATATCCATATAAATAAATATATCCCTACACAGAAAAAAGTCTTGCATTTTAGACAAAGTTTATGAGCGAGAACTGATTGGAATATTTATGGAAATATTGTGTCTTATCTCAACAATAGAAAGCACGAATATATTATTAATGTACTTTGCCTCATTATTTTCAATTGAAGTGCGATTTCAACCTTGATTTTAATCCTCTGCAGATTCTCATGGAAGAGAATGAAGATTGATTGAAATTTTGTACTGCAATTTCTGGGGCGAGATCAGCCCATGAAGCATATTTCATTTATGTTTCGAAACACAACGGCGTTCGTATGAATTCTTAATTTTTCATTATTAAACACTTTGAGATGATCAACTTGGAAAATGTCAATGTATTCTTTGATTCGGGACACTAAATTGCTGTAAATAAGAATGAAATAGTTGAATTATATTGCTGAAACAATTCTGAAAATGAGAGAAAAGTCTGAAGAGAGTTAATTCTATCGCACACAAAACCGCGCTTTGCGAGAACAATCGAGAATTCTCGGTGAGTCGTGATAGTGAACGCATGCAGGAAGTAGTGATATGACGAAGTCAACCTGGAAAAGTCTAGTGTAAAGCGCGATAAGGCGCGCGCGGTGCAAAAGTGGAGGTTATTTCATCATTTTAAGCAACATAGCGCGCCTGTGTCCCGCAACGTGCTGCGCATCGCGCGCGCACTTGATCGATCGTCCAATCGCGCGAAGCCACACAGCGCGCCAATTAAAGGTCAGGCGCGAGACAAAAGAGCCAAGAGATGCACTTATTGTGGTCCTTTCACTTTCGGGTCCGAAATCTCTGGCGAAATTTGGGAGGCGGGAGATTTATGTGAGGTGCGATTTTGGGTATTTTACAGCTCACTTTGCCTTTCCGACCGTCGGATTTGCATAAGTCTGTCAATTGTACCCGCGGGGGCCCGTGGGACATGGCGGGGGCCACAATGTGTTGGCCAATTGCAAATTTTTCGAGGTGAATCAATGCGGCGAGGCGACGGCCAAACAGAAGCAATTCAGTTCAATGAGACGCAAGACAAAACGCGTTACAGAGAGATCATTTTCGATTTTACAGCTCGCGTCTCCATTCATTCGCACACACAACGTAGCGCAAAATATGTAGCGTAATTTCGCAATTTGCAAATTAACGCAACTTTATTGGTCCACTCGAGTCGCCTTTTTCATGCACCATCAGCGTCGCGTGTTTCAGATAAGCGCTTTTTTTCAACACTTTCACGCTGACAACATTTGCGAATCTTATCGCACGGCTCTTTTCCTGTTACCTTGCAAATATCGCGGGTGTTTTGCCACTTCGCAATCTAATCTCTCTCGAGGTTCTCTGGGCTTCTTTGTTATTTGGGGCGCAAAAAGGACTCGCCTCCCGGCCATTCAAGTGATTTGCATTGTCCAGACCATCCAGACGGTTGTTTTGGAACAAAGACCGTGCGCACGGTGCATCTGCCACTTGAGCAAGGTATATTTTATGCCGGAGGAAAGCTGAAGACGTTCAATAAGAGATTTCGAGCTGCAGCTGCTATTTTTTGTGGCCATCCACGAAAATGTGTACCAATAAACAAAATCAAAGCACTCTTGCATTCTCTCTTCTTCATCGTTCGTCTTCTCTACCCGATGATAGACAGTATCAGGCGTTATAAGAATCATAGACGAATATTTTCGCTAGCGGATGAAATTGGAGAATATCAGCAGACTAGTTAAATTCATCTTGGCATTTCCTGACTTGTTTTAATCTATTTGACGCAACACACGTGCTTTATTTCGCAACTTCGTGGAATTTCCTATTTGCGCCATTATCCATTCCCTGAATGCAGCCCTGGCGCCAATTTCGACGACAACCCGTCGAAACACCGCAATTGCCGCCGAAAAGCCACCCAACGGAGCGCCTCATTTCGACACGAGCGCCATTGCTGCTCGGTGGATTGTTGCGTTGGTCGTCAGTTCAAAAATGGCCGTCATGAAAATCACAAGTGAGATTTTCTGCGCGTTGTTTCTCTGAAAATCCCAGTGTTCCGTCGCCAAATCTCACCTAAAGGGTGGACACCGACGTCAATCGGTGCCTGTTTATTTACGCGGACGAATTCGCCAGTGTCGCAGCTGCTCTTGTGAAACATTATTCGCCTCCATAAAGAAAACAAGCCGAGAAATCGCGTCGCTATCCTTCCTTTAGAAGATTTCTTCTGGATTTTCAAGGTATATTTCATCAATTTCACCAACTATGTGGGTGGATGGGGCGCCTCCCGACGTTGGGGCCACCACGTCAGTGGAGGAAGAGTGCCATTGTGGTTGTGAAGTGGCAATTTTTGCACCCAATCAAAGTGCGCAGTTCCGAAGCAATCTCGGACGCAAGGAGAATTTTGCAAGCCCACCATCGAATTTCACAATGACAAATTATTAAATTACACCCGTGAACGTGTTTGTGAATCAGTGTGTGCTTATGAGGTGGCCTTAGCGGTGAAATAGACACGAGGGACACGAGAGCTGGCCTTCCGGGAGCCCTCCGTGTCCCGGCTTCCCGTGTCGGATCCCGAACCAATTGGCAAATTGCGTGGAATGTGCAAAAAACCAGGCGTTTACATCATCCCAGATCAGTTTTCAACTTCGCACTAAGCGAGGAATATCTATTTTCACACAAACATGCAAATTGTCAGGCCACAGCGATGTACATAGCCGCGTAAATAATGTACTCACCCCATCAAGTGGTGCCAACCGCGCGACTCCACGCTTCTGCTAAATGATCCCGAGAAGGGGACAAAAGTGGAGTTCTTTGTGATAAAAACTACTCTGAGTGAAGTTCAAAAGGTCACTTCTAGTTGATAAGGCTGGAACAAAGCTGCTCAGTTTCAATGACAAACCGGATATTATTATTTTTCTTAGTAGAACCAAGAAACGGAAGAATATGAGTTAAGATTCTTAATGAGTGTTGAGTGATTATTGAAAAAGAAAACACCACGAAAGTGATTTCTAACTTTCTAGCCTAGTGTCTTAGAAGATTGCTAGTTGTTCTAAGTTTTTTAAGGTAACATTAAGGATTTCACAGGTTATTCACCTTTTGAAGTGATGTTTTAAGAAGGTTTGACTTAGAAAGACTGAAAAAATTACAAAAAACATCTTATAATAAGTTAAGTTTAGTTCTAAAGAGTTTTCAAAGTTTTCAATTGATATTTGAGAAATTTCAATTTTCTTCACATGATTTTCCTAAAAGATTTATAAGTTCCGAAAAGAAATTAATTTGTAAAAATTTATTGAGAACTCTGCTCTATTTTCTAAGACGGTTTTTATGAGGCCGAAATCTTATTTTCAACTTAACCGAGTCAGATGTAATAGTGCGATAATTCACTGTGAGATTAATTAGTCTCCACTAAAGTGTAATAAATCTATTTGTACTTCCTTGAATTATTAGACAAACTTTGCTAATTTTTTTCACCATAAAGTCCATCCAACTGGATATTTCCTGATTGTATAAATTGCTTGGAAGCGCGCAAAAACGATTTTGCAAAAAGCTGACCTTTGAGCATGTGGCAGAAATGACTTCATAAAAATATGTATTTCAAGATCGTCAAAATCGTAAAGGAATTTTTTGACTTTTATCAGCCGCTAAATCGTAAAAAATGCAGTAAACTCACTACGTGAGTGGCATTACTGGCGGAAAAGCGCGTAGTTTGGTGTGTGAAGTGGAGAAAAAAAAAGTTTCATGCTAGATTTTTGAGTCTTATCACAGCGCCAAGGTTAATCGAAAACCTGATAGAGGGAGAGAGAGAGAGAGAGAGAGAGAGAAGAGGGAGGGAAACAGTGAGAGATATAAGCGTTTACGTGCCTGAGAGTGGGCAATAAAAAAGAAATTATTTGCAAAATGATTTTGCGTTGTTCGTCGACTGGTAGAGCGCAAGGGGCTCATTAAAAAAAGATGAGGAGCAGAGGATGAAGACGAGGAGAGTGACGAAAAGCTTTCCTGTCTTCTTGTTTGTTTAAACCGGAATAGCAAGCAATATTGGCAAAGGAGTGGCTAAATTTAGATGAGTTGTCATCAACGGGGGAGAGAGAAAAGAGTAAACACAAAGGCTCGCACATTCCGCGCGATTTTTCTGTGTCTCTTATCACTGATTTTGTCTAATTTCCCTTACTTTTGTTCTTTGCAGAGAAAATCTTTTGATGCCTCACCCTGCAACGTCATCTGGCCAAACTCTTTCTGGATTACGTCTCAACTAACAGCACTGAATTTTATGCCCACAAAGAGCTCCGCAAAGTTTTAATAATAATTTTGAAGATCATCTCGCATTGAAAGTACAAAAAGGAGTGGAAGTGAATTTGGTTTTTTTTTTATTGCTTACTTCTTAAAAAATATATTTTTTAATCTAATTCACGTCTAAATGCTCAAATCATGCTTAAATCTTTACTATATGTGAATTTATGTTAAGTTTCCTGTATAAGGAAAATCGCACTTGGACATCATCGAGCCATTTTTGTACGAGGAGGAAGAATATTGCACGCATCATTATTGTTAAGGGGAGGGAAGGAAATATTGTGAAATTGGGGGTTTGAGTGAGTAATAAGGGTGTGATTTCGTAAGTTTACAAAATACGCTGCATTGTGCAGAGGACAGAGATCTCAGTGGTGATCAAGCAGTGGGTAGTCAGTCAGCAGTGAGTGGTGAACGGAGTAGGAAGTTTGTTGTGATCAAGTGAATTTTATTTTACAATATGGATACAACTTTTCGACCGATGGTGCCGAATGCGTTCAGTCGCATGGCGCCGGCGAACAAGCCGGACGAGGCGCAGGTGGGCCAGGCCGCGAGTGGGGAGCAGAAGAAGTGCTTCCACCATCGGCTGTCGCACTGTGGGCGCTTCCCCATGCACACGCAGCAGTGCCAGCAGCGGGTCATGCGAGTGCCGGCCGCCACGAATGCCAATGCCGAGGCGGAGGGCGCTGGAACTGCTGCAGTTCCATCCGGGGTCCTCCTGCCGCCGGCCAATGCGGCCCTGCTGGCCGAGCGCTACCTTCTGCTGGATCTGGTGGACGGCGGCTCGCTGTACAAGTGCGTGGACGTGAAGACTCACGAGGAGCTGGTGTGCAAGGTATGACAAATGCACTGTTATCACAATTCTCCCACTATCAACTCGCTGCATTCCTCTCTCACGAGCCAGAGGCATTAGTTTGCGCCGCGGAGAACTCAGAACTTTTCCACAAATAGTCATTTATCATAACAATGTGTAAACAAAGTGGCGATTCTGTTCGATCATGAGATCATTTCACAGGCATTTTCTCAGCATAAAAAGAGATGTGTTGCAAAATTAATTTGCAACGGAGAATGCATCGATATTGCATTGATTTATTCAATGCCTTTTGACCTCAAACTGGCGAAGGCGATTACTTGACAAACATTTGTGATCTTTTTCACCTCAGCCATAGGAAAGCCTCTTGTGATAAATGTGTGTGTGTGTGTGTGTGTGTGTTTCATTGAATGACGTGGTGTGTCTTCCTTTGAAGCGCTATGCCCACGTGGTGATTCACACGTTTCTCCATATATGTGACGCATAATTTCGAATGTTTTCAATTGCCTTGATAAAAAACACACACACGCGATGACTTGTACATAAGAATTTCCTCAGATTATGAAAGAGAGATCTCGAGACAATGGACTTGGGGGATTTTCCGTGGTTGTGTATTTGTGCAGTGACGTTACTAGCTGTTATGTGTTGATATGACAAAATCACGGCTAATTGATTAGTATGGCCAGAGAGTCTTTTTCCTTCTCTGGTCTCATTGTTCAATTAAGAGAGACTTGGAAATATATTTCACAATTTTTTTTTATTTATTTAAAAATATTTAGAATGACGATACAGTGTCGGGAGAGCTTTACGACACGTCTTTCGCTTAAAGTGATATCAAATGCCTTCGAGCTTATGATAAAGGAAGCACAACACTTAAATGACAATTATCTTCGTATCTTTTCACCCTGTGGAAACGTTTTCAGCCACAGACAGAGAAAGTTAGTGTAATTCTAGAATGGAGAAATCAAATAAATTGTTTTTCTCCTTATCACACAGTTGTAGAATAAACTTGTGGATAAATGTTATCTTTTTAGCTCTAGAGTGCCGTGGTTTTTGGTCTCTTTTGTAACGCAAAATGTTGAAATTCATTGTTGTTTAGAATTCGTGTTTTTCATCGGTTTATTTCCAGTGAAAAATGTAGTGTAACCGCACACTGTCTTTTATATAATGAATTTTCCGACCATTAAATGGGGGAAATTGCTGAAATATCCACAAAGTGGGCTAACAATTGTCGCTGCATTTAGCAAAATGCATTGCGAGAAAGCCTGAGAAGTTTTTCACAACTGATTAATCTTGCAGTGGAAATCAGACTGAAGGTCATGAATGCACGATAAAGAGGCCATTGGCGCTTCTGGAGTTGAAATTGCGTTGGGTGTTATGTTTGAGAAAATTCCAATATATGCCATTGTTGTAAATATTGACTCGAGAGGAGGATTCGTCTGTAAAATTTCTTCACCGCCACGAGATTAGAATCTGTACTTTGCGTGACTGTGATGTTTATTTTGTTGAGCGGAAGCTTGCAAGCTGTGCAATTTAATGGGGTGGACTTTTTTTTAATGAAATTAAGGACTTGACACTCAAGAGCTGAGATTGTAGAAGGAAATTTGAAACGATATTTGGTTACGCTTTTGAGCACATTTCCAAGAAACCCCGTCTCAGATGTGCTCTAAATGTTTATTCACGTACATTGTGTTGTTTTGTTCATTAACAACATTGCACTCTCTAGACGCAGGCTCTCAAGGGGCGCTTGGCTTATGGAAAAATCATTTATTTGGACAGTGAGAGAGATTTGAGGTGATGATAGTGTTGAAAAACGACAAACGACTTTCAATGAGTTGTTTTAATTAATTTTAATTGGAATATTAAATTGAGGGTATAAAAATCAAATGATTTATATCAAGAGTATTGAGTGTGTTGTTGCATGCAACATGCAATAGAAAGTCCAGCATAATCTGTGGAATTGATGTTGATCTCAGAGTTCACACATTTCTCTCTGTTTTCTGTGCATTTTGCAGATTGCGAACAATCCCTGCTCAAATCTGCTGACGGCCCATTTTCGCCTCGATGGACACCCACACATAAATCCACTGCAGAAAGTCATTCAAGGATCCAATCAGACTTATCTCTTCTTCACGCCGTCACAGGTAAGGCGAAGAAAAAAGAAACACACACAAAGAGAGACAGAAGAAGACTGTGAAATGATGTGTGGGAAAAGTGGATCAACAGCCTCTTGCCAATTGTTGTCTTTCTAGGGTGATCTCCATTCCTACGTGCGCGTCCGCAAGCGTCTCCGTGAAGTGGAAGCACGACGTTTGTTCCGACAAATGTGTGAAACGGTGAAAGCATGTCACGAACAAGGGATCGTTTTGAGAGATCTCAAGCTTCGAAAGTTTATTTTCGCCGATGAAGACAAGTGAGTACAGAGATTTATCAGAGTCTTTATTAGTCATGGGTTAATATGTTAATGAAGCATCGCACGTGCGTTGTTTCCGCTAGAAAGAAAAAAAAAGAAAAAAAATATAGAAGTATTTTATATCGGACGCATGTGTCACTCCTCGTGAGTATTTGCTCATATTTCGTAGTTGCATAAATTATCACAGTCTGGAGGAGAAGTGTGTTATTCTTGTTGAGGGAGCGTGACTTGGACATATTGTGGGTCGCCAAGAGGAAGTGGGAAACGGGTTATTCTTTCCCGCTTCCCATCACAATCGCAATTCGATAAGAGTCTTGATCCAATTGATTGCCAATCGAGCGATTACATCGGCTCGTGGCTTGTGTAAAATACAAGTTTTGTATTTTCCATTTGGAAAATGTGCAATAGAAGAATTTCACATGTAATCAACTTTGGCCGATGGAGGTTGTTTGGAAAGGGATGTTATTATGTAGTATTTGTGGGCAATTTTAGTGAGGAAAATTGGAAGGCAAAGGGAAAAATATGAGGGCAAAAATGTATAGAGTCAATTAATTCACACACAATATTTCGAGCAATTGCAAGTGTGGCGGCTTTTTTCTGCCGCTAAACTATTAATAAAGGTTTGTTTGACACCATTTTTCGTGGCGACGCTGTGTGTGTGTGACTGTGCAATGAAATCTCTTAAACAAAATATTCCGAAATAGACAATTTCCGCAATATTTGAATTAAAAGCTGTTACTCACCTTATTGCACATGTTTCAGCGAGATATGTAGACAGTGTTGGTACAGTCGGTGTGTGTTGGGAGTTGAATGGGGCGAGAGAGTTGGATGTGTGGTAGTTTAATGATGCACACAGAGTCGTGTAACATAAAGTAGTTGGTGTTTAGAGGTTGATTTCTTCACGCATATTGCATTAACTCTATCATCTTTCAATTTTCGAGAATGAGCAAGCGAGCGAGAGAGTGAGACATTGTGAATGTTTCAATGAATGGCAAAAGTGTGTAGAAATATGCGTGCACATAGTCAGTGAGAGAGAGAGACATTTAATCCTCCTTTTTCTCAAGAAATTATATATCTTTTTATGCAAAACACACTAACTCGCTGAAAAATAACTTGTTTGATGATGAAATGAAATTGAATACTATCTCATAACCTTCACCAGTGGCAACAACATTGGCAACAACTTCTTTTTAGTATAATTGTAATACATTTTCCACTCTTTTTCTCTCTCTCTCTCTCTCTCCCATCGGATCTAGTGAAGTTTTCATCAAAGGACATAACAGTGTGTCTTGGTGTTTTTGGCTAGTTTTGCCACTTGTAGTTTAAGTATTTCATCTACAATTTCAATTTCAATTGCAATTGTAATGTTGGGTGGTATTGTTAAAAGGTGATTGCTAAATTGGTGTTTCACTATTGGTCACTTTGAGTGCTGTGTGTGACTCTTGCGTTAATTCTTGTCTAGAGTCAATATAAAGTGTCTACATTTAACAAAAGAGAGAAGGAATCAATTGTTAAGAAAAAAAAATGCAAGCATTCGCCAGACTTGTGAAAGGGAGAGAGATCCATTGTGGCAAATTGGGTATTATTTCTTACCATTGATTGAAGATCACAGCGAAAAGAGAGGCATATAAATTCTCTGTCAGGGTCACACATAACTTTTTCGCGCGATCTGGTAATAAATAATGCGTGTAAAAGGTCACAATCGTACTTCTTCTCACATATTGTACTTGATGAAGAGTTTATTTGTTATTTTTCTCCTCACCTTCTATAGTTTTTTTTTCTCTCTTTGCTGTGCTGTTTGATGAAGAGTTAATTATTGCTGTGTGCGCATTTTTATCTTGCACACTCTTGAATACTGATGAGCCACCATGTGCGCGAGGAGAGTTGCAGTAATTTTGAAGGGTGTATGTCGATTGTGTTGTGTTTTTTTTTATCAATACCACATTGCAATTTATCAAAAAACACACACTCATTGCATTTCTCTCTCTCTCTGTGCAAAAGGTATACTAGTTGGAAAAAAGATTGACACGAGGGTATAGAGTAATCGTGGAGGCCCATTGTATATTGAGGTCGTATTGTTACAGACCCATTGAACCGCAGTTTCAAGGTTCCGTTCCAGTTAAAAGAATATTACACACACTCCACATCGCGTAGTGGATAATTCAGCGACATTTGATGGTGGTGAAATGAGAGCGCCGAGAAGGATGAGACAGTCTCTAGATCCTCCTTCGCTAATGGAGATACAATTTGCCCCGAGATCGAAAATGCCATGTTGTCTGTCTGAAGATCACGTTTTCATGCATGATCAGACGGAATGTGATTGTCCTCGCGGTTGTATGTTTTTTTTTCTGGATAAAATTACCCTAAAATTACCTTAGTTCATCGTCTGGCATAAGAATCACGGAGGAGATTATAAAACGTCGTCTTTTTGAACAAAAGGCAGACAAGGCTTAACCTCAAGGTGTTGACTTTGACAATACCCAACTAATTTACAAAAGATTGCAAAATATGGTTACGGAACTATAAATTCAGATAAGTTTTATCAAGTACAATTTCTTCATAATAATATTCTCTCTGGTAATCTAGTGAGTCAGTATGAAAAGTGCTGCTGCTCTCAGTTTAGCTAAGGGAATTTATTATAAACACGATGGGGAAACACTTGAAATGTACATATTTCATATGCGCTATATTGTCATGTGTTTGTGTGCACTTGGTAATTGAAAAGAGTGACTATTTCACAAGGGAAACAATTTAATCATTAAATAATGGAGTGAATATTCCTTACTTGACGCTGTGTATTATAAATTAAATTGGCATTTATTGATTTCAACACACAATCTGTCTCACTGTGCGTTTTCTCTGCGCGTACAAAAGAACGGAGGGAGTCTCGCTGAATGATTGGGTGTTAAATTTCACAAAGGCGATTTAATTAGGGAGTTGCAGATCGCTGTACCGCGCGGCGCTGAGAGAATTTTTTCGTTTAGAGGTTAAAATTCATACGGTGTTGTGTGTATGTGAGCCTGGCACTGAAAGCAATAAATCTTCTTCTACCGAGTGAATTGATTATGAAATAAATCTTTGATTTTTTTCACATCAGTTTTGTGTCTTTCATCATATTATTTTTATTTCTGTAACACTTGTACGGGAGGGGGCATTGCGAAAAGTACGAACGTGTTAAATTTCGATGTTGATCCACACACAGAGTTGAATTCTAGACGCAGAGACGAGAGTTGACGATTTTGACACTGGCGACCTCTGACCTTGATACACATTTTGCAAAACATTTGCATATGGGAATTAGATTGCTCAATAGTTGATTTATTTATCTCTTGCTCTGTGTGTGCCTCTTTTTTTTATATATATATTGTTGAATGAAATATTGCAATGCCGCGAAGTGAGAGACACTCGACAAATGCTCAATATAGTGGCGCGCTTCACTTTTGCGGTGTGCGAGAGAAGAGAGGATATTGAAAAAATATAAATTGAATAATTTTTGCGCAACTGTTATCCGCTGTGACCTCTAAAAAAAAGTAATGTTTCATCGGATTTCCTAAGTTTTTTTTTCCCTCGCGCTGTGTGTGTCTCTCTCTTGAAAAATTTCACGATCACATGGACAAAAGTTATGTACTGGCAATGCGTTAAAAATCCAAAGGCCTTCTAGTTCTTTAAAGCTCAGTATATTATGTGTGTATCTTATTTAATACGAATATGTCAAAATTCACCTTGGTTCAGGGCGTTTTTTCCCTGATTGAGTAATGAGACTTTTGTGCCAGAGCCAAGATTAAAGATGAGTTTTCTTTCGATGTGATGCAATTTGGTTTGTGTCTACATCATTAAGAAAAAGGGTTTCAAATCGGATGCGCGGTGTGTGCAGAAATTGATGGTGTGTGCATGCGTGGAGCGACAGAAAGACACAGAGAGAGAGAGAGAGACAGAAGCCCACATAAATGGTATTGAATTGATTTGATTGATGAAACAGCAAAACTATTAACAAAATTCAAGTTTACCGTATTTTATAATACATAAATCACTCTCTTCGAAAACACTAGACCTCCTGCTATGCTGAGTCGATGTGCGTGTGTTGGTTTTCCCGTGGAAAATTAAGTAGATTTCTGCGCTCAGAGGGTCTTTCAACAGTTGCTTTTCTTTATTATTATAAATTGTCACATATTTTTGTATAGTCTGTGCTTTTTTGTGAATTGATTTGTGTGTGGCGAAAGTCCAAAATATTTATGGATTTTCTGCATTTTCTTTTTGTAATTGTTATTTGTACCTTCCGAAACACCCTCTGCAGAATGTTTATAGTAAAAAAAAAAATGGGGATTAGCCAATTATCGCTGCCTGTATTTGTATAAGTATTTCTTGCAATAATATAATAAATGAACGATTGACATGTGAAATCATTAAATTACATTTGGTGTGACGCAAAACTCATGGGTATGTTGCGACGTTGCTGTCATCATTTTGATACTAATTGAGAAGACATTGCGTATTCTTGAATTGAATTTAGTGGCAATTGGACACTGTTTTTTTCCCTCAACCGAATGTTATTTGGGCACTCATGGTGTCACAGCAGCTTGACAATCTGTCCACGGTGCGGTGGAAAAAAGCATAATTTAAATAAGTGGACTAATATGGATGAGGTCTATTTGGCAATATAGTGATATTTCCTGCCAGAACGGTTAAACATAGAATTGGGAAAGGCGCGCACACGTTTTTGTGCACTGTTGTCATCAACACTCTCACTGGTGTGACGCATTTTATAAGGAGAGTTTTGAGCATTGGCATTTAGGCAATCAGCATCTTAATCACTGTTTTGCAATGGGTATTTACTCGCGAAATGTACACACACACACAAGTGTGGAGGGTGTCTTTAATTCTATATTTAAATTCACAGTCATTCGCAATTTTAAGTTATACTATAAATAGTGTCGTCGCCGCTTTTTCTTTCTTTCGAGAATGATGTGTGCTATTGCGAAAAGTAACATGAAAAATTCTGT